AAATATAATATTTTATAATTAAAGTTTATACTTTAAAATATTACTTATATTTATTATTTTATAAATTAATTAAAGAATTATCTTTCTTATTTTTTATTATTATTAAATTATAGGCCTTCTATATTAATAATAAATACTATATAATTTAAATTTATAAATTCTTTATTTTTATTTATTTAAATATTAAAGTATTAATTATAAGTATATTATTATTCTTTTAGAGTATATTTTATTAATTAATAACCTTTTAATTATATATAAAGTAATACTTTTAATAAAAGTTTCTTTTATTAAATTAATTACTATATTTAGATAGATAGTTATTATAATTATTATTATAATTATTAAATCTATTATAATTAAAAATCTATTATTAAAGTTATTTAATTATATATTAGAACTTTTATAGAAGTTACTTTATTATAAAAGTTACTATATAAATAATTTAAACTATTATTATAATTATTATACTTTATAGTAATAATAATTAAGAAAGAACTAATCTTTATTATTATAGTTATAATTCTATACTTTATCTATTTAAAAGTATACTACCCTATTAACTATTAATATTTATATATTTAAATAAAGATATATAAACTAAAATATAGCTTTTAACTAATTTAGGTAGTTTATATAGGGTTATAATAAATTTTAATATACCTTTAACTATTTATAGTATATTATCTTATATAAATTAATCTCCTTAACTTTATATTTAAATACTTAATAATAAATAAAAGTTTATTAATTAATAATTATAAAATTTATAATTAATCCTTATTAAAGTTTTTTATTATAGTTTAATAAATATAAAAATAATTTAATTTATATAATAATCTTAATAATTTATTTAATTATTAAATTAAATCTTTAACTTTAAATAGATAACTTAAAAGAATTATTAATATTTATATATTATATATAAAATATTTTAACCCTTTCCTTTAATATATAAAGAATATTAACTTAAATTAAATTAATATAATATTTATATTTATATAAATAATAAAAGATTTTTATTTTATTATTAAGTATATTATATAAATCTCTACTATATAAGTCTTTATTTTTATATATCTTATAAAAGTTTTTAATAAATTAATTATTAATTTATTTATTTAATATTTTAAAAGAAAAATATAAAATACTTTTTTAATAGCTAAGTTCTTTAAAAGGAATTAATATTCTATAAATTCTTCTTAATACTCTATTTTATAATTTTAAAAGGTAATTAAAAAGCTTAATAATAATAAAATTAAAAAAGTAAAATAAATAGTTTTACTTTAATATTATCTTTTTTAATATTTAATTTTTTTAATTAAATAATATAATAGAATTCTTTATAATATCCTTTTTAATAAACTATAAAGAATTTTATTTTATATAAAACCTTACCTATTATTCTAAAAATAGATAGTTCTTAAACTTTTTAAAAACTTTTATTATAAGAATCTTAAATAAGTATAGATAGTATAATCTACTTTAATTTTTAATAAAAATATATTTAAACTAAAGAACTTACTTAAACTCTTTAATTATATCTTTATTTATTATTATAAAATACTTTTATTTTATTTATTAAAGTCTTCTAAATTCTATAAAAATATCCTTATTACTCAACTATATATATACCTTTATATATAAAAAGATTTATATATTTAAATATATAATACTTATATTTAATAAAGGTAAAACTCTTTATAAAATAGAATTATATAATTTAATTATTATTTAAATAATATATATTCTATCTTTAATAATATTATATAATAATACTATTTTAATAACAATTTATACTAATATTTTATATAATTAAAAATAAAAAATAAATAATAATATAAAAAAAAAAAAATATAATAAGGTATTTATATATTTAATAAACTATATATAATAATTAAGGATATTTAAAATATTAATTAAAAATTAAATAATTATATATTAAATACTACCTTAAAGATTACTATAATATAATAATTAAATTAAAAATAATAAATCTTAAATAAATATTAAGTCTTTAATAAATTTATAACCTAAAATTATAAATTAAAATAATACTAAAAAATAATCTAATTTAACTTTAAAGGCTTCTTTTACTTTATATTAAACTAATAAAAATACTCTTAATATAATTATAATTAAAATAAAGAATCTATCTTTTAATAAATATTAAAATTAATTTTAATTATATATTAATAATAATAATATTTTAATTATTAATCTATCTATCCTTAAATAAAAGGATTTAATAATAATAGTATTATTAAAGGTATAGTAAATATAAAGAAAGGAGAGAGTAAAAAAATATAAAAGAAAGAATTATTATTATAATTATATTAATAAAATATAACTATATTCTATTTAATAATATAAAGGTAAATATAATATATTCTAACTTTCTATTATAATAAAGTTTAATAAATAAATAAAAAAGAGGATTAAATAAAGTTAAACCTAATATTTAGTATTTACTTATTTATTAAAGACTAACTAACTAATAAAATAACTTATAAACTATATAAGTTATACTTTCTAATTAAAATATTACTTTAAATATAGATAAAGTTATTAATAAAAATTAAATAGATAGATTTTAAGTCTTTAAAAATATTAACTTATTTTATAAAGTACTTATTAAAAGTATAAATAAGGCTTAATAATAAAAGAAAGTTTATAAGTAAATCTTAAGTCTTTAAAGATATTTATAATTCCTTAAAGTATAATAGAGTATATAAAATAATAAAAGAGGTTTAAAACTCTATTAATATATATTTAACTATTTCTTTATTAAATTAATAACTTTATAATAAATAAATATAAGGACTTTATTATACTTAGTTATATTATTATTATTAAAGTATTAATATAATTATATTATAATAAAAACTTATAAAGAATTTAACTACTTTAAAGTAATTAACTATCTTTTTATATCTTATTATCTATAATTACTTAAAGTAACTATTAATTAGTATTAATATAAGTTATTATATATATATATATAAAGAGTAGTTTAGTTAGTTAAGTTAAATTATATAAAAGGGAGGAAGCTAGGCTTAAAGGGCTAGCTATAAGTCCCTTATTATAGTCTACTAACTAGAGTTATATAACCTAAACTATCTACTAGTTATGATTACCTCTATTCCTATATATAACTTAATATACTAATATAAAAAGGTATTTTTTAATAATAAATAGTATTATAAATATAATAGATTATAAAGTTATTATAAAAGTTTTATATAATAAATTTAATTAAGTTAATCTTTAAAAGATATATTATATTTTATTCTTTAAAACCTTAATTATTTATTTTTAATTTAATAATAAAATTAAAAAATATAAATAATTTATATATATTTTATATTTTTATATTTTTATATTTTTATATTTTATATTTTATATTTTATATTTTATATTTTTATATTTTTATATTTTTATATTTTATATTTTATATTTTATATTTTATATATTTTATATTTTATATTTTATATTTTATATTTTATATTTTATATTCTTATATTTTTATATTTTATATTTTTATATTTTTATATTTTTATATTTTATATTTTTATATTTTATATTTTTATATTTTATATTTTATATTTTTATATTTTTATATTTTTATATTTTTATATTTTATATTTTATATTTTTATATTTTATATTTTATATTTTATATTTTATATTTTTATATTTTATATTTTATATTTTATATTTTATATTTTATATTTTATATTTTATATTTTTATATTTTATATTCTTATATTCTTATATTCTTATATTCTTATATTCTTATATTCTTATATTCTTATATTCTTATATACTTATATTCTTATATTCTTATATTTTTATATTAAATATATTAATATTATAAAAAGTTTTATATAAGAAATTTAATTAAATAAATTTAAAAATAACTTTTTTTAAAATATTTATTATTTATTTTTAATTTTATATTAAAATTAAAATAATAAATAATACTTAAATTATAAAAGGAAAATAATTAATAAATATTAAATATTTTTATTTATTTAGTTAGTAAGGTTATTTAAGTACTTAATAGTCTACTTTAATACTTAAGTTATAATATGTAAATAGGAGAGATCTATATTTAAATAAAGAAATGTTTTATTTTATGTATGCGATCGGCCCGAGAGAGGGGGGGGGGCAAGCGGTAGCGTAGAGACGCGCAGTGCCTCATCCTCATGATGTATATTATGACGAGGAGGATTTACCGTTAGCCGTTCGATTTGTGCACGAGTTGTGGCGGTGGCTTGCGCACATGAGCTCGACGTCTCTGGTGCCGGACAGGGGCCCTGCGCAGATCATGGAGGAGAGAAAGCCGATGATTAGTCGATGATTTGGTCGAGGAATACTTCCTGCTGTCGGGCCAGAAAGGGATTGGATGTTTTGGGTTGGTTGTTCGGGCTGTCGGGCTGGCAGGAAAGGTGGTGTGGTGGTATGTATGCCCTTGGTATGACCACACGAGTACACGAGTATGCAGGAACAGGCCGAGACATGGACCGTGGTTGATCTCGATCTAGGCGGGTGAAGGTGAAGGATGATTGACGGTCAGTCGGGAGGCCTGGGCTTTGTCTCCAGGCCTTGCAAGATGACGACGATTGACGTCGTTCTTACCTAGGTTTGTTGGCCGAGTGTGGCCCCAGACGAAACGGCCTCTCATCTCTCATCAGCCTCGGCGCACAGTCACATCGCAGAGGGCTGCCAGCCAGCTCATTAGACCTATCAGTTCTGACAGCCGCGTGGACGTTGAGGTAGGCAGGTGGGTAGACAGATGTTAGGCGCACTTCGATACGGGCACGGGCACGGGCACGGGTTCGGGCACGGCAACGAAGCTCCGGAATGGGTCTTCTGCCCTGTCCCCCCCCCCACCAGGTCCCCAGGTCCCAGGCCCCCATAATAATTATTCAAGACGCCCAGCGATGGCGACGTCACAACCTGGAAAGGGGGAGGGGCAATGTCTTTGATTGATTCCCATGCCAACTGGTCTTTATTCATGCCCTGCTCCGAGAAAAAACACACACACACACACACACACACACACACACACGGGCGACCGATCTCAGCTGGCTCGCGCGAACGCAGATAAATGCCAATGCCAATGCCAATGCCAGAGCCAAAGCACATGCACATGCACATACTACCTACCTCTAACCTACCTAGGTAGGTAGGTAGGTACCTACTAGAGGTAGTACTGACACTACTGTGTACTAGATGCGCATGTGCTGCGCATGCCCAGCTGTCAAAATCTCCCAACCAGCGGCCGCTCCCGACTTTGACCTGAAGTTGGCCGTGCACAACCCTGCCACCTCCAAGTGCCCCGTGCCCAACCGGTGCAGCAGCGTCTCCTCACAATCACGACACTCTCGCAGGCACGCCGCCTTGGCCACAGCCGACATGGTGCAATTATAAGTTAATAGCTGTCTTGTTTCTTGTCCCCCCAGCGCATTCTCATCTGCTCTCTGGCCGCCGTCGACCTTGGCTTCGGACACAGCGTTAGCCGCCGTCCACAAAACACCACACACACGAGTCACGTCTCGCATAGACAGGCTGCTTCCCGCACGTTCCTGACAGCTAGCTGGGCCGCCGGCGCTAGCATCTGCAAAGGCTACTGCGCGCCCTGCCAGCCTGCCAGCCTGCCAGCCACGGCCACGAGGCAGGACCCCTTCACCGGCTCCTGCAAGAGCCACGCCGGCATTCAAGCCGGTATCGTGCCCTGTAGCTACTCCGTAGCAGCTACACCGCTTGCAGGGGAGCTCCGGCTGGCCCCACGTTGCTCGAGCGGGAATCCGTCCTGCTGCAGGAGAGCTGCCTGGCCTGGAGCACATTCGTACTTCGTACTCCGTAACGAGCACGCAGTACTGCGACCTTGGCCCTGGACGTGCGTCGCATCGGCGACAAAAGACGCACAAACTCGCCACAGCGCGGCCGCCATGCAGTCGACGCCTCAATATATTGGGGATTGTGCAGGCCAGCTCGTGCTGTGCAAATCGAGTCTCTGAGGATCCCACACTCGCATTCCTGGTGTGGAGCCGTTGGGTCTTGCCCTCCACAAGGTCAGGAATCCCAAGTCCAGACCGATCCACCAGCCTGGGGCCGCCAGCGGCAGATTACGGCCTGCGCCTGGCCTAGTCTTGTTCAGGAAATTACATTCTACCGCACCACTTCCACTTCCTTGTCGCTTGCCCGAGGAGCTCTTGCACCATTGCCGCCGCACCTGTTTCTCTGATAAAGACCACGGCTCGCCTCCACCACCCTCCTTGGATTGCTTTCTGGCCCATCCTCCCAACGCTCCTCCCCTGGCATATCATATCCCAACCTGCCCCTACAGCCCACACATACCCGACGCACTACTGCTCGCCTTGACGTCTTGCTCCCGACCCCGTCCCCCCCCCCAGAGAGACAGCCGGCCGAGGTCGAAGAACAACGACGGCCAGCCCCGATGACAACATCAAAAGCACACCACAGATCATATACGATCAACCTTCGAGCATTGACGCCCGCCGCTGCGCAGAGCAACCCACACAAGCCTCACCCCAGCCTTCAGGCCAATCTCAAGTCTCACAAACCATCCAAGTCAACCCCCAACGCCATCATGTCGCATGCTCCAGATACTCGCCTAGACCTGCCCGCCGACAGCCTGCCTCAGCACAACCGCGAGCTGACCCTGCGCCGGTACATGCTGCTGCAGGACGAGCACGAGTCCATCCGCCAGCACCTGGATCAAATCTCCACCCCGTCGTCTTCGACACCCACAAACTCGACGACATCACCCACCCTTGGCCCCACCCGCCCATCCTGCCATGTGCGCACTGACTCGGCCGCCAGGAGGGCGAGCATGCCGCAGTACGACATGCCGCGCCCGCGCTTCCACCGACGTGCCGGAGCACGCTTGATCTCTGCCGAGCTGGAAATGTCCTCTGACCCCGCCACCCTGGCCCAGATCGCGTCCGAGGAAGCCAAGCTGCTCTCGGTCAACGAGGGTATCAAGCGGGCCCTGACGGAGCTGCTCAACTGCGAGACCGTGCGGTCCGACCAGGCCTTCCGTAGCTTCTGCATGACGAGGCTCATGGAGACAGAGCAGGAGCTGCGCGGCGGCCGCAGGAGGAGGAGCTGCCCCATCGAGTGACGGCCGAGAGCGACCCACGTTACGCCTTGGGCGTGGGGCAGTACGGCGGTACCACTCCTTTTTTCTTCTTCTTTTTGGGACGGGATCATGGTTCATTCCATCTTTGCGTATGGCGTTCACTGGAAAATGGGATTTCACATGAGCATGTGGAGCCGCGAGAGACATCGCTTCTGATACCCCTCATTGGCATTGACGCACAAAGAGCGGTCATGCATTGTTTGTTTGGTGCATATTGTGGGTTTCCAAGAAAAGGGTTGGTGGGCTTCGGGAGGGACCAAAACAAAATCGTTTCTCAGGCGCTCCTTGGGAGGCACGGAAATAGAACCAATCTAGCGTTACCAGGGTGCTTGGAGGTGTGCTCTGCTCCTCGTTAATATCGCTCCCAGTTCTTGGCGAGATTATACAAAATTGCTTGGAAATTGATGGCGTCTAGAGTTTCAGAGAAAGCTCAAACCAGGAGTAGCATGCATTGTAATAAGGCTCGTTGGTTGTGCAGTCATTTCATTGGACGCTCAAGTGGCCTCCGTCTGGGAGAGATCGGAGATTCACACCCACAGGGACCGAGGGTACTGGGCAACCCGGAAGATTAAAGTACTCAGGTTAGCACCAGACCGTGTATCTCATAGGAGTTTGTTATCCTATAGCAGGCTATCCTATAGGTGATTGGGAAAGTCTTCAATCAGGGGGGTAATAGTAATGATTGTATTTTTGCTGTCGACACTACATGTAATGCGCCGTGCTGATGCTGTACTTGCATGGGTGTACGATTGATTCAGAGACTTGTTTGGGAAACGGCCTCCGTGTTTATTAGTGCACTCGGCCAAGAGCCACTCAACCACCGTGACGCTCGGGCCACCCATTGTCCCTCTGTCGGGGGCAACACGGCTTGAGCTCAAGCTCACCACCCTGTCACCCCGCGTCCCAAGAAGAATTCCACGAACCAGTAACCACCAGCACATAGTGAGCATCCACACGTCGCCTTTTCAACCGGAGCCAGAACGGCATGTCCGTCCTTCTCGAAACGAGCGCTGGCGACATTGTGATCGACCTGCTGGTCGACTACGCGCCGAAGCTCTGCGAGAACTTCCTGAAGCTGTGTAAGGTCAAGTACTACAACTTTGCACCAGTCCACTCCGTCCAGAAGAACTTCTCCTTCCAGACCGGCGACCCCCTCGGTCCTCTATCCACACAGTCCGATGGCGGCTCGTCCATCTGGGGGCTATTGTCCCCCGACCCGGCTGAACGAACGTTTCCCGCCCTGTTCCACCCCAAGTTGAAACACCTCGAGCGTGGAACCGTCAGCATGGCCACGGCACCAAATGCCGCCGACGGCGGGGAGAATAGGCTGGCAGGGAGTCAGTTCATCATAACGCTGGGCGACGAGACGGACTACCTCGATGGGAAGGCCGCAATATTTGGAAAGGTCGTGGAGGGCTTCGATGTTCTTGAAAAGATCAACGAGGCCATCATCGACGACAAGGGCCACCCACTTGTTGACATTCGAATCAAACATACTGTCGTGCTCGACGATCCCTACCCAGATCCCGCTGGCCTGCGCGAGCCAAGCAGCTCGCCCCTGCCTAGCAAAGCTCAAATGGCCACCGTGCGCATTGCCGAGGCCGAGGCCGAGAAGCTGGGGGAGGAGGACGATGAGGAGGCGGCGGCAGAAGCAGAGAAAGCCCGACGTGAGAGGGAAGCGCGCGCCCAAGCTCTCACCCTCGAGATGATGGGCGATCTACCTTTCGCCGAGGTGAAGCCGCCCGAAAACGTCCTCTTCGTGTGCAAGCTGAACCCAGTCACGGTCGACTCGGACCTCGAGCTCATCTTCAGCCGGTTCGGGAAGATCCTATCCTGCGAGGTCATCCGCGACCGCAAGACCGGCGACAGCCTCCAGTACGCCTTTATCGAGTTTGAGGACAAGGGTGCATGCGAGACGGCGTACTTCAAGATGCAGGGCGTCCTGATTGACGATCGGAGGATCCACGTCGACTTCTCGCAGAGTGTGAGCCGCCTGAGCGCGACGTGGCGCGACGAGACCAACCAGAAGAGGCGAAAGCACGCAGCGGGTGGTAACAGAGGCGGCTGGGGCGGCGTCAAGGAACTCGAGAAGTGGAAGAAGTACCGGGACGAGGACGACACGCCAGAGCGCGGGGACCGCTACCAGATGCTCGTGGACAGCCCTGGGGAAGGCAAGGCGTCGGCGGCGGAGGAGCATGATCGTACACGGCCAGACGGTCGCGATCGCCACCGTCACGACAGCCGTTCCCCTCCGCCTCACCGCCGGGAGCAAGATAGGGACTACAGGAGGCACGACCGGAGCTCGAGCCCGCGTGGCGAGCGCCATCACGACTCAAAGAGGCACCGAGACCGTGACCGGAGGGACTATCGTGAACGAGACCGTGGGAGGGCTTATGGCGATTACAGAAGACGGTAAAGAGGCGAGAACCGGCAGAAGAGAGCTCCCGATCATGATACCCAATTGTCTAGCATGGCCTGACAATGTCTCGAGCAAAATGCAGCTTTGTCCGCACACTTATCACCTGTCGTGACGAGTCAATTCAACCAGGCCTCATGCCCTTGAGCCAATGGAAGCATCAAGCTCCTGAATTAGTACAATACACAACTTCCGCTTGAATCCGGTGGTACGAAAGCATTTTATATTCTCCTTGACCCTTCCCTACTTCTTGATGGGGTTGATCTTCCTTCCCGAAGTACACTCACTCACACGCACAAAGGCCTAGAAACCTGACAGAATCCCAGGAAGCCTTAGGCACCAAACCTCACATGGAATACAGGAGAATGGCTCTTGAAAATAAACCATACCTTGTGAGTTCAGCTCTCCCCTCTATGGATGTGCAATCATGTGCAGAGTTTTGATCCCTATCCCTCTGTGAAGCACATCCGCCATGGGACGTGGGATTGAGTTGTGACGGGAAATTTTCTCAGTTCTTTGAGAGAGCATTTAATGCACGGGATCCACGTCCGGCATAGCATTCTAGGCGCGCGTAGAGCAGCTGCATCAGGTTTGAGCTTTGCGTGTCAGTCGTGTGGACAAGCACCTCGTATCAGAGACCGGCAGAACACAGGAGTGAGACACTTGTGGATTCGGTCGTATGCTATCTGAAAGGTATTACTGGGCTTCCAGCAGCCCACAATGCTTACGAGACGGTCTAAGATAGCAGCTCCTCGATGGCCTTGTTCTAAACACCGCATAGCTGATGAAAGCAGCGGCGTGCCAAAAGTCCTTGGCCGAGTCCTCATCTAGGGCACAGGAGTGAAGGACTTCCGAAACTACAATTGCTGGCTGAGGTCAGCATTTATTAAAGGCGATCCAGGGATCTTTAGCGTGTGCCATTCTCCCGGTCAAGCCATCTGGAATTTCCGTGGTTGCCATGTGGCACCCTGACCATCTCCACCAAGAGCTCTGCTTCATTGAGCTGATGGCCAGCTTCAACTTCTACAACGCCAGAGGCGTCCAGGTAACAAGCCTGGTGCGACGGGGCGCTCAATAGCCTCACGACTCTCAGTCATGAGGCTGGCAGTCTCACTCGACTGCGGAATCTGAATTGTGGTCGCTAAATCCTGCTGCTACACGTGTAGCTGCATGTCTCAGAAGGAGCACATCGTCGGGTCCCCCAGATGTGAAGAAAATCGATCCGCCAGTGACGGCCTTACCACCAGCGACCAGTGTGTTTGTTTCCTCATGGGATGTCATGCCATCTGTGAGACAATGGCCCCCGACACCCCAGGAGAATTGAGTGTGGCCCCTGCGTGGCTCGCATCTTGCGACGCTCTGTCGCAAACATTTCGCAGGTTTTGGTACAATTACTCTCATCCCTGAAAGCATGACGGGGCAGCCTCAAATCTACGGTGGATCTCTCGGATCCTCGGGGCAATTGAGCAGTTCTGGGCCAGATTGCCGGACGCCACTCATCATTGTGATGGTCTATACAGCATCCAGCGCGTTTGTACCCCTTGAATTGGGGCTTTTTCCCTCCCTGACTGGTTGATCTTGCAACATGCAGCTGTCGCCAAATTCATCATGAGACATACGTACCAGCCCACTCGACCTAGATGTGGGCAGGTTGGACTGCGCCAGCGTGGTCGCACGAGCTGTGTCGTATAAGCCATCATTAGGTCGTCTGCCACTCGCATGGCAGCTTTTTACCAACACCATTGGGAGGAAACAACCGGTCTCTGAGCTTGCGCCTCCTTCCTCGGTGACCAGCGTGGGGGTCACCAGCTGACGCCCATCTCTTCCACCACCAACTGACAGCTTCTCAGCCATGGGCCGCTGCAGATTTGCCAACCGAAGATCTGCTTCGAGAATTGAGTGGGCTGGAGCTCAGTGGCCGCCGCTCCTTGATCTGCTGGCGGCTCTCCGAATGAAGGAGGGTTGCATTCGCCCTGCGATGCCCAGCCAACTGCCGTGGTGATCTGTCATTTCATCGGGCAGGCTGCACTGCAGCCTTGTACGGGCCGCCTAACGTGTACGCGACTTCGCCCGTTGATGGCCAGCTCAGAGGTCGACTGGAGAAACACAAGTACCTATGATGCCACTTGGGGCCTAGAGTTGGGCCTTTGTCCTTAATATGCGTCACGAATCACTGCAGGCGAGAACAGTCCTCGAAGTCTACACATCTATTAACGCTGCCCAACCTGCTTGGTTTTGACACACACACGCACACACACACGGAGGTTTTATCTCTTCCATGGTTGATGTGTACCGTGTACTTGCACAACATTTATGCAGAGACCCGGGGCACTTTGCCTGGTGTATTGAGGCTGCCCACAAGGCCTTGACAAGACTATTTTGGCAAGAGACAGCTTCAAGCCATGTTGCAGAGGGCCGGGTCCGACGGACAACGTGGAAATAAGTGCCAGGCTGATGATGCCTCTCAAGACGGGCAGCTATTCCAAATCCATCTCCAAAGATCTCTCAGTGCACCTAGCTTGAGGAGACCTCTCAGGCCCAGATGTCTGCATACATCGCATCATAACCTCGTTCGAGTGACACCAAACCTGTATTACGGTTATTCGACGGAATCACTAATTCACTGCCATGCGTTGCACGGTGAGCGAGCTACCTGAGGCGAGGGCCTATGGGTTTACCAAGAGCTCCACCGCAGTGAGTTCTCCTGCTGCATGAGATACCTGCTGAGGTACCTTGCCCTGGCAACGCTTGCCCTTTGTCAACAGGTCTCTGAGCTGCAACACCATCAGTTGAGGTGATGAAAGCGTCGACAGCCCGGGCGTCACCTGCAAGTCATCTACCGGCTCGCCGCTGGTCTCATAGGGAGGAAAAAACCAGCAGACGGGAGCGGACATCTACTTGCGATGGGGCGGACCCCACACAGGAGAGTGTAGGCAGCAAGAGGTCCTCGAGTGGCAGTATAAGCCAGCTGCGTGACACCAATGGCTGGTCAGCCCCTGGTTGGCCGTCTACGTCGTGCACTGAATCGAGGCGGTCTGGAGTTCGACTGGCAGAAATGTTGGTGGTTCCCAGGAAAACGAGCGATCTTCTGAAGGTGCACAACGTTGCACGCGGCAAGCCACACATCGTAGTGTTGTCAGTGACGCAGCTACCCTTGTCGTGCGAATGGGGCGCCCCCCCCCCCCTTCCAATCTCAGCATGCTCCTACGGTTGCGTTGTTTCTAGCACACCGCAGGGTGCTAAGCTTTCTGTGGATATAGCGTCACATGAAGCTCTAGATACTTTCTTCTCAGGAGCCTACCGGGGCGGTGGATTCCGCCAACACCGCAACGGCCGGCGTGCGGTGCTGTCAGCCAAGATAATCAACGCGCAGGAGATTACTTAATCTGTTCACAAGAACCAGTCGTCTCTTCCTGACCACCAAGCGATGATTCGCAGCTCGTCTGCTTCTGGAGAATTGTTCAATCTCAGTTCGGCCGCCGTCTCTCAGCTCCCAGGCGCCTCACTCGCGCCTCAAATTTGCGCCGATTACGCACGCTGCATCCAGTGCCTCCGAATGCACCGACATTCCCTGTGTTATGTAGGGCTGAATCGGGGTCATAATTTCGACTGATATCAACCATGATCGACAGACGCTCGTCTATCTGTGTCATCCTATCGCAAGCCCTCGTACGTGTAGGCGAGTCCCGTCAAGGTGGTTGTCCATCATCTCGCATTGGTTCACTCATGGGAATTTGGCTGTCTGGATGGTCGGGAAATTGCCCAAGTCGCAGAACCTTCGGGAGTTTTTTTTTCCTTCTCTCGCAAACGACGGCCTTCCAGCCGCAGTTCCTCACACCCCGGTCTGCAGCCTACGAGGTCGCGCGCTGGGCATTCTCATGTCTCGAGAACCACGGAACTTGTCGATATTGTCTGCATGTTGCAGACCAGGCTAGACTTTTGCTGAAAATGGCAGCAAATGGACCCGCAACCTGGCGACTTTCACCCCCAGGCCCGCTCCCAGAAGTGCTTTTTTTGTCTCTTAAGGTCGCAAGCCGAGAATAGTGCTCTGTCGCAGAACGAGACTCTGCGTCTGCCTCTCTTCTCTAGCCTCGCTACCGCTGCGGTGCGGGTCGGCCGAATAGGCCCACGACCCTGGTCATCTCAGCACTTGCATTGACATACCACGGGAATCGGCGGGACGGATCGCTCACTTTGAATCGACTGTGCTTCAGATCCCAACTGCTGGCTTGCATCCAGCCTGCTGCAGTGCCTTGGGTCCAGCGGCCATGTGATTAGCCTTTCTTGCATATGCAGCTCCCACGGCGCTTTGCTGAAGATATCCGTGGCCAAGAGCCTCCTGTGGCTGGACCTGGGGCCCCACCTGGCTGTGCTTCAGCTAGGGCTTGCGCTTGTCAACACAGACATTTGCCGTTGTCGTTCCGTCCTTGCGCGGAGGTCTACCGTGCTGCGAGCCACCCCCCTCTTCTACAGTTGCACCTGGGCGGCCACGCTACGATGATCCAAAATCTGGAACCCCAACATAGTCCACTCTGTGTAACGTCGCCGGTGGCCGGACAACGGCCCCGTGGCAGGGTACATTGGATGGAAGTTGTCTCCAGCTGCAAGGCAGGATGGTGCGCAGGCATCCCAGACTCTCTCTGTATCCGGAATACAAGATACACTTACGTAGTGGGCCCGTGGAAAAGCACAGTAGACTGGAACAGGGAATGTGGTATCACTCACTCGTCTGTGTACGGAACTCGATTCTGTTCCGTATTCAAACTCGCGCAAGCAGCGCTCAGTTCCCAGAGTGTGGCGGTCACAGCCTGGGGAAAGGGTGGCCTCCAAGGGGGTGTGTCACCAAGGAGCATGCAGATCGAGCTCTGGACCCCCACCCTCCTCTGACAACAATTTTGTTCGCCTTACTCGAATGCCTCAAACGACGAATTTGCCGTGTTCAAAGCTCTGGGCTGGCTCCATTCAAGTCTTGTTGAGGCACCGGGTAGAGAATCGCGCTGGCAGTCAATGGCACACCTGACGTTGCTCAACGAGAAATGAGGTCCCCTTAATGAGCAAGCCTGCAAGTTGATTTGGAGGCACCGGGGCAAACATCCTGGGTGTCTTCGTGTATTGTTGCTGGTGCGTCCCACCCCGTCACGCATACACAAGTTTGCCCTTGACGCACGAGAAGAAGCTTGGGCAGCCGCAGCTTGCTATTGCTGAATATGATCAGTCATTCTTTGGGACGACCTGATTGCCCCCGCCCTCCTGAGCAGCACCAAACGGCGACTGACCACCCCGGAGTCCACCGTCAAATCTGCATTGACCAACAACGGCTACTGCATCAACGGTGAAATGCGCCCCCTTGCACTGTCGGTCTTGTTCTCCCCAATCCGGCAACTTGAGATCCTGTTGTCGTGTCCCAAATTGGAACAAAGGTGTATACGAACTGGCCCGTCTGACTTCACCGTGAATTCCATCCACTCCGGTCCTCATTCACCGTGCCACCTCCGATCGGTATAGCAGGGGAAAAAATTAACCCCCCCCCCACCAAGGGCCAGCCAAAGTGTCAAACACCCAGCCTGGCAACCCAGGAACGACCAAACCTGGTCTACCTTATGAACAAGATCATTTGCTCTGAAAACATAAAATTGACTGGGCAATCTACGCACTCCGTTCGCCTAGCGCCATGCGATAGTGACCACCGCTCATGGGATTGGATATCTGGCATTCATAGAAGGAACCTCCCGCGCCCGTCTGCCATGTCTTGGGGATCAGGCAGGCAGGCAGGCAGGCTGTACAGTGCGATGGCTCGCACTGCATGTCTCTCTTGGCATGCTTCAATTCGTCTACCTGAAGAGAGGCTTGGTCTGAGGTCCGGGGTCATCTCATTACCGTCCTAGGCAAAGCACCTACCGATGACGCTTTGTACCACCTCACTCGCCGCCCCACAGAGCACGGCCGGGAGATGTCCACGGCCCAGTGGGGTGTAGGTCAGATCGCAGACCTCAACGCCTTTCAGCTGAGGCTCGAGCTGCTCTCCCGGTGCCGCCATATGTCACTGTCTACTCATCAATGAGAATGCCACTGCACCCTTGGCCGGCTAAACTTCACCTGCCGCCTCCTCAATTTGATGTGCCACGGAGACTGGCTTGGCCGGGTCGGGAAAAGGGCCGGCCATATGCCATGCGCAAAATGATAACATGACGCTTGCGCCTTGCTCCTCTATCTAACGCAATGCACTCCTACGTCTGGTGCGGCCCAGTCTGGGTCGAAGTGGTTGCTCGAGGCTTCCCTCTTCCATTCCACTGCGTGCTGCAGGTTATCTTTGGCCCTGTCGGCCAGAATGCGGATATGCGGGCGCATTATAGATGAAGGAGCCGAATTAGACAGGCGAGACGCGATGCAGAGTAGCCACGCGAGCATGGCGGATCTGGACGTCCGAGCTCCGCGGTCCGAACCTGACCTCCAGATTGGCCCTGCCCGGAAGCTACTCGGATTGTCACCACCTTTTCGTGACTGCGCAGTCCCACACCACATACTTCTTGTTTCTTGTTTCTCTCTCGGAGAATATCAAGGCAAAGCAGCAAAAGAAAGAGAGAGGGAGAGAGTGTGTGTGTAAACGGAAGTAAAATCGGCGGTTTGATGTAACCAACGGAGCAACGCAGATGGTTGGACCCAGAGACACTCAAGGCGTGTCAACGTCCTTGACACTGTCCCAAGGCCGCCCGGTTTCAGCGGCCTCCTCCCTCATCGACGTGAGTACCGAGGTATTCTGCACCAGTCAATGCCTGCCTCCTTGAACTCGTTGGTATGATGGGGAGAGGGGTACAATACTGGCTCGATGCCTCCCACAAGATTGACAGCATCCACAAGTTGCACCATGCGTGGCTTCGGGTCTTCTTAGCATCGCCGTTTCCCTTGTGAAAGCTGTCTGTGCACACATCGACATGTACCCTGATACTACTCGTTTGCTCAGCAGATGTTGCCGTACCGATTGGACTGGCCCGACCTGGGGGCGGCAGATTTGTGCTTATGGCCAGTCGACCGACCCTGGTAGACACCAAATGCAAGAAATGCAGCTACCCGTGGGGGACACACTGGTAACGACCGGGGCAGGACAGCTGCTGAAGGAACCTTCGACTGCTCCCATGGTGACAGGACGCTGTGTAACCTTCAACTACCTAGGTAGCCCAACGATTGAAGGTACACCTTCCAATATGAGGTATCGTCTGCGTGCTTGGGGCAACTTGCGACGCCGAGGCTCAAATAAGTACAAGTTCCACAGGTGTCTGTCTATCCCTCCATGTATTCATCTCTCTGGCGCCGTCCGTTGGTATCTAATTACAGTTAACAGATTGACATTATCTGACGAGCACTCACACGAGTGAGGACCTTGTTTTCTTGTCTGAAGAGGATTCTCGACTGCCCACGGTGACACGGAGGTTTTCAGCATCTGCTCCCTTTATCTTTTTCCCCCCTTCCATTCCGCCGACCTCCTCCTTCGTCACTATCGCTTTACTCGGGCTCGCTGTCTCCCTACACCATCCTGACCTCCACCATTGGATCTTTGGGTATTTGCTGTGGGTGCAGAGGGAACTCAATATACCTTGCATATTCTGGTGCCACACCTCCGCGGTGGCCTTCCTCCCAAACGGCCTTTTCTAACATCGCAGCTGCAACTTGACGCGACTCTCGACATTGAGTGTCCAACAGATATTGCGGGCAAAAGCGGTACCGGACCAGAAGAAGTGCAATAATAACCTGTCCTCGTCACAACTATTGCCAGCTGGAATCCGCACAACAACGTGACAGCTCTTCTGTTTCGCTCAGCGAGATCATTGCGTTCTTGTTTTACACACCAGGCACTGTGGGGGACCTATGTGCGTATTTTCACGCCGTGTCTTATCAGCCGGGCCTTGCTTTACCTGGGAACCGTCTGCTAGGAGGAGCCGCTGGATACACAGGGCTGTACCATCAAGCCAACCTGTCAGCCAGATCATACAAGCAGCGACAAACACACAGCAGCTGGGCCGACTCGCCCGTCAGCTGGCCTCTTCGCACCAGAGTGGACCAAGATCGGCTTCGGTTGGACCTTGCACGGTTCCTAAGGCTCTCTGGCCTGTCTCGTCTCGCCTCGACAACCTTGTCCGCAGCTGTCTGGCTGCCTGCCTCCCACCCTCGCCTACCCGCCTGTGTCCTGACGATTTCGAAGGCCTCTCTGCATCTTACATGCCCCTGTGCGCCGCCCTCGCTTTGGATTGCCCCATTCTGCCCTGTACCCCTGAATATTGAAGGCCACTCACTTCAAGCCAGCCAAGCCAAGCCAGCCGTCTCTCAATAAACGACTTGTCTCGACGTACCTGCTCTGGTATTCCAACAAATAGCCAGCAAGTATTGTTCAAGGCTCGCAAGTCCTGGGGACCTCGCTTTCCATCCTCTTCCTCACCAACCCGATCACACTCGCAGAGACACCCGGACTTGTATATTAACATGGTGTCCCGGGCCTACTACCCCCCTCCGCCTCCGCACCCTCACGAAGGTGCGAGATATCTTCCAAGCCGTTCATGCGCGCCCTACTACTCATATCCGGAACGTCGATACCAGCTTCCCTCCCACGACGCTCGTTCTATGACCATGACGGACCCCCAGACTGATGAAACAACACCACCGCGGAAGCGAATCGCTGTTGCTGTAAGCTCTGGAGCGGCCCCCCCCCCCCCCAAAAAAAAAGCTTTTTCTTAATTTCGCCTGCCTCAGCTACCCTAGGGTAGTCCAGCTTCTGTTTCACTCGGGGTTGGGTGTCCCGAGGACTGAGTGTCCTCTAGGGGCGGAAGACAGGTCCAGCCAGATCCTCCAGAAGTTCCTGCTCAGCCGCTAAGGGGCACTTGCATCGTGCGTCGGGTAGCAGAGTGTTACAAGAAATAGTAAGCTGACAAGACTCTTCTGACAGTGTGGGCGATGCCGCAAGCGCAAGATCCGTTGCAGTGGAGATCCAGGCGGTGGACTACCGTGCGTCAACTGCAAGAACGCTGGCGTCGATGCCTGTCTCTTTCTTCGGGTACGTTAGCTCTCTTTCAACGTTGGAGTTCTTTGAGGTTAAGAAGCGCGAGGATGACACATACATGATCTTTCCCGCACAATGCATTCCTATCCATTACCTGGGCTTAATGGGCTCTTTCTGACCAGTCTTTCCGAGCGCAGGTCCAATCCCAGGAGGCGCCCATGCGGGAGGACAGTCGGTATGACTACAACATCGACGTTTCTCGCACATTGGCGCAGCGCAGCGCGGGGCCTGTTACGCAGATCAGTTCTTCCATGGCCCATTACCCCCAAGATATGCATATCCTAAGCTCGGCGGCCATCCCTTCGTCTTATAGAAGCGCTAGCTACACCAACATGGGCACAAAAGGCTACTATCCCCTTGGCGCGGACTGGGGAGATGCGTATAGCGCAGATTCAGCTGTTGGCGACTACAGTCTCGGTGTTCCACAATACCAGGTGATTGGCAGTGACGCGTCGAACATTGTTCCCAGCTATGGACATTGGAGTGCCCGCCAAAAGAGCATCGGACAAAATGGCAGCGTCTACGTTGACACCGAGTCCGCTTACCCATACGGCAATGGCACCAGCACTGGTCTTGTTCATAGACCAGCTTCCTCACTGCCTCCTGATACCTCTGCATACTCCTTGGTGGGGATCGCTGCATCACTCCCTTCCGCGGGAAACGAGCGCCATCTGCCAAATCCGGCAGCCATTTCACGAGCTATGGGCAGCTCGTCTGCCCCTTATCGGCTTGACGGTCTCCCAACAGGGTACGGCAGCACAAAAGCGAGCCAAAACTCGGTTCCTGGCAGCCAGGCTTCACCAACATCCCCAATTCCTGATGTGACTGCGGCGGCTGCAGCAGTGGGATACGCGAGCTCCTATGACTACGCCTCGGTGGGTAGGTCTTCGCAACAGCATGGCAGCAGCTCCTCAGATGCATACGGATCTGTGTCAACAGGGAGCAGCGAGACTATATTTGGAGAGCAAGACCGCAGCGCGGCGTCCCAGGGGTCAGCCGTTGACCTTACTGGGTACACATACGGGGCCGCGAGCCCGGCAGATGCTTCGAGCCTGCGGCGGGCCTCTTCCGGGTCCGGATTGACGACTCGATCGGCGGCAGAGAGCAGCGTCAGCACCGGATACGCAGCCAGTGATGGGACATCAGCTATCGGCTCAGGGAACTTCCATGGCTCGTCTTCATCCCATGTGCACCATCATCGTCAGCACCATGGGCAATCCCACCACGCTTCTACACGTCACACGAGTCACCACCACACCCATCCGCATCAACTTCCTGCCCATGCCGTGACGGGTAACACCGCCTACGGGGAAGTTTCCGGAGGTGGCAGCAACCACAGCAATGGAGTCTCTGGTAGCGTCGGTGGCACAACGGTTACAGACAGCCACCGGTCTACAATCGTGTCTCGACGATAATTAGATTGAAGGCTGCCCAGGCTCGCAGTTGTTGCTTCGACACTCCCACACCCGTGCTTCCTACCGCCCCACTCCATGTGTGTTTACAACGCGACACGCAGTCTGTCGTGACGCAACGGGGACAGACCCAGGGAAGAGTCATGAGACAATGGAACGGAAAAGGTGTCGACAGGCAACTGCACTGCCTCTGGCCAACAGCAGACTACCGGGCCTTGATTATACATGGCATGGCCGCTAGCAAGAGTATCACTCGCCCACTCTTGTCTAATACATCTTTGAGGGCCTTTCGAGGAACATGTGTGTTATGTCTGTTCTGTTTTGATTTGATGGTGAAAAATAGGAAAAGAGTCGGTACGGCGATCACCGCCTGAACAGCAAAGAGATGTATGAGAGGTGGCTGTCCGGAACAGCACGTACTGCAGAATTGATTGGCGAAGATCCGAGAGATATCCCACGCGGGCCATGATTCATTCAGGGGTTGGGATGGAGGGGTGGATGATCACCTGTCAGGCCAGAAATCTGTCATCGCGTTTCGCTGTCTGAGGGCTGTCAAGTCAGGGGCGAAGGGGCCCAGCCTATTCTGTGCAGCACACTTCGCGGACGACCCGCATGGGCTACCCATCGCTTTTGTCAATGATAGACCGGTCAGTCCCAAGACCTGGGGAGCCCAATCGCCGTGTTCTGCACCTGATCTTTCGCAGTTCCTCTTGGAGTTCGGCACTGTGTGCTCAGTTTGGCCCGCGCTTGCGGCGACCAGTTGCGTGCAAATACAACACGAGAGCTGGGCTCGACTCGGCCTCGACACGGCAACATGCCTCGAGGGTTGAAGTGGCACTTTCTGCACACGTCGACGACTGGCCAGCACTGCTCCCGACCTAGGCTGCGAGAGGCGCGCCACAATAAACCGGAAACTTGGAGCACGGTGCGACACTGCCTTCCCACCTCTGTCAGCCATACCACGGGCCGGATTGCTATTTTTGGGCGGCGGCCATGTTCGGGCTGTGCCTGACGTTTCGTTGTCGGGGCGTATGCGGATTTCTCTGCCCAAGTGCCGACCGGTGAGGCCTTCACATGGTACCATGCGCCCAGCCAGGGCCCGCGAGCAACGTCAAAGCTGCCGGACGGAGATCGACGCGGGCTGATCAAAGGGGCTCGCACCAGGATAAAGTGCTTACAGGCTTGACACTGACATCTGCAATGGCACATTCCCTTCGGAGCCAAGGGCCCACCAACCCCCAGCACAGCAATCTATCCGACGGCGTGCGCATATGCATTCCGGGAGGCTCAGGTCGCTTCACGCCGACTGCCGTCCGGTTGGCACCACCAGACCGAACTGGGGGCCGGCCTTCCTGGGCCTCTCAAGACCCCTCCAATGGCAGCCCACGCGGGTCATCGCACGCACCCATGCCGTGTACCCTGCCTGGCCTTGGGGGATTTCGACACGGGGCAACCGGACTGGGGTCACAAGGCTTCACACGATGCCCGACAGGCGCTGCACCATTCCGAATGGGTGACATGATGCTGTCGTGCCCTCCCCATCCCAATTCATGTAATCACTCATTTTCAGCCCCCAACCGCCCCTTCAAGTTCCCCCAACCCCTCTGCAGTTTTCGATTCTCGTGTCAGGTCTTGACCAGCTGTATCGGGCCTATACATGCGAACTTCTGTCCTGTCCCCCCCCCCCCCCGCGAGACGACGGCAGTCGGAGCCTGGCGATTTGATTGCTCGCCTTGGTTGCTGTTTCCGGCTCGTGCTTCTGCGGAATCTTGTTCTTCTTGTCGCCATTCCAAGTTTTGTCCCTTTAAAACATTGTATCCCGGAGTCAGCCACTTTTGTTCACATGCCATCCCCGCTCACTTTCTCTCACATGCCTCCGAACGAGCAACATCAATTCCCAGGGCATCCTCATGTTGCATTTACGTCATAGAGCCAGCCAGCCACCAGGTCCCTTGCTCCCACCTATTGGGAGGTGTGTTAGCACATATTGTGTCTTGTGTCATTGTTTTATCCTCTTCCCTGTTTTCACCAGCAATCCGCGGTTCGCTCAGTGTGAGAGCCTGGGTTGACGGTCTAATTCGCTTTAATACCTTTTAATGCTCTGCTTCAGCCGATACCGAGTGGCATAAAAGCCCTTGGTCGTGTTCAAATGTTGAGAATGGGGTCGGTGGTGGAGGGTACGGGATCCGGAAAATTGGAGTGATCACTGTCTTGCTTGTGCTTCGTGTTGTTTTCTTCTCCTTACTCTTTACCTTTTCTCAACCGGTATCATGGCAATTTGGGGGAAGAGGTGGCAAAACCCGGGGCAAAGATTCAGGCAGTCCAGGGCGTTTCCGAGCGACGGCTATGATATTACACTGATATTGCACAGCATTGTGCGCGCTAGGGGTTAGAGGGGGAGAGGGGAAATGGCAGATCAGAGCAGGGCCGAGGCGATGGGAAAAGACTGTTCTTCTCTAAACCATTCATTTGCTTAGTACCACGTTCGATTCCACCTCCAGATTAGCCCTTGGTAACAGGGCGCGAGGTTCGTCTTTTTCCTTGTCCTCTGATTCCTCTTCGCACGTCATCGACAACCTCTGAGCCCTGCGGTGAAACTCGTTCGTTGCCATCGTCTCAAAGTCCACTCACGGCACTCTTTGCACATCTGGCCAACACAACTCTGTCGCTCATGGATTGGGAAGTCAGCCCATTCGGATTCTTATTATCTCAGAGAACCAAAAGGTTGTGTGTTGGTCTCTTCGAGGCCAAGCAGCCACATTCACATTCTGACGAGGGAAAACTGTTTGGCAACCCACCACTTGAGGAACATTGCTTCAGTTTAGAACGCATCAATGGGTCAGCCCAAACCAACATTTTCCAATTTAGCTAGTCGGATGAAGCATAGTTAGGTAGAATTTGTATTCGACTATTTAGGTAAACTTTTCCTTCCACCACTGGGAAATGAATTGTCTGGCTCTTGACAGCTTGGCTCGAGTATCGCCGCCAGGAACATCAAATGCCATGGATGGCTTTCCTAAGGGGCTTCCAACACGTTGCCTACAGTATGCTGCTAAGAATTAAAAATAGTATATAAACAGTAATTATTTTTTCTTGTAAAAAAAAGTCACACACTTAAGCAGCCCCTTATAAGCACATTATAGACTAAATAATCCTAAAAATAATAACTTTAAGGTATATATAAAATATATAGTAAAATAATACTTAAAGTAGGCTTACTACTTTATTTATTTATTATATTACTCTTTATAAAGTTTTTATAAATTATTTTTAGTTTAATCCTTTATAATAATAAGTATAATTAAGAATAAACTTTTTTATTTAATATTTCTTTAAAAAGAATATTTTTAAATAAAAGAATTATATTTTTAAACTTTTAAATTTTAAACTTTTATTTTTAAAATTTCTTAAATAATTAAAATATTTATTTTATATTTTATATAACGTTTTATTTAATTTAAAAGTTTTAATAAATAAAGTTTTATTTATTATTATTATAATTCTTTAACTTTTTAAAAATATATTAATTATTTTAAATAATAATACTCTTTTAAAAAATAAATATTTATTTTATATTATTATAAATTTATTTATTAATAATTATTTTATTTATAAATTATAAAATTATAAATTAAAATAATAAAATATAATTATTTTATTTAAAGATTATATTTTAATTTAAGAAAAGTATAATAAGTTAAATAATTACTTTTAAATAGTTTTATTTAATAAATATTTATTTAAATAAAATTAAAATTTATATATTTTCTTTAAAAAATAAAAACTTTATTTTTATTTATTTTAATTAAATTAATTTTTAAAAGATATATTATATTTTATTCTTTTAAAACTTTAACTATTTATTTTTAATTTAATAATAAAATTAAAAATATAAATAATTTATAATTTATATTTTATAATTATTATTAAAGAGTATTAAACTATAAATAATATTTAAATTAAAAAATAATTTAAAAACTCTATTAATAAACCTTATAAAGTGTATTATAGTAGGTGTTTTTATGTATTTATATTTATATATACTAGTATATGCTCTTTAATAGTACTGTCTGGAGTATGGGAACAAGTTGCTTCCACCGAAGTCTTTTCTGGAGGGAATAATGCGATAACGACAAGATTAGATGTCGAGTAGTGGCGATCGACCATTTATGGCCCGCCGCCTCCCGGTCATGTCAACTACCTAGGTATACTCTTGGGTCGGGTTAGTAGCACGACGGAAGCAGACCACGGGCAGTAATATTGCCACGATGCCCCTTGGTCGCCACCGGCCCTTCCCGGAATCCCTGTTTGCAATCGAAACTTGCAAGGACATATTTGTCGCTTGCGGTCTTTCCGAAAGTCATGGCCCAAGTAGAAGCAACTTTTCATGCCAAGCATACTCTGTTCAGTGATTCGAGGCGCGCCAGTAACCTGCTGTGCCCAGAGCCTTGCAACACGGCGAGTTTCAGACTATCAAAAACCTCAGGACCCGCCGTTGCTGTGATGTTCGACCTCGCAAAACGCTTTGAAAGTTACGAACTCCTCTCCATCACTAGTTGACTCCAGGACGACCCCGGCCGTCGAGCCCACAAAGAAGACATAGCCCGGTTTTACGTCTTCCACTGTTGGCCCGACCGAGACTTTTCCGCTGCCACCCGTGCAGATGATGATGCTGGGCCCATCGAGAGGGTCGAACGTCGCCTTGGCACCCGCGCGTCTCAGGGTGGACCGCACCACACTGAATTCCTCGATAGGGGGGTCGTAAAGCATGACCTCGCTGCTCGAGCTGTACGCTGTGCGGTTCAGGGTGGCGTATACGTACTCTTTGGGCGCCATCTTTTGCTCCTCAATCGGGGCGTAATTGTATGTCAAGATTGACACAAGCGTGTCGACGTCCTTGAACTTTGGGGTGAACCCAGCGCGGATGACATTGTCGCTGGCTGCCATGCACTCGACGATGTCGCCCGAGATGTAAGCGTGTATATCATCAGCCCGCAGGAACAAGGCCTCGCCAGGTGCCATGGTCACCAGGTTGCAGAGAAACTGTACGAACAGGCCATAGTCGGCACCGAATTGGCCGTGTAGCCGCTTGATCAGCTCGGCGAGGTCCTTGCCCGAGTTGGGTCCAGCACCGCCGCCTGCGAAATTGTCTGTCCCTGCCGTGGCCTCGTCCAAGAGAGCGGCAGTTGCTGTCTCGAGAGCAGACTCTGGCTTGGACATGAGGGCCCCGAACAGTTTCTGAAGGGCAGCCTTATTGTCTCGCTTGGCATCCTCGGACTCATCGCCCTCGTGCGACCTAATTGTAGTATTGAAAGCCTCTGCGGTCTCTGCGCCGACAAGGTCACGCAGAGACTTGACAGTGTTGAGGAAGTGCACTATCTCCGACGGCGGCCTGAAGCCGCATAGGCCCTCGAAGTCGGTGAGGGCGATGGCCATCTCGGGCTTGTGGTTGTCATCGGGATAGTTCTTGGGGTCCTTGGCATGTAGCTGCTCGGCGAGCTTCTTGTTTGGGTGGGCCTGTATCGAGAGGGCCTTTTCGATGGAGAGGATCTTGAAGAGGAAGGGCAGCTTGTTGCCATAGCGAGCGGTGATGGACTGCGAGAGCAGAGCCTGGTTGTCTTGGACCAGGTCAAGGAGAGTGCGGCCGGTGCGCAAGTCCCTGGAGGGGTTGGAAGGGTGGGTGCCCATCCAGAGCTGGTTGAGGGGGGCGACCCTCTGTCAGTCCGTGACATGCCGTCCATGCATGGTGGCAGACGTTACCTCGGCGTAAGGCTGATCATCTTTGACCGTGAAGTCGGCAGCCGGCGTGGCAGCAGCAAACCTGGCTGCGGACGAGTCGTTGCCCTTCTTGCCCCAGTCGTAGGAATTGACCCCGCACTGGAGTCTGAGTAGGGGGACCTGCATGGCGAAGTCCCGAGTCCACGAGCCCGGGAGGTCTGAAGAAGGGTGGTGAGCTGGTGCTCTTGACTCGTGGGGCGAGTGGTTTGGGTACCAGAATGTGAAGACGATATTGTGAGTTGTTGGCGATTGATTCCCCAGAGCAACCCAAGGGGGGAAGGGAGAGGAAGGGACAGCCAGTTAACTGGTCAGCCAAAACCCTGGAAATTTGGGGGAGCTGACATCACCTCAGTGCTGGGTCTGGGCCCAGGTCTGCTTCGACTCTGCAATGTGTACGAAGTACATGCCCAGGCACGGAGTACGTACCTATCACGGTACCCGGGTACCTGGGTACCTAGGTAGGTAGGTGGGTAGGCAGGTTAGGTAGGTACCTTGGGTACGGAGCGCTGGGCGCCGTTACCCCACCACGGGATGGGGCAGGCGAGGCAGGGACTCTGCTCGCAGGTTCCCCAAGAAGACAGCGGGCTGCAGAGAAGGCTGGCGCATGCATTCTCTTCCTCCCTCCCCTCTGCAAACTCGCACCGAACGGCCAGCAGCACCACCACAGTATCTACTCCGTACCAAAGCCCAGCTCACCTAACCCATCAATCATCTGCCCCAGCCCCACCCAGCCTCTCTCCCCCCCAAGAGGTTTGAAACCCAACTCAACCACCACTGCCAGCACCACCTCAGAGGACGGCCTCCGTAAGCGCCTGGGACAGCCTCCCGCCCCTTGGACCCCATCCCCCATCCCTCCTCCCTCCTCCCGAGCCGAGTTGCCAGAGCTCACGGGTACTTTGTCCCTACCACCGCATCCCAGCCAGCTCCAAGGTACCCCCAGCGCCCCCCCGTGTTCCTGTCCCGCAGCGCATCCCGTCACACCCCCTCCGTTCCGCGTACCCGTTGCCTTCCCATCGCCCAATGACGACGACGGGATCGGGCCTTGATTTGCTGCCAGGCCAGAGGTTCCAAGCATTCCCGCGATTGCTCCTTCCCAGAGAATGACATGGCAACCTTCCAGGCGCAATGACAACCAGACTAGCAAGCCTCCGCCTCCTTTTCGACACGAACGGTCCTCATCCGGCTCAAGGTTGGTTGCACACCATTCATCCTCTGGCCCACAACACAACACCCACCATCAAAAAGCATCACCCGGTGCCACAACAGCCTGGCCGCCCAGTCCTGCCTCTCTCCTCCCTGCCTGAACCTCTCTCTCAGCTCAGTCATCACCCACCGGCCTGGCCTGGCCTGACCAACTTTTCGCTACCCACACCTGTCTGCGCCCCCACCCATCTATCCCACCCAACCACCCACCCGTTCATTTATATACACCCATATACACTCGGTCGTTCATAATCACCACCATTGGACGACCAGGCTGTCACAGCCTCAGGCACACCCCGCGCATCCAGCCCGGAGGTGCAAGGCCCACCCTCGCTCGTCCGCACCACCAGCACTGACCTCTCCCCTCCCCTTGGCCTCCCCTTCCTCACTCAACCCTGGGAGTTGTGTAGGTAGGCACGACCCAGTTGGACACCAACGGACAAGCTGGAGCAGCTGGATCCCCAAACACTGAAGGTACGCTCCGTTGTTGCGCTGGACATCATGATGCCACGGGATGGAAGGGGCATTCGCCCGCTCGACCCTCATGCTACCTTGCCTTGTCTTGCTCGTCTTGCTCGTCTTTGCCTTTGTTTTTGGCCATGCTGTCGCTTGCTCGGACCTCCCGCCCCAGTTCCTGTCCTTTTGTGCCATCTTAGCCATTCCCATCTCGGAATCCTTATCGAAATATGTCTTCTGACAACGAGCACAGACTTCTACGGGAGGTTGCCAACACAGAAAGCTGGAGGGACATGTCGCAGCGGAATAGAGAGACGAGGCCAGGGGCCCGGGCTCGCAACAGTAGCGCCCAGGGCGAGGAGGTCGGGCTCTGGCAAAAGATCCAGGAGGATCTTGCCACGGTCATCGCAGAGGTGAACCAGAGCAATGACAACGTCCGTCAGATCGCCGGCCAGGAGAGCTACATAGTCAGCAACCAGGACTCCAAGGACCCCACCGATATCAAGTCCGTAGACGAGGGGCTTCAAAACCTGGACAAGCTCTATCGCGACGGCGTCAAGATCAACGATAGCACCGTGAAAAAGATCACCGATCTGCTGGGCTTCATTGAGATATTGAAAGGCATCCAAGAAGCCAAGGAGAAGGCCGCCGCACCAGCAACCGGGTCCTCGTCTCGTTCGGCCAGCCTGCTTTCCGGCACCAACCGCAGCTCCAGCCGGACCGGCAAGCCGGACAAGGCTGATCGCGAGCGCGAGAGGGAAAGAGAGCGTGAAAGAGAGCGCGAGAGAGAGCGCGAGAGAGAAAGGGACCAGCGGGAAAAAGATCGGGAGCGGGAGCGCGAACGGGAGCGCGAGAAGGAGAGGGAGCGCAACCGCGACCGCGACCGCGACCGCGACCGCGACCGTGACCGTGACCGCGACCGTGACCGCGACAGCGAGAGAGATGCCGAAAGGGACAGGGACAGGGACAGGGACAGGGACAAGGACAAGGCCGATCTCTACGACTTTGACGGGTCTGCTGACAGCCCGCATCCCAGCCCCATCGGCGGCCACGCGCGGAAGCTCGGCGGGCGCAGCGGAGGAGCGTCGAGCGACCGGTCGGGGAACCGTGACAGCGTCCCGCCACGACCAGGCGACCGCGATACCCCCAAGGCCGAAAGTGCGGAGCCGCAGTCCGGCAGCTTCTCGTCGGGGGCGCCCACGGTGGGAAGCTCGATCCGGGCCAAGGTCATGTTCTCGCGGGATCAGGACGTGGCCTTCAAACCCAAGCCGCCGACACCCAACGACACCACAGAGTGGTACCTAGGCAAGGTGAAGCAGGTGACGGGCGAGGGTAAGGGCCGGCGTTACATTGTCAAGGACGAGGACCCGGATGTGCCCTCGCCTGCTAGGAAGGAATATAAAATGTCCGCGTCGGCGATGATACCGATCCCGCCGCCCAGCACAGAGCTGCCGAAGCTCGAAAAGGGCAAGACGGTCCTAGCGCTGTACCCCGACAGTACGACTTTCTACAAGGCCGAGGTGACGGGGATGGACGCCAGCACGGGAAACGTCAACTTGCGGTTCGAAGGGGAGGAGCAGTCAGGGACTCAGCAGGTTGTGGAGCGCCGGTTTGTGGTGGACTATCGGGACTAGGCAAGGGGTAGACTTGGAGCGTGCACGAGGGTAGAAGCATAGTCCAGGCACATTTGGTTCACGTTCAGAGGCTTAGTTGTGCTCGTATTCACGGTGACGTCTACTGAGTGCACGAGTGCTCTCCTCCCGAGGCTGGAGGCGGTGGATCATGTGACGGAGTCGACACGCAAAAACGTGGTAGTGTGTGTTTGAACAAAGATATTGTGGCATTGTCTATGCGAGAGGCAGCTACCTAGGTACGATTGACGGGGCTGGGGCTGGGGCTGGCTGGGTGGACCGAGACCGGGCCACCGAGACCGGGCCACCGTACAATCACCACAGGACTCGGTACAGGCCGAGGCCAACACGAGAGTAGGAGGTTCAGCACGGGGCATGACTAAATATATGCCCAATGCTGGTCCCGTCCGTCTCGTCAGGCTCGTTGCAGCAGTGCAAATGTCGGATCGGTACTGGCAGCCGGGCGGGATTTTTATTAATCTCTGCAGGCAGTAATAGTAATGTCCGGGCCAGGTTATAGTTTGGGTGCAGATTAATATTGATGGTCGGTCGAGCGGTCGGGTGGACCCCTGGGAGATGGTGTATGCACGGCGACATTGAAGCGGGTGCGAGAGGAGGGGCAGGAAATGGCAAGGCGCGGGCAGGTTGGCAGGGAGGGCACCCGGGAAGCCGGGTACCTATGCGGCGGGCCCAACACAGTCAGGGGCAAGCCAAAATGAATTGAAACGCCTTGATGCTCCTGTCCCTGTTCCTGTTCCAGCTTCCCGCCCGCCGCTCGCCATCAGAAACGAAAGTGCAACTCGAGCCGGCACCGCCTGTTCATTTCATCAGGGTCTGTCTATCTCAGCTCAGCTCAGCTCAGCCCAGCACGAGCAATAGGAAGGGCAAGCAAGTACTCAAGTACTTTGGTAATAAGCCAGCAGCATTTCGGGGCCCATCACAACATCGCCTCAAACCCGCCCAGCAACCTGCCTGTATTGCATTGTGCAGCGTGTCGCATTGTGTCGCAGTTTCTCTCCCGCCAGTCTCGGTCTCGGGGTCTCTTTTTTCTTTCTTGTTCTTTCTTGTTCTTCACCTTGACGATAGACACTTGAGTAGATATACTCTGGGTGGTGCCCATCAAGAAGTACCCGCCTTGCCCTTTCCTGCCGGCTCTGCTCTATCAATTTCCCCCCCATCTCGCCTCACAACCCATACTTGACAGCCCTCGAAGAATCTCCCTCCTTTCCCTCGCCCTCCAGAAGTACTCCCTCCGTACCCACAACATCCAGACGCTTGCGTTGCGCCAAGTGCAGGTGCAGTCTGCTGCTCACGTGTGGCTGCACAATCCCGGGGCTTGATACCACATTCGAAGTCGGACTGGACTGGACTGGACTGGATTGGACTGGATTGGACTGGATTGGACTGCAATCTGGATTGGACCTCACATACGGAGTACATCTCGGCACATCCCTACCCAGATCCGCCCTGCAGCAACCCCCCACCCGGTTTTCCTTTCAAGGTCCGCCGCCTGTGACCCTACGCGCAATTGGCACCTGCTCATGCTAATTTCCATCCGCCCTCCTCTCCAGGCCTCTTCTGCCATTGTGCCCTCTGCTGCTCCGTCGCCAAGCAGGAATCCCCCCCATCCAGCTAGCCTCCCCCGAGCCCAACTCTCATCCGACGACATTCCTTTGCACCACCATCGCCGCCGCCAGCTCTGCCTCACTGGTCTACATCACTGGCCTGCACCCACGCCACGCACTCCCTTCGCCTGTTCCTTCAGAGCCGCGTCGTCCCTGCCGCCCATCTCGACCCGCGCGCAACATCCTGACTCGCTGCCCTCGTCTCGCAAACCGCACCGCCCGTTCGCGCACAACAAGACATACAACCTCGCTCCTGATCTAGCACTCGCACCTTCTTCTCTTGAACTTGGCCGGCTGATTACCTGCGCTCCACGTGCTCGAGTCGGCTAGAAGCGCAACCTGATCCCTCGAGGTCGCCGTCGCCCAACAAGGTCTGACCTGGTCTGTACACTTGCGACCCCATTTGTCCGCCACAAACAACGCCACAATGGGCGGCCAACTAAGCAAGATGATGGGCAAGATCTTCGGATCAAAGGAGATGCGCCTGTTGATGCTGGGTCTCGATGCGGCTGGAAAGACAACCATCCTCTACAAGCTGAAGCTCGGCCAGGACGTCACCACCATACCAACAGTCGGCTTCAACGTCGAAACCGTCACATACAAGAACGTCAAGTTCAATGTGTGGGACGTCGGTGGTCAGGACAAGATCCGGCCCCTTTGGAGGCATTACTTTAGCGGTGCGTGTTTCTGACCGCCAGCAGTCTCAACGCTTCGAGGCTGCGTATGTTGAGGCAGCCGAGGGAGACTGACGATCCATCACATTCACAGGGACCCAAGGCTTGATTTTCGTGATTGACTCGTCCGACCGAGCACGAATGGAGGAGGCAAGGCAGGAACTGCACCGAATCATCAACGACAGGGAAATGAAGGACAGCCTGCTGCTCGTCTTCGCCAATAAGCAGGATTTGGACAATGGTAAGCCACCACCGCGGCCGCCCTTCCCCCGAACGCCAGACGGTTGATGCACATATGCTGATCATAACCTTCCCCGCGCAGCCATGAAGCCACAGGAAGTAACCGAGGCCCTCGAACTCAACAAGCTCAAGGACAAGATATGGTTCGTCGTCCCTAGCTGCGCGACCACTGGCGAAGGCCTTCTCGAGGGCCTGGCCTGGCTGTCCAACAACGTCAAGGCCCCAGCCGCGCCGGCAAAGAAGTAAAGGGCCTGAAAATAGCGCGCATAGTCTATGCGCAGCAGAAACGTCCACGAGCGTGCGTACACGCTCTTGTTTAATGCATTTGGCAGATCGAAGGCCACGGCGGTGGCTGGCAGGCGCGGTAATTATAGGGTTGCACACTCCAACAAAGACAGGGGGAAAAGGAAAATACAGCACGTGTTGACCGACGTCGCTGGGGGGGTTAAGCCGGGCTCGGGATGCCGGGGAAAGGGTGGGATATTCGTAATGCACTCGGTTGGCCCGGTCCTAGACTTTTTCTTTCTCCCCACCCCCCCCCTCCGGGCCCCGGGCGACCCTCTTCTTCTCTTCCTGTATCACGCTACTACGTTTGACGACTTCCTCTCCGTATTTCCTCCTTTTGTACAGTCATGTAATCCTCCGTTTTCTTTTTTCCTTTTTTTTTTCGTTTTTCTCCGGCGCGTTTTCTTCATACAATTTTCCCGGCCCGGGATTTCGGCAACATACTCAAAATACCAAGAGAGAAGGGAAGGGGTTTGAAGGGAAAGAACCATCCCCTTAAGCCCGCCCCTACACCACCATATCAGGAATCCTGAGGAACACCCACACTGCCCCGGGCCCGTGAGCTGCGAGGCACGATGGCCTTCCGGCCAGATCAGGAGGAAGGGGAGGAAATCATCCGGGTGGGGGGGGGGGCGTCCAACATCATACCCTGGAGAACGACCTACACCAACCATATTAGAACAAAAGTTTTGGGACCGAGAAGTTGCCATGGAATAGTACCAAAATAGTCCATTTGTGTAAAGCGAAAAAAGCTGGGCTGGCCCCCGTCCCATGATTCACGGACTGGATGCATTTGACCAGTCGATGCCACTGCACTGGACTGTAGTGGAGTATACCTGTTGTTGTAGCCTTAATCCACCCTTCCTTTCCCTTGCTGACCCGTTGGCCCCCTCTTTTGACATCTATAGATGCGAATGCTCCCTCTCTTGATACTACTCAACCAGAAGAACTCCGTCCCATGATGGTCTGTCTCTTCAGACCGTGCCTTTTCTCGTCTCGTCTCGCATGTTGCTGCCCAAACGCCATGCTCCATAATGCCGAATCCCAAAACAAAGCGAATACGAAATTTGCCGGCGAAGAGAGAGTCGGACACGGACGCAAGCCCGATGCAAAGGGCACGTTCCTGATGTGCTCGACCAAAAAAAAGAAAGAAAAAAACATGCACCTGTGAGCCATGCCGCGGTCCAGGGACAGGCCCGGACGGGAAGGGGTCGAGCCCTCCGAAGCCAGCCACTCCTGCCCATGCACGGCAGCACAAGCTCGGCGTGCCGTGTTGTTGTGGCTGGGGGCCTTCTCGATGCGGAGCCCGTCCTCAGCCGTCCTGCTTGACCCTCTTGCCGGGGCGGACGAGGGAGTCATCGGGCAGGCCGCTGCGCTTCGTGCCGGGCAGGCTGGAGGTGCGGATGTCGTTGTCGTCCTGGCTGACTCGGCGGTGGGGGTACTCGACCTTGAGGCCCTCGAAGCAGTTGGCGCTGACCTTGTCGGGCCCCGTGGCGAAGAAGGGGTGCTGGAGAGCCTGGGCGGCCGTCAGCCTGCGCTCCGGGTCGTACTCGAGCAGCCCGGCCAGGAGCTTGTAGCCCTCCTGGCCCAGCGAGGCCAGCGAGCTGGGCCCGCCGTTGGGCGCCGAGGTCCCCGTGCTGGTGGTGATGGTGCTGTTGTACCACTTGTCCAGCTGGCTGCCCGCCGGCTGCTGCTGTGAGTGGTGGTGGTGGTGACCCCCATGATGGCCCCTGCCGCCGCCGCCGTGATGGTGGGTCATGGGCGGCTGCAGCTGCGACAGCGAGCCGTACTCGGGCATGTGCACCAGCAGGGGCCAGCGCTCCTTGGTCGGGAGGCCCATGATGTCGACGATCTTCTGCATCTGGTTGCGCTGAAAGGGCACCGTCTTCTTAGAATCCATCTTGGCCTCCTCGCCCTTGAAGATGGGCCGCAGGCTCAACAGCTCGGCAAAGATGCAGCCGAGGGCCCACATGTCGATGGCGGGGGTGTAGTGCCTGCTGCCGAGGAGCAGCTCCGGGGCGCGGTACCAGATGGTCACGACAACCTTATCGCCGCTGTAGAGGCTGTGGAGGGGCTTCTGGAACATGCGGGCCAGGCCGAGATCGCCGATCTTGACCTCGCCGGCGGAGGTGACCATGATGTTGGCGGGCTTGAGGTCGCGGTGCAGGACCCAGTTGGCGTGCAGGTACTGGCAGCCGTTGAGCAGCTGGAACATGATGGACTTGATGGTGGCCGGCGGGATGGGGTGCCTGGGCTGCTGGGTGTGGTGGTGGATGATCTGGAGGAGGTCGTGCTCGGCGTACTCAAACACCATGAAGATGCACTTGTCCTCGAGGATGATCTCGTGCAGCTTGATGACGTTTGGGTGGGACAGCTCGGAGCACAGGGCCATCTCGCGGACCGCGGACTGGGAGATGCCGGTGTAGGTCACCACCTCGCCCTCCTTGTCCGGCTTGAACTTCTTGATGGCGAACTCGCCCGGCTGGCCCTGCCGGCCGACGGCCTTGTAGACACGGCCATAGGTGCCACTGCTGATGAAGCCGATGACCTTGTACCGGTCAATGACCCGGACCTTTGACTGATAGCCAACAGGACCGAAGCCACGGTCAGATGGGTCTACGAGATGGGGGGGTCAGCCTTGGTGTCCTGGAGTGATGGTTGCTTTCTCGACGGCGAAGACAAGGGGCCCAGCGGGAGTCAGGTGACATGGCATGGAGCTGGATGGGGATGGGCCAGTGAGACAAAAGGAGTTGAGGTGGGTTAGGGCGGCCGTTCCGTACATGAGGATGAACCCTGCCTCGACAGGCCTGGTCTCCCTTGAAGACCTGACGACTGCCGGGCCAGGCCATACTGCCTTGCCGAGGCCGACGAGTTCATCATGCTGATGATGAAGATGGGGCCGAGCAGGTCGAGAAGGGAGGGCAGGAAGAGAGGCGGGGGCGAGGAGATGGAGGAGGAGGAGGAGGAGGAGATGGGGGAAACGACGGGCCCTGAGCAGCACCAGCACTGGCAGCATCATTTGCTCCAGGGGGGTGTGGCGCAAAAGGATTTGAGCGGCAGGCCTGACTAGACATGCAAGTTGGCCCCAGCTGACATGCGACGGGGCCGGGGCCCTCCGCAACCAAGAACTGTCGGCCGAACGAGATCGGTCCCCGTTTCCGGGCTCCCCGAGGGCGTAGATGGGGCCGAGATGAGAAGTGGGGCCCGGGGTAATTGCTCGAGCATATGTCAAGTGCAGGTGGTGCTTTGGGTTAGGGTAGATGGGTGGTGGATTGGGTTGGGTGTCGAGGTGTCTCTGTATATGTGTGTGTGTGTGTCTCTGTGTATGTGTCTGTGTGCATCTTACCTTCAAAGGCAGCCTGGACACTCTTCTTGAGGATGCTCTTCGGATATGTCTGCGTCCCCCCCGAGCCGCCCTGAGAGGCCACCGACGGCGGGTTGGTCATGGTCGTCGGCCTGTCGTGCGCTCCCTTCTCCTCTTGCTCTTGTTCCTCCCCTGGGGTTTCCCTAGACTAACTACTCGTCGCTTGTGATTATGCTTCTCATGCACGGGCTGATGCTTTGGGGGCGGAGAGCAAGAGGGCACTGACTCCCTGCCGTGCTACTCTTGGCTGGGGTGGACCGATACCGAGCATGCGACAGAGAGCGAGCAACCGACGTCTCGCTGCTGTCCTGCTGTCCTGCCGTCCTGCCGTCCTGCCGTCCTGCCAGCCTGACTGACTCTCGCTGACAGGGGCTCGGCTAGGACTGGCGCGCTTGTCTGGCGTTTCGGCCCGCGGGAGCAAAAGGTGGGCGCTATGTGCTGCTTGTGTCTGGACTCCAGGCCCGTCTGTCGGTGTCTCGACCAGGTGCAGCAGAAAGATGGAGACAAATTGATCGGTGGGGGGGGGGCACATGTACATACATGCTGATGAATGGAGCGCGCCCTGATTTCCAGCTCCGTCGTCGCCTGCGCGTGTTCCTGAGGCGCACGAGCGTGGCGATGAAACCCAGCTTACCCAAATGGGGCTGCCAGAGTTGGTACTCGAGTACGGGGTAGCTGGGCACCTGGGCACCTGGGCACCTGGGCACCTGAGTAGGTACGGAGTACTTATTAAGTGGCCATGCGACGGGGCGGAGAGCTCCTGATGTGACCCCCCCGGGCACCTTCGTTCGTCCGAGCCTAGGCATTCCCGACTGCTGCTTATTGTTAGGCAGTCGACATCTTGGATTGGCCTCATGTCGTGGGCATATTACCGGTTACAAGTCCGTGTCCCTGACACGAGCTGGTCCAGTTGGTTTACCTGGGGGATACATAGACTGTGGCCCAATCGGGAAAAGGGGGGAGGCTACTAACGGTTGACCACGAGACTTCTGCTGTCTTTTGGTAGTGGCCTCGGACGCTCGTCTCTGGCGAAAACGTCACGCCTGCCCAGCTTCTCCACACCGTTGTACTTCAGCCCCAACCAACCTTGCAACCTTGGGAACTATTGTATGTCACAATGGGCGGCCAGGCAAAGTACCTAGGTACGCATAGTCGACTTCCAATAGACGATGTAATCTTCAGTGCTCTTCTCTTTTCAGGCCCAATTGAATCAACACATGTCCCCTCGGCACCAATGACGGATGCCACGACCCGGCTCACGCTCACTTGTGGGCTGTCTGTTACCTGGGGCCCAGCTTCTCCAGCACCCTGGTGCCCTGCTCCTCCCACTCCTGCTTGGTGATCCACATGTTCTCCTTGTCGGCCATGATGTTGGCCAGCACCGCTCCTCCCAGGAACACCATGTGTCGCCTTCTTGGCGGGTCCTCTATCCGGACCTTGAACTTGCTCAGCCGCTCGGGGTTGTTGCCCAGCACCCGCGTCAACCACAGCTGCTTGATCTCCTTCTCCAGCCGCGACGGCAGGCCCGGGTACATGCTGCTTCCTCCCGACAGGACGATGGCCTTGAACAGACTCGAGCGCACGTCCACGTCCGCCGCCTGGATCGTGTTGAACAGGAACTCGGCCATGCCTGGCTGCTCGCAGTCGACCAGGTGCGGCTGGAACAGGCACTCGGGCGCCTCGAACCGCTCGCTGCCGACACGGATGACACGCCCGTCGGGCAGGGTGTAGCTCTCTACCAGCACCGTCGTGTCCTCGCTCAGGCGCTTGTCCAGCTCCAGGTCGTAGCTCACATAGCACAGCTTCTCCTTGATCTGCCGGACGGTCTCGAAGTCGGCCGTCCGGTTGAGCGCGTAGCCCCTGCGCAGGAGCAGGGCGATGAGGTTGCGCGTGACGTCTCGGCCGGCGACGTCGAGCCGGCGCGTCAGGTGGTTGAGGACAACGGATTCGTAGACGGGGACGATGTGGGTGACACCATCGCCTGAGTCGACCACGACGCCAGAACTGAGACCTGTTCAAACGATGCACCCCATCAGAACACTTGCCACCCTGCTTGGTTTGGCCCCTGGCTGCTCGTATTGGACGACATACCTTGTGCGTACAAGGCCAGCACGGCCTGGATGGCGACGTAGACACCGCCAAAGCCGTAGCGGTCAAACATGACCTCGCACATCTGCTCCCGGTTCTTGAGGGGGTTCATGGGCGGCTCAGTGAGCAGGATCTTGCGGCCGGTGGTGTCGACCTTCATCTTCTCGTTGAAGGTGTAGTCCCACAGGTGCTGCATGTCGTCCCACTTCTTGACGATGCCGTTCTCCATGGGGTAGGATATCTGCAGCATGGTACGGGCAGCGGCTGCCTCGTCACCGCACATGATGTCCTTGATGACCATATCGCTCTCGCCGGCGCCCTTCTCCTCAGTGCGCAGGATCGGCCGGCCTACGATGGAGGGGTATTGGAACTCGGGGAAGTTTTGGGCGGCATAGCCGACCTTGAGGAACCCGGTACCGCCATCGAGGACTAGACCAAGGGAGGACACCATTAGCGATGCGCGGCGAGAGTCGGCGGTTGGTGCACGACATGCTGGTGCCGGGACCTGCAGCCTGGATTTCGGTCTTCATGGCAGCCAAGGCATGGAGCAGATTGGGGGGGGGTAGGCATACCGATGGGAGGAGGATTGGCCATCTCGACGGTGACGGTGAGGCTCGAGGCCGGGTGATATCAAGCCTACTCGACAACCTTGGTCGTTTCAAATGGAGCGGCCTGGCGATGCAGCAGGAACCGACAAGGCGTGTGTGTGATCGTGGCTGTCGGATTCGGAGTGGTTGTGGGCGGTGGGTGATGTCGGGAGCTCACAATGGCTGGTGTAGCTGGCAATGACGGTCGGCGGTCGCAGAAGTGGGGTGCCTTCAGGGGGGAGTGGTCTATTCCATGCAATGCCCATGCCATGGCACTAGCTCGCTTGTTGTTCGGCGGGCTTTCGTCAGCGAGCGACGCGGCAACAATACCTACCTACCCACGGCGTACCTATGTACCTAGGTAGGTACCTCAGCTGGCAGCTGGCAGCACTCAGCTTGGGCCAGGAAGGGCGGGTTCAGGGGACCAGGGGCTCTGGTGGCTGCAGCCCATCTCCAGTGGCGCAGGGCCAGCTTGGGCCGGGACCGGGGTAATTGGGGCAAGCAGCTGACCCCACCTTCCTCATCAAGCACCCGCTGAGCTTTGGTCTGCAATTTGTTGTCGGTTGAGCTTCTTGACGCCTTTACTTTCTCAGTGCCATGACCACTTTGACTTCTGGTTGATTTCTTTTCGCAATATTGTACATAACCGCATCTTGTATAAGTCAACTATAGTGCATCCACCATGACGACCCGACTTGTGAGGAGGAATATTCGCCTGCTGGTCATCAACCCAAACTCGTCTCATGACATGACCCACGGAATGGAGACAGCAATTAGGTCTATGGATTTGCCAGATGTATGAAGAATATTTCCTTAGATGTAAGATGATCGGGCGCGTCATTTTTTTTCCGGGCTCAAGATGGCACGAACCAAGATGGTCCAGAATGGTGAGGTAATCTATAACTCTGGATATGCTTTGCTGGCAGTGTGGTGTGATGCCCAAAACTGGTCTCGCGTCTGGACTTGGCTGTCCCGTTTTCTGCTACCCCAGACATACGAGAAATTTAGGACTGTCTCGAACCTACGTCTCAAAGCTACAGGGCCACTCAAACTAATCAACTTGCAGGCATTGGAAATTACAATGTACACGGCGCCTGAGGAGAGCCCGGCCAGCATCAACAACGGCGATGACATCAAAGCCAGCACCGAGGTCGTGTGGGCCAATCTGGAGGCGACGCGGCTACTCAGAGACTACGACGGGGTGCTCATCGCGTGCTACAGCAAACACGGTCTGGTTGAGAAAATCCAGACCCGTCACCCAGGCCTCCCGGTAACAGGCATCTTCGAGGCCAGTGTGCTCGCATCGCTGCCTCTCGTCAAGCATGGCCGCGGCTGGGGAATCGTCACGACGGGAAAGTTCTGGGAGGCCCACCTGGAAGACGCCATCAGATCAATGTTGGGCGGCGCCGGCAGCTTCCTCGGCGTCCAGTCCACGGGTTTGACCGCCGGCGACTTCCACGGTGACGTGCCCCCCGAGGTGATACGGGACAAGCTCAAGGCGGCCACCAAGCGCCTTCTGGCTGAGGGACTGCCGGACTGCATCCTCATGGGGTGCGGTGGCATGGCTGGCTTAGAGGAGGTGATTCGCGCGGCTGTACGGGAAGACCTGGGCGAGGAGGCGGCCAAGGCTGTCTATGTGGTTGATGGGGTGAGGGCCGGCGTGGGCGTGGTCGAGCAGATGGTCCGGAGCAAGAGGATGTTCCAATTATCTTAGAAAGCTTCGTAGCCCTGCTCTCCGGATACATATTGCATCCTAGCAGTTGGGGAACGCGGGCAATAGGCAACTCTTAGGTCGCGATGGAAGACTCGTGTGTTGTTCCATTAATACATAATCATTGCGATGTGGTTAGTTTCCAAGGGGTGCTAGTTCCGTAGGTCAATATCACGTACACCCTCCGGCCACCTCCCTAGTCCAGTCGCCTGGTCCTCCCCCACACCTCATCGGCATCTTTCTTGCCCTTTGTCTCGGGCACGCCCGTTGAGATAAATACGGCAAAGAGCGCGGCGAAGCCCGCAAAGATGAAGTAGACCCAGCCACCGCGGCCACCCAGCCAGTTGTTCAGCGCCGTGTTGATGATGGGGAAGAACTGCGCCACAAGGAAGGTAGCCGTGTAGTTAGTAGCCAGACACCAGCTCTGCGTCGCGCCGACAGCCTCCTGGCCCACCAGCTCCGACGCAAGGATGAACGGCACGGGGCCCAAGCCGACGGCGAAGAAGGCCACGAAGAAGGCGACCGCGAGGGCGGACACGATCTTGAAGCCCGTGAGAATCGAGATGGCCAATACCAGGGACGACGCGCCCTGGCCGACGATGGACACGAGCAGGCATGTCTTGCGGCCCCACTTGTCCGGAAGCGGCGAGCACGCTGCGGTCATGACCAGGTTCACGGCCGAGACAAGGATTGTGAGCACGATCGAGCTCAGGGGCAGCAGCCCGTTGAGGAGCGCCACCGAGTACATCACTATCGAGTTGATGCCGCACAGCTGTTGGGCAAACATGACCCCCATGACCACGATCATAGCAGGCCGGTACAGAGGGTCCTTGAGCGCCTGCATGACCCCGATGTGCTGGACCTCGTCCTTGTTGTCCGGGACAAGCGACGCACCTCCCTCTGGTGGCTGGAGCAGGCCCGTCTCCTCACCGGTCACGTCCTTGCCGGACCCAGCGCCCCAGAGGGCAACCTCGCCGTCGATGTCTGCATCCCGTCCACGGATGCGCTGCAGGATCTTCCTGCCGGCCGCCACGTCGCCCTTTACTGTTGCCGTCCAGGCGGGGCTTTCGGGGACAAGGAAAGTAAGCAAGATCTGCGCAGCAGCGATGATCCCACTGATCCCCAAGATCCACCGCCAGGCGGCGCCATGGCTCAGGAAGTAGCCCAGCACCTGTGCGGTCAGAATTCCCGTATTGCAACTGATCTGGGTGAAGGCGCCGAAGAAACCCCTCTCGGCCGGCGGGGCGACCTCGGAGATGTATAGGGGCACGATGACGGTGCTGGCACCGGAGCCGAGCCCCGACACAAAGCGCCCGAGTGCGATGACCCAGGCTGCGGCGGCGAGTGCCTCGATGCTGGCGCCGATGACAAATGTGATGGCTGTGATCTGAATGGACAGCCATCGGCCCTTCTTGGAGGTTATGGGACCGGATGCCAGGGCACCGATCAGGCCGCCGATGGTGAAGATGGATGACACTATGGCAAAGGTAGGTTCGCTCATGGGAATGCCCTGACACGCGTGATTGGGTTTCTTAGAGGTGTAGCTCGATATGCCGGCCACGACGCGGGAGAGGGCCCCGGAGGGAACAGCTTGATCGTCCTCGCAAGTGATGACATGCTGAGGCGCATTCAACTCGGACTGGTGGATGAAGAGGGGAAATCAGCTGGAGGGCAAGGCACCGGAGGGGGGAGAGCTCCTGCGCGAGGGAGGTTATCGTACCAAGTGGTAGCCAAATTGGAACGGACCGAATGTCGCGATGAAGATCAGCAGAATGAGATACGGCGATACACCGCGGGCAATTTGTCCCAGACCTCCGGAGCTCGGCATGGTCGCTGTCGAGGGTGATATCGATGTTGCACGGTGTCGCAGGATACTGCTGTGGGATACCAACACCGGTGACAGAACAAGGTGATCTCCAAGGGGAAAAGGCCTCGAAACTCAAACTACATGGTGGGGGCAGGCGTGGCTGAGGATTGCTTGTTCCAGAGGGTTGCTGCTGTTGTTCCGGTGTCCCGCTGGAGAACTGACGCGTGGTTGACGTCCTGACAGCCAACAGCGTCGCTTCCGCGGACGGTTAGCTCCGGCTTGGCAGATCTCGGCCCTCTCTGCTCCACCATACATTAAAGTGACTGCCACTCCGCTACCTATCACCTGTAGCACCCTATATACCTATATACTATAGTCTAGCAGTTACATAGAATAAGATATAGACTATTTATATTTTTTAAGTTCTACTACTAAAGCAGTCGCGCGTCCCTTGGAAGGACCAAAGCGTCCAGATTGAGCTTACTGCCCCCCAAGGACCCTCTTCAGGATAGCCTCCAAAGACTCCGTGTCCCCAGGCTTCACCCCGATGGCCTCGTTGTCGGTCTTGTCGTAGAGGGTTCCTCCTTCTGCCCAGATTCGCCTCAGGGTGAGGACGGTGGCCTTTGCATGACCCTCCTCCCAGCGCTTTTTCTCCTCCTGCCTGAACTGGTCGAGGCTGATGTGGTTGACCTTCCACTTGGCCCCCGTCTGCTTCTCGTACTCTGCAAGCACCTGGTTTGGTGTCACCTCGAACGAGTTCACCTTGAGCGCCTTGCCAGCTGCGGCGTCGGGGTGCTGCAGGGCTGCGACCACCAGTTTGCCAACGCTACATCATCGCGTGCCAGTCAGTCAGTCATCGTGTGAAATAAACCAGGAAGCCCGTCGTGGGCAGAGGACACTCACTCGGGCATTGTCGTGAACCCAATCCTGCCGTCCGCCTCGACCAGCCACGCCTCCTTCCTTGGCACGTCGAACCCAGTCCCGAGGTCGATGCCCTCAGGGCGCCCGACCCACGACTCAAAGTAAGGGCCCGTCACGACATAGGTAACCTGCACGTTCCTGACCTCCTCCCTGATGAACTTGCGCACCTTGAGCTTCTGCTGGTGCGGCTTCTCGTCCTTGCTCTGCGGGCCGTGCTCGATGTCGGTGCCGTACTCGGACGGGAAGAACCACTTGACCGTCCCCAGCTTGTCGGCCCACCTGAGCAGCTCGACCTGCTTGGCGATGGCGCCGCGCCCGAAGGCGCTGATGACCGTGTCGATCTTGTGGTCCCTGTACGCCGCGCTCACATCGGCCTCGGAGTCGACGTCGCCGGTGATGACGGTCACGTTGCCGGCCTCCTTCCACTTGTCCAGGAGCTCGCCCTTGGTGTTGACCGTGTTGGTTGACGTGAAGATGGTGATGTGGTTGAAGGCGGGCTGTGCCGCGATGACCTTCTCGGTGATGAAAGTGCCGATGAAGCCAGTGGCTCCAAAGATCAGGATGTTGGATGCCTTGAGTGAACCCATTGCAGTTGTTTCGAGGCGATCAAGGTAATGTGGCTCTCACAAAGTTTCGAATATGCCAATTGTTTGGTCAATAATCAGGAACCCCTTCAAGGAGGCTGGGGGTGTTTGGATGGGAGGTGAGCAAGTTGCTTGTGTTGTAATGCGAAGCCGGGATGATGCAAGCATCGGACGAGCACGACCTAGGCGGGGAGGGATCAATCGGACTGTCGGACTAGCTGCTCCAGGTTTTACGTCTTCTACTCTACCAATTCGTCGCCAGTTTAGAACCATTGACCGCCCCTAGGACACTTTCGGCCTCTTCCCTTCCGCTATCCAGTCCCGACCCTCGCAATTGAGTGCAATCACTCACGTAATCGGGAGGCTCCGGACACTTGCGGCACTTCGGAACTCGAGTGGAGCACTTCGGCCCCCCGAGCCCGCCCGATTTTTCACTACTTCCGTCTTCCGATCTGCCGGGACCAGGGAATCAATCGTAACCGTGACCTACCTGGGTACCAAGAACCTCTTCACCCTTCCAGCAGCGAAAGCCAGTATGCATCCGGTGGTCTTCAATCCCAACCCTCGACGATCGAAGATACTGTTTGGTATCATCGAGGTAGTAATGCATACCCAGCCGAACAGCACTGAGGAGATGTTGTTTTGTGCGGGCCTCCCCTCCCCACAAACGGCCCCAACACCGATCGCATCGAAATAAGGAGTCTATTGTTCTAATTACAAGGCCAAAGGGTCATCCCTTCCTAGTTTAATGTAGCAACGGAAAAAGTCAAGATGTTGCATGTGTTGATCTCAATGGACCACCAGGCGAGCCAGCCTCGCCCTCTTTGCCCCTCTCCATATCTACGGGTGAGGAGGCCCTTGACCTCCTCAGGGTCTGCGTGTCGCTCGAGTCCAGGTCGACCTTTGCCTTCCAGCCCATCCACCAGTGGCCGGCGAACAGCTCTTCCATCCTCTCCAGGGGCACGGCCTTGGTCTCGGGGGCCCACAGCCCCAGCAAGACCAGGCCTACGGCGCAGACGCAAGCCCAGAAGACATAGGCGCCCCAGATGTGCAGGCTGACAAACAGGTTAGGGGTGACCCTGACGACGGCGAACTGGAACAGCCAGTGCACGGCCATGTTGAAGGCGTAGCAGACGCTGCGGATGCGCGTGGGGAAGATCTCGGTGCCGTACAGATACTGCACGGTGCAGAGGCCAATGGACCAGCCCACGGCATAGACGAAGACGCTCGCGATGGCGGCGTCGGAGGCGGTCTTGTTGATCTCCCCATCGACGACCCAGATGGCGGTGTAGACGGCCATGTAGGTGTGGGTGGCAAGCTGCATGGCCAGGCCGGTGATGAAGCAGCGGCGGCGGCCGATGACGTCGACCAGGCCCCAGGTGAAGATCATGGTGAAGACCAGCTTTACGATGCCGTAGGCCCCAGAGGTGATGAGGGACCTGCTGTCGCCCGTGACGCCGGCGTACTCGAAGACCTGCGGGATGTAGTAGGTGATGCCGTTGCCGCCGGACCACTGGGCCACGGTCTGCATGGCGATGGCCAGCCAGAAGCGCTTGCGGTAGGAGGGCGTCCTAGCAATCTCCTTGACTATGTCCCAGGTCGCAACCCCGTTCAGCTTTTCCGTAGACTCTATCTGATGCTGCAGCTCGGCGAACTCGGCCTGGAGCTCATAGTCATCACTGCTCTTGTGCCTGAGCCTGGCCAGGGTGGCGAGGGCCTCATCGCCACGGCCCTTGGAGGCGAGCCACCTGGGCGTGTCGGAGATGAAGAGGGAGGTGATGAGGGCCAGCCCGACGGGGATGAGGGGGATGGCAATGACCAGGCGGTACTGAGGACGGTAGTCCTCCATGGTAATACTGGCGGCATAGTTGATGAAGAAGCCTGGGGGGCGAGCAGGGTCAGTGGCGGCAGCAAGACAGGGCCAGGGCCAGGGCCAGGGCCAGGCGGGGTGGGAGGCCACGAACCGAGGGACAGGAAGGTCAACAAGAACACCATGGAGACGCTGACGATCATGCCACGGCTCTTGGCAGGGGCTATCTCGGACAGGTACAGCGGGCCGACGACGGTCAGGCCGCCGGCACCCAGGCCGCCCCAGATGCGGGCGAACAGCAGGAAGCCGTAGATGCCGGTCGAGAAGATCTGCATCACGTAGCCGCTCATGTACAAGAGGCAGAGCATCTGCCAGCACCTCAGGCGGCCCAGGCGGTCGGTGAGGGCCGAGGCGATCAGGGCGCCGATGGCGGCGCCCAGGACGCCGAAGGAGGTGATGTTGGCCTTCCTGCTGGCGAGGCCGGAGGGGTCGTCCACCCACTTGCCAGCACTGAGGTAGAAGTCATCCTTGAAGGAGCGCAGGCCGACGGCAGCACTGAAGCCACCCTCGTCGTAGCCCTTGGGGATGGAGCCGCAGCCTATGACGACGATGGTGAGGATGTAGTACCAGTTGTAGGGCCCCCTGAAGGCGTCGGGCGCGCAGCTAGCCGATGACGACGGCATGGTGGGCGTGGGCGTGGGCGTGGGCGTGGGCGTGGGCGTGGGCGTGGGCGGCTGGAGGCGAGCAACGGCAGGCGGCGCCCCTGGGACGGAGTGGACCGGCGCTGGCGTGTGTGCCTTTCGACTCCAGCTGGATGGCCTTGTCCAGACCGCAGGAATCCCGAGTACTCGGGCGACCTCCGCCGAGCTGAGCCCTCTTCTGGGAGGGGGTGGATGGACTGTTCTGGCTCGCCCCAGAGCAGGCAAGCGCCCACGAGGCCACGGAGGCAGGCCGGGGGGGGTGGGTGGGTGTGTGTGCGTGTGTGTGTATGGGCGTGTGAGAGGGAAAGAAGGGCAGAGGACAGGCCAATAAAAAAACAATACAAAACAAAAACAAACAAAAAAAGAACAAAAGTGACAGCTGGGCGCGAGCCAAGCACGAGTGGTTGCAGGGCTTCAGGGCTTCTGCAGGGAGCTAAACTAACCCCAGATCGAGGAGGCGGCCAGCTGTGCCGGAGTGGAGGCGGCGCGGGCGTGCGTGGGCGAGATGGAGGTGATGAGCCGGTGTCCTGGGTGGTGATGTTGGATGCTCGATGCTCGGTGCTCGATGCTCGATGCTGTGCCCGCCACCTTGGCAGGGAGAGGGAGAAATCCTCACATCGGTGTGGGCCGGCCCCGGTGGGGACCAGGTAGGGCGGTCCTGTGCGGCCGGAACTTGACCGAGCCACAGCGGAGCCGGTTCCCTGACAGCTTCTTCCCGACGCGGGGAGCATGCTGACATGCTGACTCTTTGTTGCTGGATCTCCCGGGCACGTCGTCGGCCTCAGGGGTACCGAGTACCTACCTAGGTACACATATAGTACCCAAGTCAGGAGACAAATGGCTACATACTCGAGTAATCATGCACCAGTCCAGGCCCGGTGGTTTCCCCCTCTGACAGGAATGGATGGCCTTTCCAGTCTTAGCCACTCGGACTGAGACCGACGAGACACTTGCTGTGTGGCATTAGAGACTTCTGACGTCTCGACACCCACGGCCTTTCGCCGAGTGCCCAGGCCTACAGGCTGACAGACGGGCATCTAGGCCTGGACGACACTGCACGGCGGCGGCGGCAGCAGCAGCAGCACCTGGCCGAAAGCTTGTTTCGCCAAGGATCCCGTTTCCCGTTTGCCTGTGGCGGCTCCCGTAGCGCTTCCTATTATTATAGTCTAGTCGAGGCAGCTGCGAGCGCAGTGCCTGGCGCAATCATAGCGTAAGACGGGATGCGACCCCGAGCCCGCCTGCGGCCATCCACCAGGACCATCACCCGGCCGAGGTATATATGTGCTTGGTGCCGGGCCCGAGACCTGTTCCCACGCGCCCCTCAGCCCCGACGACCACATCCCAAAAACCTCCCTGCCGTGCACGACCAGACCACACCTGGGCACACATGGCTGCCCTGCTCAGGCATCGTTTCCCGGCTGGCGTCCTGGACAAGCGGCCCTCGTCGCCCTCGCCCAGGTCCAGGACCCTGTCGCCCTGCCCGTCCCTGATCGACATCGGTGACAAGCCAACATCATCACACAAGGAGGACTCCAGGGCCAGCACCCCCGCCACCCCCGAGTACTCACAACCCCCGCCGCGCATCCCAGTAGGCTCGTGGGACTCTCACATGCACGTCGTCGACCCGGACCGTTACCCCCTGTCCGCTGCCGCCGTCTACAGGCCCAGCCCCTTCACCGTCTCACAGGCCATCGACTTTGAGACCTCCATCAGGGTCTCACACCTCGTCATCGTGCAGCCTTCCATATACGGCAATGACAACTCGTGCCTGCTCGACGCCCTGCGCGCCTTTGGTCCCACCCGCGCCCGGGGCGTCGTCGCCTTTGACCCGGCCACGACCCCGGCCTCGACCCTCCGGGAGTGGCACAAACTCGGCGTCAGGGGCGTCCGCCTCAACCTGCGCTCCACCGACCACACCATGGGCCACGACGAGATGGGGGCCGTGCTGCGCAGCTACGCCGACGCCGTGCGCCCGCTCGGCTGGGCCATCCAGCTCTACATCCCCCTCGAGATGGTCAGGGTCCTCGAGCACGTCATGCCCGCCCTGCGCGTGAGGGTCTGCATCGACCACATGGGCTCGCCCGACCTGTCGTCGCCGCAGAACACGGCCTCGCGGCTCGACCCTTATAGCCTCAACGGCTTCAGCTCCCTCGTCAGGCTGCTCCAGGCCGGCGACACCTACGTCAAGCTGTCGGCCCCGTACCGCCTCAGCAAGGGCAGGGACTACATCCGGGACGTCGACGCCGTCGCCAAGGAGCTGATCCGCGTGGCCGGCCGCACCAGGGCCGTGTTTGCGTCTGACTGGCCGCACACCAGGTTCGAAGGCCTTGACATTCGCCCCTGGATCGACCAAGTCCTGTCTTGGTGCGGTGGCAGCCAGCACCTGGCCGAGAGGATCTTCCGGGACAATGCAGAGGAGCTGTGGGCCTGATGTGGGAGGTCTTTTGGGCAACGGCTTCGGGGACATGGCTGAGTCTCTGCGGATAATGATTCCTTTTTTTTTTTTTCACGAAGCAACGAGCGGACGGCGTTTTGGCTTTGCTCTTACCTCGCGGGGAATGCACTACTCGGCTTGTTGGGGGCAAGGGTAATGAGGATATATGATACCACAGGCTTTGCCTTGATGTGAAATGAATACACACGAACTTTCTCAATACATTTAACATGAGTCAATCTAAAATATGTACGAAACATGCTCTCTGATTGCTTGGTTTCGCTTCTATTCCGTGTATGTCTAAAGTTATATACGGTGCCTTATCTAGTAGAAAACACTCTTAATAGTTTTATTCTAAACATCCTAATTTATATATATCCCTAGGGTGTACAGTCCCTTTATAAAGTAGTAAACACTTAAAGAATTATTATTTAAAAAATAAATTAAAGATTTATATTTATAAAAAGTAAATTAAAAGATATAAAATAATTTATAAATTATTATTTATTAAATAAAAAATAATTATATAGAATATTATTTTATAAAAATATATTATATTATTTTATAAGAAATATTTTATAAGAAATATTTTATAAGAAATATTTTATAAGAAATATTTTATAAGAAATATTTTATAAGAAATATTTTATAAAAAATATTTTATAAAAAGATATTTTATAAAAGATTATTATATAGAAGGTTATAAAGATTATTATAGAGAAGGTTATTATATAAGAGGTTATTATATAAAAAGTTATTATATAGAAGGTTGTTATATAGGATGTTATTATATAGGAGGTTATTATCTAGGAGGTTGCCATGTAGGAGGTTGTCATGTAGGAGGTTGTCATATAGGAGGTTGTTATGTAGAGACTGCAAGCTTGGTTGGTGATGGTGATTACTGATTTGCTGTGCAGATGCTTGGAGCCCTGGTTTGCTGCAAAGAATAGATGCAGTTGGCAACAAGTGGATCTATACTAGGAAATTCAAGACTGTCTCACATCATAGATGGGTAGGATGTGGTCAAGAAAGAGGTGATCCAACCAAAGTCATCCCATGCACGTGGGATACGGGTGGATTGGTTGACACTGAGGTACTGTGGCAGGGCGTTCTGTGGTGATGTTGTGTATGTGGCTGTCTCAGAAGTTAGCCTGGAGGCTTTTCTTATGGTGTAACACTTTGTGTGTGCCTGATGGATGCATCTGTGTTGATGCATGTGTGTGCATGTGCTTTTGTTGACTACATAAGCCGGCCAGGTGGTTTCGTTTTTAATCCCCATATATATAAAATATACATAGCGCCTTCATATAATAGTAAACACTCAAAACCTAGTATCTAAAGAAATATAATATTAATAATAATAGAAAGAAAATATAGTATATAAATATATAGCTAAGCCTTATACTATATAAATAAAACTAAAAGATATTACTCTTAATAATACTACATTAAAAAGCTAGTAAAATAGTTATATAATAAGATTAAAATAGTCTTAAAATAGCCCCTATAAAAAGAAGAATCCTATAATATAAAACTTAATAAGCTAACTCTTCCCTATTAATATATTTAATAACTACTTAAATCTACTCTCACTAAATAAACTAAATATACTATAGTCCCTATTTTAAATATATAACTACTAATAGAATAATAATATTATAATAATAAATCTATTTAAGAAAACCTTTTATATAAATTTTATAAAAAATTAAAACTCTTTTAAAAGCTAAATAAAGTTTATTTACTATATATTAAATAAATATTATATAAAGAAAGTAAAAGTTTAAATATTTAAAAACTAAATCTTTCTCTTTTAAATATACTACTTTATTATTAAAGATTTATTTACTTTTATATAATATATAAAGAATATAATAAAAGAAAGAGCTCTATAAAGAAAGCTAGCAACTCTATATATAAATAAGTTTAAGGGTATATACTAAGTAATTATTAACTTTATATTTAAGGTATAAGCTAATAGCTAGTCTAAAAGTTAAGAAGACAACAAATAGATAAATAGTTAAATAAAAAATACAATATGGCCGAAGCCATAAGCCGGCCAATTGAGCACCCAGCTTGTGCAGCAGCACAGGTCTGTGGCCATCTCATAGCTCATCCTTGAAACACTCAGAGTCCCTGCTGTCTGACCGTAATTATATGCTATGCACTGTCAATACCCAGGTGAAGGCATCTGGACAGATATATCATGTGTACTCTCAAGGCATGCCTTGTTCTGAGTTGACTGTGGCTTGTCAGCGGGTCCCCCGCAGTAGCCTCACTGCTCTCCTCCTCTCCAAAGACGCATGATCGCCCTCCCGGCCTGGCCATGGCTCCCAAATGAGCGATATATACCATTCTTGAGCTCTACCTTTTAACAAACAAGATGGTCCGGTGGTGTAGTTGGTTCATCACATCAGTCTAACAGTAAATCAGCCTTCTAAGGATGATTCTGGGAGCACTGAAGGTCCTCGGTTCGAGCCCGAGTCGGATCATTGATCTTTTGCAGGTTGGTGGAGGGTGAGGTTGATGATAGTCAGCCACACCTTCACTTATAGTTTTGCCGCTCTATGCTGCACCGGCTGCTTCAGTACTGCCAATTCCAAACTGCATGCATACTCGCATATGGATTGCACATCATTTAGTTGAATTTTTTTGATCTTGACGGTATGTTGTGGTTGATGTGTTCGGTATATATTCTGATCGCGGAGTGGCGGCGGCAAGGTGGGAGGGGGGACCCACGCCCTGGTCTGGAAAACGGGTTAGGGTTGGTACCGAGACCCCACAATTGCCCACGTGCCCACGTGCGCAGCTCCGAGAGACTGGTCAAGGCGTGGTGACGAAACGCCGATCATCTTGCCCGTGCTGGAAAAGCATTCACCGCGTATTTCGGCCATCGTCCGCGCGGGGTCCGGGTCTGTGTGCGGGTACGTTTGTTTCGACTCGATTCGCGCGTGGGGATCAGCCCTTCGGATCCTGACCGAGCTTGACGGGAACGACGGGTCGCGCGTGCTTGCTGCCGCCGCTGCTGCTGCTGCTGCTTCTTGGCTGCTTGGCCGAGCATCGTCTACTGTCTACTCCGTACTGCGTGTGCATCTGCAGGACTCACATGCTGATTCCGGTACTGTGGTACACCAACAAGGTATCTCAGAAGCGACCAGATGATCATTCCAGGGTGGAGTCTCCCCCGCCCTCGCTTTCGGGAGGCCAGCATTTGGGATCGGCTCACCCTACCGGGCCTGCACTACTGTGTACACCAGTTTACAAAACAGCACACATGTCACGGCATAGACTCGACTGGATCTCGGGCAGCGCAGGAGCCTCGAGCCCGTCACCGCGCGAGGGTGGGATCCCCTGCGGGCTGCGGGCTGCGGGCAAGACGGAGACTGACCCCTTGCTCCTCCCACACGTACGCCTGGGCCCTGGGGAGGACTTGCTCACTTGATGTCCTGGCGGCCCCGTTATTTAACCCTCCAACCCCATGCTCTCGCCGCGCCCCATATCTCCCGACTCTGGGGTAATTCGCTCAGGTGGGTGGGCAGCGATCGACTGACGCCACCCCTGCCTTTGGCCGATTCACTCTTGCATCTCCCTGCGCTGGAGGCCCTCACCGCGCTGATACTTTCGAGATGGTCCTCTCGACGAGGCCGCTCACGACTCGCACGCATCATGTGACTGGCATCCGCTGCTCCGCTGGCCTTTGTCAATCGCTGTATCACATGCACAGGGAGTCAGTCGGAGGGGATCTCCGACTTGAACCGGACAAACTCCCATTACAATGCTATGTACTCTCTCTCGCGTGTATCTCCTGGATTTCCCACCTCGACTCGCATCCTCGGGCTGTCGAGTGTCGAGATGCTGGCCACGCGCATCTGTCTCCAACAACATTGAACCAGAACTCCTTAACCATGCATCCTGATAACTCTTGATTTTTATGGCCTCTTTTCGACAATGTCATAGAACTCCGTTGGTGGTTTGGTCCCCCGACGCTCCCCACCCCCGACAGCTTCATCCGCCGACCGCCGCAGTCCCAACCTGAACGGGAGACAGGATTCACATTCATACGAGACTTAAAGGTAAGCCTTACCGCTGTTCGTAGTAGTCACGCGGGTTTTCCTGGGTGCTCATCGGGTTGCCAAATGACGCCGTGATCGGCTGCAGGGAAGATACTGCCTGGAACACCTGGTCGGAGATCCCGTGGTGCTGGAGGTGCTGGTTGATCTTGTCGGGCTGGGTTGGTTGGGGGAACTGGAACAGCGCCTGCTGTATGCCCGGTGGCGTGCGGCTGGGCGAGCCGAAACCGGTCATGTGGCTGTCGGTGTTGCCCATCATGATCTCGTGGTGGCTCATGCGGTGGCCATACCCGCTGAAGGAGTCTTGACGGCCCCGGAACTCGGACGACATGGACGATGCCTGCTGGTGGTGGGGGAACCCAGGCCGCGCCTGGCTCTGCTGCGCTTGGCCTTGGAAGGCGGGCGGTGTGGTGGTGCCGGGGGTCTGGATTCCTAGGGCGGCCAACTCGCGCAATATGAGGCCGATGCCGCTGCCCACGATCGGGTTGACATCCTTGAGCTTCGAGAGGGCACGGATGCAGAAGTCCAGCCTCCGAAGGGCGGGCTGCTGCTGCTGCTGCTGCTGCTCGTCCGTCAACATGCCCGGCTGCCCGGCGTTTTGGGCGTTGGCGGCTGCTTGGACCTGTAGGAGGAAGATCGAGGCCGCGATGTACACGCAGTAGCTCAGCGAGAGCACGGACCGGTAGATGCCGAAGGACTTGCAGAACAGGTCGAATATCGCGATGATGGAAGTCGCCGACGACACGCACTCGAGCAGGTGTTTCGCGCGGTTGTTGTTAGGAGTGCACTCACGCGAGAGCATCGGCCGGTGGAGCAGGATGTTGAATGTATGGTAGAGGGCACTGCTCGCCGTCCCCACCGGTCAGTGGGACTCCGGGGGCGAAAACCTGGGGCAATGCACTGATGCGCAGATCATGGGCAGGGGGCAAAAGACTTACTTGAGGGTGACAATGTGGCTGGGTGGCGCCAGAGGGGGCAGCATGGTCGCGTCCATCTTCAAGAAGTGCGGCAGGTCCTCCCACCACTGCTTCAGCGCCGCCTCCTGCCTGACCAGGCACTCCTGGATCTCGGTCTCGGTGTTTAGCCCCAGTGGGTCATACATGTGGATCAGGATCTCATTGAAGATAACCGTCAACCGACACATCTGCACGAAGCAAGACGTCGAGTGCGCTGCGATTGGTGGGTACTTCACCCCGTCTGGGTAGGTGATACCGAACGGTGTCCACATCTCATTTTCGTTGGAGTCGTCGACTGCGTTTACCCGTTAGTTTCGCCCTTCATGTCGGCCCGGAGGGGGGGGGGACCGGTGGACCACGTACGGATCATTTGAGGCGGCGAGACATCCGAGTGCTGCAGGCTCGGTGATCTGCCGAGGTACAGACTGACAATCTTGTCCCAGAAGTAACAGCTCCAGAACAACCTCCGGCGGATTTCGACGTCTTCATCGCTGAAGGGAATATTCCCCGTATACCTCTGGCTGTCGACGCAGATGCCCAGATGATCGATCATCCGAAATGCCATGCCACTGTACATCCACGCCTGTGAGGTGTTGCCAGCACTACACTCCTGAGCGCTCAGCAGCAAGAGCGTCTGGACCGTTGGGATTGTGGCCACGCCACGAGAGATTTCCTCGAGCACCATGGCCCGCGCGTGACGGCTGAAGACGGCACCGCCGTCATAGTCGCTCTCGAGACGATCGCGTGTATCCTTGTCCCAGCGTCCCCATCGGATAGAATGCGAGAGTATCGCGTTCAGTAGGGTGTGCGAGTAGTATGGCCCCAAGAGCTGCATGTCCCGGGTGAAGGTGGGACGATAGACAAAGTTCCACAGGGGCTGGATCCAGCACCAGTGCGTGCTGAGCAAATATTGGAATGGTTCCTGGAGGCATCGAGTCAGCTACAACGTCCGCCTGTGAAGAAACGCAGCTGAAAGCTGCGGGACACATACTGGGATCTCCGAAAGGTCCTCCAGTGCGCGCTGCTGCCAGGCGTTGTTGACCAGTCGTTCCCTCTTGCCATAAAGGGGGTCCTCTGGGTTGGACGGGCTGGGAGCGTCACTGCTCTGGCGGCCATATTCGCTGGGCAGGTGAAAGAAGCTGGTGGCACCGTGATAGGTGATGACGCCCTTCTCATCCAGCTTCAGGCCCTTGAAAGTCCCAGCTAGGCCCTCAGGTTCGTGACCAACGAGGGAGCCATCGTGCGATGACGAGAGAGGTCCTTCCGACAGTCCACGCTGGGGCTGAGGAGGTGCGTTGGCCTGGGCTTGAGCCTTTGAGACCTGCTCTTCCAGGTCCTTGATGCGCTCCTCCAGGCGCTGGGTATAGGACAGCGTTGGGTTTCTAACCAGGTCAGCATGGATCCTCCCTGGAGACGGGATTGAGCGTTGGCAAGGGTGGAGGCTGGGTGGCGAGCCTGAGGCCCAAGTGCCTTCGCACGAAATGTGAGGCGAGTAAGTGCCTCAGAGGAGGGGAGGGCGGCGGGTGAAAGGGCGTAGGACGGAAGGGGATCCCACAACTTGTAGACGCAAGCATCATTTCTTGCCAGGCACCTGCTACAGACAGGCTGTTCACCTCCACACTTGACCTTGCGGCGGCGGCACGGCTCGCAGGAGAAGGCACTCTTCTTGGTTGCCCTGGCGGAGCTGGGGTTGGAGGTCGTGGCGCCGGCCTTGTGGCCGGATGCTCCGTTGCCACTGCCGCTGCCGCTGCCGCTGCCGCTCCCGTTGGCGCCGTTTTTGGTGGAGCTGGACGCAGGCCCGGATGCTGATGACATTATCGCTGCAAAGAGTTAGGTTTGTATCGACACTGCCGGCTGCTGAGAGGAACAGTAGGACGGCAGAGCCTCATCGTAGGATCCGGATGAGGATCACCAGGAGGGAATTGGCCAGATCGGGAATGAGGTGAGAAGCACTACTGCGGTGGAGCTCGACCGAACCAGAATCACCGGGGCCCCGTTTTCGCGCCTCTGCGCCTGGAGGAAGTTGAGCAGGAGAGCGTGCGGGTTGTACCTTTTTGGTCTGTCGCGTATGCTTATTTCCGCCACTGGACCGGGACGGGCGACACAAGCGGAGCCGCAGGTAGATACAGGACGAAACGGAGGGGACGGGGGGCGCGCAAAAAATTTGTATCACTTAATTGTCGACGGCAAAACACAACGTTGTGGCGCCGGCGGTAGGGCACCACGGCGTTGGGATGGGGGTCCCTCTCGACCCTCTCCTGAAATAGGTCCGCTGGTGCCGCCTCACTGTGAGGTGCGGGTAAGTATCGTCATTCCCCACTTGGGTTCAGGTTCAAAGTGGAAATCCGACGGGTTTTCTCTTGGCTCCAGGGCCGTCGTGTCGAGATTCCGAAGCAGAAAAGCAATCAGACATGCCAGATTGGCTCAGGGTATCCAGACATGGCACGCACGCACACACACACACACACACACGCACGCATGTCAGAGCCCACCAACAGACAAGCCTCTCCCATGCAACCAACGCAGCTCTGCAGTTCTGCAGTTCTGCGTCCCTGGTTCATCCGCCGTCAGCAGCCCTACACAGTACCCCGTACAGGAATTAGCTTGCCTTGCCTTGCCTGGCTGGCCACCCGCAAACTCAAAAGTCAAAAGAGAGGTAGAGGGGGGGGAGGCCCTTGATGTTTGCAGGGAAGTCCAAAACACTGCGCGATGTGACGAGTCCAGCTTGTCCAGGTCAGCAGTTCTGTAGGGCTGCTGAGGACTGATGATCTCCTCGTCGCGACTCAGGGGGCTGCCCAACATGACGTAAGGCCGTCGTCGGGACCCCCCGAGCAACCCCGAGTCGGCACCGACACCCTATCATAGCACGTCTCAGGGGCCAGGTGTACTATGCAGCACCGCTTCTCCTGGACGTCTGGAAGCCTGGAAGCCTTGGAACTGCTGGGCGTCTTGGACACTCTTGTCAGTCCGTGCAGGGGCGAGAGACGGGAGCCATGCAACCCACACAACCCACGCAGCCCACGCTTTGTTGGCCACGCAGCCCACCACCATCGCACGACAGACAGGGCCAGGGGCTCGAGGTCAGGAGCACTGGCTGGCAAACAAGGCGACGGTATCGACATTTTCTCCGCTGAACCCAACCATGCCGGACGGATCCGAAGCCGGACTGGTAGCTACCGCAGTACAACGCTACATTGCCACCCTGATTGACCACATCTGAGCTCTGAGATAGTGTCGTGACAGCAGCCGCTGTTGTCACACCCAAGACCAGCAAGGCTGGCTACTTAAGTACACAGCGCCCGATGGACCAGCAGCAAGAGCCGGCTAATAAGGATAACCCACGGCCAGTCCTGCTGACAGGGAACCGATGTCTACACACGCCAGAGTGAGGGAGGGTTCGGATCGTCCCGGCAAACCTGCCAGTAGCCTTTGTCCGCTGAGGCTATAGGCCAACAACAAATGTCCGCAGTTTTGTTTTCAGGCTGCAGCCTGCGACGGGCCGTCCCATCTCAGGTACCTACCGAGCAGCCCGCTCAGCGTCCTGCGAGATGCTCTCAAGCCACCTACCTAAGGAGCTACCTTTTCAAGGAGGTAGCCTCCAGAGGCTGCAGAGGGTCCCTGTGATCTCATTGTCCTTCGGGAAATTACAACATCAAAGGCCAACTTGAGGATCTGGTCTCTCGCAAGCGAGTGAGCTTGGTTGAGTGGGCTATATTTACCGTCGAATCAGATGTGTGAGTTTTGGTGTTCACAGATCCAGCTGCGATGGATCCGAGTTGTTGCCCCATGCCTCAATACGAGGGGTGCCCGCTCGCTTCATTTGACTCCCTATCCTGGCAGCACAGGCTGTTGCAAGCCTCAAGGCGAGGGTGCAAACACCATCCATACTTTACATACATCTGTTTACATAATGCCATGTTCAAACAGCCACTAAATTGATAGCCATGCTGCCATGGTGAGCACACCTGATTGACCATTACATTTACGGGTACACTGTGTATCTGCAGGGTTTATTGAGCCAACACCAAGGTGCCAAGACTCGGGACTGCAGCATCTGAGAATTTGCTTGTGGTCACGAGACCACGAGGAGCGTTGAATGCAGTCAGGCATCTCACAAGGGGCGGACCAAATGAGCTGCAGGGCGGGTGCGTTGATTGCCTCGAGTACCTAGGCAGCTCAAGTAGGGACAGACTACTGAGGTTTGTGAGAGAATCAATGGCCACCTAGGTGCTTAAAATCCTCTGCAACAGCAAATGGCCAGGCAGCCAGGCCAGAGAAAGAATATTGCTGTCCCACATGCCTGTTCCGAGTGAGGTGCCATCCTGCCTGACTTATAATAACATTGAAGCAGGGCCAGGACTGCTAGCGCGAAGTGGCCCGGGGAGGCAATGTAGGTCGAGTCTCAGTCTGGCCTTGCTTGCACCCAATCCCGTGCTTATGTCATCGGACCCACCAGCCGCCCTTTGGCAAGGTTCCCTTTTTCAAGCGCGGCTCTCCATTCCCCAGCTCGACGCGGGGTGAGACGCGCACAACCTGCCAACAACGCGTCAACCGCAAGTTTCGCGACATTGTCAATTAAACATCACCACAGGTTGCATCAAATGAGCTAGACCCTGGACCTGGACCCTTGGCTCCCCCGCTACACCATCACCACAAGGACTTGTTCCCTTCTGCTCGCCTCGCCTTCACACCCAGAGCATGCAGCAAGAAAGGCAGCATCATTTGGCTCCCTCAACTTCTCTCTGACTTGCATGCCGTTCTCTCCAGAGGACCTTGCTGTTGTCGCCCACTCCATCGGGGTCGACTCCTTCGTGAGCATCCTGCTGCCCGAGTGTCAGTCTGCAAGCCTGGCCGGACCACACCAAACCTGCACCGTCACTACCAACAGTGATCACCTCAACAACACCCTTGCACCGTTGTGGGTTGTGAGCGTGTCGTTGACTGCATTTTTTCACAGAGGCTATTTTGCCCACAATCGGAATCACCCATCCCCTCTCCCTCCCTCCTCTCCAGAACGGTAGGAACCGTTGACGCACATCCCTAAGATGGCGGCCGCGAACGGCGCGGGTGATGGCATTTTCTCCGCCACATACAATGGGGTCAGTCCGATTCTCTTCGCCCTCCCAATCTTGCATTTGACTTCGCGTCCCCTCCCTTGCTCCGGTCGAGGCGAAGCAAATCGTCGCATCACTTCCCCAGCAATCACCACTAACGTTTGCGACCTCGCAGAACCCCGTGTGGGAATTCCAATTTGTAGGCGCGGATGCGAAGAGGGAACATGTGATGCGACGCCAGTCCGACAACTGGGTTAATGCTACACACATCCTGAAAGCTGCCGGCTTCGACAAGCCTGCAAGAACTCGAATTCTCGAGCGCGACGTGCAAAAAGGAAACCATGAGAAGGTTCAGGGAGGCTACGGCAAGTTTCAAGGTACGAGATAACAACTACTGTCTTCCATCGGTAGCTACCATGCTTTGCTATCTCAAGACACTCGCTGACGGTCGGGTTCCGTCGTCTTAGGAACATATCTACCCCTCGCAGACGCGCAGGAGTTGGCGCGACAGCACAACGTCCTCGACCGCATTGGCCCCATCTTCGACTTTGTGCCCGGCGCTGTCACGCCCCCTCCAGCTCCTCGCCATGTAAGCAAGCCGAAGCAGCCCAAGAAGAGCGCCGCCGTTGCCCAACCTGGGCCTGCCGCCAAGAAGCGAAAGCGAAATGGTGAGATTATCTCAAGCTGCCGTTGCCCTGCTGGATTCTGATCGTTTCTAGACCCTTTCGCGGAGGACTTGGATCGATCTTCTGTCGCGTTCCGAGATGACACGCCCGACGACCAGACTGTGGCATCTGGCAGCTACATGGCTGAGGATGATGCAGACAGGATGATTCTCCACAGGGTATGCAACTCTCCAGGCTTCCATCCCAACCTTCGAGACGAGGCTTGAACCGCCCGAGATGCTAACGAGAAAGCAGCACACCATGTATGGCGAGGCACTCCTCGACTACTACGCCCTAGACATGCGCGATTCATCCGCCCCGCGCCCGGAACCCCCCACGAATTTCAGACCCGACTTTCCCATCGACAAGCACCAGAACACAGCCTTGCACTGGGCCTCGGCGATGGGTGACATTGACGGAGTCAAGCATATGAAGCGATTCGGTCCGGCCATTGCCGCGAGAAACATGCGGGGTGAGACACCCATGATGCACGCAGTCAACTTCACAAACGCCTTCGACAAGCAGACGTTCCCGGCCATAATGGAGGAGCTTCGAGAGAGCATTGGAGAGCGCGACCTGTCGGGCCGAACTGTCCTGCACCATGCGGTGTCGCATGCTGTCTCGGTCAAGTATCGGAGACCTGCTCGTTACTACGTCGAAACCATCCTCGGAAAACTACAGGACACACACGAAGCCGCGTTCGTCGAGCAGCTTGTGAACTCCCAGGACTCCAACGGCGACACGGCGATCCACCTCGCTGCCGAGAACAAGAACACCAAGATCATCCGCTCGCTGCTTGGCCGCGGCGCATCGACTTCGATCCGCAACAACAAGGGCATGCATGCTGAGGAGATGATCCGAGAGCTCAACGAGGGTATCCGCTCACGGTCAGCCATGCCCCCGCCGTCGTCATCACCGTTCGCGCCGCCGCCTCGGCGACCAAGCGTGAGCGACGCGCTGCAGGACATGTGGAAGAATGCCGAGTTCCGATCCGAGGCTGCCAAGGCCGTCCAGAAGCGCATCGCCCCAAGCATACTGCAAAAGAGTAGATATCTCGCGCAGATTTTCGAGGACGAGTGGCAGGAGAGGGATGAGGCTGAACAAGAGGTCCGCCAAATTCTGGAGAATACCCAGGAGGAGGCGGCGGCCCAGGCGGAGGACTTGCGCCGTCACGAGTCCATGCTCGAGCCGGACGAGGTTGGCGCCAAGACGACAGCTGAGGCTGCGCAGCTTCGCACCCAAGTCACGTCCATGCTCAAGTATCAGAATCGTATTGCAGTCCAAGGCAAGGTCCACACCGAGCTTAGCATGCAGGTCAATGGGAATAGCCAGGGCGCGAGTAGCCAGGCGAGCAGCGTTGACGACGACAGCGAGCGTCGACAATTGGCATCGGAGCTTCTCGACAGGATTCGCGACCTGCGCGCGCTGGAGGAGGACCTCGTGGAGGCGACAGGACTGAAGGGCATGGGGCAAGCCATCGAGAATTACCGGTACCTGCTTCAGCTTTGCCTTGGCCAGCAGGCGCCTGGCCTAGACGACAACCTCGATAACATGATTCGGGAGATCCAGTACGAGGTCGATTACACCAATGGGTCCCGGGCGCGCAACGGCGAGCCCCTCGCCGTTGATCTTTCCGATGGGGAGTAACCCTGGGTGCCTTTTCCACGACCTTGGAGACTAGTGATGGCGCAAGCGTAAGGGGTTGACTTCTCCAGGACGGTATGTAGTACAATATGTCTTTTTCTTTTCCCCTTTTCCAGTGAGCCATCCTCGCGGCGTGGTGGCATAGGAGTTTCTGGTTTGATGACCTTAATTCATCGGAGGTCACGGGGTGTTTGGGCGGCGTTTGACGGCCTGGTGAGATACCAAGATTACTGCTAAGTTTGGGGGTTGATGCCCCCGCGTCCCCATTTGTTGGCTGGGCTGCCGTGATTTCAATAGGGAACAGACGGACAGCCCATTGCCTACCTAGTATGCAGAGAATTGACTGCACTTTGCGCTCAGCGTGCCGTAATTAGTTTGAGACAATATCGTGTGGGAAAGCGACTGTGAGAACAGCAACCCCGGTCTCTTGGTCCTGCAAGTTGCCTCGAGCCTGCGCATGTTGGCTGCGGCCGGCCCACGTGACAAAACGCTGGACGCCCCATGATGTGATCCTGGTGCACACCCGCACCCTGCACCCTGCACCCAGCTCGTAGCTCATGCTGCGTGCGCCTCATGATGACTAGCATCCTCACCAAGCTCCGGCGCTTGCGTTTCCGACCCGCCGGTGGCCTGTCGAGCCAACTCGGCTGCCTCGTCGTCGACCACAGAGGACCCAAGGTGGTGGTGCGGTCATGGGCGACACATCAGCAGATGAGGTCTTTGACCAGCGGTACGGGCGGCCTCGACTATGAAGACCCTGGTCATTACGCGACGCTTGGCCTACAACCATCGGCTTCACCTGAAGAAATCAAGGCGGCCTGGACTAAACTGAACTTCGACCTGCATCCGGACAGGACGGGCAAGAAGAGCAAAGACGATGCAGACAGACTCCTCAAAGTCAGCTGACCCCCATCTTTCCTTGAGCCAACCGTTTCTCCTTCGAAGCTCATCAATGGACGAGATAGTACACCCTGTTGCAGGCATGGGGAGCTAAGCTTGTTTAACATGTGGCTCTAGGTCCAAGCTGCCTACGAAATTTTGAGATACCCACAGAGGAAGGCAGAATATGATGCGCGGCATGGGTATAACAGGCCCGTGCAGCCGGACGCGGCTGCGAAGCAGCAAAGCGCAGCTGGGACGCGGCGAGGAGGCATCGGGCTGAGAGCTTCGCTCCGTCGCATGGCTGTCAAATTTTGGGAGCAGCAGCAACTCAAGGAGGCAAGAGACAGGCTGGCAGCCAATGCAGCCGCGAAAGTGCAGGCCGCAGAAGCAAAGAGGAGAGACGAGGCACTCAAGGCAAAGCAGCTGGCCAACCGCGCTGCAGCGAGGGCCAAGGCCGACCGCGAGGCCCAGGAGCAGGCCGACATGAAGAAGGCCGACAAGAAGAAGGCCGACAAGAAGAAGGCCGACAAGGAGGACCCGGCCATCAGGGCAGCAGAGATAGCTGAGAAGCAAAAGGCCGACAAGGAGGCGGCTGCACGCAGGGAAGCTGCTGCTCAAGCCAAAAAGGCCGAGCTGGCGAAGCAGCGGGAGAGGGGAGCGCGCCTGGTCGTGATACGGCCTGTACCAGACACAGCGACCGCGTATGATTTCGCCCAATCTCTCGAGTCCATCAAGGCGGGACGCATCCTCTACCTGGGCTGCGAAAGAGGTATTGCCTGGGTCGAGTTGCCAACCGCTGAGCAGGCCAGGACCCTTCATGGCTTCATTACGGAGACGGGCGCGTTCCCCATTGGTGGCATGTGGATCGGGACCGCGGAGCTAAGGCAGGGCATTGTCCCGCCTCCACAGGGTCCAGAGTTGATCACCAGATGCCTGCGTATCGTGATGCCCGCGGAGTTTTTAAGGATGCTGCAACCGGACGAAGACCTGAACAGCCTGATCAAGAGAAAGCTCCGCGAGCGAGGCTTTTACATTTCTATTATCGGCTTCTCCTGGGGCAGTACGCGCGATGGCATGTGGATCATCCGGGATCATTTCTCTGTTGCGCATGCGCAGAGCACGAAAGCAGCGATCGAGAAATACTACCCGCAGCTTGAGGTGACATACGCAGAGGACCCCTGTGCAGGTCTGCCCAAGACAACAAGGGAAGATGCCGTCAAGGCGTCCGGAAGCGACAAGAAAAAGCCCCGGTTTGACCTATCGCCTGCCTCGCTTCTTTTCGAAGTTGCGTTCGCCTTAGTCTTCTATAGTGTAATCTATGCAATAGGAGCTGCTGGGACGGATGTGGAAAAGGGGAAATCCTTGGATGACAAGAATCAATAGAAGGGACCAGGGTCATTGCATTTCCAGGCAGGAGACTGCCGCTGGAAGGGCACCTAGGTAGTTGTGCATCTTCCCATCTACATTATTCTCACCGTCCCGGGACAGGGCAGGTGATAAAGGTGGGTGGGGAGAACGAAAGGATCCCATGTAGACTCAAAAACTTAATCACTAGACGTATAATCGGGATGGCCACCTACAATACTGCTTCGCCTAGTCTTTAAGCTATAGTCTTCTAGCCAGGTGATCGAGGCGCATAGCTAGCAGTCTTGTCTCCCGTCACACAAGCCTAATAAAATCTTTACCTACTTGAAATTTCTTACATAAGAGTATTTTAAAGGGTAAAGTTACATAGTTAAATACAGGTTATAACAAGTCTTTTCCATACCTATCGAAATATAGAAGTCAGATATTCACACAACCCCCTTTAAATCCTCACACAACCAATCTAACTAATTAAAGCTACAGCTAATTAAAAAACTTTATTCAACCCTATCCCTAATACCTAAATTAGTATTTTTTACTCCCTTTATACTACACCTACTAAACACCTCTTCTAATATACTTTAATTTTATATTTATTACTTATATATTATAATTATAATTAAATTATTAATAAAATTAATTAATTTAATATTAAAAACTATTTTTATTTAATTAAATAATACTTTATTAATATTATAATAATAATATTAATTTTAATTATTTTAATATTAAAGTATAATAATTAATAAACTATTATAATTAAAACTTTAATATTATTATTATAAACTATTAATAATTAATACTTTTAACTTTTAATTTATATAAAACTTTTAATAATAAATATAATATTTATAAAGACTTTAAAGTTAAATTTAATACCTTTATAAAATCTATAAAATAGTTAATAATAATTTAAAGTTTAATAATAAATTATAAAACTTTATTTTATAATTATAATATTAAATACTTTATAATTACTATATTAAATAATATTATAACTATTAAAATAGATTATTAATAGTAAATAGTTATTTATATAATTTAAATAATAAATAATAAATAAAAGTTATTTATTTAAAAGTATAATTATATTTATTATAATTTTTAAATTATTATAAAATATAATATAATTAAGTAAAGTTAATAAAAATATATATTAAAATCCTTATTTAAATAATTTATAGTTTAATATTTATTATACTTTATTATTTTATAATATTATTATAATAATAAAACCTTTTAATTAAATTTAAATTAAATATTATTAAAAACTAACTTTAAAACTTTTATAAAAATAAAGTATTTATACTCTATTTTAAACTTTATTAATAAAGTTAAAAGAGTTATTAATTCTATTAAATATAAAATAAAAAGGAAAGATTATTAAAATCTTTTAATATATTTAAATATAAATAGTATAAATTTAAAAGTAATACTTTTATATAATATAATACTTAATTATATTTATTTAATAAATAATAAAAGATATTATACTTTTAAAGTATAATATTAATTTATATAAAGAAGATCCTTTTATTATTTTAAAGTCTTTTAATAATAAAAAGTCTATTTTTAATAAGTCTTTAAATAAATTTATAAACTTTTATAATATTATTAAATTAATAATTCTATACTATTTATTATTAATTATAAAATTACTTTAATTAATATTTTTAAATATAAATTTCTTAATATATAATATTAATTTTATATATTTTATATAAATATAAATATTATTCTTTAAATTAAATAAAAGTAATAAAAGTAAATAAAGTTAATAAAGTTAAAAAGATAAAAGATAAGGATTTTAATTAAGTTATAAAAACTTTATTTAATATATTAATAAAAAGTAAAATAATAATATTTATAATAGTTTTAAATAATATTTTATATATTTAATAATTATTATTTAATCTCTTTAAGTTTATAAAATATTTAATTAATTAAAAGTATATAAAATAATTTAATAATATTTATAAAAAAGTTTATAAATTAAATAATTATAATTAATTACTTAAAGACTTATTATATAAATAATAATAGAATAATAATTATTAAATAAACTATTTATAAAACTTATAAGATTTTTAACTTTAATTTATATTTAATATCTTTTATAAAGTATATATATTAAAAGATTAAAAAGTATTTAAATTATAAAACTAATAATTTTTTTATATATTTAAAGTAATAAATAAAGCTATTAAATATATAATTAATAAAGTTTACTTAAAAGAAATCTATTAAAAGATTATACTATTTTAAAAGTTTAATAAAAAAGTAGCTAAATAAACTTCTATTATAAATCTTATAAGTAATACTTAAACTTTTTTAAAGATTAAAAGTTTAATAGTATATATATTTAAAAAAGTATTATAAAGTAATTACTTACTTTTAATTTATATTTACTTTATATTTATATAATATAGCTTAACTTATATAAATTAAACTATTAATAAAAACGTAAAGTAATTATTTAATAAATTAAATATATATAAAGTCTTTTAATTTAATTATAATTTTTAATTAAAAACTTATTATTAATAATCTTTTATTAAAAAGATTAAAATAATTAAAGAAAACTTTATAATAGATTTATATTTACTAATAATAAAATAGATATCTTTAAGTTTAATAGAAATTATAAAAGATTAATAATAAAAAGGATTAAATTAATAATTATTAACTTAAAAGTAAGGTAAGTAATAAAATAAAGTTAATTATAACTTTAATTTAAAGAGTTAATTTAACTTAAAAATAAAATAACTTAACTTTAAAGTCTTTAAATTAAAAGATATATAAAGTAAAGTTATTTAATAAAAGTTTATTAAAAATTAATAATTAATAATAAAATTTATAAAGTAAGTAAAATATTAAGTTAAGTATAAATTTACTTTTTAAATATATTTTTAATATATTATTAATAATTAAAAGTAATATATAAATAAGTAAAGGATTATTAATTAATTATTATTTATAAATTTAATTATAAATAATATTATTAATAATATTAATAATAAAAAGTATATAATTAAAGATTAAAATAGTTATATAATTAAGTATAAATTATATTTAAAATACTATTAATTTAAATTATTATATAAATTAATTATATATAAGTTTCTTTATTAATAAAGATATAATATAAAATATTAATCTATATATTAATTTTAATAAATTATATAATAGACTATAATTAAAATAAATTTATATATATAAAGTAATATAATTAGTTAGATTAATTATATAAAGATTTAAAAGAGGTTATATGAATATCTAACTTTAAAATATATAGTACCTAGATATATTATATATAAAGTTTTAATTACAGCCATTATTAACTCTGCTCACCATGCTATCTTTTACATACTGTTAGACTGATCATGATACTGTGTGTGAGTAATAGTTGGTTGGATTGAGGGACTAGAATACCGGCCGTAAAGCATGTAGCCCCTGTCAGTACATTCGACCATCCATCCCCCAACTTCATGTTGTTCAGGCTTTAGTCGAGCCAACTTCAAAGAACAACTCCGTCTACTTCTACCAACCACCCCCTCATTTAATAAGGATGGTTGCAGATCATTCAGCCGAGTGGTAAGAGTAAGGTTCCAGCCAAGCTCAAGAGCACACTATTATGTGCGTGCGTACGTACCCACAGCCTTATTTGTGCTCACATCCCAGCGAGTTTCAATCCAAATCCTGCACAAATTAATGGAAGTGTTATGAGTGGCCCTTTGGAGGGTCATGAGCTGCCGTGTCTACCTAGGTTTGAGTTGAAGAGAACTTTAGAAAAGGGCACAGGGGATGCACGATGGCAGCCCTGATACTATCGCCCCGAGACCGAACAATCCCATGCCACGAGAAGAAGAAGACAAGAGAAACATTTTGTAACCTCAGAATTCGATTTGTGATACATCAGATATTGCAAACCCCCAAACTTTCTGTGAAAACGGCCGGCACTTGGGCCAGTTGCCACTCAAACGCCCGAAACCAGAAGCTGCCATCCGGGTATTCAACCGTATATGAGACCGCAACCAAGTGCCAACGCGGGCAGGAATTGGCATCAATCGTGAAAATCGTTCAGGTCATGATCGTCGTGAGAATCGTATCCACTGTAAACGCCGCCGTCATCGTGGCAAATTGCTGCCGCCACCTTTCCTGAGGTTGAAAAAGAAAAGATGTGAGGATTTAGAAACGAAGAAATCATGAGAATAATATTTAATCAGTAATGAGAAAGAGCCAGGAAAGGACAATGATGCGAAAAACAAAGAAAGCAAAACCCAAAATGAAAACGCCTCATCCCCCTCTTTTAAATCGGTATCTATACCTGAGCCCGACAACAAAAAAAAAAAGAAAAAGAAAAGAAAACGGTATCGATGCAGCCTCAGTTGAGCAAGGAAAACATTTTCATGACGAGACAGTTTGTAGTGGAATGAGGGCCGACCTCAGAAGTGCCTCCCCGGTCCTGTCATCGTTTATCCTCAGGTCGGACCCTTGCACCATAGAAGCCACCGCCCCCAGCCGCAGCACAAGCAAGGCACGCGCCGCTCCCACCATACACGCGGGTGTGCCTCGTCCAGCTGCTACCACCCGTGTGGGCGGAAGGGTTGGCGGCGGCCTCGCCTGGGCCGTTTCCCTCGTGGCTGTGGTCGTGTTCGTGGTCATGGTCCTCGTAGACTACCCTGACACCTCCGTCCACTGCGCCTGGACCGGGGAACATGACCGCGGCCGGGTCGAAAGGGTAGTCTGTCAACGGTGGGGGAGGGAGGAGAGGAGAGGCGGGTGGGTACGAGGAGGGTGAAAATGAGGTGTTGGCGATGGAACTGGGGTCTAGGTAGCCACCCAGGGGCCCGGTTGAGCTGAACGCATCGGCGCCTTCGGGTATGGGGATGTTCCTGGCGACGCTTCTCTGCCTGGACGAGCTGGCGGAAAGCGAGTAGTGGCTCGAGCCGGGCCCAGCTTCTTCCCCAGACCCCTCGGAGCTTGGACTTGTCCCCGCCATGTTGAAGCCCGGTGTCTGGTCCGGATAATACCCAGCGCTCGGCGACGGCATGCGGTTATCAGAAGACGTCTTGCGGCGGCGGTGAGACGAGCTGGTGTTCCGCCTTGTGGATGTCGTGGGCCTAGGCTGGAGTGTCGAAAGCCCGCGTCCCACCACAGAAGGCGCGCTGGTGCCGGCGTCCGGGTAGTACGTTACCCCCAGGTCGTCTGCCACGCCATAGGGATGACCGAAAAGGGGAGGCGCAGGGCGGGCCGTGGTCATGAAGCCGCCATAGGCCCAGTGGCTTGCGACGACGTCATCATAGTGATCCATGCTATCCTCTTGTTGGTCGGTGGATGGGGGAAGCTCATCGCCGACACCGCCCAAGGGCGGTGGATGGTGGAGGAGTGATGATGATGCTCTGGCATGACGGCTCTCCTCAGCAGCGGCGGGGAAGGGAGGAAGGCCAGGACGAGGCAGGCCACTTGACTCCTGGCCGGGGCGGTAGCTCGAGTCGTTGCTGACCCCACGTGACCCTCTGGTTGGGGGGTGCGCTGTGCTGTCGTCTTGTTCCATGCTCCTGGGGCAGCCTCCGTGGACGGGCCCGGGCCCACCCAATCCGGCCTGTGCTGTGGCGCCTGCTTCCCCTCTGCTTATGGCCCAGCTAGCCTGCTTTCCGAAGTGACCCTGACCCTGTCTGGCTCCTGGGCAGGTGGTTGTGAGGTACGGCTTCGAGTCAGACGAGATGTGGGAGGCAGGTGGGCGTGGCGGGCAGGAATTGGCGCTGATATAGCGGGCAGGGCGCGATGGAGAGAAGCGAGGCAGCACGAACTTCTGGAGCAGGTACAGGGCTGCGGCTGCGAATGCAGCCGTCAAAGTGCAGATGAGCAGCGGGCCCGATCTTGGAAATACCGACAGGCCCCCACGGAGGTTACCACTGAGCCGGGAGAAATCCGAGTCGCTGCCGGCTGATGTGAGGACAGGCATGTCTCCTGCAGCTTACTTGTCGAGGTCGGAGCAAGGGGCCAAGCGAGAAGATCAACGATGTGTGGTGGTGGTGGTGGTGCTGTTGTGGAGGTACCTTTCCCCGGCCGGGAGGGTATCCCTATTCCTCGTCTCGAGGGCAATGCGGGCAGTGTGGGCAATGTGAAGGGGGTGAGTAGACAGACAGACAGACAGACAGAGACGACGGCTGGGGTGAGACGGGCTGCTGCAGGCCAGACGCACCGAGAGTCCCGAGCAAGACGGGTCTTGGCCAGAGAAGCGAAAGGAATGCGAAGGAGGTGGGTGATAAAAATAAAAGAAAGGGCACGGGGGAGGAGGGAGGCTCCGAGGGGAGAGAGACGGCGGCATGACGAGAGGGAGAGGACAGTGCCAACCTTGATATATCACAGAGCAAGTGGATCGGCGATATTGGCACGGCACCTGGGGTCAAGGTCGTGTCTGGTCAAAGGGAGCGAGCGGGCCCGTGGGAACGGCGAGGTATCTGGGGCAAAGGGAGAGGGGGAGGGAAAGAGAAATGAGAGCAAAGTCTCACGGCGTGAGCATGGATCGAAAAAGCGGGCCGGCTCCCAGTCAGCCCGTAGGGTACATACAAGAAGAGCAGAGGCTCACTCGAGACAGTGCCAGTGCCAGTGCCGGTGCCAATGGCCTGGTACGGTCTGACGTGCGGTGGGAAAAGGGTCATGAGGATGAGAGAGCGTAGTGGGCTTCCCCCCAGGGCACATTGTGCGGGACAGTTGAGAGGATGCAGATGAGGAGGAGGAGGAGGATGTTGGAGAGAGTCAGAGAGAGAGGTGAGTGAGTGAGCATGCACGCCTGCATGTCTGCGACCTTGGGCCCAGCAACCAGCAACCAGCGACCAGCGACCAGCGGCGGCAAGGCAGGCCAGTTGGAGGCGATGGCAGACACAGACGCACGCAGACGCAGACGAAGACACAGGAACAGGCACAGGCACAGACACAGACACATGCTACAGCCTACTGCTACTTACGGCATGCAGGCGAAGGAAGCTTGACAAGACCTCGACCCCAGTTGCCAGCTGCCCAGGTGGGCCCGAGAGCGAGACACCATGTCAGCGGGACATGACCCCTGCCCCCCTGGCCCCTGCCCCCTGCCCCATGCAAGCTGCACGACCGCACCGCAGGGCTGCATCCAGGTCGTGTGTCTGTTGCCGTTGCTCGGACTCAGGACGGCGTTAGCTGTCGACCAGTCGACCTGACGAGCAGACGAGCAGACAAGACGAGCGCCTCTGCTGTGCCGTGGGCAGACAGGAACGATAGTCGCCAGTGTTTCAGCTGCCTCTCTGCCCTGGGGCCCGCCGACCCGCCGACCTGCCCGACCTGCCCGACCTGCCCAAACCGTGTGGCTTGACCGTTGGAAATGCACACATGGGCGCGTGGGCGCCTGGGCGCCTGTGTGGGCAGGCATGTCTCTGGTTGTGCCTGCAGCAATGGGGCAGACGGCCACGGTCACGAGCAGTCACGAGCACAGGGTTACATGTCTGCTGCATGTGCGGCCCCGGAGTGCATATGCGAGATGGGACTTTGGTGGCCCAGGGACTTTGGTTCGGTGACTTTTGCAACGACGAGCCCAAATCGGCGCGGTTCAGCCCTACGGCGCCTGGCATCAGCCAGCCAGGCGCGGCCCCAAGGAAGGGGCAACCCGGTGGGTCTCACCGCCTGCCTGCCTGCCAGCCAGCCAGCCAGCCTGCCAGCGCCAGCCGCCTGCTCGGTCGAGCTGAAAGGGCAGCCGCCGCCCCTCTCTGGGCTCAAGTGCTGTTGCCACCTGCCACCTGCCACCTACCTGCCACCTGCTGGAGGTCGCCTTGTACACAGTACGGAGTACCTAGATACCTAGGTACCTCACCTAGGTAGTCTTACTACACTACACATGTCTGAGACAGCTGGTCCCAGCAGTTTGGGACAGCAACGACGGCTCTGCTCATTGGGCGTCTCGCTAATAAGCGAGGACCTGCCCCATCCAGCCACCTGCTTTTCCGACCACCGGGCTCCCCCCTGTGCCGCCTCAGCCTTACGGGCCTGCATCAGGTTACCCTGTACAGATTATCAGGTATCCCTCTCCCTCTCCCTGGCCCGGTCCGGGTCGTGGCCGCCGACCTGGCCGTGGCCCGACGGCAGCCCAGCCCACTGACCCAGCAGCCCAGCAATCCAAATTGTTATCCAGACCGCCTCTTGCCGCTTGCCTCGCCTCTTGCCTCTTGCCTCTTGCGACTTTGTAACTTTGGGACTCTGCAACCCTGCTGATCCCCACCTGACTAATTACCCAGATCGCCTCCTCCCCCGCGGCCTGCCCTGACGGCCCCCAAAACCACCTCCCCCCTCAGCCCCACCATTTTCGTCAGCACTCAGCTTTCACCAGTCCACCGTCCTGCCAACCCCCTGCGCCTATCACAAGAGCTTCCGCCGCGCCTGTCGCGCGCCTCTCAGGTTGCACACGCCACACACATCAGCCCGCCTGCGCGAGAGCGGCTGCCCGCACCGAGCCCCCAGATTTTGTGTCATGCCGCTTGGTGTTTTTCGTATTTTTTTCCTTGGTTTTTTTTGGTTTTTTTTTTGCCTCTCTTCCTCCCTTGCCCCCCTCCGCTTCTTTCCCCAAAACCACAACTTGCTTTTGCAAGTCCATGCTCCTTTAGTCTTGCCCTCGCCATCTCCAAGTACTCTATTAATGGAAACCTCCAAGTCGCCACCCGCCCCCCCCCTGGCTGGTGCAGACTCTACATACATACATACATACCCACATACATATACATAATATACATGCATACACGCGCACACACACACACACAATGCCTGCGCATGCATTCAGCCACGTGGATTATTCACTTGGCGCCGTCACGGTTTTTCAGTTTTTGGCCTCTTATTGCCCCCGGCCGCACTAGTTGGGAATAAACCGCATGCAATTGTTTCTTGATATCGTCTCCGTCTTCAATATTGCTTCCTCCGACTCGACTGGTCGGGATACGAACCTGGGGGCCTCCATCCCCCACCCTATCAGGGGCCGTGGGGTCAATCCTTCGCCTGCGCACATGATGGTTTCATTGTAAGATGGGCGGCCATGACCGCACCCACGCATGCGCTCCCCGGCCGGGTGCGCTTTACCCTACTCCCCTACTCCCCTACTCCCAACAATACAGACCCCAAGGTAACCCTATCCTGAGGCCCGGCAGAAGTGGCTTACAACACTTGAGCACTTACAAAAAGGACCCAATCTTTGTATTCCCAGTGCCCTCATGCATTCTTCGAAACACGCCTCTGCGCTTCTGCTTCTCTGCGTCCCTGCGCAACACGAGCCCCTCCTCGCAGTGGCTGCTCAGGTTTTGAACTGTACTAGCAGCGCCCCGCGCATTCAATTTTTGCCAGCCAACCTGTGAGCCACCAATGGGAAATGAGAAGATGATGACGGTACTTGATGCAAGGGCCTCCCTACTCACCTGCAGACCCGGCAAAATACCAACTGCTACCTAGGTAGTCAGATCGAGAATCGACTCAGCATCAATGATGACCCCAATGCATCATCACTGCCAACTTGCCGACATCAGAGGACAGTCCTCGCTTTCCTCGGACTCGTAATAATCCAACATTCATTCATTCACTGATCATGCCTGCGTCGGGAGCAGCAACACCTCATCCTGCACCACCACAGCGCCAACCCGTGTGACGAGACTAACTACCTGGCTATCTACAACCTCAAGTGCTGAGCCCGACGAGTGCATGCTCTAGTCCGCCATCAAGGCTAGGCTTGGTCGGACTTGGGTGCAGGGCCATTGGTGAATTTACGCTCTCATTATAATATCAATTGATGACATTTCAAGGGCCAAGAAAACCATCCGCCATCAAGTCTTGCGTATCCGCGCCACATGGCACACACGGCAACAATGTATATACCCATCTGTTACGCACTCCTCTTCCGCAAGCCACGGATGACACCTCGCTCGTCTTGATATATACCTTTAGGCCCTACTCAATTTTCCAAGGTCCTATTAGTGTTGCAACAGTCAACTGGACTTGACAATGCGCCGGGATACTGATGACTCAAGGGAATTCATGGTACCACCTTGTGTCGCGTTATCCCTCAACCACGCACATGCGTAGTATGCCCGGCCGTGCTGACATGACATAAGCGTTAAAATTCACCGCAGCTACTGACAATTCCAAAGTCTGATACCACTGCAGGTAGACGACGCAAAGATTCCCACAGACGCGTAAGCGTTGCGAGGCCATCTCGCGTCAAAGCGCTGATTGATGCTTTCGTGTCAGATCCCGGCTCGAACAGCGAGATTCATCAGCTTGCAGTCAGCAGGAAGCCCCTGGTGCCAACGTCCCGAACATCTGTCTATGTGGGTTAATTCTTTTTTCCTTTTTTCCTTTTTTATTTTCACATGCCAGACAGCCCTATAACGGGCCGGCGGCGGAAATCGCCCAAATCGAAGAGCCGCGATCCTGCGCAATCCTTCTCAAGACGTCCTTGCTCACAAAACTCAATGAAACGAGCCAAGGTGGAGTTTCACTTTCCAACGGTGTCGTTGGGAAGTTGAAGAGCTCGCTGCATGCAGACCAACACAGGAATTGGAAGGAATGAAGGAATGGAAATGACAGTAGACATCTGCAAGGTCGCCCGCCTACATGGGTAGGAAATGCGCCCAGAACGACGAGCGCAACTTGAACTGACCATTCCATTCCAAAAAGAGAACCGTGACTAGATTTGCTGGCCACCAGACAGTCGAGGACTGAACAGGAGCATCATTCAAATATGCGGTAATTATCACGGGCTCAGAGTGGATGCATGTGTGTTACTGCAATGGGCCCAAACAGGAGGCTTTGTATCCAAGTAGATTAGACGATGACATGGTTTGCTGTCTAATCACTTATTCTGTTTCGAATCCAAGAATACAACATCCCAAAAATCCAAAGGCTGCAATCGTATCGGTTAAACCGCATCCAATGCATGTGTGCTATGGAAGGGCTAGACTTCCAAGGTTGGTTCGGACAAACCTGCGCGTGAATCCTTCAATGTTGCTACCCAGGTACTTGGGTAGGAACAGATTGCGTCGGTCCGGCCGAGCCGCGAAGTGTGGCCGGCTGGGCAGGTCAGTGGCAAGTGTTGACGGACCCTGTTGAAACCACCCCGGACCGAAGACACCACATTTCTAATTGGAACGCGATCTGAATCCTTCGAGGACCGCCAGGATCACCAAGCTGCTGCCGGGCTGTTGTGGAAAAAAAGAAAAGAAAAGGGACACAAGATAAGCTATATTGAATCCCACGCATGTTCGCTGGGCAGCCAACAGAATGATACCAAAAACGGCGCTAACATTAGCCATGTCTATGGCGCCGATAATTGTGGCTTTTTCCAAACCAACAACGGTCATCACAGTGCTCAAGTGCCAAGCAACCAGCGAGTGCCGACTCCGTGGACAGAGACTAGGCTCTTTCTCAACGTTTCTTTCGGCTGTATGTGCCAATGGGCATCTAATGTCAATAAGAGGAGGGATGAAATATGCCATAGGATCGGGAGATGTATCAATACATGGAACCTCCTGGACCCTCCCTAGTCAACTGGTACTTAGGTAGTGGTTTGCACAGGTGGGCTAAGCTTCCGACAGGGCAAAGACAAGCACAGGATGACCTGTCGCAGCAGAGAAAGCTGGAGGTCCGACCTGCTGCTGGGAGCAAAGTGTAAAAATGTAGAATAATCACAAGTCAAGCATTCGGAACGCAAAACAGCAGCTTGAGTCGGATCATTGCCAATAGCCCCTGACAAGTGATCTTGCTCCTTGTTGCTCGAGATGATCTAGTGGGCCCAATATTTGTGACAGGACTTGTTGGCAACCGTACAGTCCTCGGATAAAATCATTCATGTCAAAAAAAATGGGTCGTTCTCGAGCATTGGAAGCATCTCGAGAATAGGTTACCAACGTGGCGTGTTAACGTCAACATCTTTACCCGCCCAGGCCTGTGAAAAGATGCCTTGAATCTTAGGCTGGGAATTTTCCACGAAGTTGTACATAAATGCATGACTAAGAAGACAAAGGTTTTGTTTCTCGCGTCTATGGCTTGAGTGAAACCGAGAGGAGAACACGCACCGCCCATTTCATCCTTTTTTTCTTTTTTTTGGGCTGACCATGCGATCGATATCCTCACGTTCATCTTAAATGGCCCGGCCTCGGAACATTTGAACCAAGCCTGCATCATGCAATTCGAGTATCATATGTACCGATGGTACTCGAGGGCTATTAGGAACTATATTGCTAGTGGCTTATTGGGCTCCAGGTTGTAGAGCGATGAGGTCTTCCTATATTTTGTGCCTAGCAACTTATGTGTCTCATTTGTGAAGAAGCGGATGAAAGCAGGGATTTTGGCTGAAAATCAGAGGCTTGTTTGGGGTTATTAGTGGGTCACCATGTATGTCCTCGGACGTATACGGAATAGAAGCGAAACCACACAGAAGCGAAACTACACATTAGTGGGTCAGGAAAGTGATCACTGATTATTTCCTGAGGGAACATTCCTCGTATTGTCGTGGTTGAGTTGGAAGAACCTCGACTACCTGCGGCATAGGAGATTATGTTGAGTCTATGTGGTTTCGCTTCTATTCCGAGGACATACATGGCGCCTTCATACGATGGTAAGCACTCGAGACCCAGCGCTTGGAATGGGAAAATACGATGCCGATGTTGAGTCTATGCATGTGTTTTACTAACCCGACGTGGGAAAAGTTCAATGTCGTCAATTCCAATAGGGCCCCTGTGATAGTGCAGGAATGCAATCTACACAGGTGAGACAGGGATTACTGTCGATAATCAGTAGGTATGGTAGTGAGCCCCTCAGAATGAGAAGCAGAGTCTTTCCAGACCCAATCCAACACTATTGACGTCTGGTCTAGCAAACACACAACATCAATAACTTAACCACCTGAACTTGCGGTCCTATAAGTATCTCCGACCACGTTTGGATAACATATCAGCCAAAACTACATCCTCGACGATATCAAACATGAGTGGAAACAAAGATCCCGGAAACTCATCCCGCCAAGTTTTACCGGACTGTGAGTGGACCAGTCTTGAACTACAGGATTACAGACTTCAGGGTGGGAAATCAACTGCTCGCGCAAGGTGAGCAAATGCCCAACAAGAGATCCACGACATTGCCTCCAAGGGCAGCCCCATGCTAGTGGGGGCGACAACACCCTTGGCCTGCCGAATACCAGGGCGGAGACATCAGCAAGCGAGGCTTTGTCGGCATGACCCGAACAAGCAAGTCAACAGCTCTGATTTCCGGCACCCAGGTACATTTGTTGGCTGTCAGGGCAGAGATTGGACCACTAACATCTACTTGCTCTACAGCATCATATTGACTCCAAGAGTGGTCAGGCCTCATCGGGGTCATTTGAGCCCGGCAGCGAGAGGGCGAGAGGGACTGGCCGCAAAGAGGCAATGGCTACATATGTACATACCGGCTCTTCCAGAGTTCTGAAATGGGCCTGGGATCAACCATCATTGTTGATAGAGCGACAGATGTTGTGAAGTTACAAGGTGAATCACTGTATGAAGGCGCTATGTATGTCCTCGGAAATATGTGGAATAGAAGCGAAACCACAGAAGCGAAACTAGGTAATAATTAAGTTATAATTAAGTTAGAAATAAAAAAGAAAAATTTAAATTTCTAAAAGTTAACTTTTTCTTCTTCTTTTTTTATATATTAAGCCTGAGTATTATATTGTAAGATATTAAGAGTATAAGACTTTTCACTATATTCGTGTTATATTATGCCTATATGAAACTTTTATTACATGTTCTATTTTAACCATAGATATCAACACCGTATCTTTTTCAAGTGCTGGGTCTTGAGCGTTTTCCACCGTATGAAGGCGCCATGTATGTCTTCAGACGTATACGGAATAGAAGCGAAACCACATTAAAGATTAGAATTGTTTTGTAATTGTTCTACAAGATTTGGGCAACCTGAACAACTAGAACCCCCGCGGAAATGATTCCGGTCTGAGGAGAGACACAAGATGGAGTTGAAGCGAAGTAGCTGCTCGCAAAGCCCAAAGTGTCAACAAAAAAGGCACTCGTTAGATTGGACGAAGGTCAAACGAAGACTGTTGTTGCACAATATCGATCCATTGGAGGGGGGCTGTCGAGTAAGACGAGCTACCAAGTATTGCTTTTGTACTTGGAGATCCCGAATTAACATCTAAGGGATTTCATCAAGAAGGACATACACGAAATGATCGCCGCGAGCCAGGGTACTACCTAGGTATATAAAAGTTCCCGAAGGCTTAAAGGGTTGATAGGACTGTTGTGAGCCATCAGACGCCAAATGCAGGATTGGACGACCAGCTTCTGTAACTAGCTGCGTCGACCGGACTCCTTGAGAAATTGAATGTGAGTGCTGCTGATGAAGCAAACGTCAATGGGCCTGGAAGTCTATTAGTGGGCTTCTAGAGGGATGTTGCCCCGCGGACAGCACCGAGATCTGAATTCGGACACATCCTGTCTCCGGAATTCAGCCAGGCGAGCATCTCAACTCAGTGGGCTCTTAAATAAACTCTCTCAGATGATGGCTTCCTTCAGAGTGTTGAACACACGCGTCTCCAGAAAATGGAGTGAAATATGCGCTCATCGCCATCTCCCAGACCGAATTAGAGAAAGTCATTCCGCCGATGGCGCGCAGAGCGCTGAAGTGATAGACAGCGTGCAAGCAACCGCAGGAGTGCTTTCCGACCCATGCCCCCAGATGAGCGACGCAAGTGATATTGGTAAATACGAGGACGTTAGAAGATCTCGATGAGCTCGACTAATGCCGGATATGAACCAAACCAAAGCAGACGACTGTCGCCCCATGGAACGCAATACACCGCTAGACAAGAGCAGCGACGGTCGAATCATGCTCATGATGGCGAAGGATAGGAGAATGACTATGATTCCTCGGGATTTGAAATTGGGAAAATTGCGGCAATGGTGGGTGAAATGAGGCGTGGGAGACTGAGCAGGGGACGCATGAAGCAGTGCCGTCAGATTTGGGTTTGACCAAGCTGTATGTCGCATATTGTGTTTGTACATTCTAGGGGTATCATTCCATTCCTTTCCGCCAAGTACTTCTGACACAGTATCTTACACGCCCACACCAATAGCTACCTAGGCAAGCATCAAATGAATGAATAACCGGGAGGTGAGCAGCATTCGCCAAGCGGTGAGGTGATGGCACCAGTGCGTGGACAAGGCTCAGAATCGCCTCCCAAACAGTACTGTGCCACCCAGAACACGCCCAAGCACGTATCCGGCATAAATGCCAGCCAGGATGGTCACAGGCCACTTCTGCCACTCGCGGTCCCAGTCCAGAGGTATGGGCACGGCGCCCAGCCAGGCGCCAAGAAAGCCACCCAGAAGCCCACCAAAGGTCTCGTCGAGAGGGGCCTTGAAGGCGGCGAGGGCAGCCCATGTACCGGCATCAACGCCGTGGGTGTAGAAGAGCGGGAAAGCGGTGAGCAGGGACAGATGCGCAGCGCAGAGGAAGGTGTGAGAGACGTGGGTGAGCAGGGGCGCTCCGAAGAGGATCATGACGGCGTGGAGGAGGGGCGTCAAGATGAGCGAGAGCAGGAGGGAGAGGAGGGCAGCCTGTGTGCATATGATGGTCAGCATGGGAATGCCATTAGATGGAACAAGGAAGACCAGGCTTTGTGGACCCGGCTGCTCACAATGATAAAGCTGGGGCCGGAGGCTTCACCGGCCTTCTTTTTCTCGCCGGGCTTTGGCCTCCTGTTCCTGGCCGGGCCAGACCCAGCTGCTGGGAGGCATTGAAATGCATAGAGAACCTGCAGGAATGCCACGACTGGCAAGGAAGCCGTCATTGTTGGGACAGGGTCGGCGACAAGGGGCTTAAAGCTGGCCAGAAACAGGCCGGCGACGACAACGGGCAAGACATGGCAGGCAGCTTGGGACGCAGCGGTCGAGCTGAGGTGGACAGGCTGCAGTTGCTGGGGCTCGTTGGGCTTGCCTGAGACCGACTGAGCCTTTGCTGTCTTTGTGGCGGTTGGAGACATGGTGACGGGGTCGACGAGAGGCATGGAGAGGCATTGAGAGGCATGGACCGGTGCCGTGGTATGGACCCCGGAGCTCTCACTCAGAGGTGGGAATTGAATTGGGAGTGGATCTGGCCAGACGAGACCGGGCCCAACTGATGGTTAGTCATCAGAGAGAGCCGAGGGAGTGGGCGATAAGATAAGGGAGCTCCGACTGGACCCCACCATCCGCAGCGACGCCCCCCCCCTAGGGCACTCGACCCCTCCATTGCGATTGCATTCCAGGGTACGTACGGAGTACTTAAGTACCTAGGTACTGATAGATATTTCTGCCAGTCTGCGGGCAGGCGTTGCCAGCCTCATTTAAACCGCTAATAAATCTCGAGCACAGAGATGATACGTGAAACGGGGCATGTGGGGCACTGCGGGAAGACATTCGAAACCCACTCTTCTGAGATGGCCACCGATGCGTGCCTGTTGCAAATGTCTGATCTGCCTGCCGTCTCAGCAAACGCCATCAACATCAACACCACCACGACGCGGCGGGCGGGCTGGCTGGCTGTGAGGCTTGATCATGATGGAGAGCAGCCGGCATGACAAGCCTCGGGCGTCGCAATCGCATCTCGGCCTGTCTGGTCTCGCCGCCCAGCGTTCCCTCCGCAATGCGATGGATCCACGCCGTTTCACGGACTGATAGCGTCATCTATTCGGCCGTGAGCAGCAAAGATAGACTACCATGTTCCTGCGCGCCCCCGGCCGCCCGGGAAGTGGACTAGACCAGACTCGACAGTCCCTGGTTAGTCTGCCCGAGTAATCCAAGCCATTTCTGCCTCGCGATGCTGCGAGTCAATCACCGCCTTGCACACGTGCGGCCGACAGCTAGCTTGCGCGTATATATACCTACCTATATGTACCTATATATACCCGGCACATGTATACCTAGAGGTATATACACGCACATCTCACACTTTCAAACCTGAATCCTTTGTCCCGGCATACCTGGAGATCTGCATGATTGCAAAGCCATCCCCCATCTGAGCACTCGAGCACTCACCGTCTTTCCGTTCGTTCATCCATATCGCTTCACATACCTGCGGACTTGACGTCTCATCTCACCTCGCCCTCACCCTCACCCTCACCCTCCACAATGGCAGACGGCAAGAGAGCAGTCGACTCTAGCAGAGGTAAGCTGCCCCCGACCAGATCGAAGAAGCCGTGCTCACCATGCAACACCAACCAGTCTGGACAACCCTCATCACCAACACAGACTACCTCTCGGGCCTGCTCACCCTGGACTACTCGCTCAAGAAGCACAAGTCTGCATACCCGCTGGTGGCCCTCTACACCGACACCTTCCCGGCCGAGGGGCTCGCCGCCCTCGACGCCCGCGCCATCCCGCACCAGAAGATCAAGTACCTGCTGCCCACCAAGTCGACGCGCGACTACAGCAACGACCCGCGCTTCTACGACTGCTGGAGCAAGCTCACCCCCTTCGGCCTGACCCAGTACGACCGCGTCGTGCAGCTCGACAGCGACATGCTGGTCCTGCAGAACATGGACGAGCTCATGACCATGGCCCTGGACCACGGCCCCGCCGCCGCCGCAGGGGGGCCCGACTCCAAGCGCGTCTTCGCCGCCGGCCACGCCTGCGTCTGCAACCCCCTGCGCAAGGCCCACTACCCCAAGGACTGGGTCCCCGAGAACTGCGCCTTCACCTCGCAGCACGCCGACCCCGACGCCGCCCAGCACACCGGCGCCGACCCGGCCGTCTCGCCCCTGGGCTACATGAACGGCGGCCTCCAGGTCGTCAACCCCAGCGCCGACGTCTTCCGCCAGATCGTCGACTACATGGACAGCCACGCCGGGGACCTCGACTTTGCCGACCAGAGCCTGCTGAGCGAGCTGTACCGCGGCCGCTGGGTCGCCCTGCCATACATCTACAACGCCCTCAAGACCCTCCGCTGGGACGGCGTCCACAAGCCCATCTGGCGCGACGACAAGGTCAAGAACATCCACTACATCCTCACCCCCAACCCCTGGGACGAGCTGGACGCCGACGGCAACAGCACCAGCAAGGACGAGACGCACCGCTGGTGGGCTCAGGTCAATCAGGAGAGGAGGGCAGGCGAGAGAAGCAGGGGCATCAAAGACGATGGCTTCTGATCTTTGCACTCTTCTGAGCAGCCCGTGTCACTCGGCCGGGCGGGGGCAAAGGGTCGGGTCTCGCGTGGTCCAGAACTTGTCATGCGGACATGTCCACACGTTTCTTGTCTACCTAAGTTTGCATACTCGGTCTTATACCTTGGGGAGACGAGTGTCCAGCGGCTAGTTGTAAGATACGAAAACTGTCCAACGCCCTAGATGAAGAAAAGACCAAAACAAAACCCCCAAAACCTCGTGTGACCGTGACTCCGTGCAATGGTCGATCTGACAGTCTGAGTTCTATATCCCAACGCCCATCCTATGCATTTGTCCCCCCTCTTACTCCTTGCTCCAAGTGCTGATCGAAAAAGGCAAGAGATGCTGAATCAGGATATGAGTTGGTGGTGCGAGGCAATGTTCGGGTGGATGATGACGGCCACAATTGACTCCGTTGGTCATGCTGGACGTTTTGTGACATGGGTTGTAAGCCGCCGGAGGCGGCCGTGTTGGAGAGCATACTCTCTTCATCTCGCTGCACAATCTGAGAGTCAAACTGTTGTCACAAACATACCTTGAGGCCTCGGCCTCCGCTTATGCTCCAGGCCCGGGCTTGTATTTCTGCGAACTTCTTTTTAGCACAGAGCGCCTTGAAAATCGGGGAGGGAAAGCAACATACGTCTTCTGCCCTTCTGAGATTCTCCGGGTCCAAAGCATTGGTCGCCCCCATGAGGGCCTGACCAACAGCTCTAGTTGCTCCAATAGCTGGGCGAAAGATAATGGTCGGCGCTCTGCTCATCACAGTTCTCGCCGCGCCCCTCTCCATCAGCTCGCCCGGGACTGCGATGACAGCATCCCTGGCCACGTTAAGATCCCGAGCAAGGCTGCTGTAGGCATGTCGTAGGCCTTGGACGACGCCTGTGGGCTGGTCCGCGTACAGGGAAATCTGCTTCTTCTCGTCTGGCTCCATGTCCTCTTCCTCCCATCCGGTCTGAAGCGCCGCCGTCTCACCAGTGCTTGAGCTGCCTCCGGCCGAAGGCTTGGTTAGCATGTCCTCTGCACCTTGGAGAACGTATTGGGTGCCGACCGCCACCTTGGCGCCCAACTTGACAATTTCTGTCCCCGTCGTGCGAGCAAAAGCTGCCGCGCCTTTGCCGATGCTGCGGACGATACGCCCGTCCTTCTTGTATTCTTTGATGGGGATCTCGATGAGGTCACGGAAGCCGCTTCCCACGTTGACCAAATGGCGGACCGGGGCCACGCCAGCTAGCACGCTCGCCAATTGCGTGCGCTTCACATCAGGTGTCCATATGTCGTTGAGTGTGTTGCCCAGGCGCTCCCACCCGGTGGTGCCGTAGACAATGGTGTGCCGCAGCGTCATGCGGGCCCTTTCTAGAATCACGAAATTCATGAACTCCGACGTCCGGCCGCCCCGCAGGCCCGCGTAGTCCACTCTCTTGGGCTTGAAGTCCAGTGTGACGGGTATAGCATTGATCTCGGCGCGTTGGATGAATGCTTCATCGCTTGGGGATGGGTCAGATGGCATCTGTGATTCATCCTTGAACTGGAAGAAACGCTCGATGAATTCAAGCGCATCCTGGTCAACATGTAGGCGCAGCGGAAGGACGTTGGCCCTGAGTACGAATTCGACAGCTGCTAGTTCGGGAACCGGTTTGACCAGGAGAATCTCGAGGTGCACCATACTCGCCCCAAGTTCGCGCTCGCCAGCGTCCAAGTCGTACGCAGCAAACTTCTTCCACGTCGAGGTCGGGACGTGGTCGAAAACGACTAGGTTCTGGACACGGACATCAATGGAGGTGTCGGTTTCACCCGAGCCGGGTGGTAACTTGACGAGGTCCACATTGACACCCTGTAACTCAAAAGTGATCTTGTGGCGTCTGCTTCTGTTTAGGCGCAACTTCTTAGCCCTGGACCGAAATTGGCCAGGGACCGTTCGGGTTGTGGTCGTTGTGACCGAGGTGGCCGCGACCGACTCCGCATCGTCCAATTGATGGTTGATACCTCCGACTAGCTCACGAGGATCGTGGTTCGCCGGGATGCTGACGTAGATGGAATTGAACAGGCAATCACCAATAACATCCTGATCGTCGAAGTCCGCCTCGTCCTGGGACCTCCGACCAGCTCGGGAGCGGCGCTCATAAGCCTTGGACTCCACTTCTTCCACTGTTTTCGTGATGGCCTCGCGGGTGTGTTTCCAGTCATAGCCGTCAAAAAGATTCCATATGACGTGGACCTCTCGCACTCTGACATTGAGAGGATTTTTGGGCGCCCTGGATTTCTTCACCTCATCGTACCTGTTCTTGGCTGAGTTCCAGTGATGAGCATCTCCGTGTGCAGTCGGATCTTGTCCAAAGTAGTTCTCGTCGATCTCGATCTCTGAGGTTGAGCCAAAGTCCTCGCTGGGGGCAAGCGAGTCCGGCTGTGAGGAGAATGCATCCACGGCCATGTTCTGAGCACCGCTGGGGCCAGATACCAGGGACGAAGAGGTGGCATCGTAGATGCTTTCAGCAACACGGGGCTGGCTGGAGAAGTACTTCGGCTCGACCTCGAGGGGACTCGAGCCTACAATCTCCCCATCCGACATGTCGTCCCCACCACCCAGCTCCTGGGCAATGGCGAAGTCATCGTCGAAATTGTAGTCCCCTTCCGCCCTGCCGAAAGCATCGGCTGTGATAGATGCCAACATGTCGTGCATGGGAATAACCTCGGTCTTGAACTTCACCTCCCTGCTCGGCGGAGTCGGTGGCTTCAAAGCACCCGTAAGTGCAATCAAGGTATGAGTAGAGTCCGCGCAAGTCTCCAGCACCAGAAGATCGTCTCGGAGCTCAACGTCTATGTGCATATCTCCGGTGGGACCTGCCGTGGCTTCAACCGTGGCTCTCGCAGAAGAGATCTGACAAATATTCACGTAGCCTTCAGAGCATAGCCTAGAAACCATGTCCGTCTGTCTCTGGACATCTGAACCGCGGTGCCGGGGCGGAGTTGCTTCCTCCGAGGATTCGAGCAAGGAAACATCATCGACTAGGAGAATGGCGGCCTTCTTCAGGTTTGCAACTGCGCTCACATCATCGCCCGCCGGTAAGGCAACCTCAACGTGTGCATCTTGGAGAACCACGTTCAGCTTGGATGTCAGTGCCAAAGGATTTAGTCCTAGCAAGCAGTCACGGAAAGCGACATTGACAATTGTTGGTTTCGCAGACTGGCCCCGAGGCGACCGCGGCGACGGCGAGGGTGGGTTTCCAACCAGTGCGGTATGCGCCTGCTCTCCAAGGTTGGCTACGGATGCTGCCAACATTGCGTCGAATTCCTGTGGAGTTGTCTCAGAAGACAGGCCCAAGGCGTCCATGATTGTGGGGACGCGGTACTCGAAATTTATGTTCCGCATCCTGACCTTGATCGCAGGCTCCATTTCGTCACCTATCACTCGTACCATAAGGACGGGTGATTGGGCGAGAAGTCCAGTCCTTAGGTCTATAGTTGAACCGACAAGCTCCTCCATACTGTTTCTGTCGACTTTGACGGTGTTGACACCGAAGGCAGCCAGCGAGGGGAACGCGATATGGGCCAGCTCAAGCCCTGTCAGGTGCGCGTTCAGCTTCCCAACCCTGCCGCCTACATCCACCAAAGCGTCGATGTTATGAACTAGGCCAAGTGTCAGTAAGCCAGGCCGGTCGTCCTCTGGAAGGTATTTAGCCACAGTTCCAAGACGAGCAAGCTCATCTGCCAGAGAAGGGATGCAGTCGAGCTGCTGCATCTTTGTGACGTGTGCTTGTAGGTCGTCCAAGGTCAACTTCAAGACAGAGCCTTTTCTTCGCTGCCTCAGGAGCGTGTCCACCATGATCTCGTCCTCATTGTCGTCAAAGTGGCCCTTTGATGGGGTAATCAGGGCAAGGAGTCGGTCCAGGTCATTTTCGCGTGGAGTAACAAGATAGTCGATACGCGTGTTCGACAGCGTGATCGCAACTGGCGGTGCACCATTGAAACGCTCTGCATGCGGCCCTGTTGCGTTGATTTTGCTTATTCCGACCCCAATAATGCCACCTCGACTCACCACCTTCACCGCTGTCGTCCGAACACGAACGCCACACTTCCTACCGTCCAAATCTATCTGCAAGCCACCGATTCGTACGTCAACTTTACTTTCAGATACCGCGGCCGCGCTTTCCGGCTGGGATGGTATGTCGAATCGCACCCCTCTCGGCTTCCCAGGCTTGGCCTTCGGTTTCCCGTGTGAGCCACTTGAGGTCATCGAAGAGCTCATCTGAAGGAAGCCACTGAGCCCACCAAACCAGGTGAATGTCTCATCTAACCGTTGTAGGTCCACATGTACGCGCAGCGGTAGCGTATTTACTTCAACGCGGTTGCTTTCCTCGGTCATTGACATCTTCACAGAGACATCCGCGCCAGCCTCCGGAAACACGTCTCTCACTGAGGTTCGCATTTGCGCTTCTTGGTCGAAAGACAGTATATCGTTGTCTTGGTAGCCAAACCGGAACTTGTTGATGTTCACCAGAATTTCCTTCGCAGAGTCCGTTTGAGACAAGGTTGCTTGCAGGTGCTCCACGTCGGTTCTCAGTAGAGTCTCGGCCCCGTAGACTGGCGTCCCCGGGCTTGAAGTTGTTGCTGCCATGACCTGAACGCCGAAAATCTTCTCAAGAAATAGAATGGACACCTTTTGTACCGACAGTTTGATGTCCGATCTTGGCGAGCCATTTCCTCCCGTGGGTGCATCGTCAGGCTTTCCCGATGGTTTCTGCGGCACTTTGAACGTCTCCAGGAGCTGACGAGCAATCATTGCCAATAGGAAGCCGACGGAAGTATCGAACCGGATTTCCAGTGGTGTTATATCAATCTCAATTGACCCATCTTGATCCTCAGCATCTGTCTTTGTGGGCTCTGGCTCCGATTCGAGTTGCAACGATGCAGGGCCTGTGGCCGTGGAATAGACAGAGAAAGCGCCCGGGACATTTGGATAGGTAGAGTTGGCCAATTGTGACGACTCGCCAGCACTAGAGACTTGGATGTGCTTATGTCTAGTCGGTAAGTACACGGAGACTGACGCAAGAGAAAATATCTCCCTGAGTATGTGGTTCGGACGCCCAATCTCAGTTTCTTCTGCCATGGCGGCGGAACTAGGCTCGTTAGCTGCATCCTGTGCCACGCGTGGATCATCCTCGGCCGGTAAGTCTGGCTGCTGTGATGAGTGGATCGGTGTTGATGGTTCCTCAACCTCGGCCGGTGGTAAGTCCCGCTCTCTACTCCTTCCCTCCGAGTGGCCCAGATAACCATCTGGCCGTGGCGATTTGTCACCTTTAGAGCCTGGAAAGGCCTCGGGGCTGGAGAGATTGGAATCCCATGCACCTGGGATCGAAGCACTCCTGTGTTGAGACTCGCCGTGCGAAAAGGCGCTCATATACATGCTCTCAGCCTCTTCATGGCTGAAAAACTGTGATTGGGCGAGATCATCGGGAGGCTGAGCCCCGGAATCATCGCTTGCAGAATCAGACGAGGTGGAATTCTCGAGATACGAACCCACAATACGCCCCGCTTGGTCACTCTCCAGGTCATTTGACGTGGACGGCCAAAAGGATGGTTCCTCTGCGTTCTCAAGCACAGTCCCGGATGCATCTTCAGGCTGACCGCCGAAGTCATGGTAGATGGAGGCCCTCGGAGTTGATAAAGATGACGTAGGTTGTTGGTCTTCGCCGGCTAGGCTGCCAGAGTCCTCCAGTTCATAGGGTATGTTGAAGGCCTCCTCACTGTCGTGTACTATTTCTTGGCTCGAGGATAGATCCTGACTGGACGAGTCGAATACGCCCCCGCGAAAGTTTCCGGCCTTTTGGGACTCTAGGCTGGATGGCGGGTTCTTTGCGCTCATGAGTGGAGACCTCGACGCAGCGGAAGTCATAGAAGGCGACCTCGTCAGGCTGAACAAGGAATCGGCCTCCGAAATCAGGGAAGCGCGAATCGTGCTGAGTGATATATGGCGCTTGCCATCTTTAGGTACGATGCGCGTGCTCGCTCCATCTTGTCGAACCTGCGACGTAACACCCTCGACCTCGAGCTCGTCAAGCGTGACCTGAAAAGTGACGGTCTCGGTCGCCGTGGTTTTGTGGTCCACAGGAACATCAACTACAAGCTGGAGGGCAACATCCCTGATATCGACCTCCACACGGTCGAGAACCCCCTGAAGGAAGTCTGTCAAGAAAGCCGGCAAGGACAGCCCCTGCCCAGTGCCGTATGCCGAGTCCTCCTCGCTGCTGTCCTCGCTCGACGCCACGGACGCACCCAGGTCGGTCTTCTCGGAAGCCAGGGCTTCCTCCAGTGCCTTCTTCTCTTTTAGTGGCTGGGTCTCAAGGAACGACTGAGCCAGGTCCGCGGCCGTGGGCACAGCATCGGGGCTCGTGTTGGGCGCCTCATCCTTCTTGGATTTCCCAGCAAGCTGGTCTCGAGTTGAAACTACCAAGGCTATACGAACACCGGACGCGGCGACCTGGATGGAACTAGAGTACAGATCGAGAGGAATGGTTACTTGTAGACGAGAGACCTTTGCATTCTTTATTCGGTACTCGGAGGGCAGGCTGAGGTGCTTTCTTATTTTCTATGACAGCAAACAAATCAGCACTCAGGCCTGCGAGGGACTTATCAGTCGTGGGGCGGGAGAGCAGACGCAGGCAGCCGTACCTCGACTTTGAGACCGACGTCTTTGAACTCGAAGGTATTCCTGAGGCCGAGGGCGGCATCGAGGTTGTCTAGATCAAGAGCATCGTCCTCGAATATGTCCAGCCTTGCCATAGCATAGCGCAGCAGCCGCTTGGGCATGGCGGAGCTACGGAAGGACTGGAAGAAGGCAGCCATGTTGAATGCGCCGTTTCCTTAGTCGTCGGCGCGGCCGCCTCTCTCTGTCTCTGTGCACGTGTCTCGGGTCCGGGCAGGGAGATCGTAGATGAGGCAGGCCGTGTTCTTGGGGGGCTGCCCAGGCGCTCAAGGGCGACAGGAGAAGAGCGGGACGCACGAGGCGGGGTGGAGCTCGAGGCCGTGGAGGGCGTTGGAAGGGTGGCGGTGGATGCGGATGGCGGGGGAGTTCATGTCGACGGAGTCTCTGAGGACATGTCTGGGCAGGAGATGGCGGCGTAGCTCTGTCGGTCTTCTGGGGCAACGACGGTTCTTGGATCCAATAAAGAGTATAGAGAGTACGCTGGAATAGGGACCAGGATTTCTAGGGCATCGTCGGTTCTGGAGAGCAGAACGATGGAGAGGACGTCGGGGACAAACTTAGGGGAGAGGCCTGGGTGCCAGGAGGGGTCACAACGGCACAAGGAGAGGCACTTGCACTTACAAGCGGTCATGGGGACGCAGAGAGCTGTGGCTATCGGCAGGGGACTGATAAGCCTGCCTGACTGACTGGCACCAGCTGGGCCACTACACAGTAGGTACCCCACATACTAGACCGCGGATGAATGGCGCAGGCAGGGCAGGGCGGTCCAGGTCCTATTCACTATCGCGTCACCTGCACCGTCCAGCATATCCACGGTACCTGGGCGGTTCGCAGTGTGCTGGCCATTGGCGTGGGGTCACAAGGTGCAGGGACAACAAGCACCCGCGGCCGGCAAGCTTACACGGACTGCAGGATCATGTACTTGAGTACTTACTGCTCAGTAATTAACACGGCTTCTAGGTGTGCCGGGCAACCAGATGGTTGTGGTCGCTGGACATTTCCTACCGTGGACAGAGGTCGGCGTACAGGTATGTCAGGTGAAGGATTAAGTACGGCCTGGGATATCGTATATCAAGTCTACTCTAAGTACCTTCACAGTGGCTGTTAGTGTTTGGCGCTGACCTCTCTATTCCTACTACCTAGGTGCTAGGTACCTAGGTACCCAAGTGGGTATGCAGGGCATATGGACTTGAACCTGCTGGGGGCTGGACCACTGTCCTGGTGCCTCGGTTGGCCCTTGGTTTACACTGACAGCCGCATCGATCACGGGCCCTGGGCTGAGCCCGCCACCCGGTCCTCCTGTCCTCCTGCCCTTGTCTCTGCTGGGTCGCATTCGACTCGTCAACCCGCCCGTTCCACGCTCCACGCTCCACGCCCCACGCTCCACCTATCCGGTACGATACGCTACGGAGGTCGTAGGGGCAAGACAGAACAGAGGATTGACAGGCCATTCTGCCACTCTGCCATTCTGCCTCCAACCCACCCGAGCATCGTCCTTCAACCGTTCAACCATCCACCTCTCCGCCCGCCTCTTCCCTGTCCTGCCTCGCCCTGCTGCCCAACAACCGCCCTCTCGGCTGCTGCTGCCGTGTGCCTACACAGCACACCCCGACACAGCTGCGCTTGCCCCTTCAGCAATCCGCATCTGCAGACCTAGTAACAGATTACACCCCCCCCCCACACACACACCCACCCACCAGCAGCGGTACTAGGCTTTCGCGACTTTGCGTCCCGCCCTCCTCGCTCCATCCCTACCCACCGGCCGCCCTGCGAGACAGAAAGAAGCTCAAGCAGACCCCCGACACGCCCTCGCCCCCCGCCCACGACGCTCGGCCATTCTTGATGGCTCGACCGGCGACGAAAGAACCATGAACTCCCTCAATTTCGTCTCCTCCCGCGTCTCTCCCTCCTCCAGCCCGGCCCCTTCGCGTTCCAACTCCCTTGGCTCAATGGGCATCACCGTCACCTCGGAGGAGCAGGAGCAGCAGCAGGAAGCCTCTACCACGGGCCTCGACGAGAAAACGCCCAATTCCGCGGGCCCCGACGATTCCCAGCCCGCTGACGCCGCGGCCGACCAGGACACACCTCTGCTGTCAAGAAGCGTCCCCAGGGATTCCGGGATACGGGAGTCGTCTTGGCATCAAATTCCCCGGCGCATGTTCAGTGCTGTCATAGGCTCATTGCGCTGGGTTCTGTCTACTCTGGCCGCCCCTGGTGTCTACCTGATCGCCTGCCTCTACGATGAACACGGACATTTTGCCCCCTGGCTACAATTCAAGAGGCTCTTTGGCGCATACCACGCAGATCCGCGGAAGATGGCTGCGGCAATGCAAGAGAAAGCCGCGTTGGAAGTCCGGACTGGTCCGACCCGGGGTGCAACCACCAACATAGCCAGGGGGAATGCCATGACAACGCGACCGGTGCCATCTTCTGGCTCTTCAACATCGGGACTCTCCAGTGAGTCCGAGTCCGAAATGGACAGGGACTCTACCAGCAGGCATCCGCGGGCCAAGTCCCTGCAAAGCTCCGAGGAGATCAGCCCCTCCCGGCGGTCCATCAGGATCAAGCTGCATAACGAGGAATCGCTGCGCCAGCGTAAACAAAAAAGAGGGCAGTCGGCCAGCTCTCGCCGCGGTACGACAGGCAGCCCGCAGCAAAAAGATATATCGGCCCACCTCAAATCGCCCACGTCTCCTGTTGGTGCCCTGACGAAATATCCCAAGACGCCTGCGCCCCCAAGACCGCTCATCCCACGACGCCAACCATCCTACATCAATGTGGAGGCCGACGCGCAGACACCCCAAAAGACACTGATCCTCGACCTGGACGAGACCCTGATTCACAGCATGTCCAAGGGCGGCAGGATGAGCACAGGGCACATGGTGGAGGTCAAGCTGAATACGACTTATGTTGGGGTTGGCGGGCAAGCCAGCATCGGACCCCAGCACCCCATATTGTATTATGTGCACAAGCGACCGCATTGCGATGACTTCCTGCGACGGGTGAGTGCCGACCTGGCGTCTGTTGTTGGCCGCCGCCAGTACACGAGAGGAAGCTGACGCAGGAGATCAGGTCTGCAAGTGGTTCAACCTTGTTGTGTTCACGGCCTCTGTTCAGGAATATGCTGACCCAGTCATCGACTGGCTGGAATCGGAGAGGAAATTCTTCTCGGCACGGTACTATAGGCAGCACTGTACATTCAGGCACGGCGCCTTCATCAAGGACCTCAGTGCTGTCGAGCCCGATCTCAGTAAGGTCATGATCCTGGACAACAGCCCTCTCAGCTACATGTTCCATCAAGGTCAGTGACGAGGATCGCCCCTCCCCTCCTTTCCTCCCGCGTCCGTCCCTCGGGGCGAGCAGTGGGCGGCAGTGTGAGGACTGGTTGAAACCGACTAACAACGGGTCAGACAACGCGATCCCGATACAAGGCTGGATAAATGACCCGACAGACAACGATCTGCAGCATCTCATACCGTTCTTCGAGGGTCTCCAGTATGTCTCGGATGTGCGTGCCCTTTTGGCGCTGCGAGGAGGTGAGGATGGCCAGCACACCTGAGGACCACAACCCGGTCGTACGGGCCCGGAGGGTCAGGGCGTTGTGCAATCGCCCATGGAGCAGCAGGGTATCAACTCAGCCTCCATATGGTGCGGAACCAACACGAACTGTCCATGCCCGGGTCCGCATGACGAAGCGCGCATGTGTGTAGAACTGTGCAAAAAGCAAGTAGAAAGCGAATAGCATTTTGAGCTCGTTTTTTTCCTTCTCTTTTTTGAGCCGCTGATATTGCGGCGATCCACAGGTCTCCTGGGCCAGTGGGAACGTTGTCTGGGTGTGTGAGTCGAGATCATGGAATCTTGCGGGTGCCTGAAGAATTGAGCAAGTGATCGAGTGGAAAGACGCGAGGCCTTCATGATGGCATCGACAGCTTGCTAACATGTATAACCGGTTTGAGAAGGCCGGCGGGTAATGACACAGCCCCTTGCAATCCGGCTCTTGTTTGGATACGCTGAGTCAGCCCAGTCTGGAACAGCAGAACCACCACCCGGCAAGTAAACAAACCCAACGCCCTGGTGCATAATGCCATACAACTAAGGCATTTCCAAGATCTGTGGCTTGTGTCGCCTTGTCATATGAGCGCACGTCTTGAAGCAGCAAGGCGTGGCCGCGTCCGGGGTGCGATGTGGCGCACAGACCCCTGACGGGCGCAAGCTCTCAAGCTACTCCAAAAGCAAGTGACGTCATGGCGCGTCGGTCCCAAGCTGGTCTGCTAGCGCTGGGTAGTGCCGATGCGATGCGATTGCGTCTGGGGAAATTGACCTGCAGCTGGTGCTAGGTACCTAGGTACCTTGGTAGGTAGGTAGGCCTCCCCAATCCCGGGCACCTGGATCGCTCCAGATGTCCCCTGTTGCCGGTCCCCCAGTCCCCCTCAAACGGGGCAGCTTCTTTGCCCATCCTGGAAGACCCAAGTTGTGACGTAGGCAGTTCCAGGCTTGCCCAACGAGGCAGCGAAGGCGCCTTGTAGTGGAGTCGAGGAGTAGCCAGGCAGCCAGGTGAAGATGGCAGATGGGTGATTTGCATTGCGTGTGGACTGGGGTGAAATCCACGGGTAGCCAGCCTCTGTTGCTAGGCTCTAGGCCTAGAACAGGACATTACCGCAGTGATGAAAGCAGAGACGAGGTAGTCGCGACATCAGGAGGTTGAAGCTAGTCCTGGCTGGGCTGGCTGGGTGTTATTGCCTCATTACCTGGGTGCTAGTCCCTGCTGGGTGGCCAGTGACGACGATTGAACGTAAGACAAACGGCATCATGGCCGTACACCTTGCACCAGCCTTGTTTAAAAGCCAACCTGCCCGCCTACGTTCCTCGTCCCCCTCACGCTGCACAACCAAGTACATCGTGAACCTCAATCCTGACACCTCGTCCATCTCGTCCTTTGACTAAGTCCTGTCCTTCTACCAAAACAAGCACAACAACCTCACCAACCAACCCATCATGTCTCTGCACTGTAAGATTTTATACACTGCGCGGCCCTCGGCCTGCTGGCGTCCTGAATCTTCTGGGGGCCTCCATCACCACGCGCACTTGCACAGGTGACTGACACAATACCTCTGCAGACCTTCCCCCGGTCAAGCCCTCGGCCATCGCCCTGGGAGCCGTCTTCAACCAGACTGTTGAGACTGCCGGTGAGCATATTGTGCCCCCTCCAGCTCTCATGCCAACAAGACGCTGACCTTCCTCAAGTCCTGAGCCCTCTGTTCGGCCAAGCCTACCAGAGCGCTAAGCGCGCCAACTCCAGCGAGCAGTTCATCCAATCCAAGGAGGCTACCAACGTTGCCGTCGCTTGGGGCACAACTGTGAGCAGCATTCCTCGGTTTCCCGTCGTCTTGTAAGATCCGGGCGCTGATCATCCCCACAGGCTGTCGGATCCGCCCTGCAGAGTTATGGTGTTGGAGCCCTGATCAACGCGACCGGAACCCTGTCCTACAAGGGCGCCGCCTACCTCGGCGGCCTCATCTTCCTGGCCACCTCTGCACCAACCGTGAGTTCACCCCGTCCCACAACATCTGTCGAGAGTATCAACACTTGCTGACACGTCTGTGCTGGGATTGCAGTTCATCACTCAAGTGTTCCAGGAGAAGCGCGCCCTCGAGACTGTCGGCATTTCCGTCGTCGCCAAGGCCTTTGAGACCGTCGGTCTGGCAACCTTCCTGACCTGGTGGGGCACCCGGACAAACCCCTTCGAGTAAAGGCATAATGAAATTGCCGCTAGCGTGGGGTTTAACGTAGCGAGCGGCGAGAAACAGGAGTTGGGGCATTGTACGATTTAATTTTGGCATGAAATTCGACGTCTAGCAGCGTAGAGAGTCGTAGTCTTCCGAGCCACAAAGGGCTCCCTCGCTTGAGAAGCTGAATAATTCAACTCAGAATTAGGATCATCACCCGCCTCCGGCATCACTGCGGTGACGGTATGAGAGCAGCCTTCACCTTTTCTCAATCTCGTTCGAGTGTCGGCTGGCTTCCAACTCGCAACCCACGGGAGCCTCGACTGATGGGTTTGGCTTTCTGGTGGCTGTCGCGGTTTCGCATACGCGCTGACAGCATCCTCTTCGGCATCTTTCCCCTTCGATCACAAATATCGCCTTGGCCCATGGGGGAGGCGGCTTTTTCGGCGCTTTCGTAATGCTGCTCGATTCGAAAATGCTAGCCAGCGCAAAACACAACCACCGCACCCGGTCACTTTAGTACATTGTGAACCTGTACGCCCTAAAACGCCCGCCTCAATTACGCCTGGTATCCCGAAGTTTGCTCTTTTTTCCCTTTTTCTTTTGGTGGTGACCACATTCCCCAAACAGCCCCGCCCTAACCCGACAGCACGTCCTTCAGCTGCTTCGCGGCCTCCTTCTGCGCGAGCTTGAGGAGTTCCTTGTAGGCGTCGGCGTAGCTAGAGCCGTCGTCATCCTCGTCGTCGTCCGCGGCGGCGGCCTTGCCGGCCTTGGGCTCCTTGCCCTTCTCCTGGATGAAGACAACGGAGGTAGGTCGCTTGGTCTTGGCGGCGCTGCCGAGCTCGAGGCGCGACCTGACGAACAGGTATGGGACATTGTGCTCCTCGCAGTAGATGGGCAGGTGCATGATGACCTCGTCGGGCGAGATGTCGCCCGCAATGATGCAGATCCCGGGGACCTGGTCCGCGTTGGCTGGCGTCTTGATGGGCGTCTTGCGGAGCGCCTTGTTGACCTCCTTGACGCCGCGCTGTAGGGCGCCTGCTTTCCGGGCTGTTTAAGAGGTAGTCACGTTAGCGATGGTCGTTCGTGGTGACAAGATCTTGGGATCGAGCCTGGTATGAGAGCGGCAGGTGTGGAATAGGCAAATCATGTTCCCTGGGACTTACCCTTCTTGATGGTCTTGTAAATCTTCTTGTGGCCCTTCACATCTGCCAATGGCAGGGCAAAGTACACCAGTTGTGTCTTGACCTCGGGGTTCTTGATGTCTTCCACGTCGGAGCCGGGGTGGTCGTCTTCGTCGTCCTTTGCTGAGGCGGCGGCATCTGCCTGCAGCTGGTTGTCGAGGGCCTCGGCGACCTTTGCCTTGAGCTTCTCCTTCTCTGCCTTTTTCTCCTTCTTGTCCTTCTTGGGCTTGTGGACACCGTCAGATTCGCTGCGCTTCTTCTCCTTCTTGTCCTTTTTCGAGTCCTTGGACTTTATCTTGACATCCTCCTCGGTTGCCATTGTGGTGGCGGCTATTGGAATTTGGTGGGAGTGATGAATCGGCTGCAGCGGGTGCTAGTATTCCAGTGCTCTGGTCATGCAGGTAACAATATGCTTGTGGTGTGGGATGTTTGGATTGATTTGTCCTCGCAGGTCACAACATTCGACCAGTATGCACTGGGAGCGCGGCATCTTGGCTGGAAATTTTCTTGCCTCTTTTCTGACTAGCTCCCGAAAGTTGTTCCAGCCCCGGCCGAAAAAAGTTAAAGTGGGGCCGGGGCGCTGCTTGCAAAGTGGTCAAGCTGCCTGTTGGAGGAGAATGCTGCACTGCACCTCGGGCACTAACAAGAGGCGGCCTGGCCTAGGTGGGGCCTGATCAGTGTAAGTCGCTTATCTATCCACATCTCACCAGACGAGTTGATGGCATCGACTGCATGCAAGGCTTCAAGTGAACAAGCACACAATCCATGCAGCGTTCACTGTTTGTTTCCCCAGCAATCCAGGGCCTTGTGGTGAGATCTGCAGGGCTGAGTAGCGGGTAATCTACTTGGGAATCTGAGGGAGCCTCTTGGTGGCCCTGGCAAGCCTGGTTGCCTGGCAAGCCTGGCATAAAACGCCCTGTTTCGAAACAGATATAGGTACTAAGTAGATGGCAAGATCCACCATCCCCACCCCCTGTCCTAAGGAGCCTCGCCCTCCGCGTAATGCATGAACCGTGAAAGGGGCTGCTCTCCCTTCATTGCCAGGGGAAGGGAAGAACACCGCCCCCTCACCACACCATGGCTGAGACCCATGTGAAGATTCAGGGAGGAAACGGCGCCAGGGTGCCATCTCCAGCCACTCCGCATAGAGGCCGATACCATTGCTTCCCCAAGAATATGGATATGCTCCCCTATCATATCCCCGTGGTTCATGCTTTGCTGCCCCGGCTGTGCACAGGGGGCTCAACAGTTCATCCCTTCTTAACAAGTGGCTCAAGATAGTATGTACAGACGGTAGTCCCCCTCCAAAAAGAAAAGACTACTTGGTTTGCTTGTCTTTCCTTCGACCGACTCTGAGGCTCCCTTCTCACCGACGGCAGGCCTCTACTTAGGACTCATGGATTGAAGTCCCAGCAATCCACACTTTCGTTTACATCTTCCCTTCGTACTCTCATTTACCTCTTTTTTCGACGTTCATTATCGAAATGGCCGCAATCGCGTCCGAGTACCTGGCAGACGTGCTGGAGCCCGAAAAGTTCGCTGCAGCAATCTTTGGTGTCACCCTCGCCTTCACCGTCCTCTCCACAAATACCGTGGGCCTGCGGGCCTGGATCCGATTTCGAAAGGGACAATTCAGCAGTGATGACTATCTGATGTGTACGGCGCTGGCCGTCAACTTGATACACAACAGCATGGTGATGCACGGGACATTTGTTGGAATTGGGTCGCCGGATTCAAAGCTCAACCCCGAGTTGAACGCCGAGGGTAGAAAGGTAGACTGGTAGTCTCTGGAATCGCTGCCAGCCACATGTGCTAACGGTGTCATCTTCAGTACCTCTTCCTCTGGCAGGTGTTCTATGCTATCAACCTGGTCTTCATCAAGACCAGCATCCTCACTACCTTGAAGGCAATCTCCAAGGGGCTGCGATACACGTACGCCATCTGGGGTCTCATCGTGCTCGTCAGCTTGTTGAGCATCGCAGGCGTCATTACGCTGCTGGCCAAGTGCCGCCCCATCCAGTCAAACTGGCTAGGCAATGGCTCCTGCATCGACTCGGACGTCTTCGTTGCCCTGTCCAAGACCGCCTACGCCTTCGACGTCTTGTCAGACTTAGCCATGGCTACCATATCGACGCTGCTTTTATGGACCCCCCAGATGCGTTTCAGGTCAAAGGTATTGACATTGGCGGCGCTGGGCCTGGGTGTAGTGTGAGTCCTGATGTCTCGAATGGGTTTTTCCCTCACCTCAACCCCCCCTGTCGGGCTGACAACCCAATTCTTCAAACAGAGCCTCCATGGCGTCCTTGATTCGCACAGTGTATGCCGATGCCTACAGCTCCGACGATAACTACCTGTTCAACACGGGGAAAATCGTCCTCTGGACTGTCGTTGAATGCGGAATAGGCATTATCGCTGGTTCACTGCCAATGTTGGGGCTCTTCCGCGAATCGCGCAGAATTGAGAAGAAGTGGGAGGAATTGGAATTGCAGAGCCAGGTCGATTTAACGAAGGTGGCACCGACTCATTCGAAGGCTGGTAGGGTGTGATTCGAGGAAACGACATACGAGGGGTTTCGGGTGACTCTGCTGGGCTTTTCATCCACGTCAAGCTTGTGACTGCGGCCTTGATGGTTGCTAGATGACTTGAGTCTTCATGATCTATTACGATTGACGATACTGTAGGGGGTCGTTCTCATATCCATTCCATTTTTTACGCAAACCAAGAGCGGCCTATTGATTGTCGTGCTCCTGTAATCGTGTTCTATGTTTTATCTGGTTTCGCTTCTATCCCGCGTACGTCGGAGGACATACATGGCGCCCCCATACGGTGGTGAACGCTCAAGACCTAGCGTTTCAAAAACCATATACTGTCGATAACAGTGGTGAAAATACGATAGGTGTGTGTAGCCCGACACATAGATAAACACTATGAATAATACTAAAATTAACATAAAGAAACAATAGTATTCAAGATAAAACTAGATGACATCTTAGTACTAGCTGGTAGCTATATAAAAACTTAAATGTTGTATAACACGGGCTTATAATTCTCTAGGTACTAATGAAAATAGAGAGAAAGCAGATACTCTTGCCTCTCTGTGTTTACTAGTACTTGGCCCCTCTGTAGGGTGAGTACCTGACTGAATCCACAACATCAATGCAGCACCTTCCGCCAGAGTGCAGTCAATGATATACTGGAAGAGGAATCAGACACGCAATTCATCACAGGATTCAATGCTGTACATAGCTCCTCATCACCTTCATTAAGGGTTTGCGTACCCCTGGCTACCCCATCATCCTCTACGGCCATTAAATAGTTTCGACAAGGACTTGAGGCTGGTACAGGCCGACGACGCCCACGATAGATGAAGGACACGATACTCTATGAACCTCAATCAATGAAGACTGTGGACGGGGAGAATTTGTTATGCACGTCCTTGTGCATCGCCCGTCGAGCACCACCGGAGCCCTAACCCCTTGGCCGAGGCCGTCCTGAATGAAGTTAATGTCAAGTCAGATGCCGCAATTCTTCCCGCACTTGGTCAGGGTATCCAAGGCGATCGTAAGCCCGGAAAATGCGCATGAGGCCCTTGATCATGAGAGGGTAGAACACCTTGAGGAACAGGTCGCGGGGTTTAACAAGCGCGGCCTTGACGGCCCGCCTTGCTTTCTGGGACCTGGACTGTTGACTCTCATCCTTGTGGCGACGCTCGCACACCTCCAAGTACAGCTTGGGATCATCTGTGATGACGCAGTCGACCTTTGCGCCTATGCACCATTCCATCCATGACTTCTTGTTGATAGTCCAGGCGTATAGCGGCCGCCCTTCGGCCTGACATCGCTCCCTGAACGCCCGCCCGCCCAGGCCGAAGAGGGACTCTTGTCGCATGTTGATTGCAATGTTGGGGATCTTCAGGTACTCTCTTGCTAAAACAAGGGAGACGGTGATGTGAGTGATGGCGAAGTCCGGGAGGAGCTCGTGGCAGAGCCGAAGCTGTTCCGCCTGAGATGGTACATAATGTCAGTCTGACACACGAACATGGAGCAGATGAGGAGTTGTGACTCTTGGGCCAGTGGCCATCAATCCCAGGAAGTTCGGTTGCTCACCCTCCAGCAGCCAAGGATAATCCTCTGCTCCCAATCCCCCCGCCGCGGCGCCTCGGCAATGGTCGCTGCGATCCTAGGGATCATCTCCCGAGGCGGGTCATCAATCTTGATGTCCAGCAGCATCCATACCGACTCGTTACCGGGCTCGGCCAGGAACTCGAGCACGTCAATCAGCCTGCACATGTGCTGCCGCGGCTGCTTCAGCGTCTCGAGCGTGCTCAGGTACTCCCAGTCGCAGTCGCGGACCGCCCTGTCCACGCCATAGCAGCGCTTGAGATCCTTGTCCTGTAGGCGAGGAGAAGGAGGATACACGTCAGCAATGTGGGTGGCTTTGTGACGTCTACAGGTCGGCGTTGTTGAGGGAGTGGGTGAGCACAGGACATACGTGGGCTATGACCACCACCCCATCCCTGGACAGGTGGACGTCCGTCTCGATGGCGTGGGCGCCGACCTCGACAGCGCCGCGGAAGGCACCCATGGTGTTCTCGGGGAAGCTGGCCTTGTAGCCTCGGTGGGCCACGGCCTGCGGGAAGCCATGATTGACCCCCGGCTGCGCTCTCGTCCACTTCGCTGTTGCCAGGGGGGTTGTTTGTCTTAGTCAACGCCCTCCCCGACTTTATTTAGGGGGAGGATGGAAGATGAGCAGATCTACCTGGCGGGAATCCACGCTTGTCGGTGTCCATGTCAGTGCCAGTGCCAGTGCCAGTGTCCTGTACCTTGTCCACCGCCCGCTGACGTAGATCTGACTTCGACTTCGCCGGCTCACTCATTTTGCATTCAGATTGGTATTCTCTCTTGGGATGAGCTGTGTCGATGATGGGATCAAACTACACGGGTCTTTGTTGTGAAGTCGGTACTTGGTAATGATATCGAGCGGGGCAGGCGTCACGAGAGCAGACAAGTACGAGCCGTCATCCTAATGGGGATATCGTCAAGTAGTTGTGAGGCTTATGCTTGCAGGCCCTTGAGCAATACTGATATGTGTCGGTCCTGCTCCTTGCTCCCTGGAAGCGGTTCCGCTCTCTGTTCCGGGGAGGCGTTGCGATTGACGACGGTTCGCGCGCGGCTGACAAGGGAAGGCCGAGTGGGAAGCGTGTGCGTTGTTGCACATGCAGACCGCTGAGGCTGGAGAAGATCAAGTGCGTCTTTTATCTGGGTACTTATGTAAAGGAGGCGAGTGTGGCCGTGGCTGACGGACACCGCAACTTATATGCCGATTGCCCGTTGGCCCGGATGCCTGGGGATCAGAAGCCAGTCCACAAAAGGGCCACCATACTTCAGTAGATCAACATGTTCGGAGTTAACTGGCGGTAAGACCGTCAGCCGGCCTCCTCGCTCCGCCACGCATATGGCACCACTGGTGTTGACAGAGTGAGTGTACATCTTACCTGCCTCTCTATCTGAATAAAAAAGACATAGGAGGAGATATAATATACTCGAGTATACTACACATACAAAGGTCTTCGCTTATGGAAGAACCACCAGAGAAAGCAGAAGACACAGATTCGTCCTTTCTTAGGGAGCAACAGAATCCCGCTCTCCCTGCCGTGGGCCAGGTTCGGGTGCCCCGCCGGTCACGCCAGTTACTCGCTACACACGCGGCTCACGCAGTGCTTGTTTGTGCCCACTCCACACACATGTACCACAGTAAACCGTGCCTAGGTCCATACAAGAACGTGCAACGATTGTGATACCCATTACCAAACATACCAAAAGAGTTCAGCACAAAGCGACGACCCGAGTGTAATCGATGAAAATAAAAAACAAGTGTCCGCCCTGACTTGTGTTGACAACGCTTGACCTTTCCCAACCCAGGGCCCAACCGAAAAAAAAAGACCGAGGAAATCCACAGCAGATCATGATCGACCAAATAGCCCATTCAAGTGGAGCATAGATTTTCTGCCAACAGTCCTGCACCAGAAGACTGTCACCCCCCTTCTGCCGTAACCAAAGGCACCCGTGAGACCCAATAAGAAACCGTAAACTAGACTACTTTGCCGCCAGAACGCACAGTGCAAAATCACAACCCAAAGTTGCCACCCACCCGCATACCCTCCATCATGAACCCCTCGTCGCCTCCGCCAGACATGATCGCCCCCTGGTTGCCCTGGAAATCACGAAAGTCCAGCGATGAGAGGTCATCACCGCCCGAGACAGAGCTCAGGCTCTCCTCGCTCAGACTCCCACCCTGCTGAGTAGCGCCAAAGTCGCCCAAGTGGAATGTTGAGAGGTCCAGCGAGTCGGGTGACCAGCTACCCTCCACGGTAGAGTTTACGGGCGTCTCCAGCGAGACCTGTGGTCCTCCGTAGATGGCATCGTAGAGATTGATTTGCCCGCCGTCAATCTGCCCAAGCAGGGCCTCCCACTCGGACGGAGAGACGCCTCCAGCAGCCGCTTTCGGTGGCACCTGGATGGACGCGTAGTGTTGTTGGGTCGTAGGCCCGCTCGTCGGGATGTGGTGGTGATTCTGCGCCGGCGACGATGACCCCGTCTGGCTCGACGTGTTGCCTAGTGAGAGGAAATCCAGGTTTGTCTTTTGTCCTGATGACACACGAGCTACCATAGCAGCCTGGGAGGTGGAAAGACGCTGGTCGCGGCGCTGCATGATCGACGCTGGGTTCGGCCTTGCACTGTCGAAGGATGTCCGCGAGGAGGAGCGGTGTAGGTCCGGCCGCACGGTACCTGGAATGGGCGTCAGGTTTGGCATCGTCATCCTTCTCAGCTTCTCCTGCTGCGACAGGAGATCGGTCTCGCTCATGCTTGCACCTGAATGTCGACCAAGTGGGTACTGCTGGGACTGATGACCATGTGAGGACGATTTCTTCTTCGACTTGGGCGCAGGAGACGTCCGTTGCGGTGGTGGTGCAGCCATGCTCGTGTCCGGACTCTGTCTCGGGGGCGTGGGCAATGAGACAATTGGCTCGTCCAGGCTTATCAGCATACTCGCAATCCGCTTGAAGTCATACGTGCTGGGCGCCCTCATCCTCTCAACGATCTTGATGACGGCATTGACAAGTCGCTCATTGTCCTTGAGCATCTTGCTGTCTTGCTTCAGGTCGATGCCTTGGTACAGCAACGTCATGCCGCAGATCAGCAGCAGGTCGGCCTTGTTTAGGCAGAACGAGAACGACATGCTCCTCTCTTCGAGTAGTTGTGAAATCTGGATCATATGCTTTGCCGAGTCGCTCACAGACAGTCGTGCCGGCGCTGCCTTGTGTCCTAGGCTGGAGCCAATTGCTGGCCTGTAGATCAATGTGCGTATGTAGTAGTACGTGAGGGACTGCTCGGACGTCAGCATCATCGAGACTTGGAAAATGTTGGGGTGAAGATGGTGCCTACCAGTAGTGGTGATCTGCTGCCAGTGACGTCTGTTGATGGCTTGTCTTGCCTGAAGGTAAGCTTCAAGTGCTGGGGGAGGTTTTCCGACCAGCTGTCGAGCTCCGCCTCAAGGGCAGACATCTGCTGCAACGAGAGGTCGTACGAGGTTGCCGCGGGATAAAGCTTCTCGAGCACCTTGGCCATGATGCGAGCAGCACGGAATAGTGCCAAAGCAGACGAGAGCTTGGTGTATTCCCCGGGCAGTGTCGGCTGGAACCCCTTCTCAGTGACGTATTCATCATCCGTGTCGGACGGATATTCGGCGTGCGCATCTTCCTCCTTGATGAGCTTGGGAAGGCCGAGTATCGCAGCAGAAAAACAGTCCAATGTGTAGAGTGTCCAGAAGACCTTCTTGCGTGTCTCGATGGTAAGGGCGCCGAATGAGAAGCGCTTTTGGCTCTGGTGAAGGCCGAGGCGATGAGACAGGCCCACTGCGATACCCTTGTAGTGTTGCAGGCGTTTGTAGTCTGCCCGTACTGTGCAGTAGATGAGGGCGAGGACCAGACATTGCAGGGTGTTCATGGTGTTCTCCATGAGTACTGCCTCGACGGACCGCTGCCATTGCTGCTCACAAGAAGCGACCTGGGCCAGGTCCGGCCTGTCGCTGGAAAGCGCAGCGATACTGAAGACGAGATGCAGTTGCGCAAGCTTGTGGTTGTTCTTGACCTTCTCCGGGTCTGACACGAATTCTTCATATATGCGAAGGAAGGTTGGCTTGTGGATGACGGGGAACAGTGGCGCCCACTCCTGGAAATAGACGTTGACGCACCGGTCGGTGAAGAGACGCGGTGGAGCCCTCATCGGACCGGCTGAGTCCTTGGGCACAAGTGGATAACAGCCTTGTATGTGCAAGAAGGCCTCGGTGTTGAAATCCGATGACGGCTTGCCAGCCTCTTGCAACTTGCGCTTAAACGCCTCTGGGTGGGAATCAGCACGGGGACAGATACGAATCACCGGATAGAATTGGCGCGGGGCCTTACCTACGAAGCCTCGTCCGCTCGACGGGCCCATGAAATATGAGTCTGAGTTCTCGACCCCAAGCAGAAGCGGTGAGGCCTGGACCTTGAACGTGTCCTCCTTGGCCGGCGTGGGCTCCCTCCCAGGCCTGCTCTCGACGGGGGAGCTTGCGCTGGACGGCATGCCGGAGCCGGAGCTGACGGATGGGCGGCGGTGGTTCCCATGCATCTTGGACAGCATGTCGATCTTCTCGTCCTTCTCATCCAGCAGGTCCTTGAGGTCGCGGACCTCAGCCTCCAGGACCCTGACCCTCTCCTCCAGGCTTTCCGTGTATCCCCTTGGGAAGGCGCGGCGGCTGAGCTTGTCGCTGGTCTTGCACTCGAAGCCGACATTGGCACACTGCGTGCAGCATGGCCGTATGCCGTCACATCGGATCTTCTTGCTCCTGCAGCGGTCGCAGGCCTGGGCGATGCGGCTCTGGGTGCTGGTTCCCACCTTGATGACCTTCATCGGCAGAATGCCCGGCATCTTGGCGGCGGGCGGCGGGCGGCGGAAGGCTGACGGGCTCGGCGCACTCGGTGGGTTCTTTGCCACGGACGGGACGGGCGTGGAAGGCGGTGCGAATGCGAAGCGAAACAGAAGAAAATCGACCCTCTCGCAGGCGGCGGGATCAACCTATTGCATTCGCCTCGGGTTGTCTCAGAGGGACCTTAGGAATCGGGGCTGTCGGGATTCGTGGGGAAGGGCGGCGGCTCGCTTAATGCTCACGGCTCTGGCGAGTCATTCCAGTCACGTTGCCAGTGGGAAGCCGTGCAGGACCATGCAGGACCATGCAGGATATAGTGGCCCAACGCTTCGAGCCACGGCCTTATACGATACGGGCTGAGAAGACGAACCAGAACCAGCGCGGCGGATTACGGACTGCAGAAAGGCCGGGAGGGGGTCGCAGGTCAAAAGTCGGAGGAGGGAATGGCGGGAATGGCGTGTGCGAGGGAAATCTAGGAAAGTTAAATCAAGACGGGAGAGAGGAGGGGAAAACCTCACAGACGACGGCCACCAGGCACGGAGGACAGAAAGAAGACGGAGCGGGCAGGGGACCGAAGAGTGGCCCATGGTCAATCAACTTCCCCTTGGACTCACAACGGTGTGGGAGCCAAGAGACTTCATTCGTGGGTGCCACGAGGGAATCTGGGGTTGGACAGGGGGCCCCTCTTGGACCGACCCAGTCTTGCGCTACTGCCACGGGGGGGGGAGGGGGGACGTGGTCATGATGCCTCAGCGCTGACCTGTCTGACGGGCAGACAGACTGGACAGGCAGACAGGACAGACAGACAGAGAGTGCCTGGGCTTGTGGCTTCTGGACCCTACTCCGTCAGGGCCTCTACAAAAGTATCCGGCCACATCTCCAATTCTAGCCCCTGAGCGCCTTAGGCGCTCAAATAGCCACACTACTTTACATTTTCGAATTATATAGTATTTATATTAGGAAAAAAAACACTTAACAGTTTATTCTCTTTCCACTACTATCATATAGCTTAATCTAATAATTAAGTATATCCTTATATACTTATATAATCACCTTTAAGTTAATAGTCTATTAGCCTTTTTTAATAAGCTATTATAAGTTACTAATAGACTAATATCCATACTATTTTATATACAACTTAACTACATTAATATAATAGATATCCTTAATAGGGTTAGTTTTAGGGTAGTAGTAAGGGTTTAATATAGCTTTTATACCTTCTTCTCTTTAAAAGTCCCAAATTACAGTCATTAAATATATACTATCACTATCCTCCTATATAATAAAGCTATATAACTTATAATACTTCTTAATATCCTTATAAATACACTTATATATATATTTATATATATTAATATTAATTTTACTATTATTATTTATATATACTTTATATTAATAAAGTAGTAACTTATAGCCCTTTAATCCTATTATTACTATATAATATAGAATAGTTTAATCCTATAGTTACTTCTTATAGAAAATTTAAGAGTTTTTTCATTTTTAAGTTATTACTAATTTTAAAGCTATTAAGGGAGGAGTGCAATAATATTATTTATAAACCTTTTTTAAAAATTTTTAAAAAGCTTATTTCTTTATAGTTTATATAACCTTTTTATATATAGGCTTTCTTTTTAGCCTTTTTCTAACTTTCTATTAAAAAAAGAAATATTATTAATTAGTATTATAAATTTAATCTTACTAAAAGGGGTCTACTTAATAACCAAATTTAATTTTATATATAGTATATTTTTTACAATTTTATTAAATATTTTTATTATTATTTAGCTTTTCTTCTTTAAGACGATTATATTAATTAAATAGGCCTATTTTTTACTAAAATATTATTTTATAAACCTTAATTTAAAGCCCTATATTAAAAGTAATATTTTACTATAATTAGTAAATAACTTTATATATTTTATTAAGGTTTATTTTATTAAGGTTTTAAGGAAAGAATTAATTTATTTAATATAATTAAATATAAATTTTATAAAGTATAATTATAACTAGATAAATTAAAAGTTATTAAAAGTTAATAAATATTTAAATTACTATAATAATTAAGGTTAAAGTTAAGCTATTATAGCAATTAAAGGGCTTTACTATTAAGGTAATATTAAATAATAATACTTCTTTAAGTCTTTAAAATATTAAAATATTTAAAGATTTATAATTTAATAATTTAATTAATACCTCACCTAAAGAGGTTAAAGTATTTAAGGAATTAATATATACTCCACACCTTAGCGCACTTAGGTATATTATATTTAATTAAACCTCCTTTTAACACTATAATAATAATATTTTAATAAATTAAATAGGTATTATTTAATAAAGTGTTTAATTTTAAATAAATTAATAATAAAAAATAATACTATATATAATATTGTTATTAAGGAAAGTGAGGTTAAAGTTTAATTGTTTTAGTAAGGAACGCGATAAATTAGAGTTGTGGCCGGATACTTTTGCAGCCCGCCTGTCCGTAGACCCAGGTGCTACTGACTACTGACAGCCTACTGTGTAAAAGGACCAGCTCCCCGACACTGCTGGCCGTTGATTGGCAGAGGCGCCAGCCGTTGGGAGACTAGCGACTGCTGCTGCATTAGGAATCGTAGCAGTAGCGCGGCAGGGGCCCAATCATTTAGGCTCTGTCCAGGCCACTGGATCTTCTACCCCAGACGGGGCGAATGTCGACCCCAGGATTTGGATTCCCGCCTCGAGTTAGCCTTCGCCCTGGACACCCTGGCAGCCTGGAGACCCATCGCCCCCGGACGTCTCTGTTGCTGCTGGCAAACCTAAAACAGCCGTCATTCGATGTGCCTCGATGCCGAAAACTCCCCGCCATGGGGGCATTGCAGCAGGGGCGCCGGGTTGTATGCACGATCGTGCATCTATCTGTGAGCCCCAAGAAGAGACGATGAACAACCGATCACCTCGTCTCTCATCAGGCCTGTCATCAGTCCTGTCCGACCGTCCTGACTTCACCCACCAACGCCGGGCAGGGCCCCCCATAGGATCCCACATATGAAGTAGGCTGGCTGGCTGGCTGGCTGGCGTAAAGGATGCGGCAGCTTTGGCTGTGGTGTACTACATAGATTAGCAATTTGGTCCCCCCCCCCAGTCGCTAGCAGATTTTCCAAGCAGACTAGACAGGGACTGCCGTCATCTCAACGAAATTTACCGTGGGCCTTGAGACGGGCACTCGAGCTGTCTGTTCGAGTCCTCCCTTCCCTGCCGCATCAATCGTGCCACTTGCCTTGGCGCACTTGGACAAAGATGAAAGACTACCGTGGCGTCTCCGCAAACGCCCGGGCTCTCAACCACCAACACCTGCGCGTTATGCACACCGAGCCGCAAGCGTGTCCCTTTTACCCGGCGAGTGATCACCGCGGCCGGCGCTAGGACGAGCTTTGCCCAAACTGTCGGGCTGCGGATCCGCTCCTTGTGATCAGTGGCATGGCCGTCTCAACCACGCCGCCACGCTGCCACGCTGCCACGGTGCCACGGTGCCACGGCCGGAGGATATGGAAATGTGGGCGGGCCGGCGGGAGGACACTCTTGCACACATCTCTTGCACGCGCGTGGGGAAGCGGAAGGATTGGTATCATCTGCCCGTGCACCCTCCTCTGTTGGTCTCTTGCTGCAGTTGTGGTGCTTGACTACGAAAGCATGACCCGGTCGGTGTCTGCGCTCCCCGAGGTTTACGTCTGCGTCCAAAGCCGCCATCCTTCTGCGGGCCCTCCGCATTCTGCCCAAGACCAGCTGGGTCCGCATTGCACACACGTCGCACACTTCTGGTTCGACCACAACACAGACCGTTGCGCTTCAACTGAACTCGTCGTTGCTGTCGTCTTCGGGAACCTCACTCAAGCCGCCTTCTGAAAGGGCCATTGATCCAAGGTAGGCTGTCACGTCTTCACGAGCCAAGAGCTCGGTCCGCTGCAGCATTATCAGTAATTTGGCCCACAATGGATCGACGTATATGTTGGCCTGGATAGGGATGCCATGACCTCATCCTGAAAGGTGCCCAGGCTTCAGCAGGACAACAGAGATGAGATACTCACTTGCTCCTCAAGCACCGCCACCGCTTTCTCGAGCATGCCTTTCTCTATGTGCTTCAGCGCTCTCGCATTAGCGGCGTTGTTTGGACCTGACTTGTCCGTGGCGGACGCTGCATTGTCATGGTCAAGCGGATGGGAACATAGCCGTTCCAACTGCTCCTCTAGTCGCTGAGCTATCACCATGTTGACCCGCAGTTTGAAAACACTGCAGAGCTCATGGTCTAACACCAGCTGGTCGAAAGAGGACGTTTTGCCTGTCACGTCCTCATCTCGCCAGAACGTCCTGAGCTCTCTCCCGCCATGGTTGTCCTGGAGTAACCGGAAGTCCAGCCCATCTTCTTCGTTCAAGATCATGAGATACGCAAAGGGACTTGTAAATGACACCGTCCCATCAAGCTCCTCGATATCAACCACGGGGGCGTCTTGGAAGGCGTGGACCTTGGCCTTGCCTAACGGATCATCCGGCAGCGGTCTCAGCGGTAGTCTGAGGCTTTTCATCGACGAGGACGAGTCTATAAACCCGTAGCTGAATAACATCTCCGCGGCCGGCTTCTCCGAGCCATAGCTGATGTTGATCTCGTCACCCTCCTTTACGCTGCCGCCTGGGCGAAGCAGGATGACAACATCGCCATCAATATTTTGTTCATAGTAAGCATTTGCATCGGTCGAGTGGTTTACCACTGCAGCGTTTAGAGTCAGTTAGTTGTCAAAGGACTGAGAACCCTTCCCATACAAACTTGTGGGGCAAACGATCGCGCCCGAAACAACTTACTGTCAATACATGGAACCAGAGACGGACCCGACCTAGGAAGCTCTAGGACCCTGGAGCGGTACCACGCGTCGACGAGCAGCCAATCCGACAGTCTCACAGAATCATTGTCCCAGAACGCGGCATTCCAACACTCGATACCGGATGACTTGTCGCGGAGCTCCTCAAATTCGTTGTTCAGAGCAAGCATCTTCGCATTCAGGGCAGCCTCGAGAGACGTTCCTTGGAGGAGCAAGCGATCACCTTCCTCCCAGAGAGTAGGCACAGGAACGGCATCATCCAGGAGTTTGACATACTCGGTCCAGGGATTCACGAGGCCCACATGTTCCTTATTGCCCGAGGAGAGCACCAGATGGACCAGGAGGAACAACAGGACGTCGTGACGGGGCGACTAGGTTAGGTCTTGGTCAGCAAGGCATGGTGTAGCAGCCAAGATGGTGCTACTGACCTTGTGTCCACAGGCATCCAGGAGCTGCCTGAAGCTCCTGTCTTCTTTGGCATACTCCTCGACGGCTTCCGAGTTCAACACGAGGCTGTGGGGGATGGATATCAGAGGTAATGTGCCAATGGCGACCGAGTGTTTCTTGGCAACCAGCCCTGATCCCTTGTGCGGAACGGGCTCAACTTGTACGTTGCTGAAGACGCCATTGTTGAAGCTTGTCCATACCGGGAGAGATTCCAAGGGCAGCCGCGGTCGAGGCATATCGCAGTCGATAAAAAAAACCCGATGCGTGAACGCGCATGTTATATGTAGCTTTAATTATCGTGAGCCGTCAAGTGAAGTGCCCTGCGGTACATACCCTATGTACAACCCCTCCAAAGTGGGGCCTACAACGCTCGGTCGAGCGCTGGTCATCCCTGCCCCGCGACGGGTGACGGGTGACGGCCGACGGGCGACGGGTGAGTTGCCGGCTTGAGAATCTTGTCTGGTACGACCACTCCAGAGACAACCACAAATCGGCACGCAAGCATACAACACCGCCATAGTACCTCTGCAGCTTCCTGCGGCACGTCCTCACAGATCTACGCCGGCCACTTCTTGCCCATAGCCCCCCAGCATGCCTCGCGACCCGCTGATAGGGCTTGTTGGCAAGCCCAGTGCCGGCAAATCAAGCACTCTAAACTCGCTTGTACGCGCATCTCGCTCCTCTACCACGATGCTTACACTGCGCACCCACTGACCTCGCAACTAGACGGACGCATCCTCCAAAGTCGGTCAGTACGCCAATGCTCCGCACAATGAGGGTCTCTGAGCTGATGAAGAGTGGTAGGAAACTTCCCGTACGCGCACATCTTCCCGCTGGGACAGCCCTGGCCTGAAAATCCCCACCACTCTCGAGCAGTCCGGCTGACCTGGCCGTCCTATTGACCTGATCCAGATTCACCACCATCGACCCCCAGCGAGCGATAGGATACCTGCAGGTAGACTGTGCCTGCAAGCGGTACAATGTCTCCGACCGGTGTAAGCCCAACTACGGCGCCTGTGTCGACGGCAAGCGAAGCGTGCCCATCGAGCTCCTCGACGTCGCCGGCCTCGTCCCGGGTGCGCACGAGGGCAAGGGCCTGGGCAACAAGTTCCTGGACGACCTCCGCCATGCCGACGCCCTCATACATGTGGTTGACGTTTCGGGGACGACGGACGCCGAGGGCAAGAACACGAGGGGCTACGACCCGAGCGTCGACATCGCCTGGCTGCGCAGCGAAATCGTGGCGTGGATCCGGGGGAACCTGATGCAGCGATGGGGCAGCATCCGGAGGCGGCACATGGCGGTCAAGGCAACGGCGGTCGAGACGCTGCAGTCGCAGTTCTCGGGCTACGGCAGCACGTCCAAGGTGGTGGCGCGGACGCTCGACAAGCTGAACCTCAAGGAGCCGCTCGAGGCCTGGAGCGACGAGACCATCGACCGGGTGGTCAATGCCTTCACGGACGAGAAGTTCCCGACCGTCATCGCGCTCAACAAGATCGACCACCCGGACTCGGACGCCAACATCGCCCGGATAGCAAAGATGCAAGACCCCGGCACGATTGTGCTGTGCAGCGCCGTCTCGGAGATCTTCCTGCGCAAGCTCGCGAAGCAGGGCTACATCCGGTACAGCGAGGGCAGCGAGTTTGTGGACACGAGGGAGGACCTGATCGCGGACGGCGATCCGGACGGCGGGGGGCTGAAGGAGCTCGATGACAAGAACAAGACGAGGATAGAGAACCTCAAGGACATGGTCCTGTACCGGTTCGGATCGACCGGCGTGGTTCAGGTGCTGGCCAAGGCCGCCGAGCTGTTGGGCCTGGTGCCCGTGTTCCCGGTGAGGAACACGACATCGTTCAGCTCGGGTGCGACGGATTCGAAACACGTGTTCAGGGACTGTGTGCTCGTCAAAAAGAACAGCACTGTCGCAGACGCGGCGAGGAAGGTCATGGGCGATGCGCCCATAGCTTACATCGAAGGGGTTGGGAATCAGAGGGTCGCCGAAGACGACACCATCTCCATCGGGAAGAACGATGTGGGCCAACCCTGTCCCTGAACGCGCGATGCATATTCTAACTCACTCTGCAGATCTTGTCATTCAAAGTCGGGCGGGCGTAGCAATGTGCGATTGCAAAGGCAGCCTAGACATTTACAAGACCATACACCCATGGACAACTAACCATGTGCCCGAGGTATTGTGTCGAGTCGCTACGGCTCATGCCTAGCAATCTAAGATGCGTGACAACAGGGGCGGTAGGGTAGAGGTAGCGTTTGGAACGCTGAATGGGATCAAATGCCAGGACCAGGCTGGTCAATCTATCAGGAACCCCAAGTTTTAACCAGGGATTTGGCACAGGCACATCACAACTTCGTAGGCTTGTGACGTCATATTGCCAGGTCACCCGAGCCTGGGCTCGGGGTTACCGGAAGTCAATGGAGACCAACTGATCAGCCCTTGCGAGCATAATGCGAAAGATAGGTGATATTGTTGGTAGAAGTCGTCTCAACATGGACGTATAAGGGGTATCGTGTCATTATCTAGAGAATTGTCTCTCGGTAACCTGAACCCGCAAGCCGACAGCCCGAGCATAGGCCTTTTAGGAAACGGATGCAAATCCCCATCTCCCCTCAAACAAACAAGAACAAGCAGATCGCAGTATGCTATAGTCGTCGGCGAAATAAAAAATGCGCATCGCAACAGAGTAACCCGTAAAACAGGACGGGGCGTGACAGCCCGCCGTCCCCATGGCAAGTCGTAGAAGGCCGTGGTCGAGTTGTAGGTTTTGCAAAGTAAAAGCGGTCGGTAAGTGGGCGATTAGTACTTTGATGAAGGCGGGAAGCCCAATCATGGCCAAGTACCGACTCCTGGTCGTTGAGCGCATGGCGATCAGGTCGTCGACTGCCCAACGTTGGGCTTGTGGTGAGCGACGCCCTGCACTTTGTCGCCAGCACGTTGCTCCAGGTTTAATACTTCAGTATGATGTAGCTATTGTGACGCCTGGTTAGCAAAAAACTCTCGTCTAAGGGTGGGGTGGCCGTGGTGGTCAAGGGGAGGACAGCCGATCACATACAGAGCGTGGATGATACCGGGGATGTAACCCAGGATGGTGAGCAGGATGTTGATAAGCAGGTCGGCACCGCATCCGCGCTCGAAGAAGACACCCAGAGGTGGCAAGAAAATGGCAAGGATGATCTTGCAAATGTCGCTGTGGGAAGCATCGTTAGCACGGTAGGTATGAGAAGGTTGGGCGGGTGGTAAAGTACCTTCCGGTGAAAGGCATGATGGCGGTATTCGGCCTGGGTTGTGTAGACAAGTTTGCTGGTTTCGTTTGAAGGACGGAGGTTGAGCAGTTTGGAGGATTTAATAGTGTGTCCGGGTATCTTTCGAGATGGGTGGCAGAGATTCCAGGGCCAGACGAGGAGGAGGAGGGCGTGGGTCAGCCTTAAGTAGGCGCAGGCGACGCACGTTCAAGAGGGCAGCAGTTGCATCAGCATAGAGGGCAAGAGTCGGCGCCCAGCAAACAAGCTTCAGTCACCTGGGACAGGGGAGGTACATCATGTTTGCCAGTCAGTCCTCACAAGTGCGTCATACACCCACCCGCCGCCACAGGGCGTGCCAGCACAGGCCGGTTTGCTGGGGTCGCTTGCCGTGTGGTCCGTCGACCACCCCGTCAGCCCTTTCCCGCGCTTAATTATCATGGCACCGTTCTGCTGCCAGGTTTTGCTGAGTGGCTGGCTGGCTGGGACCGAGTCCAGATCCGTACGGCCCATCCTGAAACCAATCTCCCGTGCATGTCCAGCCACCCCGTAGTAGCTGGGGGGGCCGTTGGAGCTGTTGGGGTGAGAGCCCAGCGAGAGGAGCTTGCCGCGACGTGATAATTTTGGCTGGCTGTGCATTCTCCAATCGGTTCCTAGTGCCGTCTGTGCTGTTGTCTGCTGCGCACCCCGTCAGCCCGTACGGCACGGCAGCCACGGTACTGCAGTGGGCAGATGAGACCCGTCCCCACCCAGCCGTGCAGCAGGGCTGTGCTGTCAGGCTGGACCACACACCCTGACACCCTGACAACCCCACTATGGTAGCATCCGGTGGTGGTCTTGACAATTATCGTGCCGGCTGGGACGGGACTGGGCGAGTAGCGATGCTCCCTGGCAACCTGGCTCCTCCCCGTTGGCCTCTGTGATTGTCACAAAAGTGGCTGAACAAAGCCCCAGGCAGGCCCTTGGAGCCTCGTGAGGACCCGACGCCCACTGCCCGGGAAAGCAAGCATGCACCATCATGGGAACTGGAACTGCGGCACAGGCTGGCCTGGCTGGCTGCATGGCCAGCTGGTGTTCGGCAACTCACACCCGCGCGGCTTGCTTCATGCCCAGACTTTCTCTATTTGAGTACCCACCGCCGGTCTTGGTATCCTCGCCTGCGGTACTCTTGGCTGCGGCTTGGGTCTGCATCCCAGCTGCCGTTGCTCGCAGCACTTTGCAGCTGATTTCGCACCTTGGCCGTCGCCGTAGCTGGACCAGGTACGTCATCCCAAGGGCCTCGGCCTGGCTGCAAGCCTGTAAATGAAGCCACCCAAGCAGCCTGTCAGGATAGCAGGCTGGCCTGGCTGGCCTGGCAGTCAGGGCAGGTTGGTTTTGCCATCGACGATCATCCGATCTGCCCTGCGCAGAGTCAGGAGGACAGGGAGGACAGGACGGACAGGAAGGGCAGGCTGGGATCTGTGTGGCGCAGCAGGTGTGGCTCAGGCGTGGCGTCAGCGGAGATGGCAGGGATGGGCGTGGTGGGCCCCATTGTTGTCGCGTCTGTGCCGTGGGAGGCCGATGACAGCATCGTCTCGACTGCTCGGTCATTGGATCGGTATTCTTGGTGCAAGTCTGCAACAATGCTGTGCAGTTATTCCGTACAGGGGTCATGCAGCGTTTTGGCCTAGTCCCCGCCGGGTGCTTGATCGGCTTGATCACGGGTTTCGTGCCGGTAGACCTATCGAAATATTGGAATATCGAAATATCGAAATATCAGAGTAGATACTGAGTACCTGGGTGTCACATTCGACCGGGTGGGAGCTGGGCAATGGCATCCAGGCCTGGCTCAACAACACCGAGCCCAGCAGCCTGGTGCTCACTTGCCATCCAGTTGGGGAGTGGATTGGCCGGTCGCTCCCGGCGGGGGATCCGCCCGCCAGCCGGCAGCCAGCTGCGCGGCCCAACCCACAAGTTTCGGCGCTCCACTGGCTGCAAGGTCCGTGTCGCGAACTTTTTCGCCAGCCCGGGGCCTGACAACGCCCTCTACATCGCAAAGCACCACAACCTTTTCGCCCAACCACCCACCAACGGCGCAGGATATTCTAACCTCTTTGCGTCCTCTTCCACCTCAAATCAGAAGCAATGGCTCCTCAGACTGTATGTACATGACACCGCTTTGCTGCTGGCCCAGTCTTTCGGCCAGAGAGATCATGGCGTGATGCAGTAGGCTAAGGTCGAATTTTCAAAACCGCAGAAGAAGGGAAGGTCCTCCAAGACCACCAAGAAGGTAAGTGACATGTCGCCGAGCCCACCTCGTCCCATTCATCCGGCGCACAGCTGACCGATTCCCCGCCCTGCAGTTCATCATCAACGCCTCGCAGCCCGCGAGCGACAAGATCTTCGATGTTTCGGCCTTCGAGAAGTTCCTGAACGAGAAGATCAAGGTCGACGGCCGCGTCGGCAACCTGGGCGAGACCATCCAGATCTCCCAGGTCGGTGATGGCAAGATTGAGATCATTGCCCACAACGAGCTGTCTGGCCGGTACCTCAAGTACCTGTAAGGACCACCAAACCTGTTGGGGGCGACGGACACAAGCAATGTACGGGGCAATATGCTGACCAGGATCTTTACGCGCTCTAGGACCAAGAAGTTCCTCAAGAAGATGCAGCTCCGTGACTGGCTCCGTGTCGTCTCTACCTCTAAGGGAGTGTACGAGCTCAAGTTCTTCAACGTCGTCAACGACGAGGCCGATGACGATGACGAGTAAGCGACGACCAGCACTTTTGACGACTTCCGGGGATGAGCCTCGATGGAGGACCTTCTTCGAAAAGGACTGCCGTTGGTGGTAAGAAAAGAAAGTGGGAAAGCATCGGTGGCCAAGCAACAAAGGCTGGCTGGCTGATTACTCTGGGCTTGGGGTGCATGTCACAGCTTTGCCTGGCTTCTAGATAGTCAATGAGTACTATCTGGTCCCGCCGAACTTGATTGGAGATGGGTTGTCTATAAGCTCTCGTGAAATGTCTGGGTATCAATGACCTTGCGACTGTCTGCTCCAAGCATGATGCACCCCCCCCCCTCCCCACCACCACTTTTCCGCCTGCCACTCTAGGGCAGTGTTCTCATAACGCCTTCAAATGCAACCAAGGCCATTGCATTGGCCGGGAATGCCCTTAAAAAACACGGCAAAAACCCTCGCCAGTAGCCCCTCAACCCGCCCTCCCTATGTACGGCCACCGCCGCTTCCCTCCACGACCTGAAACGCCGTGTGCCGTCGCCTAGACTTCCGCCCAGCGGATCCGTCATGATGCGCTGCTTGACCACATCACTGGGATAGCTCGTTAGCCAGAAGACCTGAGCGCTCAGCCCTCCAGCCCAGAAGTTGATGGCTGGCGCGCTCAGGCTCGTCGAGTTCTTGAGCCAGCGACTGAACACATCGTAGCTGCCCCACCAGAAGAAGAAGAAGCTCCGGAACAGGAGCGTGGCGGTCAGGCCGTGGTACAGGCCCCCGAGGCCGTGCGCGCGCCATATCTTGTGCAGGCAGTCGATCGGCCCGCTGTAGAGCCTCTCGCTCTTTTTGGCCGCGTACTGGATCTGTAGCCGGGCCTTGACGTGCTCCACCGGCGCGGCGACAAACGAGACCGTCGATCCGGCCAGGATGCCGGCCAGGCCGTGGCCGTGGGCCGGCAGCGGCAGGTTTGGGTCATGGAGGGGGTGCAGCGGCGGGTTGAAGATGTGGTCGCGGAGGAGGCGCCGGTAAACGGTCAGGCTGCCCAGCATGATGCTGTCCATAAACATCCATCCCACCAGGGGCGGAGTGGCCCCCTTGTACAAGCCGGCGAGGCCCTCATGGCGAATTGTCTGGAGGAGGCATTGGAGCGGTCCAGAGAAGCGGGTGCTGTCGGTCGTCTGCAGTCTCACCTTGATGGTATCGAAGGGATGCCCGACTTTGTCACGCCGTGTCAGTGTGCGCCATCAGAAGAAGCAGTTTCTGCAAGAGGTGTTGGTCTCGCTCACCTGACAGCTTTGCAATTCCGGAGAAGACCCCGGCGACGAAGCCTTTATAATTTTTTATCTCTCCGGGCTGCTCCTTAGCTTTGACGGCTCCTGCCATTTTTGCCGACTCCTGCTATTTTTGCTTACTCCTGCTCTTTCTGTAGGAGAGCGGAGAAGCAGAGACTGGTCAACTGGTCAACTGGTCAACCCCCACCGCGGCAGTGGTGAGGAAAGATCAAGAGTCATCATTATGGGATTTTCACATCGGGGACTCTGGTGAGGTAATCGACCCCGGAACGTGGGGCCTATCGATAGCTACATTCATGATCCCTGTCGGGGCCGGAGAAGCGCCCAATATGTCTAGGCACCTAGGTAGGGTGAGGTTGAAGGATGGAATCCCAAGCATTTAGTCGTCTTACGAACTGTCAATTGATGGGTCCCGTAGGTTCCATGCGGAATATCAGTTTGGTGTATGCCGACCCGGTTACAATCAGCCCTTGAGCTTGGCTTGGTGGGTAGATTTGGGAACCTTGGGCTAATAGCGACTGGCTTTCGAGGAGCATGTCGACATCGGGACCAACTGAATTCCCCACGGCGTGAGCAAACAGAACTGGAACTCCCTGGACATCGCCTGCAACCGACCAGGTCCGGAATGCCTGGCTGGTCCATAAATGGTGTCAAAATTTGATTTCCCTCAGCACCGCAGGAACGGAAGGATTCGATACTTATTCCAACAACTTGATCTGATTTGCAGTGAGTCAATTGTTGATAGGTCCAATGGATGAATTCTAGAATATTTTACGATTATTCAACCTCACTCAGGCAGCGGCAACCTTGGTATGTCGTGTGCAGAGAACTCATCAAATGGATGCTATCTGCGAGTAATGCTACAGTGGACATTGATATGCATTTGCAGTTTCAACATTTGAGCCTCATACCGGTACCAGCTATCCCATGATCTTGTTATCTGGAAAAATTTCACCATACCATAGTCATGCACTTCTGAAACTGAAAAAATCACAAGTGACAGGTCGAAGATGGGGTCTAAGAGTAAGCAATATGCATTTGGGGCTCGAAGATATCAAATGAATAACGACTTAACTTAGTTCAGCCCTTGTGCTAGCACACTTGGACTCTCTTTAGCAACAAAGATGCTATTACTACATGGTTGGAGCCTCCTCATTCCCTCCGAGCTACTGGGCCGTCCATTTTGAAGTGAGTATGAGATTTGGGAGCAGTCATTCGTGGTCTCATGGACCCCAGTTCTTTGACGGCCTAGACCCGATATGCCCAAGTTGACACTTCAGGGCCTGTGTGGGATTGTCAAAGCATGCCATCCCAAGCCCAAGTGCGCCTCCAGGTCCTCTTGGCTCTTTTTCTCATCACCAGCTCAACATGTGATTCAAGAGGTGGGGATTAGATTCCTCAACGAAAGATCGTAGACCACATCCTCGACCTTCTTCACTGCATACTTGACACTATCCACCCGCTTCCTCAGAATGTCATTCTTCAGGTTCAGCAACTGAAAGCCGGCGTGTATGTCTTTGACGAAGCTGCTGATCTTGACAGCGAGCTCGTGGTCTCCCAGGGTCACAGCATTCACGGCCAGGCGGGCCAGCTCGTCCGTCAAGCATGTGACTGCCAGGAGGTACTCCTCGATGGTGATGTGGAAAGCATCGCGGTCTTTCAGGTTCACAGGGACTGTGATTGGGTGTCAGCCTGACAGAGTTGAACCCCAGTTGGTCTAATCTGGATCAAGATTGGATGCTGGCCCGACTGACCGTGGAAGACGTGCTCTCCGACCTCCTCAAGGGTCAAAAGTCGACCTAACCTGCCCTCGGGGACAATTCCCCCGCCCAACCAGCCGTGGAGAAGGACCGTGAAGGCCGCATCCTGGATGCACCGGGTCCACTTGCTGTTGTACCTATAGAAGCCGCAGGTTAGCATGTTGAATTGGTCGTATCATGGAATTTGACGTACTTGTAGTAAGGGTATTTAGATGCAACCTCGCTCAGCTGCGAAATGTCCTCGGCCTCAGCCCTGATGGCAGCCTCGACTTGGGAAAGGAGGGTAGGGTAGTGAGATCTCGGCGTTGAGTGCACCCGCGAGAGGATACCTTGGGTGTAGGACACGTTGCGCTCCAACTTCTGAATGATCCCATTGAGGTCATCGCGCGCCTTTGTGTCCTCGTCGATCTTCGACTTGAGGTGTTCGAAGATCTGGGGATCGATCATGCCTGACATTTTGCTGCGAAGGCGTTTGCTCGATGTCACCAGTTGACTCCTGCAGTTCCGCTGGAGCTCGGACGAGGCTGCTGTCAGACCAGTGGCTGCAATTATGTGACTTGACCACACCTCTACAGATCCAAAATGGCAGCTGCAGATGATAGAGAGATTGTTTTGCTGTTGGCTCCTGTATGGTCGCTCCGATATGCACATGTGGTTCGCCTCAAGTTTGACCATGGAAGACTTCGACAGCAATGTCTTGCCCCGAACCCTGGTGATAGGGGGTCCACCCGTGTGCGCTGCGTGGCATACAGATAGGGTTGAGTACTATACTATAGGTTAGTAGATACTATAAATAGTTATTATAACTATATATACACCTCTTACTACCTTTTAATTATTATATTACTTTTAATTTTTAAAATTATTATAATAATATTCTTTTAATTATAATAATTAAAATAATATATATTATTATATTTAAAAATATTTTAATATTTTTATTTTTATTTATTTTATTTTTAAATATTTAAATAAAATTAATTTTAATTTACTTAAAAAAAGAAAGAATATAATTATATAATAAAAAAGAATAAAAGTATTTTATATAATTTTATTTATATTTTATATATATTTAAAAATATATATAATAATTTTATATAATAATTAATATTTAAAATTTATTTATATTTATTTATATATATATTTAATTAATTTAAAATTATATAAATAAAAATAATTTATATTATAAAAGTTTTATTTATTTTAAATTTATTTAATTTTAAATTTAAAAGAATTATTATAATTATATTAAATTAAAAATTAAAGTAAGTTATTAAATATATAAATTATTTATATTTTTAAAGCTTTAAGTTTTTAATATTAAAATTATAAAAACTTCTCTTTCTTTCTCCTTTTAAATATTATATTAAGAAATTATAAGTTTTAATAATAATTATTTTTAAAATTAATAGTTTAATTTTTATAATAATTTATTTTTAATAATAAATAATTTATAACTTTTAATTAATTAATTAAATAATTTACTACTTATTTTAAAAGTAAAATTACTTAAAAGAATTTCTTTATAATTCTTTTATATATAAATAAATTTAATATTAAAATAAAGTTAATTTTAAACCTTTCTTTTATATATTTCTTAAAAGTCTATTTTTTCTTATTTTATAAGTAAAGATTTAAAGTTTCTATAAATTTAATTTAAAATAAATTTAAACTTATTTTTTAAATATTAAAAATATTAATAAGTTTTAAAATAATATTTAAATTATATTAAATTAAATTATAATAAAATAAAATATTAAAATAAAACTTAATTATAAAATTATAATTTTAAATTTTTAACTTTATAATTTTAAAATAATAATAATTTATATTTATATATATATATATATATATATATATATATATATATATAATTATAAGCTAATATCCACTTACCTAGCAATTATATCCACTCACCTAATTCCTACTAACTACTCACCTAGTACTAACTTTTCTAAATAACTCCCTTACATTTATAAGTACCTTCTAAGTTAGCACTAAGAAACCCTATAGTATAATTTCCTTTTCTAATTTTTAATACTTTTAATATAAGCCCCTTTTAGACCCCTTTTAATACCCCTTTTAAGACCCTTTACCTTCACCTTTTAAAACCCTTTACTTTTACCTTCTAGACCTTCTAGATTATATATATTTAAATACTAACTAAATATTTAAATACTAATTAAACGTTAAAAAGTTAAAAGTCTAAAGTATTAAAGAGCTAAAAAGGATGTTAAAAGGCTAGAAAGAGTATAGTCTTTACCTTTACCTTCTTAGCTTTTAACCTTCTAACATTTAGTTAGTATTTAAATACTCAGTTAGTACCTAAATACATATAGCTTAAAAGGCCTAAAAGGGGTATAAAAGGGGCTTATACTAAAAGTATTAAAAATTTAGAGAATTTTAGTTAGGTATATAATTTTATATAGGCTCTATATATAAATTCTTATATTAAGTAAGTAGTTAAAAAAAACTAGGTAAGTAGATACAATTACTAGGTAAGTGAATATTAGCTCTATAATTATATATAATAATAAATATTTTAAATTTTAAAGTTTAAATTTTAAAAAATATAATAATAATAATAATAATTATAATATAATAAAATTAATAAAAAAAATAAAAATAAATATAATAACTATTTATTAAACTTATTAATATATAATATACTATTTAAGTACTTAAGTAATTAAGATTAAGTTTAAGCTAGACCTTCTTATTTATATAAAACTTTAATATAAGTTGGTTCTAATAGCGGTAGAATGTGTCACCTTTAAATTATAATACCTCGGCCAAGATAACGCCCCTCATTCTGAAGCCCCGTATCCAGACGACCTAAACTATCCGTAGGTTGGACATCAATTCAGGGTCCTCCCGGTCCCATGCAACCCTGTGTTGAGAGAATAGAGCAGCCCTGGAGCCTTGGAAGATGATGCCTCCGCACCTTTTTGATTGCTCATAAATATTGCTCCATAATACTTAGGTGGTTTCGCTTCTATTCCATATACATCCGAGGACATATATGGCGCCTTCATACGGTGCTATAATACTTAAGCCTTATCATTAGACTTATGACTGTTATTGACTTTGTATTTTTTCTTAAATGCCGGATCTTTGAGTGTTTACTACTGTATAAAACTGCTAGGTATGGCTTCAAAGTTCGGACTTGTATGAAATAAGAACGAAACTAATTGTTATTAATATTCATTCATTATAGGCCTTGGTTCTTATCTTCCCTATGTCGGAGGGTATTTCTTTGACCCGGGCTCTGAAACTTTTGGGAATAAAGACAGGTTTGGTTGTTTTGCCGATCCTGTTCCAGTACCTTGGTTGCTACCCGAACCGCCCTCCGCTTGTCCCACCTTCATAATGGTGATATTAGATGGGTCTATCGTTGAGCGACTAGGCTTCTGCGCATCTCTCGTTGTGCTCGATGAAAGTGGCCAATTACTGCTCCTCTTTGTCTCTCTGCCGAGTTGTGAGGATGTCGCGACCCCAATCATAGCTTGTGGCTCAGGCGACTGTCCGGTATTATCTCGTCCTTGCTGTTTCTGCCCCTTCTCTGATGCCCGAGGCCATCCCTTATTATCCCACACCATATTACTGCTTCCGGTAGGGCTCAGAGGTCTCTTGATAGTGCCTTTGAGCTCCGCCATCCGCCTCCGTTGCTGTCGGTTTCGGTTCCGTAAGAAGAACAAGAATCCAACCAGGGACAGGATGAAAGTACCGGCAATTGACGCGACGATCGCGACGGTTGTCTGTGTCACGCTGATCGCATTCCCCTGAGCTGTCATCACCAGTGTTTGTGCCTGAGCCTACGTTGCGGATAGTCAGCCGATGTGATGAACTCCCGAGGTCAATGTACAATTGTCCAGGCCCGACTAACCCTGACAGCGCTAGCGTTTGCTTGTTCAGCCAGTGCAGATTGCCTCGCTGCCGAAGCTACTGCAGCGAGACTTCCCGAAATACTAGCCAAGGCGACGGCAGCATTGTTTGAGGCTGTAGCTATGGCGTCGTTCGCACTGCTGACCATGCTAGCCATTGCGAATGCAGCGCTATTGCGGACATTTTGGATATCTTGGGCTGACCGTATCTGTAATTGCTGTATCGACTGATATAATACCTGTGTGGACTGCGACAATTGCTGGATTGACTGGGAGAGTTGCTGAGACTGCTGTGAAAGTGTTGCAATATTACTGCTAGCTGTGACGAGAGCGCTGCTAAGCGATGAAATAGTGGCGGATGGGTTGGATCCTATTATCACGTTGACTTGACGTGGTAATAAAGCTGTTGTTGGTGTTGCATACGCCATGTCTGCTCAACTCGATCATGTAGATCGTGTGAATCAGTCCTGGTCCGAGGTTGAACGGGCAAGACTGTGTGTATGTGTAGCCTTCGAGGCCAAATGGCTTTTGGTACTCTCGCCACAGAGCTTCGGGTAGATTTTCCTATACCAGTTGATCCGCACCAGGTGTAGATAGATTTGTAAGAATTCGTCTAAATTCTGAGAGTTTGTTGTCGAGTATTGCACTGCTGATGCAGGAATAGGCAAGGCAACATTCAGATGAAGTAGGAAAATACGGAACCGATTCTCTTGATGTGTAGAGATCTGTGAAATGGGTCAAGAGGACAGGCTGGAAATCGTACCGAGCTCCCGAGGGAGAGTACCTAGGTAGATGAGGAATTGATGCCATTGCGTCGTTCAGCCAAGACAACGCGAGACAAAATTGGGCGCTGTCAGGGGATGTGCTGTGACAATAGTTAACGGTTCCATCGGGACTGATGCTACGAAGACTTCGGAAGACACTTTCTGGTCCAAGTACGGAGCGTTCCGAGAGGTTGCTGCGTGTTTGCAGGACTCGAAACACTTCATCACATTAGCCCTTCACCCGGAGTTGTGTCGGGCCACATTCGCCTTAAATCCATCTGAAGTCCTGATTCGACGAGATCGGCCCATCAGAACTTGAGAAACCGACTGAAAACACTAGATCAGTCTGCTTATCAAGACACAACTGAAAGAATACTTAAGTAATGAACAAATCGCTTCGTGGTATTGTTTCAGGGAAGAACTCATCTGCTCCTACCCGCAGAATAACTCGTTCAGTTGGCTAGCCCACTGTCGGGAGCGATGCCTCCTAGCCTTCCGAGGTTGTCTGTGCGGCACGAGGCTGAGACCACGTGCTCAGGCAGAGTCCTCTTAACACCGTTGTTGGTGTTAGGTTTTTTTCTTCTTCTTCTTTTTTTTAAAAAAAGAAAGAAAACTGGAAAAAGGCGCCAGGCCTCTGAGCATTTATCAATATGTGAAGGGACCGTACGCCTTCGGGATGTACACGGATTAAAAATGAAACTACACATTTGTAAAATAGAATTTCAATTGCTTTTTTGTTTTCATGCTCAATGTTACCTACATAGAGTCCGCGCTGGAAGACTGTAGCGACTCTCTTTTTTCTTTTCTTTTCTTTTTTTTTAAAAAAAAATTAAGTCTGCACATACATTATGTGATTCTGGAAAGCTCAGGGCAAAGAGAGGCAGCGAAGGCGTTTAACAGCCTGCTGCGGTTCGGCTGCCACATTGGCATCGTCAAGCTTCCTCTTATTCGAGGTCGGTTGGGCCAGTCCTTCCTTTTGATGGATCGAAACGGCTTCAGTCAGATGTGAACCTTCTGTACCATCAACAGGTGAGTCTCCGAAGAGAGAGTCTGTGGTAGCACTCTTTGGAGTTGCAAGTGCATTGGATTCTTTCGGACCTTGACTGTCGACGTTTGGCGTGGGTTTGATTAGCAACGGATCAGCCAACTCTGAATCCGTATCGCCGATGCTATGTAGACTTTGCCCGCGGCGGAGTCTGGGGTGATTCCCTGTGCGAGCAGCATCGGGTGTACCAGGTTTGTGATTAGTGAGAGGTGTGATGTACGTGGACGTACTAGGTAGGCGATACTCGGCTTCGCGCTCTTCCTCTTGAAGTTGTAACATTAACAGTCTAGGGCGCATGTAGGCGTTTATGTATTGCGAAATTTTGCGCCGACCCTTTCTGAGTTGTTCCGACATGCTTCGAACTGTCTGATTAAGTTGGAACATTTTCCAAACAAGTTCTTGCTCGCTTCGGCTGAGAAACGACGGATCAGGAGCTCCTGACACAGGTTCTATGACTTCGTCGTCAAGGGGGAAAAGCTCATCTGATCCTGTACTAGTATCTGCTGTCCACTGTGAGTCAGTTGAACTTGCACTGGACAGTGGCCCTAGGACCTTCTGGGTACTGGTATCTTCCTTGAGATACGTGTCCACGTAGACTCGTAATAGAGATGCATTCTTGTCCACAGCCGCAGCGATCTCGAGGATATTTCTGCCACGTGCGCGCATCGCGATTACCTTACGCCATTCTTTGTATTTCAACCACTCGGGCCCTACCCGAGCTGATGACCGCGCGCGCCGTGGGGGGTACTCATTGAATGCCCCTAAATGGCAAGCTTCATCCCCCGTATCTTTAGAGATCGCCTTTACATTGGGGAATGGGGCGTAATTCAAATCTGCCCTGCCTTGTTGCATCGTGGCCTGTTCTTGGTTGCGAGGTGCATTGTGTAGATGAGTGCTTGCGATGCAATCCACGTTGGGGCAGGAATACGGTGCTGGTGGATGGAGGCAGGACGACAGCCGGTTGTATTGATGGCCTGGTACCTGTTGCATTTGGGGGTGGTATGTTTGTTCGATATGACGCCCAACCTGAGACAGACAGAACCCGCACAGGATGCTAGTGGCTGTGTGGAAACACATTATGAGTAAATTAGCGAGTTGAGTTTCCGCCAGGGAGACTTGGAGATGGAAAATAGTTGGCACAATCCACGACCTCGGGAAGTGCGGAATATCAGGGCGCTTAAATATTCATGCAGTTTGATGTCTCACACGGCCGGCTTTCTTTATGTCAACCTATTTCGACAGTGGATAATACATACCCTAGGTAGGGTAGGATTGTGCATTGTGACCTTCATGTACCGGCCGTTCCAGCTTTGTCAGGAATCCCGAAATAGCAACGTTGTCCACAATAAGCCGTCAAACTAAAAGAGTCTTCTTCAAAGCCTCAAAGCTTCAGAAAACCCTCACAAGTACGAGGTGGGAGAAACAATGGAGCAAGTGAAGCTAACTGGAGTCCTGGTATAGATCTCTGCCGTCTTAGAATAAGAGCTATTCTGTTCCGCATGAGTTTTGGATTCTCCAGACTCCAAATCCAGGTGTATCCCAGTTCTCGCTAATTCACGTAATTGCACGCATTGCACAGAGACGACATTCCCATTTCGAGGACACAGTAGAGTACCATCGGACATGACGAACCATAAATGGAGTTCATCCTCTTTGACCTAGTCTGTTGCCAAAAAATAGTGTCTCTCGATATCGTTGTCTGACACTTTGCTGAATCAAAATGCTAAGGTTTCTCTTGATAGGGTCGTTGAAGCGCAAAAAGAAGTAGCTGCATGATAGGCCGACTTGGGTCAGGTGATTGATGACTTCATGAAGGCCGAAAGAATCGACTTTCCGGTCGCTGCGTTGCCCTGAATCGAAAGAATTCGTGGTGAATTCATCTCATCTTTCATCCAACCACGGAATGTCTCGTGCTCAAGAATCCAAGCACAAGTTCCTGGAACCCAACGGTCTCGGAAGACATTGTCATCAATTTCTTGTGAACCGGAAACTGACAGATATTCTTGGAGATGAAGATCGGAGTAAGGCTCCTGCAGGTGACCATCCCCCTGATAAGTACCCTAGGGTAGCTAGTGTCCAGCCGGTTAGTGCCTGAAGATGACTGATAAGATTCTTTGCTTGGGGGGGGGGGTCGCAATATATTCACCTGTAGGTTCCGCCTTCCCAATCAAAGACTTCAAGACGTTGCGTACAGTGATGTATCGTGGATCTTGAATGCCATAGTACTTGCAGACTCCATGGTGGTCTGCATCAAGGGGTTTCGAGACCTCACCAGGACAACCCAGAACAGAGCTTTCTTTCTCCAAAACCATCTGCAGAGTCACTTTCAATTCTGATGATTCTTCTGGATTACTTCATCTGAGTTTCGTGGATATACTTACTGCTTGTGCTTTCCTGACCATTGGGGTCGGACGTGTCTCGCAAAATGAGACTATTTGGAGTTTTGGGGCCACATGTCGAAATTACTCGTTGAGCTTTTGTAAGGTCTGGGAGCCTCTAGCAAGCTCGGCGATGAAAGCCATGGGACTACCTAGGTAGTTAGGAAAGACACTTGGAGGATCTGGTTCAAGGTTTCTACCAGGTGTGTGCCACGATGCGGTGTTGACAGAAAGACAATAGATGAGATCGAGTTGACAGTGTCCTAGTAGATAGGGTTATTTTAGCTATAAATATAAGCTTAAAGATATAATAAGTGTTCTAAAAGATATACTTAATAAATTAAATAAAGGTTTATATAAACTTTAATTATATTATATTTTTTCTTTATATTATATAATTTCTTTTAATATTTTAAAGTTTATATATATTTTTATAAACTTTTTATAAAAATACTTTAAATTTATTTTTTATTTTTATTATATTATTTTATACTATTAAAGAATTAATAATTATTAATAATAAAATATAAATTTAAAAGAAAATAAATTTATTATTTTTTAAAGTTTTTATAAATTTATTTTAAAACTTTCTTTAAAAGTTTTAATATTTTATTATAAAAGTTTTAAAATAATATATTATAAATTTATTTTTATTTTAAGTTTTTAAATTTAATAATTATATTTTTAAAATAAAAATTTTAATATTTATTTAATAAAAGTTTTATTAATATATATATATATATATATATATATATATAATATTTATATATTTTTATATTTATTATATTATAATTATTATTATTAATATTATATTCTTTTAAATATTAAGTTTTAAATATTTATTATTATATAAAAGTATTATATATATTTTTAAATATATATAAAATAAAATAAAACTATATATATATTAAAATATATTATTATAATAATTTTAAAACTTTAATTATATTATAATTTTCCTTTATATTATATAATTATTTTATTTAATAGTTTAAAGTTTATATATAAAGTTTTAATAACTTTATATATATTTTTATAATTTCTTTATAATTTTTAATTAATTTTTATTTAATATTATGTTATATTATAATTTAATTTAATTTATAATTTTATTTAAGTTTTTTTAAAATTTATAAAAGTTTTTATTTTTATAAATATAAACTTTAAATTAAAACTTTTAAGTTTAAATTTAAAAGTTTTATAGATTTTAATATATTTTAAATTAAATTTATAATTCTTTAACTTTTTAAAATATATTAACTATTTTAAATATTAATAAATTTATTTTAAAATAAAAATTTATTTTTATATAATTATAAATTTAATTATTAATAATTTCTTTTATTTATAAACTATTAACATTATAAATTTAAATATTATATATAATAATAAAATATAATTATTTTATTTAAAATTATTTTTAATTTAATAAATTAATTAATAATTATTTTTAAATAATTTTATTTATAAAATTAATAATTTCTTAAATTTATTAAATAAATATTTATTTATAAAATAAAATTAAAAATTTAAATATATTTTTAAAAAATAATAACTTTATTTTAAATTAATATTTATTTATTTAACTTTAATATTTATTTATTTAATAGTTTTTATAAACTTATTTAATATTTTTTTAATAACTTTTATATTTATAAATATATTTTAAATTAATATTAAAAATTTTATAATATATTTTCTTTTTTAATTTTTAATCTTTTAAGTATAAACCTTTTTAATATACCTTTTAATATATTTTTAATATACTTTTAATACTTTTAAATTATATATATTTAAATATTAATTAAATATTAAAAATTAAAAGTTTAAAATATTAAAAGGTTAAAAAATATTATAAAGTTAAAAGAGTATAATTTTTATTTTTACTTTTTAACTTTTAATCTTCTAATATTTAATTAATATTTAAATATTTAATTAATACTTAAATATATATAGTTTAAAGGGTTTAAAAGGTATATTAAAAGGTGTATTAAAAGTTAAAAGTATATAAAAAGTATATTAAAAGGAGTATTAAAAGAAGTATTAAAAGTATATTAAAAAAGTATTAAAATTTAAAAACTTTAATTAAATATATAATTTTATATAAACTTTATATATAAAAGTTAATATTAAATAAATTTATAAAAATTATTAAATAAGTAATTATAAATATTAAATAAATAAATATTAATTTTTTATTTTTATTTATTTTAATTAATTTATTTAAATTATATAATAATTTTATATATAGTATTAAATAATATTAAAATTAACTTATAATTTATAATAATTTTAATTTTTAATAAATTAATAATATTAATTTAAATTAATTAATAATATTAATTTAAATTAATTAAATATAACTTAATATATTAATATAAAAGTATTTTTAATAATAAATAATATTATAAATATAAATTATAAAGTTATTATAAAAGTTTTTTTAATAAATTTAATTAAATGAATTTTTAAAAATATATTATATTTTATTTTTTAAAACTTTAATTATTTATTTTAATTTAATAATAAAATTAAAAATATAAATAATTTATATATTTAAATAAAAGTTATAATATTTATTTAATAAAAGTTTTATTATAAAGTATATATATATATATATATATATTTAAAAGAATAATTTTTATTAAACTTTTAATATAATTTATTTATATAATAACTATTTTTAAACTTAATTTTATTATATAACTTTTTATAATAATTAAATTATAAATTATTTTTATTTATAATTTTAATTAATATTATTATTAAAATAATATTTTTAATTTTATTTATATATTATAAAGTTAAGATTATAAATATTTATTATATTATAACTATTATTATTAATATTATATTCTTTTTAAATATTAAGTTTTAAATATTTATTATTATATAAAGATACTATATATATCCTTAGATGTATATAGAATAGAAGTAAAACTATATAATAACCTTAAAGTTGGATTGATATTTTTGCCAGGCCTGGCTGGAATGACAATTGGCGGTGTTGTTGCTGGTAAGCTCGTGGACAGAAACTTTGCTAGAGTTGCACGCAAGACCAGAGTCACCCTTGACAGCAGGAAGGCGGAAGATCTGAAAGACTTCCCCATTGAAGATGCAAGGTACCGGCACATCATGTTCTTCGTTGTATTCGAAGTGATACTGGTGATCGGTTACGGCTGGGTGGTCACGTTCGATGTGCATCCAGCCCTACCCCTTGTGATGCAATTCTTTATCTGCGCGGCATCCACCTTGCTCAGTCACACGGCAAGCGCCCTGCTAGTTGATGTCTTTCCAAACAGCTCCAGCACGTCCTACGCTTCCGGTCAGGTCATGAGATGTGGCGTTATGTTTGGCCGGGGACATGTCTATTCTGGACGCTGGATTTTTACATTTCCATCGCCTGCGTCCTCAGTGCGGCATCTGCTGCGATTCTCGATCCACTCACTCGTGCCGTCGGGAGAGGGTGGTACTTTTCAGTGTTTGGCCTGTTTGTTGGACTAAGTGGGATAGTCTCAAGTGACTACAAGCAGGAAGAAAGGTATGGGCTGGAGGCAAAAGCGGCAAGGCAGTGACGAGAAAGATCTTTTAGGATCAACCCATTGATTGCTCGGTGCCCGTCTTAACGACTATCTCTGCTTCTAAGTTGTCGCTAATGTGTTCGATCTGAGGCGTCCTTAGGAAGCTTGACATGATCGGGAGGAGGATAATCAGTGCTAGAAATTGTAAGAAGTACGCACCACTGTTGTTGGTGTCTATGGGCGGGACTGCTCGTCCTTTTCAAGCCCGCGCCGGAGGATATCGACCTGCTTCTGGATCTCATCCCACAGCAAATTGCCGTCCAGATCCCCGCCACCATTATCTCCTTCTAGAACATCTATCCACCCGTCATCAAGTGATTCGGCCCTGTCACCTTTTCTCTGCGCGATGGCTAGAAGGGCAGCGACAAATGCCTCCTGCATGTAGGCAAAGCTGAAGTCGTGCGTAATGTCCGCGATGGCGACGCAAAGCTGGTCCGGAAACTCAATATCGGCGTTGTCCTCGAGTTTCTTCTGCCAAAATTGGCAGTACATGGTCCTCTCCCTTTTGTTGGGGTTATCGAATAGATACTTCCGGTCGAAGCGAGAGGGGCGTTGCTGCATCAAAAGTCAGGGGTTGAATAGTATCAGCGAACTCGGATGGCAAGTACTCACGGAAATGCCTGGGTCAAGGCGATCTAGGTGGTTTGTGGAGCCCACCATGAATATACCATCGTTGGACTTGAGACCATCTACTTCGTTGAAGAAATAGCTCTTTACGTTGTCGGTGATTATGGTGTCCAAGTCCTCAAAGATGAGGTAGCATGGCGCCATTGATCTCGCTTTGTCATAGATGGTCTTGATAGAGTACTCGGGTCCCATGTACTGCTGGGGAGTCAGACGAATATGGGTGATGATGAGACAATGTGCGGGGCTCTTACTGACTGAAGAGACCGGACGTACAATGTCGGTATAGGGTCTCTGAGACGATAAAGCTGGTTCATCATGGCCTTGATGCTGATCGTTTTGCCGTTCCCTGGAGGGCCGTAGTAGATGAGACCTCTTTTCCAGGGTACCTTGAGTTTCTGGTAGTCACTACGCGAGTTAAAGAAGCGCATGTGGTCATCAATGATGGCCTTCTTCCTCTCCGGTTCCATAATAACACTGTCCCAAGAAGCACTGCGGATACTGTCGTAGAGCGCCTTGCTCTTTTCCCAATAGCCGCTGTCATAGACCCAGATCTCGTCGTGGAGGTCGCTGGTCCACTTGCCAGCCGCGAGAACGAGACCCTCAGTGAGCTGTTCCGAGACGGAGAGGATGAAGGTGAGCTGTCCCTGGGGGAAGGCACCGACCAGGCCCTCCTTGGCGTCCACGATGTAGACCAAGTACTCGTGGCCATTCCACTTGTAAAGAAACTTGTCAAAGAGGATCTCGTGAAGGACCGCCCCTGTCCCGTCACGCCGCGCCGGTGGAACATAGGCAGTCAGGGCCAGAGACGAGGGAAGGGAGGCGGCATCGAGCTTGACGGTGGCGGCACGGTGGTCAGGGATGGGAGCAATGGACCCATTGCCGGAGTAGGCGAAGCCCAGGAGGTCAATTGGGAGGTATGGGTGGATAATTGTACACTCGAGAGAGGGGTACTGTCTCTTGAGAGATGCCGCGATCACGTCGGTAGTGCTGAGCCGAGGGGCAGAAGAGTGCTCAAAATACTGCCTGGTAGTGCTGTCCGATGCCATATTGAACAGGTGAGTGATGGTGGCGTATGCGTGCTTCAGCTAGACTGGACTTCCAGTGGAGGAGACTAGGTACAAGAAGCGGTCGGGGGAGGTGAGGTGAGGTGAGGTGGATGGGGGGTTGATGGACTTGCTCTCTGCCGTTACTCGATCTCAATCGTCTGCAGGGTGGGCGCGGGGGTGGTGGGACGGGTGCAGGTTGCGGCTGCCTGGGTTTGTACCCACCTGGGGAAGGCACACCTACTTAGTCTAAGTGCCTGGATACTTAAGTACCTGGGTACCTACCCAGGTAGGGGATATGCTTGCGTGCTGGGGAAAATGATGTACCAAGGACATTAGCCCGCAGTCTATCGTACTAGACCACAATTACTGGCCGTTAGTGACCGTTACTGGCCGCATCAGCAATTGTAAGTTGATCCTTCGGAAAGTAAGCAAGCACCTTGACCCGCGTGGATGAGGCAGCCACCGACTCCCGCGTGTGGACATGAGCTGTGGACATCAGCCATGGACGGGTAGGACTTCTCGTGGTTGGAAAGACGGGACGGCACAGACAGACGGTGGCGGAGTCCCCGTTTAAGTACCTAGGTACTTAAGTAGTTGCTTGGTACTTGGGTACCTACTTAAGTAGGTAGGTAGTAGAAAGCGGGTGGCAGGCCCAGGCCTGTTTGCAGGCAGCCTTTGCCCGCACGGCGCCTGTGGGGCCCTGCCGCCTAGAACCAGCGTTTCTTCTGCCCGTTGACCACTTGCGGCTGACCCAGCCAATAAGCCTAAGCCGGCCTGCTCTCAGTCATACATACCTAGGTACTTAGTAGTATTGCTGTGCTGCCTGGCCTGACCACGGGCATCTGGCCTCAGGAACACAAAAGAGGGGAAGGGATGGGCGGCCTTGGTTGTGGCTCTCAGCAGCCCTGGGCGTGGTCGACCGTCTGCGCCGCCGGTTGACTCAACTTGGCGGCACAGCATCTCCATGGCCAACCGCCGGCCGCCAGCCGCCAGCCCGGCCAAGCCCACCCAGCCCATGACATATAACAGCTTCAATCTCATTCATCTCACTCGTAGCTTGGCTCCTCCTGTTTCTTCAACCACCTAGGTGCCTAGGTCGTCCACCGAGACCACACTCCCACATGCCCTCTTCAAGCACCACCTCCACTCATTCCAGCGACATGGCCGACGACAAGAAGGCCTCGGCCACTGTTGCTGCTGACGCCACCCCCGCCAAAGGCCCTAGCAAGTCATTCCCCAGGCGCGCAGCCTCCAACTTACGCTCCCTCTTCTGCCTCCCAAACCACTCCCAGCTCAGCCTGCATTCCAATGACGGGTCCCGAAACGGCTCCAACCACCACAAGGACAAAGACGACAAGCCAGAGGACCAGACCATGAAAGCAGAGTTCAAGCACCTCGACAGGAAGTTCGACGACGAGGACCAGCCCTACTTTGTCGAGAGGAAGAAGGAGGACATTGAAAAGGGCGAGAAGAAGGACTGGTGGCAGCTGTTTGCCTTCTGTGTTGTTCGTCGGTACGACTCTGACGGCGACCTCGACGAGACGTACCTATACGTCAACCCTCAGCCCCTGTAAGTGATTGCGGCCTTTTCCATCTTGACCACTTGCCACTGACACACGCAAAAGACGCCAACTGCTGAAAGACGTGATTGGCAATTACCCAGCCGACCCTATAGATGTCGACGATGTCCAGATCGAAGCTCCTTACCACTCCCTGTTTCACTACAGAAAACAGCTGGAGGACGTTGGTATTGCACGCTTCAAGGAGAGCGGAGACACCCAATCCCTCCAACAGCTTACGCTGCTCCTTGGATGGATCAAGACCACCTTTGAGCTCGAGATAGCGGCCTATGAGAAGTGCATGTCGAGCGATCTCAAGGCCATCGCCTACGACAAGCTCTGGACAATTTTCATGCCGGGTACGATTGTTCATGCCCAGGTTCAAAAGCAGCATAGGGCCTTCCGCGTGGTGGATTACTGGTACGACGATGATGAGGAGGAGAATCCCGGTCTGAACCTCAAGACCAACTTTGTCGATTACGACGGCGAGAAACTGGGCGTCCGAAGATCGGATCTGTTTATCCCAAAGTACGGCGGCATCCGTGACATTAGGGATCAAGAGGTGAAGCCTCTGGACCTGCTTGAGGATGCGCACTTGGTCAAAAAGACGCTCATTGCGCGTGGCAAGAAGTTTGAGGAATACGCCGTTGGCCAGCACTTCCTTCAGTATGCCGGACTTGGCCTCAAGAGGGACCCGCAATGTCCACGCAATTATCTCAAATTCGACGCAACGGGCCGAGTGTAAGCCGCCACCCCCCCCCTTTCTCACGCATCATTCCCGCCTCGGGGTTGGACATTGCCTCCAGTCAATTGCTAACGACACGTTCACCAGGATGGTTGATGTTAAAACCTATCACAGGCTGGACGCAAACGACTCGATCTGGGTCAATGGCTTCGAGAAGGATCATGAGGAGGGCAAACTAAAAGACGAGGACCGCCTCCTTGCGAACGCAATGTGCAGAGGCTACTCCATGAACGCCAAGAAGTTCCTTGAGCTCTCTATCGACAACCTGACCGAGATCCACTGGAATAAGACCAGCTTCGAGGATCTGGTTCTGGATGCTTCTACAAAGAAGACGGTCCAGGCTTTAGTATCGACGCACTCCCAGAGGCGCGAGTCCCCCGACGGGGAAACCCAAGATGGCTTTGATGACATTGTCAAAGGGAAGGGGAAGGGTCTTGTCTGCGTGCTGCATGGTCCACCTGGAGTCGGCAAGACCCTGACGGCAGAATGCGTTGCCGAGTACGTCCAGCGCCCCCTCTTTATGGTCTCGTCTGGAGACCTGGGGGTTACGAGCGAGCAACTCGAACTTCAGTTGTCCGAGGTTATGGACATGAGCTCCACCTGGAGGGCGGTCTTGTTGATTGACGAGGCAGACGTGTTCCTTGAGCAGCGGGCTTTGCACGATCTGCACAGGAACGCAATGGTGAGCGTGTTTTTGCGAGTGCTTGAGTACTACGCTGGTATCATCTTCTTGACGACCAACCGCGTGTCAACCTTCGATGACGCTTTCAAGAGCCGTATCCACATACCCATCAGATATACAGATCTGGATATCACATCACGTCGGAAGATCTGGCAGAATTTCTGCAAAAAGGTCCCAGGTGGAGTGGAGATCTCGGAGAAAGAATATGAGACGCTGGCGGAACATGAATTGAATGGCCGGCAAATCAAGAACGTTGTCAAGGCAGCGGAGAGCCTGGCAGCGTTCGACAAGGTCAAGCTTGACTTCAAGCAGCTACAGCAAGTGACCAAGATTCAGGCTAGGTTTGAGAAGGATTTGGAGAGCTTTGGGGAAATAGATTACACGGCGCCTGGATCGGCCAAGAAGCATGCACAGAGTAGACACTTCTACATGTAACGAGATGTTTGTGTACATCAGTTAGAATAGAGTACGTTATGGGGTTCCCGGACACCCCTAGTAACCGGACAGACCAATCAAACATCATAATCACTAACAATATCAACAAATGCGAGAAAGCTCATTCATCAATCCGGCATCTGTCCGGGTACTAGGGGTGTCCGGGAACCCCATAACGTACTCTACCCTTTGCTTTTTTTGGCCGCAACCTCAAACAATTGTAGGTCGTACCGGCGGTCTCCGGCTCATCATGATTCACTTCAGCCCCGACGCTTTGGGGAGGAAAGAAATGGAAGAACCCGTTGACCTAGCTAGAACGAATATGAAGAAGATTGCTGGACATCTCAGAGACTTCCGGGCGCGGCGGGCGGTGCGACACGGCAAGACCAGAAGTGACGCCGTCACTTTCTTGCAAGCACCGAGGGCGGCGATCCGGGAGCAGAGCTATACTGGATGGAACCTCGCCCAAGCCATGTGGCATCGACTTCTTGGCCAAAGGCCTAATCTGGATGTCTGAGCGCAAGCTCTAGCTGGCGATCCGTCTTTTCCAAAGTTGACATGGCGCGCTAGTAGACTCGATCGCAGCCCGAGGGCACCAATACGAACGCGATGTGATGGTGTTCGTCTACTCCCGTCTTGGCGATGGTGCGTCTAGAGGGGCTTCTGGCTGCTGGACGCTAGAATGCCCAGCTGCAGGTCCCATGCAGCATGCCCATCTCCAAAGGGGCGCGCGATCATTTAAACGCGCGAGGTAGCGCAGTCTTTTGCGGTGATTTGAGTAGCCGGGGTTCCGGTCATTTCCAGCATCATTACGTTCTCTACTTGATTCTCTACTTGACGATCTCGAGTCTGTGACTCGATACGTTGATCAGCTCCGGGCTCGCATCCTTTCCACATCCCCTCGAGCTGGTGGTGGTTTTCAGAATATGAGGCTCCGACCGATACTGGGCGTCGCCCTCACCACGCTGTTCTGGACGTGCTGGGCGCAGACGAACCAGACTGCATTCCTTACTGCGTTTTCCCATGTTCCAACATGTGCCGTGAGTCTTTATCGGGGCATCTACAAATACCAACAAAGGTCCTTCTTGCTGACGGAGTCACGTACAGCAACAATGCATCCTTTCGAATATACCCGCATCAGCATGTAAAACATTCAGCAACGCCACTTGCATATGTACAGATCAGCGGCTCAAAGACGTTACCCAGGCTTGCCTGGTGGAAGCTTGCAGCGTATCAGAAGTTCTCACAGTCGGGAGGGTTCAGGCTGATGCTTGTAACACACCCTTGCGGTCCCAGAAGGCAGAGCTTATGGCCCCATTGGCCATCGAATTGTTGGGAATACCTGCAGTACTCCTACGGCTATTCAGCAGGTGGAGATACACCGCCGGGTACGATATCGATGACTGGATCATGGTCGCTTGTCTCCCAATCTTTATTGTGTTCGAAGTTGTTGGCCACATCTGTTAGTTCTCTCGTCCCCCCCCTCCTTCCCCGACCTTACTCCACGGCTGCAGAACACAAGCAAGTCTCTCGTGCAAGCAAGAAAGAAGATCCAGCACAGCTGACAACGTCACCGCAGCTGGCCAATTGGGATTCGGCGTCGACACATGGATGGTCGAGGAAGAGGTATTCTCATACGCACTCAAGCTGTTCTACATTGATGAGTCGTTCTACCTCACGGTGCTCGTCCTGACCAAGATCTCTATCCTCTTCTTCTACCTTCGCATCTTCCCGCAGAAGAAGTTCCGGTGTGCATGTTACGCTGTGATGGCTTGGGTGGGCGGGAGCGGGGTGATCTTCGTGTTCATGCAAATATTCCAGTGTCTTCCGACAGAATTTGTCTGGCTGGGCTGGCTGGGCACATTTGGACCGCACCGATGCCTCAACGTGCACGCCCTGACATATACTGCCGCCGCTTTCAGCATCACACAGGACCTTGTCATACTGATCATGCCGCTGCCCCTGCTCTGGAACCTGAACACGGGCCTGCGACAGCGCATCGATATCGGCATCATGTTCAGCCTGGGCTTCTTCATTCTGCTCACCAGCTGCATCCGCCTCGCCTTTATCGTCAAGTTCGCCAACACGTACAACCCGTCGCGAGACTACGTAGGGCCGCTGATCTGGTCCGGGCTCGAGTGCGGCGTCTCAATGATCGTCACCAGCCTCCCGGGCATCCGGACAATGCTGACGCGCAGGCGGTCGGCGCTGGCCGGGTCGACCGCCGTTAAGCGCTCCGATTATGCGTCTCAGGGCTCCTCGCGCTGGGGTAGCAAGGCGCTATCCGGGAAGAAGAGTACCAATTGGTCGCTCTTCAGTACAAAGGCCGGCACTCAGGTTCAGAACGAGAGCGAAGTCGAGCTGGGTGACAAGAGCCGTGCGCCAGAGTCTCTAAAGATGGGCGATGTCCCGGTATCCGGCACCGGGCAGAGAAACCCTTCGGTTGAGAGAGGTTATTATCCTTGAAAATAGCATTGCGTCACTTGATTTGCATACATGCATGCTTCCTTATCTATCAGCGTTTGCGGAGGGGTTGTTCTCAAGATACCCTCATCTTACACATGCACCGATCGTTATTGTTTGCTGGCTCGAAGACTGCAAACATCGGGCTGTGCCTGCTGTGCGCACAATTTTTTCTGCATGTTCAAAGCTGCGTTTGCGAGAATTTTTGCGAAGATTGTGCGCTGTAGTTAGGTGCTCTGGTTATAGAAGTTCTTATTCGTGCCGTGTGGAACAGAGCAATGCCAGTATTTACTATTAGTGCATATACATCAAGACCATGAATGTATTGAATAATGTATTTGGTCCCGACTCTGACCGATTGGTTGTCTGCCTCTGTATTTATAACTATTGGGTATCCACAATGACTCGCTCGGAAATTTGAGGCCAAAAGACAGGCATAGGGGTCGGCAGCAGAAGTCAGGTACTATACCGCAGAGATTTGCATCGTGGCTCAAGTCAAAGGTTATTCGATGCATGGAGCGAATGGGCGGTATTTCTTATCTATAATTGAGGCGTCCGGATACCAGTTAGTCCCGTGAGTCGCACAGAAGGCCTTCGCTCCTGATCTGTCCCTGGTTTCTGCGGACTGTTTGAGCATACATTCTAAGGTTCCTACCCCGGCAGTCGAGGCTGTGTTATCCCGGAAGGCGATTGAGCTGGGGCCAAGGATGGACCGATTTCCAGGTGTAATTCAGTCAGGCCAACAATTAGCATCCATGGGTGATGCCGCTTACCTACTTGTGCCGAGCGACGTCGAAAGACAGGAAATTCAGGCTCTCGCTTCAAGCACTGGATTTCCGCATCCTGAGTTGCTACGAATCCTGATAGCGCAGAAAGCCGTAACCAAATGGGCAAGCGCTAACAATACTCTCTATCCAGAGGCGAGGCCTCGCAACAGGTGAATGTCAAGGACAAGTCGGAGTAAGATGCTGCGATATGGGCTATGGAGAAGCCTATGTTAGCACTCACCGCCTTCTTGGATATGCGTCTGCATCCACAGGAAGGAGTCGTGTCAGGACTGCCACGTCTCACATTGGAACAGACGAGTCGGTGATACTTCCTACCATTCCTTTACTAAACATCCAGCTGAAAGCGCTTCACCAGACGAACGGCTCAAACTGATACAAACACAGTCCATGGCTCGGCCTTCAGCTACCGAGAATTTTCTCAGGAGACAAGGACTTCCCATAGGGATGTGTATCGTCAAACCAGCCGATCAAGATCAGAGCGCGCGATCACACCGAAAGCAGTCTTCAAGGTCAAGACTGGCTTTGTTACGACTAACTGTTCCCGACCCGGCAAAGTAAATGAAATCAGTAGGGGTCAGTTTGTAGGAAATTCTGGGCAGACGTAATGGTATCAGTCTGTAAAAGGGGAGTGGCCAGCCAGGCCTCCTGACTGTTGCGGATCTCCGATGGTGCGAATTGTGTGGTGCCGATGTGTTGCGGCTCCCACGCCAACCCAGCGTTGAACGGCTTGGGTGGTTTCCAGTACTGTGGTATCCTCGCTATTAGTCCGTCTGCCGCTGAATCTGGCAGAGGACGTCAAAGTACGGCAGGGATAGATGTTGCACGATGCAGGCGACGAAGACGCAAGGCAGCATGGCATACATGGAGGTATTACCGTGATGGAAGTTGATTTCGATCAACGGGGATTACACAATCTTGACCCTAGGGTGCCGACTCAAGTGCTTGTTATATAGGGCTTACTTTCCTCAGGAATGTGAGATGTGATGTCAACACAACTCTAACGCTGAGTTCAAATGTTAATTGATCTCTGAGCCGGGAGAGCGAATCAGGACGCCCAGAAAGGCTGACGTAGTGGACAGGCATGGCGATGGGCCTGCGCCTCCTTTTCCCCATCAACTCGTAACGCGACTGCAGCCCCTAAGTATTGGGTTTGCTGGAATTGATCAGGTTGCCCTCGGCCCAGCCCTCCAGGGGGCCGCAATCACAACACGAGGCAGCCGAGGGCAGGTGAGATGTGGTTCGCTGGTAGGCTGGGGCGTTTTGATGGACCAAGAGCCTTGGCTGCTTGGAATTTGGCTGGGCAGTGGGCCCTTGGCACCCTGATCATCCTTTCCGGCGCCAAATTTCCTGGGCCAAGACCGAGCCCAGTCGACAGCCTCTTGGCCAGCAGACCGGCGGCAGCCAAAGGATGGCCCATCATTACATTCTAATTTTACCAGAGAGCGTGGCGCGTCTCCTGACTCAATCGGGAGGAAAAGTATATCATCCCTTGCCGTGGGATTTCTTTGACGATAGGGCTCCGGTTTTCCGTTGTACAACCTTCAAAGCCAGCATTCCACTTTGTTCCGCCGGCGGGTTAGTCTAGCAAGCGTCCGCCTTTCCACCTTTTCCACCGCTATTCATCGTCACTCGTTCCCGACTGGGTAGTTCCTTAAATTCAAACCCGACAACATGAAGTCTGTGTCATCAGTCCTGCTCCTCGCGGGCACCGTCATTGCGACCCGCACCGGGCCTCTCCAGCCCAGGCAGTCTGGCAGCAGCAGCAGCAGCAGCACACCCGAGGTCACCATCCGGGGGAACGGTAAGATGATATCTCCAAGGAAGGAAGAGAACTGAGAACGAGGGGGCATCATGACTGACATACCCACGCAGCTTTCTGGGCCGGCGATGAGCGTTTCTACATCCGTGGTGTGGCTTACCAGCCAGGCGGTGCTGCCGACGCTGCGGACCCCTTGGTCGACATCACGAGCCTCAAGAGGGATATCGAGAACTTCAAGGAGCTCGGCATCAACACCATCCGTGTGTACACCGTCGACAACTCGGAGAACCACGATGAGGGCATGGGCCTCCTGGCCGACGCGGGCATCTACCTCGCCCTGGACGTGAACTCGCCCAAGTTCTCTCTCAACCGTGCTGATCCCTTCCTGTCGTACAATGAGAAGTACCTGCAGTCTGTCTTCGCGACTGTGGATGCCTTCGCCAACTACTCCAACACCCTTCTCTTCTTCAGCGGTAACGAGGTCATCAACGACAAGAAGACCACCGGCACCGCCCCTTATATCCGTGCCGTCACCCGTGACATCAAGAACTATATCAACGCCCGCGGCTACCGTACCATCCCCACCGGATACTCCTCCGCCGATGTGTCCGAGAACATTGTCCAACAGCTCGAGTACTTTGACTGCGGTGACGACAGCTCCCGCTCCGACTTCTTCGCCTTCAACGACTACTCGTGGTGCGACCCCTCGGACTTTGTCAAGTCCGGCTGGAAGGCCAAGGTCGAGAAGTACACCGGCTACGGGATCCCTCTGTTCCTGTCTGAGTACGGCTGCATCGAGGACGAGCGTGCCTGGGGCGAGGTTGCTGCCCTGTACTCCACCAACATGACCACTGTCTTCTCGGGCGGCATTGCCTACGAGTACTCAGTCGAGCCCAACGGATACGGTATCGTCGAGATCAAGGACGGCAAGATCACCCCTAACCAGGACTTCGAGGAGCTGGCTACCGCCTTCAAGAACACCCCCAACCCCGCTGGTGACGGCCAGTTCGACTCCGACTCCACCGCTGCCGAGTGCCCTGCCGCTTCCGCCGACTGGGAGGTTGCCGATGAGCTGATCCCCGCCCCCCCGTCCGCCATTGAGGAGTTCATGGACAACGGCGCCGGCGCTGGCCCTGGTCTGTCCGAGGACGTCGTCACCTCGCACTACGGCGGTGACTCCTACTCCGAGTCCAACGTCACCATGGATGGAGTCGTGGTTGCCTCCACCGGCAACGGCTCGTCTTCAAGCGGCTCAAGCGGAAGCAGCAGCGGAAGTTCGTCAGAGAACGCCGCCGTCGGGTCTGCTGCGCCAGGCCTTATCCTGTCCATGGCCTCTGCCGTGTGCATGGGTCTGATTGTCTTCCTCTAAGAAATTGCATAACATACCTGTCCGGTGTCTTTCATAGCCTTTGCCACGTTTGGAATGTGATGGTTGGGAGCTACACAATTCTTAATTCTTAAATAGACTTCTTTTACAAGCCTCAGCTTCTTCTGAACCCATATTCGTACAACATAACCGTTACTGGCCGTGCCCCGGCATATTCGGTCATACGTGATCATCAATCACCCCGTCATCATCGTGAGCGTCGTTTGACTTCTGTACTATACTAGTACAGCTGGAAGCTTAGCTGGTGGGAGTTACGACCCCCCGCTCCCCCCCCCCCACCCACCCCACGGGTTTGCCGAGGTCATGCCTTCCAAGCGTTGTGAAGTAGACATCGGCCCCGCTCCTCAATGTCTTCGATCACGGAACCTTAGCCATGAATCGAGCAGTGAGGTCTGGTGTTGAAGAATCACCCGCAAGCAGCTCACTCTGCGTGCGAACGCTGACCCTGAGGATGATTGCGATAAGAGACGCCTGATTCATAATTATCTAGGTACCCTTGGAATACATGTTGAACTCCCTGCAAGATCTTGAGCAGAACCACTTGAGCGTACTGATCTACCAACAGACATTGAATGCATTTTCCATTTCTCAACGTTCAGCAAGATAAGACTGCACGTGGAAAAATGCCGGTACCAAGTGTTCACTAGTGTTATCCCGCATACGACAGAATAGGAGGAGGGTATCGTGCTTCAAAAGGCATCACTGCACTGTCGAAGTGCATGTTGAAGCCATTTTACTTCACCCTGCCCTTGACCGCCATGCCTAAGCCTCAAATAGAAATCCCGATTGCCTTAAGCCTCTTCCCTTCCAAACTCAATGCTAGTGTGATTGCTGTCCCATGCACTCCAACCTGTTCCGATGCAACTATAAGAGCGTGTACCCATGTCCCCCACCGGCCCCACTTCTGTAGCCCCGGATTCTCCATCTGGGGTAATGAGATTGATATCCCGTAGGAGTCTTCGTAGGGTGTCCTGCAGAGGTTGCCATTCTGGCAGTACCTTCAAGGTTTCCGGGCGAGATCTGGCCACCTGCTGTCACTATCACCCATTTGCAACAGAGCCCACCTGTACTACGTCCACAAGCAAGATGTCTGGTTGGAAATACGCATATTCTTTGTCCAAGGCTGAAGTCAAGGACGCAACCCCTCCGGGAACAGTCCGCCTTGTTGGTCAGTGCTGTTCTAGAGTTCATCCAGTTATAACTCAGAGCCTCGCGTCAAATTTAGATATGCTCGTGCACTGACAACTGTCGACCTGCAGACCATCACGTTTACGACAAAGCCCTGGAGGCTGGGCATACTCGACCAGATACTTCAGACTCCTCAAGCGATGGAATCGTCCGCTTTCCTAGGCCTTCTGCGGACCCGGCCGACCCTCTCAATTGGTCATCATGGCGCAAAATTGCCTTGCTGTTGATCGCTTCCAGCTACGCCTTCGTCGGCAACTTTGCGAGCTCAGGGCTGGCGCCAGCCTTGCAGGCCTACAACATGAACTTTCCCACCGACCCTCAGCCTTTCTCTCAACTCACGCAGCTTATTGCTGTTTCTGTCCTCATGATGGGCGCCTCGAACATCTTCTGGGTCCCTCTGTCAAACATCTATGGCAGACGGCCTGTCCTCCTAGTTGCTACTCTGCTCATGACGCTTTCGTCCATGTGGGGCGGCCTTGCTTCGTCCTTCAATTCCCTCCTTGCTTCGAGGATATTTCAAGGGGCTGGAGCTGGGCCGTCTGAAACGACGGCCCCCGCCCTTATTGGAGAGGTCTTCTTCCTGGACTCACGAGGCAGGGCCATGGCTGTCTATACAACATTCCTCAGTCTCGGATCCATCATCGGCGGCATCACTGGAAGCTACATTGCCTTCCACCACGGATGGGCCTATGTCTTCTGGGTGACCACTGCTTTATCTGCGGCGTGCTTCGTTGGCACGCTGTTCTTTGCGCCCGAGACGCTCTACTCCAGGCGCAATGAACTGCCGCCACGGGCTTCTCACACCCAGCAGGATGCGCCCAAGGTCGCAGAGACTTTGCACGTCGAGAGCTTTCCACACACCAACGCCTCAAGCTCACAATACCGCTCCTTCACATTCGTTCGATCTCTTGGGTTCGGTCCTGTCCAGCGAGGTAACACCCTGGCGCATTTCATCCAACCTTGGAAGACACTGGCTCTGCCGGGAACCTGGGTGGTCATGCTTCATTACGCTGGACTTGTCGGTGGGATCGTGACCATTTCCACTATAGGAGCTCAGCTTGTTTCTCAGCCACCTTGTGAGTGATATCCAGCATTCGAACCCTTCTCCTTGCCCATCCTTGCAATTTGTACAGACCGAGATCGGGATACAGCCAATGAGGCGAGACTATTGATTCGACGGATCGTGCGATTGGATGCGGAAAGACTTGACTAAATAATGACATGGCTAGATCTCTGGGGTGAAAATGCCGGTTTGATTAATGTCGGCCCAATTATCGGGGCGCTTCTAGGCGCAGCGTTTACATACTTGACCTCTGACGCGAGGTTGCTCGGCCAGGCCAAGCACGAAGGCCACGGCTTCGCCGAGCCGGAGAGCAGGCTGCCGACCAGCTTCCCAGGGCTGTTCATTGCTACGAGCGGCCTCTTCGTGTTCGGTTTCTGCGCACAGTATCCAGGGCCAAAGGTTTGGGTCGGCCTGGAGGTCGGGTACGCGATGCTTTCATTCGGTTTGATGCAGGTCCCCTCTATCGACTTCAACTATGTGAGTGTTACACCACCCGGAATCTGGTTCTTTCATCGGTCAGCCAAAACATTGCTAACATGGTCCCTGAAGCTCATCGATTCGTACTCGCACGTTGCGGGTGACTGCTTTGTCATTGTCACGATTCTGCGATCTGTCATCTCGTTTGCATGGACCTTTTTCGTGGCGGACTGGGTTGCCCAGAAAGGACCAGCCGAGCCGTTCGGAATATTTGGCATGCTATTGGGCATCTTCAGTCTATTGACCATTCCACTGTGGCTGTTTGGGAAGCGCATGAGGATCGCGACTGCTGGTCACTTGGACGTCAAATACTAACGCAGCCGGGGCGGGCTTTCCCAGCTCTAGAGCGCGTCTCAAAATTCCTTGTGTCGCGAGATTACTCTGCTCGTCGCCTGGTTCTGTCATTTACGGCCAACTTGCGGATGAAGATGTCGCTTTGTGTCATTGTGATCATCTGTGCTGCAACCTCATGGAAGTACCTACTAGTAGGTACCTAGGTAGTTGTCCCCCGAGTCAAACCACAATTTGCTTTCATGCCAAGGGGTTCAATGTTGCTCGGTGCCTTGGAACAACAATAGTTCTGCAAGATTACAAACAGCCAATGTTATGTAACCCTGTGGGATAGTCATATCGATTTTATGAAAGTTTAGAATTACTGAGAGTTACAAGATCTGTCCAGCCGTTGAGCCTTATGCCTCAGGTGTCGGTAGGGAAAGTGGTCTGTTCTCTGCATGGACATAATTACGAGCACGGGTACGTTCTGACTCTGCCCAGGTGATTTCAGTGACATAGGGTTGTGGTCTGTGGTCAACTATAAAGACCCAAATCAATCCAGGTCTCTCTTGTTTACTGTAGAAATTGTGAATCCAGAAAACTAGCGTTAAAGCCAAATCTTTCTAACAACACAAGGTTCTAGAACACAAGCACCTACCTACCTATGTGGTTTCGCTTCTATTCCGTATATATCCGAGGACATACATGGCGCCTTTACTACCTACCTATAGGTAGATACTTAAGGTAGATAGGTATACTAGGGTATGGCCACATGATGTGCTTGCTAGGTAGTTTTATTTCTAATCTCTAAGTGACGGTACGGTACTTATATATAGTTTTACTTCTATTCTATATATTTAAGAATATATATACTACCTTTATATAATAGTAGGTATTTAAAATTTAATACTTGAAAAGAATATAATATTAATAATAATAGTTATAATATAATTAATATTTAAAATCTTAATTTTATAATATATAAATAAAATTAAAAGTATTATTTTAATAATAATATTAATTATAAATAAAAGTAGTTTAAAATTTAATTATTATAAAAGTTATATAATAAAATTAAATTTAAAAATAATTATTATATAAATAAATTATATTAAAGAAAGTTTAATTAAAAATTATTTTTAAATAAATATATATATATATATATTAATAAGACTTTTATTAAATAAATATTATAATCTTTATTTAAATATATAGTTATTAATTTTAAAAGAATTTAAAGTAAAGAAATAATTTATAAAAATTGTTTTTAAATATTTTATAATAAAGTATTAAAACTTTTAAAAAAGTTTTAAAAGTAATTTATAAAAAATAAAAGAAAGTATAATAAGTTTATTTTTTTAAATTTATATTTTTATTATTAATAATTATTAACTTATTAATAATATAAAAAAATATAATAGAAATTAAAAAAAAGGATTTAAAGTTCTTTTATAAAAGAATTATAAAAATATATATAAAGTTATTAAAGACTTTATATATAAACTTTAAATTAAAGAAGAAATAAATAGTTAAACTAAAAGATAGTTATATAGTGTAAAGGAAAAATATAGTGTGGTTGAAACCACGGTACTTATATACTATTAGGAATAACTAACAGGTAGATTAGTTATTATAGTCTTTTAGCCGGATAGTAGAGCGTTAGGCTAGTAGTGACGCTCCCATTGCACCCTATATATATAAAATGTACATAGTACCTCCATACAGTGATAGACACTCAAGATCTACAATTTAAAAAATAATATAGTTCTAATAATAGTGCAGAGATAATATAGTACGTCGATAGGTACATGGCCTTAGCCTCGTGCTACACAGTCAAGGCTGGGAGGCATTGCTCCTAACGGCGCCGCTGGCTAGAATCATTGACAGAAGTAGCCCAAGGACTAATCTGCTATGGTGCTAAGAGTTAAAGCCGGTAAAGTAGTTATACGGCGAGACTACAATAGTCTCAAGATGGCCCCACGTGCTCGCTAGTGCTCAATAGCCAGGCTGGCTAGCGTGCATTGCAGCGTAATGAATGGTCTTTCTGTCCGACTCGCATTGACTCGAGACTGTTCTGATGTGGCCAGTAATCTTCAAAGTCAAGGACACACAGAGGGCATACTACGTTGCAAATCAGAATGCATCTGCGAAAGTGTACTTGCCTACCTAGGTGGGTAGACAGCATCAAAGAACCACACTACAGAGCCAGTCAAATACATATAGTAGGCCAAAGAATTATATCAAGGTTGCCGAATGTCTCCCGTGGATTTGATTTACTCTTAGACCTTAGTGAACAGATGGCAGTTGTATTGCTATCGACATGAGATGATGTTGTATGGTTTGCATGTGAAAAGCTGCGAGGCTGACAGGACGTTTCGGAGCGGCACACTTTCCGGTGCCGCAGAAATTCCAAATAGTCAGTTGAGGACCCGGGTGCAAGCCTTGCTTTTGCATGTGCACGACTGAAAAATTCATTCATTCCCGCGGTGGCGGGATTTGACGGAGCGCTGTTAGCCTATTTCAGCCTCACAGGCCGCTGACCCCTTACCTAGCGTGATGGAGAGAGAGTTTTTCACATGCAAAAGCTAGGATCAGGGACCCGTCCCAAATGTGTCCCACCACAGTGCATTCACGTGGTCAACTTGAATTTGATTTACTGTGTAGACAGTCTCCATGATGCCAGAAATCGGGCTTCTGAGAGATCCACAGGGGAGTGGACCCGGGGCATTTCGAAGCCGAGGTTGGTGCTCGTCGTTCCGGGCCGTCTTTATCGTCCCGCCTCATTTCATTCCCTCCTGATTAACTTGTCTTGTAATACACAGGTCGAGCACTCGGTGCGGCCCTACAGTCTTGGATCCCGCTTGTTTCTTTGTTGTTGTAGACCGACTGCTTTCCGTCTTCTATCTTTTTGAGATCACTTACAGTAAGGCCATCTGCAGTGGACCAACGACTTCCAAGGTTCCACAGGAGACTGCAGAGCATAAACACCTTCGCCGACCAGTCAACGCAAAGTCACCACCGCCGAAGATGACTCGGAGTGGATCAGCCCGGGCTCAGTCCAAAGCGGGTGACTTCGAGGCTGTCCGAGAGTCCATAATCAACCTCCTCAAGCAGCCCGAGTACGATGATGGCTCTGCAGGACCCGTCATCGTGCGTCTGGCATGGCACTCAGCAGGCACGTATGATGCCGAAACCGACACAGGAGGGTCGAACGGCGCTGGCATGCGCTACGAATCCGAAGGCGGAGACCCAGCGAATGCCGGCTTGCAGCACGCCCGCCTCTTCCTCGAGCCGGTCAAGCGCGAGCACCCCTGGATTACGTATGCGGACCTCTGGACGCTGGCGGGCGTGACAGCCATCAAGGCGATGGGTGGACCAGATATCCCGTGGTATCCAGGGCGCACCGACTACGTCGACGACTCCAAGCTCCCGCCGCGCGGCAGGCTGCCCGACGGCAGCCTCGGGGCCGACCACATCCGGGCAATATTTTACCGAATGGGGTTCAACGACCGGGAGATCGTCGCGCTGAGCGGCGCGCACAACCTGGGTCGCTGCCACGCCTCAAACTCTGGATTCGAGGGCAAATGGGTCAACAACCCGACCAGGTTCTCAAACCAGTACTTCCGCCTCCTCTTGAGCGAGGAGTGGAAGGAGAAGAAGCTCCAGTCGGGCGTCGTGCAGTTCGCCGCAGTCGACCCGGTCACGGGGGACGAGCTAATGATGCTGCCGACGGACATGGTGCTGATCAGGGACGAGGAATTCTTGAAATGGGTCAGGGTCTATTGCAGTCAGTATTGCTCTTCTCCTCTTACGGATTCTCTTCCGTCATTCTTTGGACTGTTTTAGAATGCAACACTTTGGGATCCGTAGCAGGACTAACGTCATCAACAGAGGACAAAAACGCCTTCTTCGAGGACTTCAAGAACGCCTTCCTCAAGTTGATGGAGCTGGGTATTACCCGGGACGCCGACGGCAACATCACAAATACTGACAACGAGAAGGGAGGCTACCACAGTGCCCCAAAGAAGTCGGAGCAGCTTGGGCAGCCAAACGAGGTTCAAGGCAAGGGCCAGGTGGGAAGAGAAGCAGAGCCTCTTGCTAAACAGAATGAAGAATACAGGGCGAGAGCGAGGCTGTAAGCGCCGTCAATTTCACTCGACTTGGCAGGGCACGTGTTCCCTACATGTTTCACCTTAGCTGTGTACCATTTTATAGACGGAGCACTGGAGATGAATAGAATATAGAGTAGAACTAGAGCTGGAACTAGACTTAGAAATAGACCTTGGTGCAGACTCGCCCCTGATATGACTAGCCGGTTTCGTTTCTATTCCGCATACATCCGGGGACATACATGGCGCCTTCATGCGGTGCTCTTTAGGTTATATTATTATCACATCTGGACCCCAATTTGCCGATTTTCATTTCCCTGGCCATATTCGCTGTTTGTTAACAGGAAGTGCTGCATCTCATTGTGGAGAGGAAGGTAGGAGGATAGGACATCCTTCAGGTCTTCTCTTTTGAATTCCAGGCTCTAAACTTGTCAAAACACCATTCAACAGCAAGCGGAATCTCCCGCCCTTTGTAGGTAGGCTCAATAAAAGTGCGTAGATGCCCTTCCATATGAAGTTTTAAATAGTCGTACCCTTGAGGCCATAGGGCTTAGCGGAGCGTGTTGTGACCTCGAGTTAGTAGTTAAAGCAATCATTCTTATCTTAAGTTACCCTACTTACATTCATACTATGTGGTTTCGCTTCTATTCCGTATATGTCCAAGGACATACATGGCGCCTTCATATGGTGGTAAGCACTCAAGACCCAGCGCTTGGAAAGAATATGATGTCGATAACAGTAGTTATAATATGATAGGTAGCAATTCCATTACAGCGAGTCTTAGCGGCGAGCTTTGAAACCTCAATACCTAGGTTGAGTCCTACAGGTGATATGAGCATAAAGCCAGGATACAGGCAGGTAGAAATGGTTTGCCATAGCGCGCCACGGAGCACAACATTGAAGAAACTGCCGGATCAGTGGGATTCGATGTAACGTCCAGAGTATGAGGAGCAACCAGTACGGAAGTTGATGGAGCTGGATGCCGGCAATATGTACAAGCACTATGTGTAGACTTGCCAATACAAGGCGGAGCTATAAAGGCCTGTGATATTTTCACTTTCGCTTTAAGGCACACTGTATGAAGGCGCCACATACATTTTACATGTATGGGGATTAAAAACGAAACCACCTGCTATAAGGCAGCGCTAGATATCGCCTTTTTACTTTTTTATATGAGAGAACATCCGGGACCATTGTGGGATACCTGGGTAATAGGATCTACCTAGGTAATCAAGGTCTAGCACCACCAAATCGATATTCATATTTCAGCCCGACGTTATGTTTTTTTCTCCGGTAGTGGCCACATTATCTCCCACTCAGAAAGGCTGTACCAGGTGATCTGTTCCGTCTCTCGTGAGAAGCCACAACCGATGCGTTCGCGGCTACATCATCGGAGAATACAAGAGTGAAAGGCTCCGTCACAACCTGATCCCAGTCTGCCTCGACATCGGGGTTACCAGTTACCCTCAGCATCCGCAGTTGGAATCTATAAGTCCCGCTGTCCTGCACGAAGCTGCTGTCCGCCATCTGCCCGTAGAAGTAGCGGCTGGTAGGGGAGTCTCGCACGTAGTAGGACTGGACCTCGCCGACCGTGCTAACCATGCCAAGGTCCTTGCCGTCTCGCAGCAGCGAGACATTGAGCCGCAGCGACCCGAAAATCGGGTTGACCTGGTAGCCCGGGAGGGTAATGTTCGTGAGCGCTGTGCTGGTGGTAATGTTACCAGTTACACGCGGGATCATGAAAGTGCTCGTCAGGCTGTTCCCATCCAGGCCCGGTCGCACGTCGCCGTCGGTCGTGTTTGCTATCAGAACCGTCCTCTCCTGTCCAGGCGTCGTATCCAGCACGGGAATGCTGCGGAGCTCCGAGGCTATGCCACCATAGGCAATGGACAGATTGTCGCCGTTAGATCCCTTGATGGTAATGAATCCGCTATATAGAGGCACTCGGCGAGCCTCGAGCCCAGTCGGTGGTGTCACCTGAACTGTGAAGACCGCGGTGCTTCCGGCACCCACAGTTGCTGAATTCTGAGAAAAGGACAGCTCGGAATGGGCCTCGGGCAGTATGTTAGCCGGGAACGCTGAGTCGTTGTTGAACGCCGTGACCGTGTTGTTGCCAGGTGAAAATGCATATAGAGTCGGGCCAGGATTGTGTGTCAATTCATATGTCACTGAGTCACTTCCTGAGTTCCGAATCTCAAAGCTCTGTGGCTGGCTGTACGCAGTGTCATTGAATGCGAGATCGCTCACATTCAGTGTCGTGGTGGTCTTCAAAGCGGCATAAGCATCGATCATTCCTCCCCCCTGCTGAAAAATAGGAGCAAGGTAGTCCTGCGTTTGCCGCTGGTTCGACTGCATCCTGACCGGCTTTGCCGTTGTGGCTAGGCGATTGATGATCTCGTTTGGGGTGATGCCAGGATGCGCTTGCTTGATGAGAGCTGCGACACCTGCAACGTAAGGTGCCGAGAATGAGGTTCCGCTTGCGATGACAATGCCTCCATATATCGTTCCACCAGCCGTCAGGATGTTGGCCCCAGGAGCAGAGAAAGTCGTACCAATCTTTGCTTCATAAGTGGGGCCCCATGTGCTGTAATTTGATATAAATCCCTGCACTAATGTTAGCAATTAACTCATTCTTGATGCCGATGGAGAACGCATACGCCACTAATGTCATTCTTCAGAAGCCTCAGTATTCGTGTATCATTCTCTGGTTTCCAAGGCAAGTCCAGAGTGATCTTGTTGCCGCTGCTTACGAGCCCAGCAAGTTTCTCTCCCAGGGCATTATCGATATACCCGACGCCATCCAACCAGTCAAATGGAAACCCTTCAGTGGTCACGAGTGGCAATGGTCTGGTGGCTACACCATCAAAGTAATTGTAGAATAGAATGTTTCTGATGCCGGCAGCCTTCGCTTGCGCGTTCTGGTCGCATGCAGGGGTGCCAGCATAGGGTCTTTGCAGCAAGATCACTTGGTTTGTCGTGTAAGTGCTGTGGGATTGTTAGGGTAGTCAGTATACGCATATTCTTGGCGTCCTAAGGAAAAAATTGCATATCTCATAGCTCTGCACAGGTTCAAAGACTCCGAGCCCGACCATGCTCCCTCCAGCCAGGGGCTGAATTTAGTGCAGATCATAGATTTACGCACATATTAGGGTAAGGCGTACAGCCGTTGACCTGCAAATTGATAATTTCCAGAGGCGAAGTCCAGTTGGCCGGAAATCCAGGCGTGTACTGTGAGCGTTAGACGTCGGTGTTAGCAGAAGACCTCAGGGCGTGGGACAGAGGCCTTGGTAATGAGAATAAGCAAGTAGTATCTGGGAGTTTCTTACCTCGATAGGCACTGCTTCGCCCTCATTGACACTATACGAGCCATTGGCCATAAGGGTCGGACTGTAAGCATTATCAACGGAGCCTATGCTCGGAACGCCTTGCGTGCTGCTCAACGAATTCGCGATGAAAGGACCGCGAGCTCCGTCATTTCCGGCTGAGATGATGTACGCCGTTCCATTTTTCATGATTCTTGAAGCAATGACTCCCCACAAGTCATTTCCCCATCCACCTTGACCCCCAATGGAAGCATTGATAACATCAACTCCTTCTTCGTACGCTGCAAGTGAGGCATTGACCCCGACGTCTGTCGAAACGCCCCCGGAGCAAGGGAACACCTTGTAGTGATAGATTGTAGCATTCGGCGCGACGCCCACAAACCCGAACTTGTAAGGCAGACCTGCGGCTATTGCTGAGGTCGCCGTCCCGTGATTCGCACACACGGTCTGTGGAGAGTTGTCAGGAACTGGGGGGTCCACATCATTGTCAGGCAGGTCGCCGACAAAATCGTATCCTCCAGCCACCTTGAAACCTGGCCCGAATCCGCCTCCAAGGGCCGAGTGGAAAACGTCGATGCCGGAATCTATGATCGCGATTTTTACGCCTTCGCCAGTGATTCCCTCTGCGTGGAGTCTGTCGACTCCAGTCATGGCGTGGGGGTTAACCAGCGGCGTTCCATCCTGCCCAAAGTAAAGTTGATTCTCATCGCTTCCGTTGCCGGTCGGCCTTTTCCCCACAGAGGAAAAGTACTCTTCCCTGCCAGCATTCTTGAAATCTGTTCTAAACTCCACTGGAGCCTGAAGATAGCGCACTGTGTTGGGATAGACGGCCGCGATGTCAGGCATTTGAAGTAATGCAGCCTCCAAGAGCTCATCAGTAGATATCGGGCCCTCGCCTGCCCCATTCTGGGGCTCTTTGGCGATTTGGAAAGAGGCTCCATTGAAGATGGAACTTCTCAGATCCATCTTATGCGAGACGCGTACTCCCGTAGCATCTGACACTTGAGTAGCCACTCTTTGCACGACATCCTGTCAAGATTTGTTTAGCAGCTGCTGTCCTGCTGTCCTGCTGAACACTAAGTCCCCGGACGTATGCGGTATAGAAGCGAAACCAGCTAAGTCGTTCGCCGAGACTGGCTATAACCACCGTCCTCAGCCGTTCACGGCTACCAGTCCACAGCTTGAGTCTAAGAGAACCATGAACAGGAAGACAAACGCAATATCCGGGTGAGGTATCGTGAATAGGGTTTTGAAGAAGGAAATCCCACTGTACTCGTCTCACATGAGATAGGGAAGATGGACTCACCACCGAGTGGGTCTGCGGATCATCCGCGTATTCCACGATGAAGCCATTCGCCAGACGGGATAATGGCTGCGATCCCGAAATGTCCTGGGCCACAACTCCGTGCACGAAGTTGACCGCCCCGAAAAAGCAAAATGAGTGTAAACGAACCATGGTAGATCAAGTAAATGAATGAGGAAAGACTGCAGAAAGTGGAACAGACTCCGGGGCTGAGGATCGTGGGCACCAGACTATCAATATTGTCCAAATTCCGGTATGTGTGTCCCTGAAATAGAATCCAAGTCTTGGTAGACGGGGATCAAAGCGGCGTATCATGCTGCAAGCGAGGACCGAGCTTGGCCTACATCGATTGCCTATATGATCACATAGTAAATGCAAATCTACGCTTGATTCATTTCATATTGTTGGACGAGCGAGAGACTACCTTGGTACTACCCGCTGGCGATCGGAGGTCGGTGGAATTATGCTTGACTTTTTGAAAGCTTAAAGGAAATTTGCAGGATCAGATTTACAGCACGGATCTGCCTGTTCGTAGCGGGGAAGAAGTTCGCACGGGACGTGTGTTTACCCTCCGCAATGAACTTTATTTGATTACGGAGCTAAAATCTGGTCGACTTGAGTGGTACACAGTAAGTGTGACTCAATGTTGCGGCCGCCGAGAACAGCTACACCAAAGCTCCAGTTTCATTGAGAATGTTATCACATGTTTTATTACGATGAACATCATCAAGCTCAACTTTAACTAATAGAACGAAAACGATTGCCAATTATATGCTTAATGCATGCAACTCAGTTGTTGTTATTAAGAAAATTAGGCTGAGCGTTTACTCGTGCTTGTAGCTCGGCCGGTAGCTGTCTCAGCCAAATTCTGTTTAGAAGGTAGATTGCCGTTTTTTAATGCGTTCATCGAAATTATAGCCCAACTTATACAGGAACAGTGGGCCTTAAAAAGTCTTGCATAATTTAAAATTCTTACTAAAATATCTATAATAAGACCTATATATATAGCTCTATAATAGCTTATATAATTTTAAATTTCTATATATTAAATTAAAAATAAATAATTAAAGTTTTAAAAGAATAAAATATATTATATTTCTTTAAATTAATTTAATTAAGTTTATTATATTAAACTTTTTATAATAACTTTATAATTATTTATAATATTATTTACTATTAAAAAATTATTTTTATATAAATATATTAAATTATATTAATTTAAATTAATATTATTAATTTATTAAAACTTAAAACTATTATAAATTATAAGTTATTTAATTTAATATTAATAAATATTATATAAAAGTATTAAAATTTATTATATATAGTTTTATTTTTATTTTATATATATTTAAGAATATATATAATATTAAATTTATTATATAATTTAAATAAATATAAGTTAATTAAAATAAATAAAAATAAAATTATTATTCTTGAAATTAAAGTTTTAATTTTATTTAAATAAATATTTATTAAATTAAATTATATAAAAATAATTACTTAACTAATTAAACTATTAAATTAAATTATAATATTTAAATAAAATAATTATATTCTATTATTTTAATTTATAAATTTAATAACTTTATAAAAATAATTATTAATAATTAAATTTATAATTATATAAAAGTATATTTTATTTTAAAAAGTTATTATTATTTAAAATAATTTATTTATTTTTAAAATTAAAGGATTATAAATTTTATTTTAAAGAAAATTAAAATTTATAAAAGTTTAAACTTTTAATCTTTTAAAGAATAAAAATTAAAAGAATTAAAAATTTAAATAAACTTAAAATTAAATTAAGTTATAATATAAACTATTTATATATTTTTTAATTTTATTATTAAATTAAAATAAATAATTAAAGTTTTAAAAATAAAATATAATATATTTTAAAAATTAATTTAATTAAGTTTTTATATAAAACTTTTATAATAACTTTATAATTATTTATAATACTATTTATTATTAAAAGATATTTTTATATTAATATATTAAGTTATATCTATTTAAATTAATATTATTAATCTATTAAAAGTTAAAGTTATTATAAATTATAAGTTAATCTTAATATTATTAAGTATTATATATAAGATTATTATATAATTTAAGTAAGTTAGTTAAAATAAGTAAAAATAAAATTATTATTCCTTTAATTAGAAATATATATAAGTTTTAATTTTATTTAAATAAATATTAATTAAGTAAAACTATTTAAAAGTAATTACTTAACTTATTATATAATTAAATTAAAAGATAATTAAATAAAGTAATTATACTTTATTATTATATATAATATTTAAGTTTATAATTTTAATAACTTTATAAAAAAAATAATTATTAATAATTAAATTTATAATAATATAAAATAGATTTTATTTTAAAAGAAGTTATTAATATTTAAAATAAAATTATAATAATTAAATTATAAATTACTTCTATTTATATACTTTTACTTTTATTTTATATATATTTAAAATATATATAATACCTTATATAATAATAAGTACTTAAAACTTAATATTTAAAAAATATAATACTAATAATAATAGTTATAATATAATAAATATTTATAATTTTAATTTTATAATATATAAATAAAGTTAAAGTATTATTTTAATAATAATATTAATTAAAATATTATAAAACTTTTATTTATAATTAATATTATTATTAAGATAATACTTTTAATTTTATTTATATATTATAAAGTTAAAATTATAAGTATTTATTATATTATAATTATTATTAATAATATTAATATTTTATTCTTTTAAATATTAAGTTTTAAATATTTATTATTATATAAAATATTATATATATTTTAAATATATATAGAATAAAAGTAAAATTATATTTAAAATAATTAATATATTTTTAAAAAGTTAAAGGGTTATAAGTTTAATTTAAAGAAAATTAAAATTTATAAAAATCTTAAATTTAAACTTAAAAGAAACTAATATCTACTTACTTAATTCCTATTAACCACTTACTTAATATTAATTTTTTTAAGTAACTTTTTTATATTTATAAATACCTTTTAAGTTAATATTAAGAAACCCTATAATATAATTTTTTTTTTAATTTTTAATACTTTAAGTATAAGCTCCTTTTAATACTCCTTTTAATACCCCTTTTAATACCCCTTTTAATACCCCTTTTAGCACCCTTTTTAGACCTTTTAGATTATATATATTTAGGTATTAATTAAGTATTTAAATATTAATTAAATATTAAAAGGTTAAAAATTTAAAATATTAAAGGGTTAGAAGGGGTATTAAAAAGTTAGAAAAAGTATAGTTTTTACCTTTACCTTTTTAACTTCTAACCTTTTAATATTTAGTTAGTATTTAAATATTTAGTTAGTACCTAAATATATATAGTTTAAAAGGTAAAGGTAAAGGTAAAGGTAAAGATAAAGGTAAAAATAAAGGTGAAGGAGTATTAAAAAGGGTGCTAGAAGGGGTTTATATTAAAAGTATTAAAAATTTAAAGAATTCTAGTTAGATATATAGTTTTATATAGACCTTATATATAAATTTTTATATTAAGTGAGTAGTTAAAAAAAATTAGGTAAGTGGATATAATTATTAGGTAAGTAGATATTAGCTTACTTAAAAGTCTTTTTTTAAATTTAACTTTTTTAAATAGAAAAATATTAAAAAACTTTTAAAAAAAACTTAAGTAAAATTAAAAATTAAAATAAGTTATAATATAATAAAATAATTAAATAAAGATTAATTAAAATATTATAATTATAAATTTTATAAAATATTTAAAAGATTAATATATTATTAATAATATATTTTAAAATATAAATATAAAATATAAATATAAATATAAAATATAAATATAAATATAAATATAAATATAAAATATAAATATAAAATATAAATATAAAGTATAAATATAAAATATAAATATAAAATATAAATAATTAACGCCGTTATTAAAACGATACCCTTTAGCTTTATTTATATATTATAAAGCTAAAGTTATAAGCACCTATCGTATTATAACTATTATTATTAGCATTATATTCTTTTAAACACTAGGTTTTAAGTACTTACTACTATATAAAGGCGCTATATATATCCTTAAATATATATAAAATAAAAGTAAAACTTTATAGAATATAAATATAAAATATAAATATAAAATATAAATAAATAAATATATTATATATATAAATAATTTAATATAATATTTTATATTTAAACTTATATATATTAAAAGTTTTATATAAAAAACTTTAAAAAGTTATTAAAGTTTATAATTAAATAAATAATATTTAATTTATTAAAAAAATACTTATAATTTATTAATAACTTTATAAATAGTTTTAATAATTTTAATTCTTTATAATTCTTTAAATTTAAATTTTTTATTCTTTTAAATTTTATTAAAAAGAAATAAATAGTTAAACTAACTAAGTTTAAATAGAGAAAATATAATTATATAAGACTTTTTAAAGGCCCACTAAGAAGCATCACTGATCATTACCTGTGGTTCTCGCGATGCAGAACAAGCAACCTAAACATAGTCTAAAGCAAAGCTTTCCTCGCATCGGTAAATAAAGAATAAATATATAAAGGCTAAATCGAGATAACGACTATACTAATTAGAGACATTTCAAAATACAAGGGAACAGACATTGGTAAGTCCATTGGGAATTCGAAAATGCTGAGCTTCATAGCAGCCTCCGCCAGCTTCTTCCCTCGCTTGCGGAATGCATTGATTTCGAATCCGTTCATGACATGGCTTCAATAGTACCCGGGGGGCAGGCCTTCCCTGCCCCCCTACGCCCTTGGTATAGGGGGTGCCAAAATTCCGCAACAGCCAAAATCCCACAACACCTACACCTATTTATTTTTACTATTTTTCCCTATAAAAATCTACTTTTTAATTAAGTATATTTCCTTAATTAAATTTTATATAAAAAAAAATTAAATATATTTAAAATCCTTATTTTATAAAAATTAATAATAAAATATTTTTAAATTTTTAAAGTTAAGGTTTAAAATTTTAATTTTTTTAATTAAAGGTTTTTTAAAATGAATATATCTTTTATATAAATTATATTATTAAAAATAAAAATAATAAATTATTATTAGAATTATTCTATTTATATAAAGAATATTTATAAAATCTCTTCCTAAAAATTAAGGTTATTATAATCTATTTTTTATAAGGTTTTAATATTATAAATCCTCTTTAAAACTTTAATTCTTAATCTTTTATAAATAGATTTTAATTTTAAAAATATTTTTATATATAAAAAAAAATTCTCCTAAAATTCTATAAGTATTATACTTTTATTATATAATTTATATAAAAAGATATATTAATTTTAAAAAACCCTTAACTAAAAAAATTAAAATCTTAAACCCTAACCCTAGAAATTTAAAAATATTTTATTATTAATCTTTATAAAATAAAGATTTTAAAGGTATTTACTTTTTATCTATATAAAATTTAATAAAAGAAATATACTTACTTAAAAAATAGGATTTTATAGGGGAAAGTAGTAAAAATAGGTAGGTATAAGTATTGCGAGGTTTTAGCCGTTGTGGGGTTTTATCACCCACTCCGCCAGGAGTGGGTAAGTGGAAGCCGAAGCCCACGGGTAAGTATTCTACCACTAGGTCATGTCTTCAACATTGCCTATCAAGGAGGTACAATGACGGTTGTGAAAAAGCGCGAAAAGAATATCGACAGCAGCAGCCAATTCGTCATAGTGGACTATTGGCTCAGGACCTGTGGTAAAAACCTGGTCGGCTGCATGTTCGCAACTTAGAATGTATATGCTCAGGCCACAAACAGCGTCGCGCAGGTGCAGATACTGTCAACTCCGCTCTGTAGCCATTCTTTTATTGTTGACTGCGCAACCTATCAATCCCAAACATGGCTAGAATTGAGGTAGCCGTTGCTGTGAACAAGGCAGATGCACATCCAGTGTGGTGTCGTTTTTAGACGCACAACACCTGAATTATGTCCAAGCTTGTGTCAAGGAAGCACTCAGATTCTTCACACCATTTCCAAGTAAGCATACCGAAAAGCAAATTGAACCCTCCATAACTCAAAAGAAAACTGTAGCATCAGCTTGTTCACCGTTTGCCTCCAACCCCCCCCCCAGCTCTCTCGTCCGCGGAGTTTCAGACACATCGCGACCACATGGCGACCCTCCTTACACCTACGCTCCATTTCCCCGTAACCCAATGAGCTGACTCACAACAATGCAATGGGCCTTCCGTGATATTTTCAAAACGAGGGTATGACAATTAGCAATCGCGCTTTTACTCAATGCACAATAATACTAGTTTCGCTTCTATCTGCATATGTTTAGGGACAAACATGGCGCCTTCATACAGTGGTAAACGCTCAAAACTCAGTGTGCTTTGTTTAACAAAAACATACTGTGTCTATAATTATAGTTCAAATACGATAGGTGCATGTGGTCTCAGCCTTGCGACGCACAGACAAGGCCAAGGGGCATCTCTTGACGGCGGCGTTGATCGTGGACACAATTAGCCCACGGGCTAGTCGCCACCTATTCCGCATACGTCTAAATATACATAGCGTCTTCAAAATGGTCGATAATAGGGGGTAAAAATATAATAGGTGCATGTGGCCTCAGCCTTGCGACGCACAGAGGCACCGTCTTAACGGCGGTATTAACTAGAATGTGTGTAAATTTAAATCCTTGTTGAGAGCCCGAAAACCTTTAAAATAAGAACGGATACCCGTGGGCTTCAGCTTCCACTTACCTACCACTAACATAATAGGTAACAAAAACCTATAACGACCAAAACTTCACAATAAAAAGACAGGCTTTTTCCTTATATAAAACAGTACTTTTTAATACTTTTAACTTACTATAATATACTTAGTATTAACTTAATTCTTAAAAAAAAATAAGTTTTAGAATCCTTAAAATTAATAGATTATTTTATACTACTTCTTTTATTAATTAAATTAATTTTTAAGAAGTTAAAATATATTACTTTAAATAAAAATAATATATAACCTTAAGATTTAATAATTAAAAAAAAGTTTTAATAGGTTACTCTCTAAGAAGTTTATATATAAAAAAACCTTCTTTTTATTATAAACTTTTAGCCGTTATAAAGTTTTATTACTTACTTTATTAAGAGTAAGTAAGTAGAAGCTAAAGCCTATAAGTATTTATAGAGTAAAAAACGGATAGTATAAAGTAACTTTTTAGTTTTTTTAATTTTTATAAGTAAAATCTATAAATATTAATTTTTTAAAACTCTTTTACTATTTATTATTATTTAATTAATATTATATATTAAAAATAAAGTTATTAAAAATTATTACTATATTTTTAAATTTTATTTTAATAAAATAATATTTATTTTTATAATAGTATATAATTATATAAATATTAAAGTTAGAATTTTAAAAATAATACATTTAAATAGCTTATTCTTTCTACTATATTATAAGGTACTTTTTATTACTTAGAATTAAATCTCTTCTAAAGTTATAATATAAAGTAAAAAGTAATAATTTATATAAAAAAAGTTGCCCTATACCATCCGTTTTTTGCCCTGTGAATATCCGTTCTCTTTGAAATTACTTAATCTCTGCGTTCCCATATTTCAAATAGGAATGAGTCTCTCTAGAGGTCCACTGATCTCGACAAATGCCTCCCTCAACTTCAATACCTCAGCATGCAGCCCCGGGGCCGTCCCCTATTGATTCGGCCCCGGCCTGGACGACGGGGACCACCACGCCCCGAAAATCGTATCACCCCTCTTCCTGGAGCTCCTTTTTTCATCAGATAGTACTCATCGGGCTGGATCACGTTGAGGTAGCATGGGTCCTCTCAGGCGAAGCAACAAGGAACATGGCAATACCGTCAAAAACCCACGTGCTCAGGCACCTCGCCTTTCGACTCCACATCTCTCACATTTGGGGCTGATTCTGGAGAGGGCACAAGAATGACCTTTTCAAATGTGCGGGACTAGAAGTGAATAGTGTGTTAAATTGTTACAATCACTGCGTCGGTGAAAGCCATCTGAATACACCTGAAGATATTATATGAACCCGTCCTTCTCAGATACCTAATGGAACAAGTTTCGGGCCATGACTCGGAGTGTCCTTCCAGTAAGCCCAGAATCCCTCCCGTGTGAATTTCGGGTCGCATTCGAGGTACTGGAACGCCTGTACGCTTTTTTTACCTGCAGTCTGGTTCAAGATCATTTCGGCCTTGATCCCCACAAGAAATCCTCAGAAATTATCGTTACCCTAGCGATGTACAGAGCTCGCCGTACAGTATACAGTACAGGCTGAAAAAGCTGTTTAGCATCTGCACCAAAGCGAGAAGCGTTACAACTTCAAATCTCTCGCTCGTTCCTTTGTGAGTGCGGAGCTGGATCATAAATGCTTTTATTATTAGCGGATGTCATTCTCATCTGGACGTGCACTTCGATCATGCTAGCATATGTGGTATAAGGCATTCCTGCCCCCCCCCCCCCGGAATTCGAAGGCAAGAAGCACACGTTGGCGAGTCCCGCACTGGATCTCTATTTTTAACACGATTGCCTGGACTAACGCACAGACATTTTCACTGCAATTATCTGTAGGTTGCGCCTGTGACAAATAAGGCCGAACGTGTGCGCTACGTTTTGAGACCACACTCCTTTGGCTCGAGAACTAAATTAGGCTCAAAAGCCAATTGCCCTTTGAAAGCCACGGGACCGAATGGAATAAAACACGTTCATCGGGATAGAGAATTTTGCACTCCTTTGTAAGACTAAGTACTCGCTTTGCTTAAAGAAGGATAGGTTTTGTAGCCGCTAAGACCATAGCTAAGGGGGTGTTTAGGAGACTTCTGCTCAAGTATTCTTTGAATCTTTTTTTTGAGGAATAAAAAGGAAGCGGGTTAGTCTTCCGAGCTCGCATCGTACCTACCTGCTCTATTCGCGGCCCTTCGCTACACTCTGGGGCTGCCTCCTTTACCTTACTAGCCCTTGAGTTTTAAGAGACTTGAGGAAAAGAAGTCTCTTTATATACCTACTAGACTAGCTTTGGGTAGGATTTTTACCTCTTTAAATATAGCGAGTCCTTAGTCTTGCAGGGGAGTGCAGAATGCTCTGTGCCGCACATCAACCGATTCATATCCTGCTCAGGGGCTGATGGCCGGGGTCTATTCCACTGACATGGGTCCTACCTTACCTAGGCTGCTAGGTATGCACAGTGCCTCGGATGCCACGGCAGGATAAACAGTCAGCATATGCTTGAGATGTCCACGTTAGGAATCTGGATTGCTCATCACCGATGCCCTTTTTTTTTCTTCGGGGGATCTAACTACAATGACCACGTTATAAAATGGCTTTATCCTCATCTGGCATGTTTCCCTTGACAGGATCTCGACCCTGATTAATCCTCCAATGGGCACATGGAGCAGGCCCGGTTCTCTGCTGATTGCGGGGAAGGAACCTGGAATGGCCAGGGTGTGTGGTTTTTACCGCGCATGGCAGTGGGGACATACGGACTTACTCGTAACTTTGGTGCTTTGCTCTGGCTTGGCAAAGAGGCGAAATAAGGAGTACTGTCCAGGCTGACTAGCCTACTACGGTAGACTACCAGTGCCTGGATTGAAATATAGTAGTATGCCCCTGCTGTGAGGGCATGAGGGCGTCCGATATAATAGCGAGCCCGCCGGTTCTCTGAGTCGTCGTCGTCGTCTCTAGTCCTTCCTTCACAGCCCACAAGAATTCATTCGGCAATGGCTTCATTGTACAAGACTATTCTCTCCTCAACCCTGGTGGCTTCTGCCTCGGCGGTCAACTTGTACGTAGCCCAGTCGAACGGGAACGTCACAAGCCTGTCCTTGACCGGCTCGGGTAGCAAGTACGAACTGGCCGTAACATCGATTACCCAGGAGTGCGAAGTCAACCCTTCGGTCTTGACCCTCGACAAGGAGGACGGCGTACTATACTGCTACGACCGCGGAGGATCTGTCGGGACTCTGAACTCCTTCTCCACTGCTGCCGATGGGACACTGTCTCGGATTGCCCGTGTAGAGGGGCCGGCCAGCGGTGTTTGGGCTGAGATCTTGACCGCAGAGAGCGGGAAGCGCGCCTACATTACTGCTTCGTAGTGAGTACACGGCAGCAAGCCATTGTATTGTTGTTTCAGCAGCTGTGCTCTGGGTGGGCGCTAACTAGAGACAGCAACAAGAGCGCCGTCGGTGTTTTTGAGCTTGGCGAAAACGGCACTCTGCCTGGAGAAGGTCCCATCCAGACAATCTTCCCGACAAGCAACAAGACCGGCCCGATCGCTTCTCGCCAGGATCGCAGCTACTCACACGAGGTCATTATTGACCCGACGAACACATATGTTCTCGTTCCAGACCTAGGCGCAGACCTGGTCCGGGTTTTCACCTACGCTCCCGACACGATCGCCCCTCTTGTGGAGACTACGCCACTGACGACGGAAGCCGGTGCTGGTCCTCGTCACGGCTTCTTCCGAGTCAACGATGCCGGCGAGACTTTCTTCTTCTTTGGTGGAGAGCTTTCACAGGCCGTGTACTCCTACCGGGTAACTTATGATGACTCAGGCTTGACCTTCGACAAGGTCTTTGAGGCCCCTGCGCTTGGTTTGAGTAGCACCCTGCCTGCAAACACCGCGCCAGTCAGCGAGTGTGCCATCACTGTATGTCTCCGTACTACACCTGCCTGAGCGTGAAGAAGCGCAATAGATACTGACATCGCCATGAATAGCCCGACCAAAAGTTTCTGATCGTCTCAACCCGCGAGCGGTCCTTCTCCACCTCTGTGCTCTACCAGTCAGCTCCATCCGACACCCTGACAACCTGGACCATCAATGAGGACGGCACTCTCGAATTTCTCCAGAGTGCTCCCTCAGGTGGCTGGTTACCTCGTCAGTTCTCACTGAACAAGGCCGGGGATTTGCTGGCTGTCGGGCACCAGACCAACAACACAGTCGTTATTTGGAAGCGCGACCTCAAGACCGGGCTGATCATCACAGAAGAAGACGGCGGCAAGGTTGGAGAAGCGAGGCTTTCCGGTCCTGTTATCTCCACCATTTGGGATGAGTGATGTTAAAGCCGTAATCTTCAGATTCGTGTATGTTTTTAGAGGTGTGTGTAAATAGAAAGAAATGCTGTGTCGTATACCACGAGCAAGTAGGTACATATCTTGCGGGCTCCAATAATTATGTCCCCTTTGCGGTTGGATAGAGCAGTAAATAAACAGAGGGTGCTAGGGGCCAAGTACCTCTTTATGGTCGACATCGAGTAATGGATCTGCTCCCTGCAATGAAGTGGTGAGGGATTGCAACGCCGTCGATCCGTAGTATACAGGACGTGAGGAGTGATGAGACAACAGGCATCTGTATGGTGGTTTGATGCCCCTATTATCCTGGTTCAGCACTACTTCCTGCCCTTCAAGGCTAGGTGCTTCTGTACTGTCTGTGGCAACTGGAATGAGGTACCTTGTCTTCCTAGGCTAGTAACCCTGTGTCCACCTCACAGTGTACAGCGGTGTCTGTGATGACTCAAATTCACATCTCACTGGGAAGGTGCGTGCATATTGCTTCAGCCCAAATCTTGATTTCTACTGTGAGTTTAAAGTGCCCGCCAACTCCGCACGCAGCCTGCTGTTGTTTTTAGAAGAAGCAATGTGTATAAGTGAGGAAGAAGTTTTTCTTTGTCATACAAGAATTCTGCACGCGAGACCTTGGAAGCAGGGCTAGGACCTGGTAGGGGTATCGTATTTTTGAAACATTGCACAAAAAGTCGTTCCCAATTCGTGATGACCCAGCTGTTCCACCCAGCGTTCATGGCGTCCTCTCCGCAAGGCATTCCCGAGAGGATGCCACCCGAAGATGTTGTGTGCAAAGCCTCAACCCAACGTTGCGTCTAGAACATACTGCCGAACGCAAAAAGCAATGATGCGGGATGTCACATATGCTTGCTTGCTGCTGCTCTAAGCGGAAGACTGCGTGCACCCGGCCTCCTTCTTTCGTTTTGCATCAAGTTGGCGATTTGATCTCTGAACTTGTCAGCGAGCCACGACGGCAATGCACCCGAGGGTGGTTCTAACACATATTGCCGTAACGGAGCCTCCCGTCTCGATCCGCGATTTCGGAGGAGGCGTTGTACCATGTCAGAAAGAACTAATGCGGCAGGCACATTGCATACATTGTCTCAACATGTGAGCCCGAGTAGTCCCCTCTGGACAGAGATGCAGCTAGAACCAGTTGAGATGATGTGAGTGCAGGCTGGTATCTCTCAATGCTTATCCAATCAGCCGGATAAGACGGCCATGGGGCCGGCTCGCCAGCAGAGACCTGGGTTTGGAAGAGCTGCGGAGGCTCGTGCCGCGGCAAATCGGCCTTAACGGCGGTCATGGACCACAGCTTGCTGGACTCAGCCGAAGGTTGGGTCGCCATTCAGCCTAGCCTTCTCCCTACCGTGCTTGCGGGCACCATTGAGCTCGCGCATAACGAACTCATACGTCAGCATGGTGACCGTGGCAGCCGGGACTGCCCGCATCATATTTGTGCCCATGCCGGCGTAGAAGGCCCTCCAGCCCTCTTCTTTGAGGATGGTCCGGAAGGTTCTGACGATCCCCCGATACTTCTGCTGGCTCTGCTCTTGTTCAAGTCTCTGTTTGGCCAAGTTCTCGGCGGCGGAGGAAGCAGGGCCCAGGGGCTGATTCAGGCCTGGGATCTCACTGACAGGGTCTATCACCAAGCCGTTGCTGGCCATAGGCCGTCGTTGGGTTTGAAGTCGTGTACGTATAACCTCGTGTGGATAAGTGGCACTGCTTGCCATTATCTTAGACAGTATGGAGGCGCTGAGAATCCCGAACCAGTGAGACTTTGGGTCGCTTTCGGCGGACGAGGCGCCCATCCCCTGTCCCGTGAATTTTGTCTTGAGATACTCGTAGGCGGGGAACTGCACTGCCACATGAGTCAAGCCCAGCAGAGCCGGAGTAAGCCCAGAGTAGAACGCGCGAAGCCCCTCGGTGGTGTACATCTTCCTGGCCGCGTCAAGCGTAGAATGATAATGCCATGGTGACGGCAGGGACGGCCGGACCGTGGGCGTGTTAGCGCCTCTGGGAAAGAGAGAAAACCGGATCCCGCCGTTCCGGCCAGATTGTGACATGAGGCGTGTCTTGATGACCCAGATTGGGTTTGTGACGATAGTGCTGCTGGCTCCGGCGACGATTGAGGACCAGAAATTCACGACGATGGTGTTGTCTGCGGGTTGTCAGCAAAGCTCCTCGGAGGGCACAAGGGCAGCGTGGCAGGGAGAGCAGACATACTGTGGTGCTGGCCTATGACTGTTTTGCTCTTGTTGTAGACGGTGAACCAGACGGCCCAAGTGGGCAGATAGCCCATGATTATGGGGCCGAGGCCTCTGTACATGCCACGCAGACCCTCGTCTCTCCATATTACGCTGGCTGTGCCAAACAGGCCCTTGTACATCTGGGGTTGACCAACGTGGATCCCCCTCTGCAGGTTGATTCCACCCTGGGCCTGGAGCTTGGTCTTGATGACGTCGAGGGGGCAGGTTACTATACCCGAGGTGAAGCCTCCTATGGCACCAGCCAGCGCGTTGAACTGAGAGTCGGAAGCTTGTGTCGCCCATCGCTCAAAACGTGACAGGCCCTGGTCGGGCATGTTGGTGGGAAGGGATGCGTACGCTGCCCTGGGGACGGCGGACTGGATGGAGGCCGGCAGTCCAGCGGCAGTCGAGTGGGGGTAATTTGCAACGGAGGTCGGGGCGTGCCCATACTCGTCGGGCGTGGGATCAGCAGTGCTCCGCTCGAGAGACATTCCTGTTCCCCTGGGAGAGGCCGGAGGGACAGGCAGAGGACGCGGGGCGGGGTGCGGGTGGGCAGAGGGGGGCCTCGGCAAGGGGCTGAGGTCCCCCGGCGCTGGGGGACTGTCGGGGAAGAGAGGGTCGGCTGGTTGGAGCAGCAAGACGTGCTGGGGATGGGAAGGGCGGGCAGGATGCAAGTCGAGTTCGGGCCCGGGTGTTCGTCTTGTCGTCGGGAGGTATGCGGTGGGGTGCAACGGTCCCGGTATGCGGGGAAGGCTTCCCACGCAGAGGCCGCGACACTGCAGCTAACGGTTGTCGCAGGCCATTGACTTGGGACACGAGGCTTGGAGGCTTGGAGGAGCACGCAGCAGGAGTGGTGGCTGCGCAAGAGCTGGGAAGACGAGAGGTCAGAGGAGAGGCAGCCGGCGGTGGGCAGCCGGCAGTGGGCAGTGGGCAAGCGCGAGGGCGAGGGTGAGGGTGAGGGTGAAGGTGAGGGCCGGGCCAAGAAGAGGGCCGTCGGGGATTGATGGCGAGGCGAGGCGAGGCGAGGCGATGGATGCGATACGGTGCCGTGCCGTGCGGTGCGATGACGGCAGCAGGGGCAGGTGGGTAGTCGTACTGCTTTGTGGTATTTCGTGCGACCACGGCAGAATTGTTCTCCTTTTCTTTGTTGGGGCAGCTTCGTCCTCCAGCAACAACTTGACTCGACCCCACTGCTTCTTCGTGGGCGCTCTTGCCTGCACTTGTGCTTGTCCGCCAGGCTCCGTCCTCCAAAAACCAGGCGCCAAAAGCCCGCTAATCTTGTATATCGGGCCACCCTGCAAGCCGAGATAAGCCGCATTACCTCATAGCCTGTTGCCCGTTCCCTCGCTGCTGCGTGCTGCGTGCCGCGTGCCTAGGTACCTAGGTACCTAGGTAGCTATGTGCTGTGCACGGATACCGCATACGGAGGACTTCCACCACTGGCCAGCCCACGTGACCTGTACTGCAGTCCGGAGTACCCCAGTACCCATGTATCCGTCTAATCCCAGCTCTCCGGTTCCTCCCATCTCTTGCCTCCCACTGCCCACGGCCACATGGCCCGTGCACCCCTCGACGCTCACTCGGCTCTGGCTCTCGGCGCAGGTGCAGGCTCGTCAATCAACGACGCCTGATTGACCCGCGCCAAATTGAAGCCCTCACCAACTCTTCCCATCCAGAAACAAATCTTACCACCACCACCCCCCAAACCCCGTCGGCCAGCAGCCACAATGTCCTACCCAACCCTGGCTCCCTTTGTCGTCAAGCGGCCCTGGCTGCACAGCGCCCTCAAGCCCCTCGCCAACTGGTACGCCAATGCTTCTGGCTACCGACAGCTCGGTCTCCGGTAAGTTGCTCGCCCCTGCCGCGCGCGCCCAATTGACGTCGCACCCCCCGCCTACTCCTGCGCCGGCTCGCCTGGCCTGCTGACCTGCTGAACCCTGTCTCCCGTTTCCAGTGCCGACGATCTCATCCCCGAAGAGAGCCCCGAGGTTCAAACCGCCCTCAAGCGTCTCGGCGACAAGGAGCGCTACGATCGTATCTTCCGCATCCGCCGCGCCGTCCAGTGCAGCATCTCTCACAAGCTGCTACCAAAGCAGGAGTGGACCAAGCCCGAGGAGGATACACCTTACCTTCTGCCCCTCATCAAGCTCGTCGAGGCCGAGCTGAAGGAGAAGGATGCTCTCGACACCCTGACCGTCCACAAGAGCCACTAAAGGATCGCCTTGGGTATACTGTACCAGGTCAACTGGGAAGGGGAGAGACTGGGCCTGTACTTAGACAGCACTGCTGTGAGAAGGTCGGAGAGGGGGGCAGATGGGTCAATCAGGACTCCTCACCATACGGCGCCTGCGAGGACACCGCCGAGGTTCATGACGCAAATAGACGGATACGGTTCTTAGACACTTCACCCTCCCGGTCAGTGAAAGCGTGAAACAAATCCGAATGAGCCCTCCCTGAACCCCAAACCCTGGGTAATTCAACATATTCATTGGGTGATAGTCTGGAAAGCACATGGCCCCACGCCGCACGGATAGACGGATAGACCACAATCGGCGCTGTACATTGCGTCCAAGACGGAGAAGGGCCTCCCTCCTTACTTGACTGGATGGCCCCTGAAGGCTTCACACCCATGACGCTCACTTTTACCACCCACCCCCCTTCCCGGCGTACAATGCCTCAGCGTTCCTTACGCCACTCATGTGAAGCTGTGCTCTTCAGATGTGAGTGACCAGGACATGAAGTTTCCCACAGTCTTGCAAGACCAACGCCAGTGGAACGCTTCTCAGTAGTGCTACTTCACCTTTGTATAGAGCGGTTGATGAAAACAATCCAGACCCTTCAACTTGTCAAGACTGTTCTCGGCGGCATGGGGTCAAGCAATACTACCTCACGGACGGATGATCAACCAGGAAAATGTGCCGTGTTGCTTGAATGACCACATACATCTCATTGCGTGTGCCTCTGAGGAGCACGCTCATTTTCTCCTCGTCATAAGCGGACGATCCTGGACGTGTCACCGATAGGTCCTGGTTGATGTCAGGTAAGACAATGGTTTGACGTGTTTATGGTACTGTATACCTAGGTAATAATAATATGAGCCCTCGTGTTCATGTACGCTCTACCATACTACGACAGTCTTGCTGTCTGTGAGTGAGTATTGCCCCCTGCTGCCATGTGTGATTCACCGGGACACACAAGGCTGAACATTCATAATCAACATAATGTGCTCTAGTATATCTCAAAAGTGGCGGCAGGGTTTACCAAGCCCTGGCTCATGATCATTCCAAAAGCGTCCTCGGACCTCTCCGAGAACCTGAACAGGCCATCATGATCCGCCACCTCGCGCACCCAGCGCTCCAGGTTACACTCGTAACCGGCGGGAAACCCACACTATAGAATCAGGAGTTAGCCATCAGAGAACCAGAGGATTAGTTTGTCTGGATACGGCGAGGAGCAGGCCACAGGGCGGCCATAACCTGTCTCAAAATCCGCATGCGGCTTGGGAAGTCATTGTGATATAGGTGGGGAATGGGGTCTGAGTCGTTGTTGATGGGGCCATCACTTACGCTGCACATAACCGTGTCGCCAGAGGTGTCGAACGCCTCGTACGCCGGTTGGGCCCGAGCCCGGCTGAACGGGTTGTCAGTAAGTCTTACCGGCCGGTCCACGACCGCGGCGTACATCGGCAGCGTGAAGTACGTCTGGCGCGCCGGGTCCCAGCCCTGGATACGCTGCCATCTGGGATGCCTCTGCACGTCTGGGGGCGCCGCGTCGAACGCCAGCGCCTCGGCGTCCTTGATGCGTCGCATCACCCGCGGTGGCGGGTCGTGGTGGTCCCGGCGAGCCTCCTCCAGGTCCGCCCACGGGTCCGACGGGGCGGGCGAGGCGTGGTAGGGGTTCCGCAGCTCCGGGTAGAGCAGGTAGCACCTCTCAAAGGTGTGGTCTGGCATCTGGCAGTAAGAACATCTCAGCTCCACCTGCGGCTGCTTCTTGTGGCCGCCGCCGTGGGTTCTCAGCTCCGGGTTGGCCTTGAAACAGTCGTCAGCGGTGTGTCCTCCTTTGTGACAGAATGCGCATTTTGACTTTCCGCCACCTTGTTGCGCCTGCTTGCCTCTTGGCTTGGTCTTGAGAGATGGGTTTAGTATGAAGCACTCAGCCCTGCTGTGGCCGGCCTTTCCACAGTGCTTGCATGCAACTCGACCTTGCACCAGTCTTCCATGTTGTTGCGATTTACCTTTTTGTTGCGGGGGCTGGGACTTGTTTACTGCTCTCAGCAATCGACACTACAAGGCTCAAAGTTAGCAACTGCGGCCCTGGGTAGAGACATGCCCACAGCGGGGGGGATAGACTTGGTAAAGTCTACATACATTAGCGGTGTCATGTCCTTTCTTCTTGCACACCAAGCAGGCAAAGTTATGCTTTCCTCGGCTCATTGTGGTGGTCGCTGTGTGTATCTGTGCTCGGGTGTCTTTGAAGTAGTTTCCAGTTCACTCAAATACAATACAATTGACTGGTATTCCGCACAGGACAGTGTCCACCTTATATGGCCCTCGATGGCTGCCGCAGTACCAAGGATTGTTCGCACGGCAAAACAATACAGCATTGTGGATGGACATCCAAGGAGCCTTTCTTCACGGCTCGGCTGGCCTGAGCCAATCTTTGTCTATTCAAACAGACTTTGTTGGTAGACAGCTACAGGCCGCCTTTGCCTGATAAATTTAGAATGGGCCTGCCACACTTTGCTTGACAACCAATGACCGCAAATGCAGCACAGGGAAACAGAAAGACTGCCCATGTAGAGCGGTATAACATCGGATGGGTACAGCACTACCAATACCATGCTAACCTCGGGAGTTATAGATGGATGTATATTAATTCTGGCTCATATTGGAGCCAGTCTAGACCACACCGGCTGCTGTGATTGACCCCCTTCCCCAATATGTCCAAGAGCCTGCTCAGCCTGCGGGCTAAGCCAGCCTACGCCCTGTTTATGCACAAAACCGTCATTGCACTCATCATCTACGCGTGACATGATGTTGGGACTCTGAAAGAGTCTTCACTCCCAGTCCACTGTCGGCTATCCCGCTCTCTAAAACTCAACTTCCAGAATAGACCAGGTCTATGAAACACACGGGCTCCCAAATTAGCAGGGCAGCTTAAGATTCGAGGCTTGGTCGGCAGGCTGGGTATGGCGTCCTCGCTGCCCACGTTGCGAAAGTGGGCAAAGCACAGAGGCTTGCCACAGGCGATCGTGCCGGGATTTTCGGCCATGAGGTTGTGGCTTATTCGAAGCGATGCCAAGAAGCAAAGGGCCGTAGGCGCCAGGCGTGTCGTTCCAAATCGACGTCATGGCTCGCTCAGGTACCGGCGGGCTAAAGTAGAAGGTATGCAGAATATCCGATGTTGGCGGACGTATGATTTCTTCATGGTAATAAAACAGAATGGTAAATCCCAAAAAGCCTTTCCGGAACTCCGTGTCGGTGATAACCCGATTCCATTAGGGTCGGTGGCGTGCGTGCGTGCGTGCGTCTGTATCGTGCTCTTCGTACATTGCCCGCGTCTCCTGCCGCCGGATATATTTTTGTCAAAGCCTCGGGTGGAGGGCGAAAAAAAAGGTGGCTCGTACTGTCGCTGGTGCTCGGAGGCGGCGAGAGCCGTCCTGGAATAGGAGGTGCGGTCTATTCGCCTCGGACACTATGCGTTTCCGGCCTTCTCGTCGGTGTCGATGTGCCATACAACGTAGTTGGGCAGACCCCAGACCCCGTAGCCTGCTCGCTTAGCCATCTTGGCGAAGCCTTCTGTCTCTGCCTGGTTCTCAAAGGCATAGCATGGGAAGTTGATGCCTGTGTTCGGGACCATGTCAGCCGTTGGTCTCAAGCACCAGAGGGCCACTGCTGCTACGTACCTGACCTGTGGACGTCGGCCTTGACCAGAATGTTGACACCGCCGATGCCGTCCAGCTCGATCTCGGCGTCCTTGTTCTCTCGCCAATCGCCCATGCGCGCCATGTAGGTGCGGCCGGTATCGTACTGCTTGTAGCCTACAGGTTGCTGGTGTCAGCGCGCAGGAAGGATACGAAGTCATGTGCAAGCGCGTACCTTCAGCAAGGACAACATCCTTGTCCAGTTTCGCAGAAAGCTTGCGGCCCTTGGGAGACTCGATCCAGGAGTTGTAGTCGACTGTATCGAGATTAGCCAATGGTCAACCCTGAATTGTAGAGATGCGTGGCGCTCACATCTACCCTCGATATCGCGCCCGTTTTCGTAGCGGTGAAACCAGATGTCTGCAAGTGGTCAGCCTTGACGTGGGGGTCTCGCCTGGTGGCGGTTCTCAACGTACTGGGGACGATTATGTCTCGATCATGGGCAACGAAGTCCTCGATGATCTTCTTGGGGCTGTCCACGATGTCGACGTCACGCCAGTAGACCCATGAATGGTCAGACTTGAGAGCAGTGGAGAGCAGGTAGTTGCGAGCCCTGCCCATGGCCTTCCGGCGTGGACCCTGGGCCTCGAACCCGTGGCGGTCTTCGACATTCTGGCTGAGCTTGAAACCAAAATCCTTCTCGACGACGGTGGCGCTCCTGAAGGGGATGGTGTCGGGCCGCTTCTGTATCCTGTCGAGTTCCATGGCCAGGACAGCCATGGTGTCGTCGGTCGAGTCCCCGACGAGGAACGCGATGTCGATGAGGTGGTGCGGATAGGTGAGCTCGGCGAGCAGCTCGAAGTACTTTGACAAATAAGGGGCGGCGTCCTTGAGGGGGGTCAGAATGAGTATCCTCTCGTTGTTTTGGAGGGCCTGTTTGGTCGACTTGACGGGGTTGAGATCGACATGCTCGATGGTCGACGAGTTGACTTCTATGGGCGCGTGGTGGTTGAAGAGGACGGGGGTCTGTAGATGCTTGCTCCAGGAAACCTGCTCGTTAAGAGACATGTCCATGGGCGGTTTCGCAGGGCCCCAGCAGTAGAAACTATGCAACAAAAGGCACGGGGCGAGGTCAGCGCATTGCCACCCTGGGCGTTCACGGGGGTTGGGATTGCTGCTGCGCACCTTTGCATCTCCGATCCTGCCGTGCTGATGCCACGCCATAACAACAGGATGACGCCTGTCAGGGCGACGCCGAGCAGGAATCTGGTCCTGGTGACGAAGGTCCAGACGGCTCTCGAGGGGGGGAGTTGGGCCCTGGCTGCCTTCCAGTTGAAACCACCTTTGGGTAGGAGCATGGTAGTGACTAGCTGGGGTGGCCCTCAGCACCACCCTTATATGTGCGGTTGCGCTGGGGTCAGGTGAAGCCGGCGACGGGCTGGGCTGGATGGGCCGTCGCTCCGTGGGGATTGCTTCCGCTCGGGGGTGTTGACGGATAGTGTCAGGCAGCCGAGGGTTCGGCGAGCGACAGCAGAGGATGCGGCGTGCGGCGTGGTGCTCTGGCGGGCAGGGCTGGATGGAGCAAGGAGACGGGGGCGGCGGGATTGATGTGAGGTGGAGCAGACGCCCGTGTGCTGCGTTGCAGATGGGTGTAGTCAGATGGTAACAAGAGGCCCGAGCAGGAGGCACAGCATAGCACACAGCACGGTAGACGGTATGGTGGTCGTCGTGGCCGTCGTCGTGGTGGTCGTCGTGGTCCCAGCAAAAGGACGAGGCGGGCAGGCGGGTCGGAGTGTGGTGTGTAAGCAGAGGAACGGGCGCAGATGGCGGACGCAAACTCAGGCACGGGCAAAAAGCACAGGCATAGACACCCGATAAGACTGGGAATAAGAAGCAGACGGGGGCAGCTATCACCAACCTGCTCTGATGCAGCTGGCGATGGTCGGGGGAGGGAGCGATAAGGTCTAGCACGAAGCGGACGGAGCAGCAGTACCGGGTAGCATGGCAGCGTGGCTAGTCGTGTCTTTGAGTCCGGGTGCGTACAACAGACACCTAACCTAGGCACGGAGGAGATGGTGGTAAATTGCACCAGCAGCAGCAGCAGCCTGGACCTGGACCTGGACCTGGACCTGGATCTGCTGCCGGCTGGACTCTAATGATGGACCTCTTCCTTGGCAGGCCAAGCCGGCGCGACAAGGGACGCCTCTCAGGGAGCACCTAGGCTACCCAGGCCAGCCCTCGAGAAGACACAGGGCCCTGCAGCCTATCATGATGACACGGAAGGAACAAATACGAGCCACCTCGAGAAAATACCAACCCTCCAAGCCGACCATGGCCCTGCCCGTGCCTCACTCACTACCAATCATTTTTTTTATTTCAATTTTTAATCTTTTTTCTTCAACGGCCGTACCCGAGCAGAGGGACAGAGGTATGGATGGAGCAGCACATGAACGACACACTAATGTGAGAGAGAGAAAGAGAGAACTCCCCCGTCTGACCACAGAGCCACGCAACCAATCAAGCAACCCTGGAAGCAACCAGCCATCAGGAGAAGCAAACCCCGGCGCTCTGGTTCGGGGTCGATGGACCCGTCCGTTCCTCTTTATTACCGGCCCCGTCGACTGGCCCGGTCGGTCATGCGTGTGAGATGATGGAGCCAGAGGGTCCATCTTGAGCTCCCAAGGCTCCTTCCTTCTTGAAGGCGTTGAATGCGTGTCTGGTGGGGCCGTGCGTCGCTCATCAACCGCTGTCTGACCGCATCCGGCTGGAACATCATCACGTCTTACCGCATCTTACAGCTGCCTAATTTAGCCTCGCTGTGTTTTTGCCGCGTCTTGCAATCTCCAGCGACGCACCACCGCCCGCGTCCCACGTGACTTGGCGGTCGATGGGCGACACCTCCCCGCGCCACGCAGGGCCATTGACAGGCCCAGGGCGCGTTTCATACAGCAGTGCTGTCCTGGCAGCCCGGCAGCCCGGCAGCCCGGCAGACCCGGTGCGATTCTGACTCCCGACGATGACGTCGACACCCGTGACCTGAGCTGATGGTTGTGCTTCACCCCCTCAGCGCCTGTCTGATGTCCCTGCGCGCCGCGAGGCTCTTACAATTCTCTACAGCACCCACCTTGGACTCAGCCATGTCGAGTCGACGATCTGCCCGCCTCAGTGCCCGCGTCCAGGCAGCGGCTCCTCCTCCTCCGGCGACCAAGTCGCGCAAGAGAAAGGCTTCTCCGTCCAGGGACGAGGTACTGGCTGAGGCTCCAGCCACACCCAAGAGACCAGCAAACAAGACTGCGGTCCCTTCTCTACCCTCTGCGCCGACAGCCACCCCCAGCGCAGTCCGTCTCATCGCAGAGCCAGCATCTGCTGCCCTCTCGACCCCAAAGCCCAAGCCGCGGGCTGTTGCCAAGCTGGCAGACCCAAACCTCACAAATGCCCCGCTGCTCTCGCCAGAGACGTCCAGGGTCGTGTCCTGCAAGCCACCCGCAACCGCCAACATTCTCGCCGACGCATGTGCTCATCTCATCAAGGGTAAGACTCCGCTTGCTGCTGGCGCGTGCTTTGTGGTGCCCGGGCCTTCCTCCTGGCTTCGTTTCCTGCTCAGGCTCCCACACGCCCCCCCGCGTCTGTGCTCGGGACGAAGCCATCTCCAGGCTCGTGCTCCTAGCAATGACTGACCGTCTCTGCGGCACAGTCGATCCCCGCATCGAGCCCCTGGTCTCAGCTCACCACTGCCGAATCTTCTCCCCCGAAGGCCTCGCCGACAAGATCGACCCCTTTGAGTCCCTCGCCTCGGGCATAATCTCCCAGCAGGTGTCCGGGGCGGCAGCAAAGGCCATCAAGGCCCGTTTCATCGACCTCTTCGACCACGCTTCCGCCGCCGCCGCCACCACCACAACCGCCACCAACAGGTTCCCCACCCCGTCCCAGGTCGCGGCGGCCACTATCGAGAGGCTTCGGTCCGCGGGGCTGTCGCAGCGCAAGGCCGAGTACATCCAGGGGCTGGCGGCCAAGTTTGCCGCTGGCGAGCTCACGGCTGGCTGGCTCGCCGACGCTCCCTACGACGAGGTCCTGGAGAGGCTCATCGCGGTGCGCGGACTCGGCCGCTGGAGCGTCGAGATGTTTGCTTGCTTCGGGCTCAAGCGGATGGACGTCTTCAGTACGGGAGATCTTGGGGTGCAGCGGGGCATGGCGGCGTTTGCTGGCCGTGACGTGTCTAAGCTCAAGGCCAAGGGCGGCGGGAACAAGTGGAAATACATGTCCGAGAAGGACATGATCGAGATGGCCGCACCCTTCAGTCCCTACAGGAGTCTCTTTATGTGGTACATGTGGCGCGTCGAGGAGACTGATATCAGTACGCTCGAGTGAGCAATTGTGCTGAGACTAGTGGGCGATGCGACTCCTCAGGGAGCATCCGCAATTCTTGGTTTAAAATCATTGCGGTGGACAAGTGCCCCCACGTATGAGTTGTATGGTCCACGCTGCACCCCCGGGCCGTGAACAATGAACGTAAACGGCCACCGGGGCGGCCATGGTCGGGATAGACTTGTTCTGGTACCGCGTCAGAGATATAGTCGACGCGGTCTCTCAAGCCAACCTTCTACAACACAGATCACTTTCATCGTCCAAAGCAGCTTTATCGCCCTGCGTAACGTCGTTGTCGGGTGTGAGGAGTCCGTGATAAGTCACCCATCAGAAGGCGAGTCCAGCGAGCCCAAGCTTTGGCCCTCACTGTCCTACATGTTCCCAAAACAGGGTAATTTTCCAACAATCTAAGCTTAAAAGAACAGCACGTGGTAGCGACTGGGGTGGTCCTCAGACAAATATTGCCTCAAGTACAAATGCGCTGCTGCTGCTATATGGGACAGTTCTATAGGACAGCACAAGACTCCTTACCCAGGTGACGATGGGCAAATGCAGCAAGCCTCTCACTTGCTCTACCCCTAGCCCGGTCCGAGACAGCCGCAGGACGGTCAACTCCGAAAGATGGCATCGGGTTCTGTCCTACCTTTCGTGCCGTGATCGTGTGGCCGTGAAACCTCCTCTGGCGAGACCTGCGCGTCAATCGCGAGGGGGTGCGTTGAGAGGGGTAGGTAATCTTCAGGTAGGTATGTGCGGGTGTCCTGACGGGGGTGGGGGGCTAGCATCTAACGCCCTGGGCACGTTTGACTGTCTAGAGTCGTTGTCTATCCAACGTGATTTTACGACCTAAGGTGTGTCGCTTTTGCTGCCCACCATTTACACAAGTATTGGGTTGATGGGCTGTTCGATTCGGCAGCAAAGTGACATTGATGCCACGAGCTGTCTTACTGGGTGTACAGCTTCACCCGTATATCGAGGGTGGAGACACTTGTGCCTCGGAAGACAGCGCCAGGGCGTCGCGTGCTGGTGTGCAAGTTGTACGTGCAATACATCAGTCGGTCTTCTAGGTCTGACTCTGCCTTCTGCCTTCCCATCCCCAAGGCTCGCCAGCTCGCACATGCGTGGCAGGACAAAGCTGTCAATCTGCTACTGGATTCAAAGCACGGTGCTGCACTGAGCCGGCTGTGCCGTTTCGGCCGAAGAAAGCGTCCCTGCACGCAAATGCCGAGTTCTAGTGTTATCCCAGGGACCCGCTGCTCGGTATCGCGGTGTGAGCAGGCAAGCTTACTCTGACGAGGGTCTGTCCTGAACGACAATCAACCTGTAGACCCTTTGACGTGGCCGCGATGACGCATGCGAGAATGAACTCACAGCTGGATCGTCGATCAAGCTGGTCGTCCCGAAGGAGATGCTTCAAACACTGCCAAATGCCTCGCGAGGCTGCGCGTCGAGGACTTGGGATGAAAAGCGTCGGTGTTGGTCTGAGGTTGCCAAGACCCGCAGTCGGTTTGGAGAAGTGTCGCAAATTGGGCACTCCAGAGCGCTGACTCGGCAAATCTGAAGAACACTGTGTGAGGTCTGATCACCAGCAAGTAATGGACCTGCTGGGCCAGGTCACGATCAATCAACGTCGAACCTTCCGACAGGCTGGTCGAGAACGGACATGTCTGCTACTGACGACGGACGGAGACTGCGATCCTTTTGAGCCGGATTATGCTCATGGGCGGTCTCTGAGATAACATATTTTTGGGCACCCCATCTGCACAGTCTGCTGGACGGGTTGAACGGGCAGCGATTCCACGGCATTCGCGAGCTCAAATTGCGTCGTGACGCCGGTGGTCTGTGGGGCCTGACCCCATTTATATCATTGGACCTGGAATTCATGATGCTAAGCGAAGAGTCAAAGGAAAGCCAAGATGCGACAATTCTGGTGGAATCTCGCACGCAAGTTCCATGACGGCCTCCTGGAAGGTGCAGGGATGGGCCGGGTGGAAGCAAGTGCTCTGAGGAGCATTGGCCAATGATGTGACCGACCAGCCTCGGCCTTCCAGATCAAGATCATCGACCTCGACGGAAAGGCGGTGGCGTGCGCATATCAATCCGGGAACAGGGTGGCCGTGATACGCAAGATGAGAGGGCCACTTTTTGTTCATTAGGCTCGTGGCAGCCACCACTGGAATGCCCGGAGTCGTCAGCTACTACATGGTATTGACTTGACATGGTGCAGTGGATGCCACTCTGATGATTGCCCTGCCATTTGAAGTGAGCAGGGGCTGGAGGGCTGTTTTCGCCATCAGGATGGATGCTCGCAATAAAAAAGCAGAGTGTTCTTGCCAGGAATTCCAGGGAAAAGGAGGCCGGGTGGTTTACACCAGACCACGGTGGAGCCGGGCATGCGGGCCTGGCGTGCAACTGCCTCTCTCTGTACCCGGTACACTGTATGAAGATGGACGGTTGTGACGGCAGTATTGGTGTCCCGCCGCCGCCGGGCGCGTTGAGTTTGTGCAGACTGGGGATTTGGAGAGCCGGGCAGGCGTGGCAGCGTGGCAGCGTGGCAGCGTGGCAGCGGTGTTCTGGTGTTCTGTGTTGCACTCTACTCCAACTCGTGTGGCCACCTCGAGGGAGCTAACGCGTTAGCTGCTGCAAGATGGGCGCGGAGCTCTCGTGTTGGTGTCGTCCGGGGCCAGGCTTGAACTGCCTGACTGCTTGATTGGTATGCTCTAGCTTTTTCTGTCCTCTGCAGATTCGTAATGCTATCGCATTGCCAGCTCCTGTCAGTCAGAAAAAGTCACGCACGCTGGGATGCAGGCCGGATCGTGATTGGCCCAGCAGTTTGCAAGAGTTGCAACCGTGATCGTGATCGCGGGAGTCTTTTGGCCGCAACAGAGGCGCGTACAATGTCAAGGCAGTCCGTGACCTCCAAAGCCCCCCTTCGGCCTTGCTTTTGCTCGACATGTCGCCCGTGGATGACCAGGAGGAAGGCCCTTCTCTGGCGTCATCGGTGCTTACCCTGAGACAAGCCCAGGGAGCGTGTCGCTTCACCTCGGCGGAGGAATCCTCACCTTCGGTAACATCGTACCGGATATTGGCCAGGCGAGAGTCGTATTTTGCATGATGAACCACTCATGAAAAGGTCTGGATAGGCATGGCCAAGATTGCGGGCAGATCAGGCTAGGGATTGAAATCAACCAGGCCGAGCCTGGCTGGCCTGGCCGGCCTTGCCCAAATCCAACTCCCCGTGAGGTGTGGACTGATAGCCTGGGAGCTTAAAACTTGGCAGCCAAAGTGGGTGTGCTTCATGCGAGGCCTTTTGCGGCGCAATGTTGGCGCCATGACGGTTGTTGAGCTAGCGGGTCTAGCCTACCTGCCTGCCTGCCAGGCCTACCACCTGCTGCTACCACAGTGGGAGGGAAAGAGCATTTCGTCTGGCAGACTGGCAGGCTGGCAGATAGAGCTCTTGATATGGGCCATGGACAATTAAGGATGCGACTTGTGAGGATCTCAATGGAAACAGAGTGCTGACGGGGGGTGCCAATAGTCCAGGGGCAATGGCACGAGCGGCCAATGTTTGATGGGAGCAATCTCGCCAGTGTGATTACGGATCCAGTCTGGCCTGTCTGGTCGCATCCTTGGGTTGGAGTAATCAATTACTGCCGAGGAAGGCCCCTTGGTGGTCGACGACTCGACAGCAGGTTATCATCGAGCAGTCTGTAGGAACAGGACTTGATAGACAGACAGCCTGCCCGTGAGGTGCGTGCATAGAAACAGATGTGCCGGACTCGTCGTGAAGCGAGCGCCGCTTCCGGTGTGCGCACTCTCCCAGGCCCATTGTTGTGGCATGGAAATGGCCGTAGTTGGGACATCTGTGCACCTGAGGTCCGGTCCAGAGGAGTTGTTCGCAGAAAAGAGGAGCCATGACGCGGTCATGGGCCAAAACAGTCATTGTGGCTAGGCGGCCAGGAGGCTGGAGATGGGACGACGACGTCTTCACACCCAGCCACGCCACGCACGGAGCCACGACACCTGGGCACCGACACCTGGACACCGGGGCGGGCGGGTGGAGATGCTGCAGCCTCGGGCGGTGATGACGACGGTGAAGCTGTGTCTTTGGCTGCGAGGGTATACATAGCAATATGATAGATATATCCATCGCGAGAAGAGCAGAGCAGAGCAGAGCAGAGTGTGTGCGTCGCGGGCTGGCTGGTGCACAGCACCGTGCCGAGTGGTCTCTCTGGATCAACTGGTTTGTCTGGGAGGTGGGCAGGTGGGAGGTGTTGTCCGCTGGGCAGGGGTGGATGGTCCCGGCAACCCCCCTGTCGGAGCTCCACTGGCCAACCGCAGCAGGACGGTACCTCGTTCCTGGACGCACACCCCCACAGCTCGGGGAGGCCTGCGCCAGCCAAATTGGCGGCCGTCACAGGCGAGGGAGCAAGATGTGAAGAGAGATTGAACGGGGGTGACTGTACGAGGACCGAGTACCATCGGCCCCGGCTCCTCATTAGCGCCTCTAGATTGAGGGTGCAAGTGGGCTCCCTGGCTCCCCCCTTCGCTGTTTCTTCACTTGATCGGCCCCTAACACAGTATGGTGCACCATACCAAGGTACCCAGGTACCCAGGTATCTAGGTACAGTAGCAGGAGCAGTCATGATCCAGCCATCCCCGTCCCCGTCCCCAGCCCAGCCCAGCCCAGCCCAGCCAGTCTCGCCGTGCTCCCAATCTGCCCCGGCCCTCCCCCTTCCCTCTTTTTCCCTCCGAGCCATACCTGGACTGCTACGCTTTAATCAACCTTTTTCCCCTTCCTCAAACATCTTCTCACAGTCTCCCGTTTTCAATTCTCCTTCACGACACTCGCTACTGTCCATATTTTCCTTGGCGAAGAGAGAAGCATCCTTCCTCCATCTTCAGTCGCTCGTGCTTAATTGGATCCGGTCTGATCGCCCTCCTCGACAAGTCTTTTTTTTAACGGGACAAAAATCCCCGACAATTTCTCTGGAATTCCGCAACTCAAACAACCACTGGAATATCCCATCTTTCGGTAAGTTCTCGACTCTTGTCGGCCCTTAGAGACAAGTCTCATTGCTCCCGTCCACTATCCTCCATTGCACCCACCTGGCCTGCCTATGCCGCCCCGACCCCAAAACCTCGTGTGATTGGCAACGGCGACCTGGGCCGTCAACAAAAACAACAAATCCACCGCTGCCCAACGGCCCTTGACCTTGACACTCGAAACTACGACCTGCGATTGAACACTCTGCCATCCGTCCATCGTCATTACCTCGAACCCACCGCCCCGACGACAAGCCACCTTGTGGAAAAGGAAGCGTCGAGCCGGCCGGTTGAGGGAAGTCCCGCCAGCTGTGCCGTTTGCTTGCCAGTTTCCTGGGGAAACGGACACTACCTAGGCGGAGAGAAACATACCTGTCACCTAGCAACCGTCTTCTCTATCCATCCGTTTGCACCAGCGCCTCCCCGAGACTCCCAAAACATCACCGAATGAACATCGCTACCATCTGGTCTCGTCTACTCGGCCCCATTTTGGTTTCTTGGATTCAGTACGAGACGCACTCCAATCGGCTCGGCAGAGCAAAGTAAACATCAACAATCATCATTCGACTCATTCGGCACTCGCCTCTCACCTCTCACCTCTCCATACCACTGCCACATCTGAGCCACCATAGTCACCAGGCGAAGAGGTTGCTAATCAATTATCCCCACAGCCCCAGCAAAATGTTCTCCAAGCTGGCTCTTTCTGCCCTCGCGGCGGCCACTGTTGCCTCTGGTGAGTCTGAGAATCGCTTCCCGCAGTGTAGCAGCAATGTGGTTACTGACAGGTCTTCCTAGCGCAATCTTCCGCCTGCACACAATCCACCTTCACAATTGGCTCCGCCGCCGAGGCTACCGCTCTGTCCAGCTGCAGGACGCTCAAGGGCGACGTCCTGATCCCCGCCACCTCGGACCCCCAGATCTCTCTCAACGGCCCCACCTCGATTGACGGCGACCTGACTCTGGAGAACAATGGTCAGATCATCACCTTCGGCGCCGAGCAGCTCAGCTCCATCTCTGGCACTTTCAGACTCGCCAACGTGACCCTGCTGTCCACCCTCAACATGCCTGCTCTGACCAGTGTTGGTACTATCACGTGGCAGTCCCTCCCCGCTCTGAACTCTCTGAGCTTCTCCAGCGGTATCAGCACCGCCAAGGAGGTTACCATCTCGGACACCTTCCTGCAGAGCCTGGACGGTATCGATCTCGAGTCGGTTGGCACCATGAACATCAACAACAACCGCCGCCTGACCAAGTTCGACACGTCGCTCAAGAACCTGTCCGAGAACCTGAACATCCAGGCCAACGGTGCTAAGCTGAGCGTTACCATGCCCAACCTCGTCTGGATCGCCAACATGACCATTGCCAACGTCACTGAGTTCTCTGCTCCCTCGCTCGAGGTTGTCAACGGTTCCGCCAGGTTCGACTCCAACTACTTCGAGACCTTCGCCGCCCCCAACATGACCTCCACCAGCGGCGGTGACATCTCCTTCATCAACAACCCTGAGCTCACCAACATCACTTTCTCTGCGCTCAAGAGCCTCGGTGGTGCCCTTACTGTCGTCAACAACACCCGCCTGGAGGAGCTTACCGGGTTCCCCGAGCTGGCTGAGCTTGGCGGTGCCATCAAGCTCGGCGGCAACTTTAGCAAGTAAGCAACCAAGTGTCTGAACCCCGAAGCTGGAAACCAGTTACTAACGTCTCCCTCCTAGCGTTGAATTCCCCAGCCTTGAGGACGTCAAGGGAACCTTCGCCCTGTCTTCCACCAACGACATTAACGATGCCTGCACTGAGCTGAAGAAGAACGCCCCCGGCTCCCAGGGTGGCAACGGTGTCATTCAGGGCAAGTTCACTTGCACGTCCAACAACGAGAAGGCCAACACTGGCAGCACTGCTGGCGACAGCTCCACCGGAGGAAGCAGCGGCAACTCTAGCAGCGCCGCCGTCAACGTCCACGTCAACTCGGCCGTCATCGGCCTGAGCTTCGTCGGTCTGTTGGCCCAGCTGCTGTAGGCTGGTTCTCGCTGTTCGTTGAAATAGTTCAGGTGGTCATGATGTGTGGTATTTCTACAGGGTCAGGGTAAACAAACCGGAGGCGTTTTTCTTTTAACCAATTCCCTGGATGATGGATTTGTCCTTTGTCCGCTGTCTCGTTGTTTTCAAGTCTCAGCATGCACAGTCATCCACAGTCGCGCGCGGAATACGGAGTCAAGCTTGTTATGTTCACCGGGAACAAAAAAACCACACTAGACTAATAATTTCTCCTTTACCCCCGACCCGTCCGAAACGCATCATGGTGTTCTCCTTGTAATGTGTCAAGATTGTCGACCGAGTCCTACGTGGATCAAGTCTCGCTTGGCCGGCTTCTCAATGCAGGGGCACCTGGCTGAGGTGGATATGGAAGAACATGTAGCTCGTGGTGCATAATGCCTCGGATTGTATGAGGGAAAGAGCACGCCAAAACATAAAATCCTGGAGGGGATCGACAAGAGGTCAGAAAAGACGGATGGAGGATGGGTCATCCAGCAAGAGCTTAACAATGGCTTCTTCTGGTCTTGACAGGTGTTGGACATTCCTACTTAGCAAGAGCCCCACCAATCCATCTCATTGGTCCCCTTCACAATGCTTTGCCTCTGTATCATGTGCCTGGTCCCAGAGTTGCTCTAAATGCGCATGTCGTGCCACAGGGTTTGTTCTTGGTCTGTATATACAGATCGTGGATATGGTGATCCAATGTATCAATCCCAAGTCATTATCCCCAAGCAGCCATCTGTCCGTTCGTCCGTCCTAGGCATACTCGCCCTTCTCGAATTTCTCGGTGTCCCAGAAGCGTGCCGCAATCGAGTTTCCGTTGAAAACGCGGCCCTCGAGAGCGTTGACAGCCCTCAGCGCTGACACCTGATCGGTGAACTTGATAAAAACTTGCCTGCCTGCCACGTCGATGTGCAGCCTCTCTACACGGCCGTACTTGTCGCCGCACTCCTCGCCAATTTCCTGCCCCAGCCCTTCCTCGACCTCCTCCTGCAGCGATGGCATGTTCTCGAGCATGTTCTGCAGCACAATGACCTCGGACATGGGACCGAACTTGCCCGCATTGGCTTCAGCCGCCGCCGAGCCTGACGCCGGCGATGGGTCCTTGGCGGCTGCGGTCTTGCCGCCGATGATCCGGGCGCGGTTCGCCGGGTCTACGTAGCCGCCGCCTTCGGCGTCCGGCCGCTTGCGCCGCTTTTCTACTTTCACCTGCAACGGGTTGATAATGCCGCTGCTGTCGGCGCCGAGCCCGCTGCCGGCCGTCCAGCCATACTTGGACATGAGGCGTTGGGCGAAGCCCTTCTGGCCTGGTCGGTTTGAGCGCGATGTGTCGCCGGCGCCGTCGACGTCGGGCATTGGCTGATCGGTGGTGCTCTTTTGGCCTGCCCCCAGGCCGGTGGGAGGGAGGTCAATGTTGTCTACGTCCATGTCGCCGCCGCCGTCGTCTCCTCCTTGCTCCTGTGCGGGTGGTTGAGGAGGCGCTTGGTAGCGGACAGGGCCGCGAGAGATTGTTGCAGTTTCTTTTGGTGGTGATTGCGGTGGAGGGGGGGCTGAAGGTGCCTCGGGAGGCGGCGGCGGCGGCGGCGCGCCTAAGCCTGACAGTGCGAGGCGGCGGGCGTAGGCATCGTCGCCTGTAGCGTCGTCCGGTACGGTCGCAGCAGCAGCAGCAGCAGCAGCAGCAGCAGGTGAGGCCCGAGGAGGCGACACTGGCGGTGGCGCGAAAGAGTAATCTCCCGGAGGGGCAAATTGACCTGTCGGGGCCAGGCTTGTCAGCAATGCTATAGTCATTTGGGCGCTCGTGGGTGAACTCACTGCCCATGGCAGGCCTCTCGTCGGCGTCCGAGTCATCGTCACTGTCGGAGGTCCCTCTCCTCCTCCTGCGGTGAGCGTACAGGATGGCCTTCCACTCCCGTACCTCCCGTATACGTTCGTCGCTCTTCATGTACTCCTCCACATTGGTCGGCCGCGAAGGGTCGTAGATCTCGTCCCAGTCCGTCTCCTGGCGCTGGTTGTCCCCCTGCTTCTGCTGCTTCTTCTTCTTAGCCTTGCGCCCACCTCGCTGCCGCTTCTCGGTGGCCCCAGTGCCATACATGTAATCATCCTCCTCGGTCGCAGCCCAGTCGGCAAGTGTACTGCGTTGGGTAGGAGGCGCTCCCTGGCCAGGCGGTGGTGTTGCGGTGGCGTCCCTGCTGTCATTGGTGGCATTTATCCTCGAGGTATCCGGGACTGTGGAAGATGGGGGTATCGACTTGGGAAAGGAAGGTTTGGCTGCTTTCTTCTGAGGTATCTGTGGCCGGCGAATTGGCTGGAATCGCAAGGCTGAGAAGACGGGCACACATTTTTAGTTTGGTTGGTTGACCGAATCCACAGTGTCGTAGCCAGCAAGGATTCCGCAGGGGAGATGGGTGGAATGGTTGCTTACCCTGATTGATTTCCTTCTTGACGGCATCATCATCCTTCTTTCCGCCATCGTAGACCACCGGCGCGCCGGACACTGTGGCCTGGGAGTCGGCCTTCGGATCGAGCAGGTTGGCGTAGAGCGACAGGCCGCCCTTTGGAGGCGGGGGCGGCGCTGCCATGCCGCGTGGAGACCTGAGAAAGCTGGATCGTTCCAGTTGTAACTGGCCCCCTGCAGATCAAGCCTTTGCAAAGGTGTCTGGCATGGGAAACGGGGAGAGATTGGAAAGATCCCATGCAGCCTTGTGGTGTAAGGCAGGCCTGCCTCGGGGAGCTGGGGCTGCAGCTTGGCGGGGCCCCTTGCCGACCCGTATAAGTCCAACTGGCCCTAGCTTCACACGGCTTGAGCAAGTACCCACCTGCTTGTAGGCATGTACACAGTTTGAAGCTACCGAATCGCAATCTACAAAACCACGAGGTTTACCTGTTTGCGTGGGCGGAAAGTCTTTAGGGATTTCTCCACCGGGCTGAGGAGTTGTCACCCAGCAGGATCTCTGGGGTGTATGTATATGGCTGGGTATGGGAATACGCAGACGCGAACACTTGAGACATGGCAAGCGATCTCGGACTCCCCGTTGCGATGCTCACTCTTACTCCACAGAATCTTTCAGAGAACAAAATAATTACTCATCACTGGTGCTCTCCTCTCGAAATCAACACACAATAAAGATGCCATCGCCGCAAGCAGTCACGCTGTCTGTCTCGTTGAAATACCCAACCGATGCCATCCCCACGGGCCATCACACGCCGGCATGATCCCGGCATTTTACAGAATCCGGCACAACCTAGTCCTCCTTCTTCTCTTCAGTCCCCTCGGCTTTGGCCTCCTCGGCTGCCGAACCGTTGGTCTTTTCATCCTTGTCCTTCTCCGCCTGTTCCTCGGCAGCAGCCCCGTTAGCAGACTCGGACTCGACAAGCTTCTTCACGGCATCGACTGTTGCGGCTGGTCCGCCGGGCTCGGCCAGCAGCACCTTGCCCTTCTTGTCCACCGCAAAGACGCCCCTCTGAGTACCGCTGGGAGCTTTCTTCATGCCAATGGCACCGATGAGGCTCGCACTGGGGTCGCACAGGAGAGGGTATGGCAGCTTCTGCTTCTCCTTGAAGGTCGTGTTGCTCTTGGGCGAGTCCCTGGAGAGCCCGTAGATGGCAAGACCGCCGGCAGTGAGCGGCTCATACGAGTCACGGAACAGACAGGCCTGATTTGTGCAGCCCGGTGTGGAAGCCTTGGGGTAGGTGAAGAGCACGACACCAGAGCCCGACTTGTCGACCAGCTGGGCCAATGTTGTAGTCTCGCCGTCGTTGGTGGCCACATCGCCGCCGAATGAAGCCAGGTCGATGGTGTCGCCAACCTCGGGCTTCTTGGCAGGGGCGGACGCCTTGGCTGCTTCAGCGCCATTGGCCTTGGACTTGGGCTCAGTCTTGCCCTTGACAGCCTCCTTGACCTTGGCGGCAGCTTTGGCCACCTTGGAGGGCTTCTTGGCCGGCGGCTCCGGGGGCGGAGCTGGAGCCTTGCGCTTGCGTAGTTCAACGGGCATGTTTGGCGCCTGGGGGGCCCCGGGGGCACTTGGGAGGGCTGTTAGTTGCGGATCCGACCTTGACGACCATCAAGAGTCATCGGACACAGAGTGAGATGACGACCGGAGCTCTCGTGGGCGGCCAGGGACGTACAATCTGCGGAGAAATGGTGAAACAACCAAGTGCCGTGCAGGCGATTGGGCGACGAGGGGCGACGAGGGCCGTGGATGGAGCTGGGACGGACGGGCAGGAATCAAAACAAGAACAAACAGAGGGCAGAGGGGAGAGGGGAGAGGGAGAGGCGCTGGGCCAGGATGGAGCTGGGGACGGGGACGGGGACGGGGACGGGATGGGAGGTCAATATAAGGAGGACGAGGTAGGATGGGATGTCGTCTTGCACGAGCTTCGACCAATCAGGCCGGCGGCATGGGGGAAGCTCTCACACTATCAGCCCTCCGAGAGTTCGGGCTCCCCTGAATCGCCCATCTGGCCCAGCTTGTCCTCCGAGCGCTGTTAAGGCTCAGTCGACTCCACGGTTCCGAGGCTAAAAGGGCCCAGCCCAGCCCTCGCCTTTCCCTTCCTTTCCCTTGTTTTCTTGTCCTGCTGCTGCAACTGCGCACTGCGCACTGAGCAGCCAGCACCCTTGTCACTGCACATGTCTGCCCGTTGCCGCTAGTACTCCGTATCCGTAGACAGCGCAGCCGCCCATCAAGCCCATGACACTGATGGGCGAAGCCCGCATCCGAGAGTTTCATCCGAGACAGGTTGCCCAAAAGGAGACCCCAAGCCAGTCCGTGCTAAGGCTGCAGGACGTGGTCAAATGTGCATCTCTCGCACCTTGTCTGCATGGCTGGCTACCTTGGCCTTTGGTGGTAGGACGGGCAGCTGGGGCAGGACGGGCCATGTCAGAGCGATGAGCCGTACCTGGTAAATACCTACCTACCTACCTAGGTATGTAGGTACCTACTCATCGGCGAGCATAGGTTGGACGGTGGGGATGGCCATACTGTAGCGTACATGCGGAGGTACGGAGGTACATACATACCAGCGACGGCCGCCCGGCTAAACCACGGACCATGCCGGCCGCCTTCCAGCCAATCCCGTCCCGCTCAATTGAGAGCCGCCTCTGCTCGCTTTGGTTGTGACGCCCTCTCCTTCCGAGGCCGACTTGCGCCTCGACATTTCCACAACCCCCCCTCCCCGCGGACACCCACCCACGTCTCATACAACGCCTGCATCATGGCCTCCAAGGCTGTAGCGAAAGTCGCCGCAGGCGGTGCCATGAAGCTTTCGTCAGTAAGTCGACCGTGCTGACGCCGCTCAACCTTTCCCTCCCAGTTTGCCCTCGCCCATGCACACCGCGGACTGACCGACGCGGCCCCCTTGGCCCTCAACAGAAACAAACCCTCCAATCCGCCGGCATCTGGGAGCGCATCCGCCGCTCGCTTGCAATCGATCCCGAGCGCTCCAATGGTGTGCCCCTCAACCCACACTTCCGCTGGCCCACACCTGGTGGCCAAGACCCTCTGACCTACGACGACCCGGTCACCCGGCCCGCCGGCGACATCGCCGACAACCCGTACTGGAAGCGCGACGTCCGCCGCAACTACCCCCGCCTGTCCGTCGTCAACCAGGCCGACACCGTCGCCCTGCTGACGGTCGGCAACGCCGCGAACCCCAAGGTCGAGCTGATCGGCGAGGAGGGCAGCAAGGCGATCGTGGCGGCCGAGGCCGAGGGCCAGGAGAAGGGCCTCGCCAAGGTCTTTGAGGAGAAGGGCGCCGAGGCGGCAAAGGACCTGCTCGTGGACGGCATGCCCCCGCTGCTCAGCGGGCAGAGCTTAAAGAAGGGCTCCTGGGATGTGCACCCGTGGGAAGTCACAGAGGATCAGGCCTACCCTGCGAAATACCCTTGCCGGACCTTCCACTAGGCTCTGTCGATGGGCCACGGGTCGGAGGCTTGGGCAATGTACCAATTTATTTTAACACTGGCGGATCAGATGAATGGCATAGACATTCAATCAGAGAAGTAACGTGTCATGTCAACCTCGACTGCCGTGTCTCGAGGCTTCTCTTCAACGCCTGATGACATGTAAGCCGGGCTGTCATGTAATCTACATCCGAACCCAGAAGTGAACAGTGCGCCTATGGGCAGTGTGTGAGACAAGCGTGCCGCTGTGGACTTGCTGCTACCTCGTGCGTGCCTGGTGGAGAAGTTGTCGACCCAGCACACCCTGCACACCTAGACAATCTGTGATTGCCACCAGGCCTTTTCCCGTGGCTGGAATACTGCCGTTAGTAATTACAACCCAGCCAGGGTGTGTGGATCTGGTGTTTGGTGTTTCCACTCACAAAGGCTGGGGCGGCACTGCCATTGCGTCGCACACCCCACTTCCAGACAGTAAACAAGTCTCCGTGGACAGTCTCGAGCAGAGTAGGAGGAGGCGGTGGGGGATGTTGGGGATCTCTTTGAGTCCCTTGCGTGCATCCGCCGCGCGGTGTTGCAGTCCTCAAAAGCTCACGGCTTCCTTGGACGTCGAACCAGCCGGCGGCGAGGCCTGGTTGCCACCAGTGGTAGTAGCCTTGGCAAGACTGTCGTCGTTGGGCGCAGCGGCAGCATCAAGGCTGGCATCCTCCCCGACATGCCTCTCGATGACCCTCGCCTTGCCCTGGGCCCTCTTGACCCGGTCGTCAAAATCATTAACAGCACCGTCCGAGTTCTCCGTGGACAGGGTATCAGGCTCGACGAGCGCGTGCAGCATGACGATGTTCTTCTCCAGCCTCGCGCCGCCGCCACCCAGGACAGGAAGCGCCTGCTGCCTGCAGTCCTGCTGTTGAGCCCGCGGCAACCTGTTGGCCCAGACGATGGACCTGCCGTGCAGCCTGCCCGCCTCGACAAACTTCTCGAAGCCCTTCTCCATGCCAAAGGCGCGGCCCTCGATGCGCCCCGCGCGGTCGCCGTCTGCCACGCCCTGCTGGTAGCCCTCTGAGTAGAACTGCTCCTCCAGGTTGAGCAGGTCATCGAAGGCATCGTTGGCGGCCATGTTGTCTGACGGCCTGGAAAGACAAGGTTCAAATGAGTTGGGGGGTCTTGAGATGGGGCGAGTTGCGGGAGAGGATTTGTTATATCATTGCATGGTCAGTCAGGTTCAATGTTGGGACGGATCCCGCCGCTAGTGGCCGGACTCGGACTCGGGGCCGGGTCGGGTCGGGTCCCGGCGGCATTTCGCTACCTACTTGGTACCTAGGTACCTCTCTACCTGTCTACCTGTCTACTTCTACTTCATGAGCAGGCCGCCGTTGGCACAGACAACCTGCCCCGTGCACCATGCGGCGTCCGGCGTGCACAGCATGCCCACGATGCCGGCGATCTCGGAGGTGTAGGCCGGCCGGCCGCCCTCTGCCCTGGCCGCCTCCACCACCTCCGGGGCGTCGATGCCCTCGCGCGCCCTCATCAGCGGCGCATGCTCGATCCACCCCTTGATGGCGGCCTTGAACTCGGCGCTGTTGGCCGCGTACCTGTTGTTGTTGTAGTAGTTGTGTGTCAGCCACCCGCCGTGACATGCGTGGGAAAGGCGTGCCTGTGCCTGCTTACATCGGGCCCTCGACGGGGCCTGGGTTGATGGCGTTGACGGTTGCCCGCTCGCTCAGCTCACGCGCCCACACCCGGGTCATGGCCTCGATGGCGGCCTTGGACCCGCCGTAGACCGACTGCCCCAGGAAGCCGCAGTCGGAGCTGATGGACGCCAGGTTGACGATGCGCCCGGAGCGGTCCCGGGGCAGGTACTGCGCCGCGGCCTGCATCAGCAGCAGCGGCCCCAGCACATTCACCCTGTACGTGAGGTCAAAGTCCTCGATCTTGATGTCGGCCAGCTTGCCGTTCTTGGCCACGCCCGCGTTGTTGACGATGATGTCCACCTGGAACTTGTAGTCCTGCTTGGCCGCGGCCGTCGGCGGCGACGACGAAAAGTGCTTCTTGGTAGCCTCGACCAGCGCCAGCGGGCCCTGCGGCGTGCCCAGGTCTGCCTGCACGCCGACCGTCTGGATCCCGTACTTGCCCTCGAGCTTCTTGGAGAGCTCTTTTGTGAGCGCTGTCGATGACTTGGACGTGTAGTTGAGCACCAAGTTGCATCCTTTCGAGGCAAGGTTCTCGGCAATGGCTGCCCCGATGCCTGCGCGCCAGTGTCAGCCATGAGCTCCTGGCCCCGGGGCCTGGACGGCGCGGGCATACTTCTCGAGGCACCTGTTACTATTCCCACCTTTCCTGCCAACACCCTACTGGCCATCTTGAAGACTCCGAACGACTGTCGTGGGATGGATGCACTGAGGCTGAGGAGCAAGTGCTCCAGTAAATGTGTATATGTGTATGTGTGTGTGTGTGTGTGTGTGTATACCTTGCTTGGTATGTGCAAATATATATATATATATATATATATATGAGTGTATATATATGGCGCGGTTAGTCACCTTCAACGTGCCTTTCTCCCGAGGGTATACAGGGCATCAGGGAGCCGCGGTGGGATTCAGTCTTGAGAGGTAGATATACCTACGAGAAGTCGGCATGGGAGCGGGACTGTGAAGGAGAATAATACCGAAATTAGACCTCTATGCTGCCCCCATCGTGACCTCTGCTCCCTCCCCAGCAAGTTCTTCCGCCCGTAATCCCGACTAGAGCTGCCCCAAAACACTCAAGCAGGTGTGCTATGTCCCGCTTGACCGAGGTGAGTTTGGCCTGCTTCCCCCAATTTCCCCGCTGTCCAGGCCTCTGGGGCCGTCCTCCAGGGTCACTCTGTCCCACCCACCCCGCTAGAGATGCGCGCCAGTCGGCTCAGAATGCCCCGTCTGCCGGGACCCAAGTACCCAGGTACCATACCAAGGTACCCAGGTACCTCTACCTTGCAGCTCGTGGGCCCCTCCACGCGATTACGGCATGTACTTTTCGACGGGCCTCAGCCGTGCAGTCAAATTCCACGCCGAGATAGTCCACATATGCCACTTGCGACACCGCGCTGCAGACAACTCCGGGCCCTCACTCAACCTCTTGCATAAAATCAAGGCTACCCGCCCAGCATTTTGCCGCCCGCCATGGATATCCGCCTCCTCCAGCCATCAGACCTGCCTCTGATTCAACACGCCAACCTCGAGAACCTGCCCGAGAACTACTTCCTCAAATACTACCTCTACCACGCCCTGTCATGGCCCCAGCTTAGCTTCGTCGCCGTCGATGCCGCCCGCCCCAAGAAGACACCCTATGACTACCCCAAGATCGTCGGGTACGTCCTGGCCAAGATGGAAGAGGAGCCCACGGATGGCGTCCAGCACGGCCACATCACCAGCCTGTCTGTCATGCGCACCCACAGGAAGCTTGGGATCGCCGAGAAGTTGATGCGACAGAGCCGTACGTCTGCCAGCCCCTGACGGCACCGGAGCGCCACCGGCCGCGCGGCGTACACGCACACACGATCCGGGGAACCGCTTGTGCTGACAAGAAAGAAAAATAACAGAGCTCGCAATGGTCGAGACTTTCGGCGCGCACTACGTCTCCCTGCACGTGCGCGAGTCCAACCAGGCCGCCATCCACCTGTACGAGAAGACCCTCGGCTTCCAGCGCGAGAAGACCGAGCCCAAGTACTACGCTGACGGCGAGGACGCCTTCGGCATGAAGCTCGACCTGTCCGCCATCCGGGACCAGCTGCGCGAGGAGCGGGAGTCGTCGGACTCGGAGGAGCTGGACGAGGGCGAGCCCGTCGGCGACGTCGGCAGCGACCCCAACAGGAAGGGCGGCAAGGACTCCTCCAAGAAGCCCAAGAATGGTGCCAGCGCGGACAGCGCCAAGGACGAGAAGAGGAAGGTCAAGGTCGGCAGGGGCCTGGGCGTGGGTGAGCTGGTGGAGAGGGTTGAGAGCAAGCAGGGCTCATGAGCAGAGAGAGACCTGTCACATGAGAGCTGCTCGTCTGCGGGCTATCGCGCGCGCACCTCGTCCACGAGGACCGACGCGGGCCCTTGGGCTGGGCGGTTGCTCGTTACAAATGGAATATGAAGGAGCCGAGCGCCTGCATCTTCGGCGTCGCATTTGAGTGAGCTTGGCAGGACTACGACTAAGGCTTGCCCGTCCAGAGCGGTAGCGGCACCCAGAAAGCATGGGCGGCGCAACCAGGAGTTGGAATAGACGAAAAGGTTAGACAAAATTGACCATTAACACTCGGTATATGGCTGGTTTGAGGTGATACGTGGAATAACAATCCGGTGATTTGTTGGAGAGCAATGAGCCCCATTTCCTCCTCCTCACACATGTCCAAGAAAGAGAACTAGCCAGTTAAGCCCCTACTCCTCGAGAGCGGCCAGCTCCTTTGCGAACTGTTCATCTGCTTCCAGACCGAGCTTGGCCACGGATCTCTCGAGTTCCTCAATCTCAGCAAGTATGCCGACAAGCGATGGCGCACCGCCCTTGTGGGACTGGCTGTCTTCGCCGTGGGAATCGCCAGGAAAGTTCTCCAGGGCGTCCCTCTTGCCCTGTAGTACTCTTCTCTTTGTCTCGAGGGAACTGTACATCGCCGACGAGACACCATGTGGTCCCACGGCGTCGTGCTTGGGCTGGATCCCGGCATCCTGCTCTTCATCCCGGCCTCCGCGTTTCTTGTCCTGTGGGTGGTCCTCCGCCTCGGCAGGCCAGGATCCGGGAAACCTTGGCTGGTCCGCTGGAGGTCCACCGGGGCGCGGCGCAGAGAAGTCGCGGCTCCATTCGCCCATCCGTCGAGACCAATCTGCCATGTTGCGCGAGAATCCTTCTCCCCAGTTGCCCGGGCCAACGGTCGGGAAAGCACCGCCGGGCCCCGCGCACGGCAACGGCCCAGTCTGGAAAGGTCCATGAGGACCTCCGCCACGTCGCTGGCGGGCACCAGGGCCGAAGCCCGTGCCAGGGAAGTCCCGACCGCCGAGGCCGAGAGGGCCACCTCTGCCTCCGAACGGGCCTGGTCTTCCGTGGCCACTGTGCGAGCAGTGGTGGCCAGCATCGTCGTGGTCATGCCCATGGTCGCGACGCCGGCCGCCTCTGCCACCCCCGGACTCACGCCTCGCATGTCTATCCTCCCGTCTAGCCTCACGCCTGGCCCGCTTCCTCTCGCGCCTCGCCTGCCGACGCGCCTTCTTCTCAGACCTGCGACGAGCCCTCCTGTCCTTCTTGCGCTGTCTCCTCATGGCCCGTTGCTCCCTCTTCAAGACCCTCCACTGGCTCATCATGCCTCGCACCTGCTGGCGCATGGCGTCCCGTGCCAAGGGGTCGCTGATGTCTTGCGGTGCGGTCCTCCGGGCGGCTTTGATTTCCTCCCTGGCTTCCTTGACCGTCTCGTGGGTGACGAGATTATCGGGCTGTGAGAGCCACTCCTCCAGATAGGTCTTTGTGACCGGAAGCTGGCTGTCCGCAAGCTCGTCGTAGTCGGGGAGCGAGCCGACCGACAGCGCATCGGATTCATAGCCAGAGGAAGACGAAGAGCTGCTGCTGCTGCTTGATGTCGAGGAAGAGCTCGACCGTGACCGGTGGCGGTGGGACGCGCCGCTTCTGTAGCGTCCAACAGGGCGCCCACGCCCGCGCCCATGTCCATGTTCATGGTGCCGATCATGATGATGGGCAGGGTGCCGGGTACGAGCTTCGGTGTTCTCGTCGGGGCATTCGTCGTGATCATGGGCGCCGTGCCCAGGAGCTAGGTAAGGGGTGGGGAAACCAGGTGGCGGAGGTGGCATCCGCGCATGGTATGCCTGCTGGTCATGAGAATAACCTCGAGGCACCGGAGGCGCCGGGGCCTGGTACGGGACTGCCACAAGTGGAGCAGCTGATTGACCCGTCGTGCTTCCACCCCCAAAAAGGTCTCGTCCGCCAATTCTTACACCATTGTTGTCCATTACAACTCCACCGATCCTCACACCATTCGGATTGGCAACAAAGCTACTGCCAATGGACAGACTGTTGGAGTCGATGGAAACACCAGGAATATTGAGACCTTTAGGGAATCGCCTGCTGCGGCCGGTATTGTCCGGCTGGCGGGGAGGCCCGTATGGACCAGTATGGTGATAACGTGAGTTGCCAGAGCGCGAGAGGCTGGGGCTGTCGTTGTTGAAAGACTGGTCCCAGGCACCTGGCACGCGGTAATTCTCACCCGGCGTTGCACTCTCGCCAATCTCGATGAGCAGCCCACGAGGACCAAAGAAGCCATCGTTCCACTCCCGCACCGTGTGATCGATGTCCTGTCTCTGTTGCAGGTCAGGTGTGCGGATCTGATCCAACTGGGCTTCCACAGGCGTCCTCTCTTCGACAAGAGCAGCCGTGCCGCTTTTCTCGCTCTTGTTGCTGCGCGTGGATTCCGTGTCCATGCCCTCTGACCTGAGCTTCCGGTCAATTACGGCGTCGTTGAGCTGCGCCGCGTGATTCGGAAACAGGTAGTTGAGGAACGTCTGCCAGTCCTCCTCCTTGACGTCATGTCTGGCCCAGTCATGACGGTAGGGGAAGTCTTCCGGTGAGCTGTCGGCCTTGACGACGATGGTATGCGTAACCTGCTGCTCGTCACCGCCAGGCAAAGCCGGCACTAGTCTTGACTCGAAGTAAGCTTCTGCCGATGCGCTGGTCAGGTGTTCTGATGAAACAGACACAGTGTTCTGCTGCTGTTCTGGATGGCTTGGACTGAGGAAGTTGTTGTCGCCTGTATCATAGGACTGAGACTGTGGGCTGCTAGGACTCAGCGGGGGCGTGTAAATCACCTCGCTCGTAGATGCGGCTGACGAGGCATCATCCATCACGGGCACGCTGTTGGAATTATTGTGAGACGGTGTACGACGATGCGCCGGCAGAGTCTGGGATTGAGAGGGCATTGGAGAGTGCCCATGAGAGTCTGGATTGGAATATATGTCCGTCTCAGAATATGGAGGCGGGGGAATGTCTGGCGCGTCGTCCAGATGCGACGTCATCTTGGATTCGTAATGGTGTTGCGTGCTGGTGTAGGTAAGGGTAAAGATTATCCCCTGGGGCGGTCTCAGGGTGCGGATGCAAGAGTCGATGTGGCAAGATGAAGAGAGAACAAGATGGGGGTTTGCACGAGGTCACTTGAAGACTGATGGGAAACTGGTGATTCAGGAACGTTGAAGGAATTAGTCTTGATGTTCATGGCGTGGAATGACAACTCAGCTTGGAGGGGTCGTCCTCTCTTCAACTACTACTGCAGCCAGATGCTCTCTGCCCCGCGGCTGTCTAAGTACCCAGTGGTCTATGTCTGCGCCGTCACACAGCCTTTGACCAACTCGGATGGCATGCCCCATCCTGTCGTTCCTCGGCACCGACTCGTGTAGGGACTCCATGAAGTCTCGATAAGCTCACTGAATAACCCTGCAGTTGCGGGCATGCGAGTATGGGTGGCCCCTGTGTTGGCGGAGGCCGTTCAGGAGGAATTTAGGCCGTCTTACACCAAGGAGTGGGCTGAGTGGGCGGTTCTCCCGCGCCACACCTCTCCAATGGTTCTTGGCTTTCCCCACCCCGATTATGACTCCTACCACAACCACCTGCATGCTAAATCCGAGCTGACGCGGCCCCACAAGGCAGCACTCGAGGCTCTCAAGGCTTGTTGAACGAGGTTGCAGGAGAACCTTTAGAGACTCTAGAGAATTCTCTCGGCTTCCAACGCCGCGCGTGTTCCACATTCAAGCCAATAAGAATGCTCGAAAACTGCAGCACGCTTTGTAAAGCTGTCGCGTCCAAGCTGCAACCCGTACCTTTTGATGTCTTGTCTCGTGGTTTCTGATGTCATTGGGACAGGAAATTCACGTCTTCGATTTTATAGTGATCAGCGACAACACCTTGCAGATGATCTCGAGAATGTGGTCCCCTGGGTGGATTGTCAGCCGAGCTGCAGTGAGCGCAATCCTATACCGATCGGATACTTACAGGTTTGTGATGTAGATGTCCACCCGCTCCGGAACAATGTACTCGGAGCTTGTGTCCTCGACGTCAACGTCGACCATGTGGCCGTCGTAGCCGACCAGGTCTATTGGGCTACCAGCCTGGACGAGTGCATCCAGGTCTGGCTCATCCTCGGGGCAGAGCTTAAACACACCGCCCAGAACGATTACTGTCTTGTTGTACTCACGAGCGGCCCTTGCGACCACAGCAGCGCCTCCGACGGCGATGACTGAGCCATTCGCGGTCACGGCCTGAGCATCGAGGATTACGACGTTGATACTTGCCATGTACGCCATGGTGCCGCTCCCCGCGATGGTGATTGTTTTCACGCCGAATTTGCCCAGCTGCTTGCGCAACGCCGCGTATGGCGGGTCTTCGGACGCCTTGGGGATTGTTGCGCCGGCGATGAACACAGTGAACTTCCTCCTCTTTGCGGCTGCGATCAGAAATCTCTCAACGGTTGGACTTGGCTTGTAGACCAAGACGTGCTGCCCCGGATGTATTTGGACCTCGGCGAAGGTTGCAATCTGGTCGTCCACCTGGCTGATCTCATCCTTGATCTCGTCAATGCCATCGATGACCTCGGAGCGGAGAGCCGAGTTGTTGGCGACTTGGGCGTGTGACATGGGCGTGGAAGTCCCAGAGCCCCGTCCAAAGGGCGATCCTGCCGAGCTCCTGTCCAGCTTGGGCGAGTTGGCGAGCAGGTTGAACATGGACTGCGGGACGTGGAAGGAGCTGGTTGAAGTGAGCATGCCTATGCGAGGAGGTGGTCGAGACGGAGGCGAGGCATCTGCAGAGATTGGATTCGCCTCGTCGCCAGGCAGGGCTGAGATGTCAGACATCGAGTCGTCGCCATTCCCACCGCGGTCCTCCTCGGCCTCGTCGCGGATGAGACCCAAGACCCGGCGCACGACGTTTCCAATCACCAGCTCTTGGGGCCGTGCGAGGACCAGTTGCCGGCCGACTCGCTGGACTCGGTCAAGGAGCTGTCCGACATTGTTCCATTTTGATTTTGCCACAACATGGAGGAGGATGTGGGCTGTTGCGATGGCACATTGCTCGGCACCGGTGATTTGTCTTCGCTTGAGCAGGCTGCAGGAGGGTAGGCGCTTGTCAGCCAAGTGTTTGAGGGAGTGCCGGACCTGCCAAGTACTCACGATATCAACGACTCAATCGAAGCATCCAGCGGCCGCCCCTTAAGCGACTTGAGGAACTTGTCGAGGTTCGGGGATTTCTGCTGAGCCGCCATGGCCGCAAGCTTGCTACAGGCGGGTGGAGGGGCTTTGCGTGATTATCTGGCGTAGGAGGGCGGGGCTGATCTTAGAGGGAGGGTTTTTCACACCGCAAGCCGACTGTATCTTTCTCTCTCTCTGTGTGTCTCTCTCTCACACAATTTGGTTGATATGGTGTCGTGCAGAAAAAGCAAGGCCAGCTTCTGAGCACTGTTCTGAAGGTGTGAGTCAAGCCATCCGTAGTGCCTAGTAGTACAAAAGTTTGGCGGGGCAGAATGACGGCCTTGTCCCACCACCCGGTCACGCTGAGTCAGCAACCAGCGGTTGGCAGCTCTTGTCGTTTGTTCACCAGATGGCTCTAGGTTCAGGCTTGCCTTGCAGTGATAGATCAGATCTCTAGCAGGCATAAAATAATTGATAGTTCATTCACCAACCTCAAATCACATTGAATGAGATCTTGAATATTCAGTATATGCACCAATGCCACCAAGTGCCTTTCTCGCTGCCAACATCAGCAGGCTTGAACACTCCTTTGCTGCCCCTTTCCCAGTCCAGATCTGTGCAATACTCGTGTAACGTGCAAGCTATACTTAGCTGACAAGTTACAACTTCTCGTTTGGCATGAATTTCTGTCAGATCATTAGTCACCTTCTTTGTAGCTTAAAGTGTGTCATTCTCGGTCACTCCAAAGACATGAAAGACCAGGATTAGTATGGGGACAGGAGTTGTGCTTACCATGGCCTGTCGAACACCCAAGTCGCCCAATACTTCCTCTGCTCCTCCGAGAATGGCATCGAACTTGTATCCCTTATTAAAATTCTCAACCTTGAAGCCCATACCTGATTGTGTCAGCCCTCGCCCACCCCAGATCTGTACTGATTCATCCGCAATTTCATGGGCCATGCGAGTACAGCTCATCTTGAGCAAGCCAATGGGCCCACCAAGGAACTTGGACTGTTGAGAGTAAGGCATGTTGCACATTTGGTAGGTAATGGTTTCCAGCCACGACTGGTGAGCCTCAACCAGGGCAATCATCTTGGCCAGCTTGAGGCGGATGACCGGCTGGTCGATGAGCCGCTTGCCAAACACCAATCTCTGGTGTGCCCACTTGAGACTCTCTTCAACGATAATCCGGGAGTATCGGACAGTACCACCTATAGAGGCATGATTAACTTTGGGCTTTTGCGTGACGACAACCCCCCCCCCCCCCCAAAAAAAAAAACCCCCCCCAAAAACCGGCAAGACTTACAGCACATGGTCCATCTCTCGTGGTTGAAGTTGCTGAGGATCACATATATACCCTGGTTCTCCTTGCCAAGGAGGTTCTCTACCGGAACCTTGACATTGTCAAATGTAATGTAGGTGGTCCCGGCAGCAGTGGAGTAGCTTGTCTTGATCAGCTTGGTCTCGACACCCTCGCCCCTCTCGATGAGCAGCACGCTCAGGCCCTTATCGGTCTGCACTCCGGTGACAAAGTAATCGCTGAACACGCCATTGGTGATCCACTTCTTGGTTCCGTTCACAATGTAGTGCTTGCCGTCAGGTGTCTTCTTGGCAGTTGTCCTCAGGCGGGCAACATCACTGCCGGCAAAAGCCTCTGTAATTGCCAGGCAGATCTTCTTCTTGCCACTGAACACCTCATCGGCAATCTTCTTCTTAAAGACCTCATCATTGGCAAAGTTCAGGACGGCTGTCAGCCCGATAGTCATCCCTGCCATGTTTCCGTCCTGGAAACCTCTAGCTGATGCCCGGGTCATCTCCTGGCCAATGATGAGGTCATGGAAGTAGTCAAACTCTTCCGGCTTCACGGCACCACCTAGGAGCGAGGGGGCAGATTCAAGATGCTTGCCTGGCCCAAGTCGCATGTGGAGGACCCCTTCCTTGGACATGCGATCGATGAGCTCTTGGCTGATATACGTGCCATCCTTCTCCTTTGCCTGAGCCTCAGGAGTGACATAGAGATCGGTAAACTTCCTGATGGCCTTCTGCAGCCTTCGATGACTGTCATTGTAATAGGGGTTCTTGAAAGGCTCAGACAACCAAAGCGGCTCGGCATAAGGGACCTTGGAGAGCTCTCCAGGGCCCGGGTTGACTATCTTTGGCTTCTCGCCTTGGATTGTACCCACGGCCAGCTCGGCATACTTGCCAGTCAAGACCTCGTGGCGGTGGAGATTGTAGAAAGCCTCTGTGGCATCAGTGCCGGCGACCTGGCGCAGCACAGCCTCGCCTCCAGGGTGGGCATCGAGGAAGTCGGAGACATCGTAGACTTTGCTGTCTATGATGAAGAGTACCTGATCCTCAGTGTTGCCCTCCTTCTTGACCTGTTCGCGGGTAAAAGTCTTTGGTGCGGCCACGGAGCCCATTGTGACGGTCGTGGTGAGTTTGTGAGACGAGATACTCGGGTGTCGAGAGCCCAGGGAGAGGATGTTGGGAGAAGAGAAATCAGGAGGTAGAGGAGGAGGAGGGCAGGTCAGTGAGACGGAAGAAACTACAAGAGGTAGAGAGGGGTGGGAAAGGGGGTTAGTCCACGAGACAGACAGACACCGTGGAGGATGAAGACGATGCTGATGACCAGACGGCACGGCGGCCTTGGTTGGGCGGGTGACCCTTGCGGAATGAGCCCAGTTGCCTCGGCTCAGACTCGCACAGCTGGCCCTGGGAGACGGAGAGGGCCGGGGTAGCTGAACCCAGGCAACCAGGGACCCAGGGGATTGCATTTGCGCCGCATGCCATTGGCCAAGTCCTCCAAGCTTCCCCAGACTGGCTTTAGGCCCCGGACTTGGAGCATGTGAAGGGTGTGGTGGGGCCTTCTCGCGAACCGCTGCCCTCCTCCTATGTAAAAGTCTGGTGCTTCCTTCGCCTTGGGGAGAAGATGCAGATAGTAATTAAAGACAAGGTGGTTCTTGTACTGGAAGTTCATCTGGGACAAGCGTGATATCATGCTTCCAACTCTCCTGTAGACTTGGACACGAGATGCCTAAGTACATACTAATAGTATGTACTGCCTAGCGTATCCGTACTCCATACTCCGTACAGTGCTCCGCCCCACCTGCCGGTTTTCTCGTTTTTCCTGTGCTCAGCACCCAAGCCAAGTCTTTTGTTGGCATGAGGTGCACCCATCTATGCGCAGTTGGCAGGTTGACAGCATCATCCCGCCTCACATGTGCGCCGTGGCAACGGTAAGTCCGTCCTCTCCTTATTTCCCTTGCTTAGCTCCATAGTCCTTTCTTCTCCTTTTCTCTGTTGCCCCAGGCCACCGCCCTCCGCCCTAAGGGTTAAGAATACTCTATCTGGACAAGACCAACACATAGTATCAACCGGTCTAAGTACGGGCTACTACATAGTAGACCCTCCTTGGTGTCTCTTTGCCGATCATGGTCGAGGCCTGCCCGCTCGTTTGCAAGGCCCTTTGCCACTCCAAGCGCCTGCTTTTGGAGTGAACCTCGTGCTCTGGTTCTCGACACAGAGCTCCCATGGCCGTATGGCCTGGAATAATCTGAGATCCGAGGATGATGCCAGAACCCCCATGGAACATGCTCCTCTAAGGATTGTCTCAGCCGTATTCTCGGGGGGGGGGGCGCCGAGGCCGGTAGTGCTGGCTGGCCATCCTAATTGGAAGTTCCACGTGGACAAGGCACACTTCATTGTGCGCCGTGACCTGATGCTCCGCCATGCGATACGGTCCGAGATAGACACTCCTCCTCCGTACCGTATGTTTGAAGCTCAACGTGGCTCGTCTTCCACTCTGCATGCTGCTCGAGTGATGCTGCTGCAGCTTACCAGCCACGCTCTGTGATCAATCCTTGTGGCTCGCCTGTTGTTCCTTGCCCCACGCGGCTTCTCGGAGGGGCACCACTCCTTCATATGGCGGATTGAGGCAATAACCCATCGCCTTATTCCTGTTTCCAACATACTCTCGCGCTTGTGGACTTCGGCCTGCTAGATTGACATGGATGCTTATTCAATGACGTGCACTAGTCCAACGCTGCGGCACGTCTCCCGGATTTATCTTGACCTCAAGTCAATACATTGCCAGACAATATCGGGCCTCAACCCGGACCAGGTCGACCGGCCAGTGCCGACCATGACTCCAGAAACAAGAGTAAGCCGACACCTCATACGAGCATGCTACCTACCTAGGTAGGTACCTGGGTACACATGTATTGCATGTATCCATGCTATCGCTGCACTACTAGTAGGCTTCGTATCGCCTACTACCTGCCGCCCCTTGTCAAATGCCATCTATCTCTCTACTTCTTCACCTCCCACCACGTGGAGACAAAGGCTGATTAAGTGAACAGCAAACTGCTCAGAATGGCCAGCTGCCACATATCGGCATTATTGGTGCTGGGCTAGCAGGCCTGCGGTGCGCAGACATCCTCCTGCAGCATGGCTTCCAGGTGACTATCCTCGAGGGTCGCGATAGGATAGGTGGCCGTTTATATCAGGACCGCATGGCCAACGGCATCACAGTTGACGTAGGACCCAACTGGATCCACGGAACCGACAACAATCCCATCCTAGACCTCGCTAAGCAGTCCAATACTGCCTTCGGGAGCTGGGCCGACGAATCATATGTCTTTAACGAGGACGGGGAGCTCTACAGCTCTGAAGAAGGCGAGCGCTACTCGACGATGATGTGGGATATCGTCCAGGCGGCGTTCAAACACTCCAACAAGTGTTCGGCCGAGATCGGCCCCGACGAAAGCTTGTTAGACTTCTTCAAGGCCACGCTGAAAGGGTTGATACCCGAGTCAACCGACGATTGGCAGCGAAAAAGGGAGATCGTCCTCAAGATGGCCGATCTATGGGGTGCGTGGGTGGGTAGCCCCGTTGAGCGGCAGAGCTTGAGATTCTTCTGGCTGGAAGAGACTCTGGATGGCGGTTAGTCACACACACCCCCTTCATCTATTCCACCAAATTGTCACCAACCGACATTCTTGTCCTACAGAGAACCTCTTCTGCTCCGGCACGTATGCCAAAATCCTGAAGGTAATCGCCGCACCGGCTCTCAAAGGCGCAACGATCCACTACAACACCCTGGTGCACAGGATCCATGCTCGATCTTCTCCGGAAGACCCCGTCAAGGTGACACTGGCCAGCGGCACTCAGCTGTCTTTTGACGAGCTCGTCGCCACCTGCCCGCTTGGTTGGCTACAGAAGAACCCCCAGGCCTTCGACCCGGCCCTCCCACCCAGCCTCACCAAGGCCATCAACAGCATCAGCTACGGCTGCCTGGAAAAGGTATACATTTCATTCCCAAGAGCCTTCTGGCTGGACCCGGACCCCAGCAAGGGAGGTCGCAAGGTCCAAGGTTTTGCGCAGTGGCTCTCACCGCGCTTCGCACCGGACACGAACCCAAACCGCTGGACGATCGAGGTCGTTGAGCTCGCCTCCCTCGGGCCCGAGGTGTCACACCCGACCCTCCTGTTCTACATCTACGGCGCGCAGTCGGCCCATATCGTCAGCACCATCAAGTCCCTCCCCTCCGAGCAGGAGAGGGACAAGTTCCTCTACAGATTTTTCAGCCCTTACTACACCAGGCTGCCCAACTACCGGCCCGACGCCCCAGAATGCCAGCCCGTCTGCAGCTACGCGACCACCTGGCTGGCCGACGACCTCGCCGGCAACGGCTCCTACAGCAACTTCCAGGTGGGGCTGCAGGAGGGCGACGAGGATATCAAGACGATGCGGGAGGGGTGGAAGGAGAGGGGTGTGTGGCTGGCCGGTGAGCACACGTCGCCCTTTGTGGCGCTGGGCACGGCGACAGGCGCATACTGGAGTGGAGAGAGCGTTGGAAGACGACTGGTAGAGAGTCGAGGGCGGGATGTGGGTGTCGCCGGCAACGGTCACCACGGGGCCGCTCACGGGAGCAATGGCTAGAAAGGCACGTCATCTGTGGTTTAATCAGGTCACCTCGGCCCAGTCCTAACAAGTGATGGGCAGGGCGTCCTAGAGAGCAAAGTAGAGAGAAGCACGCTCCAGTCAAACACACATGCATAGACTTGTATGCCTTATTCACTACTCCAGTCGAGGAGACATTCGGCGACTGGCCAGGGAGGTGCTGCCTTGCAAGCGGCGTTGCGGTCTTTTTCTCAAGAAAGTACGTAGGTAGGTAGTAGCTACCCACCCGGTACATTGTCTGCTGCTGTCGGTGAGGCTACCCATAGATGCCTCCGCCTATTCGCTCGCTGTACATGCTAGCCATGCTTGTCGTACAGTAGCAGATTATCGTCGTTACATACATCTAAGAAGGGAGTTGGCCAGGATCCTTTGCATTTTGTTCAGTTATATTGCAAACAAAGCTGCTTTTGTGTCATCAAATTTTCTCTACCAAGAGCCTATGAATAGGTAGGTCGTCTCAACTAGAGCGCAGAGTTCATTGCCGTGTGCCATTGTTCCCGATTTTGAGTAAAGAAGCAAGTCATTATGCCGGAGTCCGTATGAAAGTCAAGACCGTTTTTTTTTTGGTGGACGAAAATACCCCCTGACAGCACGCCTCACATTAGAAGACCAGGGCCATTCCTCGAGTTGTAGTTTGGCGATCGACGCCAAGTATCGGTATTCGGTGTCGCAAAATCAGTTCCAAAGAGCAGAAGAAAGAGCCATCATATCATGAACCGGGGTATCCAGACGACCATCGTCACCATAGGTCCTAAGCACCGCTCCACACTGGAGCCGCAACTTCGCATCCCATCGCGAATCAACAACCTTCCTCCATCATCAATGGCAGTCAAGACACGCCTTCTCGACAGTACCAGGCCGGTTGTAAGTTTGTGTAGTCGTCTGTGTGCCGCAGCCCAATTAGGCGGAGGGGCACTCGGACTGGATGTGGCCAGGCTGCTGACACTTGTAGCAGATCTTCTCGCCGGTGGAGGTGCCCTTGGGGCAGTCACGAGAAAAGTGGCCGTTCTCGCCGCAGTTGTAGCACTTGGATCCGTTCACGCAGTCGCCTGTTCGGGGTGTAACATGTCAGGGACTGGCCTGGAAGCTGCCTATTTGGCCAAGAAGAAAGGAGACTCACGAGACATGTGGCCAATGCCGCCGCAGCTGTAGCAAGTCTTCTGGCCACCGCCGGCGCCGTAGCCACCGCCGTAGCCACCACGACCGCCGTAGCCACCACCGTAGCCGCCGTTCTGGGGGCAGTTGCGGGCGATGTGTCCGACCTCACCGCACTGGGAGAGTGTTAGCGCAGTCCTAGTGTGTTGACTGAGCAGCATGAACGAACCTTGTAGCAGTCCTGTCCGCCGCCGCCGCCACCGCCGGACTGGCCAGCAGACTGGCAGTCACGAGAGATGTGGCCGGCCTGACCGCAGCGGTAGCAGGTCTTGGTGTCCTTAGCACCCTCCGGGCATTCACGGCCTGTGGTGTGATGGTCAATATGCCGTCCTCAGCGGTCCTGTCGCGGGGTTGTCAGATACTCACTCATGTGACCCTCAGCTGTAGCAAGAAATGTCCTAGTCAGCCTGGGAACCCACCCTCATTGCGGGGTGCTACGCATGTTGTCTCACCTCCACAGTTGTAGCTATAGGTCTGATCAGCACGTGTCGCGTCTCTGCTCGAGGCATCGGGCAGGCACTTACCACTTGGCGGGTCCACGGGTAGGGCACTCGCGAGCCTGTGAGGGGTGTTGTCAGCATCTGCGACGCCATGAGGCATCCTCGACCTCATCCGCCCTGGTTTTTGACCATGCATACCTGGTGATCGGTGGCACCGCCTAAATCGCACACTCGTCAGATCTCTCAACACACCACGCCAACGTGAACGAAACAGAAGGGTACAGTTTTGTGCCCTGGAGATGAGCTCTTAGAAATGGGTCACTGCGGACAGAGCCAAGGAGCCAGTGAAGTGGAGGATGTCAAAGCGCACAAGTGCTACCAGCGCCTTGGGCCGGGCCTTGCGAACGGCGGGCGAGCGATCAAGGACGGTTCCAGGGTTGTACCACAAGCGCAGGCACAAGCACAACGGCAGGCGGCCATGGGTTGCAGAGACGACCGCAGCAAGGCCGAAAACTTGGGATTGAGGGCAGGTGAGGAGTGCATTGCGGCAGACGCGAGCGACGAGGTCGTAAAAGCACTTGAATGTGTGTGCATTGGACTTGGGCTCCAAGGATAGAGGCCAGGGCAGTACGGGGGGGCAAGGTTCAGGCACGGGTCCAACTTACAGCTGTAGCAGGCGCGGGGAGCAGCGCCGCCGCCGAAGTTGCTGGCATCCATGATTGTTGGTTGGGTTAGGAGGGTGGGATTGGGTTCTGAGGGGCAGTTATTGAGACCTGAGATGAGCAGGTGAGGAGAGTCTGTCAGTGAAGAAACTGGTTATGAAAAGGAGGTGGTGGGAGAGAAGGAGGTTTTCAAATCTGGCGTTGGGGTTGGAGTTGGGAGGACGCAGGTCAAGCCAAAGTCTGGGAAGGCAAGGGAAGGGCAAAAGGTGGAGGTGGGGTGAAAACCGAAAACCGTTTGCCGTGTGAGTGGGGCAGGTACGAATCGAATTTTCCTCCGTCCAGGTCGGGGATGCCATTGGCTACGTACGGTTTGGGCCCAAGTACTTCTTTAGCCCAGAGTCCAGAGCCTCGAGGTACGTGCAGGATGTGCAGGATCTGGCGGCAGAGGTCCCTCGCCCTGGACAGCAGCCTCTGTCAAGTTAGAAGGGGGGTTGACGTTTGCCTGGTGGTCAATGGATGAGGGTCAGGGCAGGGCAGGGCAGAGCAGGGCAGAGCATAGGCATGGGTGTAGGCATAGGCAAGAATGTGAGACAGGTAAATTAGATTTGTGTGACAGGCAAACAAATCTGCTGGTGGTGTGCAAGGAAATCCTCCCACTATACTCGGTAGAGGGCAGCCAACCTTGGAAGGCAGGCAGGCTGACCTGGCTGACCAGGCTGGCCGGGCTGCCGGGCTGGGTTTTGGAGCACACAGAGAGGGGGACAAGACAGGGGATCACATCTTCTTGCATGCGCCAGAGGACCAGAGGGGCCAAGGGACTGATTTTCCGCATCCACCCGACAAGGGTAGTCCTTGCAGAGATTGTAAGACTGGGAAATCCACCAGGTGGCAGCGGTTTTCAACAATACCCGTACAGCCGTAGACAGGCCACACAGGAAAAAAAAAAAGAAGGAACCAGCAGTGGGTGGCGGTTCTGGTACTGTAGTGCACAACAAGACGCTCCATACACGATGCCTGCCTATCTAGGTACCTAGGTACCTAGGTTCTCCGTACCTATCAGGCTTTGGGGTTGTGCAACAGCACAAGGGAGCCAGCCGACCGTGGTGGTGAACAAGCAGGGCAGGTAGGAGGTGGGTAGGTACTGTGGTAGGGACAAGATATCAGTGCAGTGAAGAGGGGTGCAACCACCCCACAGCAAAAGTTTCCTCAGGCTCTTTCAACAATGCCATCTTTCCAGAAGTGGCAGGTGGGGCATTGACCCCCTGCATACATCTGAGATCCCTTCTTTCGGCTGATGCCAACACTGCTCCGAGGCTGGGGCTGGCCGCAGCATCACCATGCCTGGTATGTTGCAGACCTGGAGGCACCATGTGAACACAGCATTGTTTGTTAGCAGGCCCGTCAAGTCCTCATTGCAAACAGAACACCTTGTGCTCAGAATGTCAGGATCATGCACGGGCCGTAACAAGGCGCCACTGGCGTGCCTACATTACACTGGCCCGTTTCTCGTCCCCGGCATGACGGTTGAGCCGTAGGATAGTGTGCTGCTGGAGCATTCTCGAACAAACGCTTTGTCGGTTTAGCCTGATGCTCCGCTCAATTCTCGACCGCCGGCCTTGGGGCCGGGGCAGTTTGTACCATACCATCGGATACCACAAGCGCCAGGAGCAGTGTAGTGTAGTGACGTACTACAGCTGGCCAGGCACATAATCTGCAGAGGATGGTGGGCCAGAATCAAACTGGTGTTTGGTCACACGACGCCGGCGGGGGGCTTGTGTTCCGGATGGGTACACTAGGTCAATACTAATAAGAGCAAGAGGCCCTACGCCGCTACAATTGGGGATTGTAGAGCAAAACTGCGGTCACGCGGGCCGAGGACCCTTGTTAAAAGGTATGCCTAGCTTGGAATCTGCAATCTGGCTGGGCGCCGACATGAAAACGGTGCCCCAGGGGCTCTCTGGCAGTCTGGCTCTGCGGTACGGCCTCTGTCGGCAGCGAACAGGTGGGCTGGGGAAGGCAGCAGGGCCCACAGCGCCTGGCCCGTGCCAAACGACCCCTGCTGCCGAGCCAACCCGGCTGCCCGGGCGGGCCAGCCTACAGGTACCTGGAGCTGCCCGATGGCCGGGCCTGGCTCATGTGACAAGGCGTGCTACCACAGTATCTTTCAGGCCGCGTCTGGACGGCACGCGTCTGTACTCAGGAGGTGCAGCGCTAAAACACCGCATCGTCAGTCACGCGTCCCTCCTTTCTTCCAGCGATCCGAGATATCCTGGCCGCTTTCAAGATCCCAGCCCAGTGTACAAAGCCCCTCATCTGGTCAGCACAGGGAGTGGGAATGTCGGGCTGGCTGCAGGATGGCAAGTCCGCCATTCACGAAGCCGTAGAAGACGCGTTTCACAGGATTGAGGCGAGCGCAAAATCTAGTATGCAGCCAATATTTCTCCAGACCATTTTCAAACCGTTTGGTGAACTTACTGGCTTGGACATCCAGAATTATCCGAGTGCGATCGCAGAAATGATGTGCTGTTGCGAGAGTTACAGCAGCTTCAGGGCCACGCCGCCAATGTTGCTCAGCTCCAGCAAGAGAATGAATCACTGAGAAGACAGGTTCAAGAGCTCCTAAAGGCCCAGGAATCAGCACGAGAAGCGCCTGCTGAGAGACGCATACCACTTGGCGAACTATCCCCAAACAAATTCCCTGCTTCAACAACTGCCGATCCACCCTCGCGACTGGGGCCCGAAGTAGTAGACTACGAGAGGGAATGCAAAAAGCTTCACACAAAGTGCAACAACCTCGAAAAATCGCGGGACAGGTACAAGTCAGTGCTCCGGCAAAGGACCGAGCAGATCGACAAATGGGCAGAGGCTTCAGACAAGCAGAAAGCAATCATCGACAGGCTGCGGATGAGACTCGCCCAATACCAGTCCAGAGGACCCCGGGGGACATGTGCAGATACTGCCGACCTTGGCACACCAACTGACGATGAACGCTTCAATGCCCGCGTGGACAAGCCGAACAGGCAGATTCCACCGTTAGGCTTCGGAAATACACCCAGTGCAGCCCCAGGACCATCTATAGCCCTAGCCCCTGCAAAACATGCAGTCGTGGTCGCTCATTGTGACGCCGGGAGGCCAGAAGACTTGACAGAGGATGTGCTTGACGCCAGTGCTCCCGGGAGTGGCCCTGCCGTTGAGCAGCTCGAGCTTCCAAAGCTTCCTGACCAAGAACATAATTCAGGTATCGCTCTGAAGGTCGAATTGTCATCAGATGGACCCATCTTCGTGTCCGAAAGAGCAGTCCATAAAAGGAAACGTGACCGAGGAGGCGAGCCCAAGAGCAAACATGCGCAGAACATCAAGTCCGAACATGGCAGTTCAGAACCTGAATGTACCGGGGAAACGCATGTCTTCACTCCCACCGAAAGTCTCGATTTTGACCAAGACGTCCATGTTCCAACTCCCAAGAAACCCAGACTGTTTGCGAAAGCCCAGCTATACACTGGAGATGACGTACGTGGTGCAAGAGTAACTGGAAGCTCTTTGAACGACACCCATACGCCAGCCGCTCCAGGCAACTCTCTGCCTAAGCTGACAATAAGCCATGGGGATGGCCATGATCTGGACAATACGCCGACTTCCCGCGAGCCTGTTGCTCGTATCTCGGAACTGGTGACTCCTGGTGGACGACAGCAACAGAAGCATGCGGTATTCCAACTTGGACAAGGGATTAGAGGTCTTGCAGAGGATGGAGATGTCGACTGGACTACCGTACAGCGTCGAGTGGCTAAAGGCCGCCTAGATGCGTTGCTCAATTCGCCGTCCCTCCGAACCCCAATGACCAAGATTCAACCCGTGTCTCACATAATGAACAGTCTCCAGCACCCAGCTGAAGACGATGACGAGGCTGATCTCCGGGTGCCTGCCCCGCGCGAACTTCCCCACGGCAAGAAATTGCAATCGAAAGACACACCGGCCACCCCGATGCAGCGGAAGGCCGCAGCGGCACTCCCGACGAAAGCCCATCTGGGTCAAGAACGTGCGGCGAAGAGGCCCTCGATTCTCCGTGAGGGCATGACCCCGGGGCGACCGACAGACAGGGAGGGGGGGCCTCTGCGCCGCAAACCAATGGAAACGCTGAGGCCAGAGGACTTCAAGCCGAATCCCGGTTACAATGATGGGCTAACCTATGTATATGGCGAAGTTGTTCGGGGCAGACAAGCGCGCTCTGCTCTGTCTGGCTGTACCGACCTCAATTGCTGCGGCAAGACATTTCGGTCCTTCGCCAAGGCCGAACGTTCCACGATTGGCCCCTCGGTCACCACCCGTGCGGAAGACATCAAATTGCTCGAGGAATACCTCGGGGACGATGCCTACAAGCTGGGAACCCTGACGCGCGACGAGAAGGAGGAAACGTGGCTCCTGGCCAAGACCTGGGAGCTGGCGACTAAATTCGGGCGGCACCGGCAGAGATATTCCAGGATGCCGAGCCCACCAGGCTACTGGACCGTGGAGTTCCCAAGCACACAGGAGAGAGCAGAGGAGAGGAGGCAAGCGGAGGAGATCCAGAAGGCATTGGTGAAGGAGAGGTACCGGGAAGCAATGAGGCCTGGCGGGAGGTGGCTGTTCCGCGATGAGGAGGGGCGTTGACCAAGTGCCAGTCGAGATCTTGGCTGGCTGTTTTTGTAGTGGCTCGACCTGCCGGATATGTACTTCGTCACAAGAGTCATTCGCATGGCGGCGAGCAATGGCCAGCGTACTGAAGCAGTGAGCTCTACATGGAGCTTCCATGCAAGCAATGGCTTTGAGTGGCTCCGGAGAAAACGCAGCCCTATCTGAGCCATGTGCTTGTCCGGGGGTGACACAATACACATACACATACATTCTCTGTAATCCAAGGGTGCACCAGTCCAGCTCCAAGCATGCCACTGTCAGCCTGTCAGCCTGTCAGCCTGCTGCAGTCTGCAGTCTGCAGTCTGCAGATATTACAATGCACTCCCGCCCGTTTGTCCTGATCTTTTTTTTCTGGGGGGCGGGGGGCGTGGGAGGATGTTGAAAAGCTGATGCAAAGGAACTCAGGTGAATCCGGATTCAGATATCATCTTCAACGGCCAGTGATCTCCATATTGCTCGTCTTTGTGTCATCCACAGCAACGGTGGTGCCCCTCCCAATGAACAGCCAGTGCGGGCCGGTCTTGGATTGTCTCTAATAAAGACAGGCTTCTATCATAGTGGTGGTACCTGACATGACTTACTGCCAGGTACTCCGTCTCTATCTGCCTGGCTCAGGAAGAGCTAGGGTGAGCTAGCCAACAGTACTCCGTACTCGGTACACTACTGAGTACTGAAATACCCCTGGGCACCAACCAAGGAACGTTGCCAACGGGCAGGGATCGCCTGGTGACCCGAGCTCAAGCCGATTCCAATGGCTGCGACCTTGGGTACCCTGTCAGTGTACCTCCCTCCTAAATTTTGTGGCCGAGCGAGCAAGAGCCCGTAACAACATCATCTGGAGCGAGTGATTGCCCTCAGCCTCTGACCGCGCGCAGCCGGCCAAAGGCTCTCTCGCATCGCATCGCATCCGCCCACCCCTCCTGGCCCCGCCATCTGGCCATCCCCAAGGGCAGGCCAGCAACTGATATCCTGTAAGTGACAACTGGCCAACCCCACCCGTCAAGCTGCCTGTCGCAAACAGCCGGCCAGCCCGCGGGCACGAGGATCCTGCGAGCTAACCGAGACGTGTGCCCAGATTTCTCGTGCTGCCAGACGGCCCAGGTCGAACCACACTGCGCAACATCTACAGTGTCAAAACCCCAGGACCGGCCTGTTCCTCCGAGCAAAGCTGGACAACCCCGCTGTGGCATCTCACGACAAGCTCCGTGTCTGCTGCTGCCTCGGTCCCCCTGACGACGAGCCGGTGGCCAGTGATCGCGCCGGCGCAACAATACCTCCCAAGCCGGCAAGATGAGCAACGGTCATCTGCCGGCTGGGTCGCCAGCCATGCCCGGCGGGGGCCACGGCGCCCACGGGGCTCAGCCTGCATACAACATGGGAGGAAGCCCCGTCCCGAACGGCGGCCGAGCCCTGTACCCGTCGCAGTATCCCCAGTCCCGGGGCCGCGGCAGGACACAGCAATATTCCCACCCTACTCAGCCTCAGAGCTTCTACACGCAGCAACAGGTCCAGGCCCAGGTCCAGGCCCAGGCCCAGACCGCCCAGTTCTCTCCCCACATGTACGGCTCGTACCCTCAGCAAGGCTACAATGGCATGTATGCCTACCCGAACCAGCAGCCGTATGTGGGCTACCACTACAGCCAGAACGGAGTCATGCCTGGGCCGTACGGCCATCCGCAACACCAACAACACTACTATGGCCAGCAGCATATGCCCATGCAATCATGGTACCCCGGTGGCTCTATGCCTCATTACCAACTGCCTCAGTCTCCCTCGATCAACACTCCCTACCCGCCGCCACCTCCGATGGCCCCAGTCCAGTCTCCTGATGCCGTCCCCATCCCTCCCGTCGTCCCTCCTCCGCAGCCCACTCCGCCAGCCTTCAATCCCGCCCCGCAGGCCGCCCCCGTGCCCGCTGCTCCAATACCCACCGAGACACCCGTGAGCCAGTCGCCGTCGTCCGCACAGCCCGATAATGGAGAAGCAGCCTCCGATCCCTACTACTTCTACCCGCAACCGTCAGAGCATGCGCTCGCCTCGGCAGAGCCCGAACAAGGAGTGCCCAAGCCCGCTTATCAAGAAGCACCATCAAACACCGATGCCCAGGTCACATCCCAGCCAACGTCGCCGGTCTATAGCCCAATAGAGCCCCAGCCTGGGCGCACATGGCATCAAGTGAGTCTTCGGCATACGGGAAAGACGCTGTTGGAGATTGCGCCCCTCTCACGCCCCGCGGACTGGAATCCATGCACAGTCGTGCTAACTGCCTCCAGATCCCCTGGTCTACCCATCCCCTTAACGACTGGCCCAAGCGGAGCAAACCCAGAAGGAAGAAGAAGGCCTCGCAGGCTCTCACAACGGACAGCCCACAGGTTCCTCAGCCAGAAACCCTCGTGGGTTCGGGGGCAGTGGAAGCCGTGGAGGGCCGGGTTTCATCCGAAAAGCCAGCGGTTGTCGACGAGCGAGACGACTCGAGCTTGGCGGAGACGATGTCATCAGCACTCAACCTAGCCACGGATCCGTCAACGACCAGCACGCCAGATCCTACGGCTCAGCGATCCCCGCTCCAGAAGACGTCGTCTGTCTCGGCATCCACACAGCCTTCCAAGACCACGACTCGTAGTGCCGTCCCAGCACTGCCGGTCCTTCCCGCCCTGCCTAAGGATGGCGCCGTCGATAGAAGCAAACCGGCAGCCGGCCATGAAGAGACTGACAAACAAGGTGATAGGCCCAAGATCCAGAATGAGACCCCTGAGGAGCCAAAGCCGGAGGAGAAACCCGCTGTGCCGGCTGTTGCAAAGTCCTGGGCTGCCATAGCCAAGGGACGATCAGTCTCGAAGCCAGCTGCGGGCCAGCCCGAGCTAAACGGCACAGCGACTGCCGACAACGCTTCATCCGACATCATTGGCACGGCGGCATCGACCAAGTCTAGCTCTGCTTCACTGGCTGAGGCTCTCAAGTCATTCGAGGCAGGGAACAGCGGTCCGATTCATTTCATCGAACCAAGTGGCCTGAAAAACACTGGCACGGATTGCTACATGAACTCGGTAAGTCGGTCAATTCGGCCGGGCTCTGCTCCCGACCTTCCGACCGGCAACACATCGCAGGTGCATGCTGACATGTTGTTCACAGGTCCTACAACTCCTCCTCTTCTGCACACCATTCTACAACTTTCTCGATCAAGTTCGCAAAAATGTCGTCCATAGTTTTAAGTCGTCGTCGAAAACACCCTTGATCGATGCCATGTGAGCCCCAAGCACAACAATCAGCAAGCGCAAGGTAGCTGACCATCCTGTAGGATCGGATTCATCTCAGATTTTCGGTCAATCAATGCTGCTGATACCCCCGACCAATTGCAAAGAAAGCTGAAACCCGAGGACCACCATCTTCTGGGCAAGGCTTTCGCGCCGAACGGCGTCTATAAGGTTGTCAGGGAGCTAGACCGCTTCAACACCGTGAAGGCAAGTAGAAGTAGCATCATGTCTCACAGAGCCCACCTCTCTTCTTACGCATTTTGGGGCTAACATGCATTCAAGCCGGGCTCTCAACATGACGCTCCCGAGTTCCTCATGCTACTGCTCAACGGGATCGAAGAGGAGTGCGAAAGAATGATCAGAGACTCTGCGACTTTCGCGTCGAGCTCTGATCAGGCCCCATTCGATCACCATGATGCCAACGGCGGCGCCGATCCATCGGACGACTGGACTGAGGTGGGACAACGCCAGCGCCTCGCCGTGAGCCAGAGATCAGGCCCCGCCACGATCCCGAATCCCATCAGCAAGATCTTCTCCGGTCAACACCGAGAGGTGCTCCGACTCTCGCGCAAGGAGTCCGTCACATACAATGCGTATCAGAATCTCTCGCTTGCCATTGATGACCCATCCATCAAGACGGTCATTGATGCGCTGAGATACTTCCATCGATCCGAGCCTATCACGTCGAAGAACTCCCAAGGCATTGAAGTCAACGGAACGAAGCAGACTCTGATAGAAACTCTGCCGCCCATCCTAATCATGCATCTCAAACGCTTCTATGTAAACGGAGGTGAAGCCGAAAAGACTTGGAAAGTGGTACGCTACCCATTGGAATTTGAGGTGCCGCAGGAAATACTTTCGAGACAGACCCGCAACCGACTGCTGGCTGGGGGTCGCGACCTTCCCAGGTACAAGCTCACTGGCGTAGTCTATCATCATGGTGCGAGTGTCACCAGTGGCCACTACACCGTTGATGCTCTTCGCCAGGATGGCCAGGAATGGCTACGATTCGACGACACGATGATTACTCGCATCAGTGGTGATGCTGTTGCAGAGGCAGGGGTCGAGGAAGCCAACCAAAAGGCTGCCGGTGCCACCAAGCACGAGAGGCCCAACGATTCAAGCAGCAATCGCTTCGCCGCCATGGGTGATGAAGATATTGCAGACAACGACGGCGACTGGAAGCAAGTCGGCCCTGGCGCAAATGGCGCAAAGAAGCACAGCGGTGGCGTCAACGGGAGCTCATCTGGCACTAGCACACCCAAGAGCAAGCTTATCCGGGACCACAAGGACCACAACAAGGTTGCGTATCTGCTGTTCTATCAATTATGGAACTAAGAGTCTGATGTCACGGATGCCACGCCCAGGGTGATCACAACGACTGTGCTGAGACTCTTGTTTCGAGCAGTGTTTTGTGCACCTCATGCAACTCTGCGAATCGGTGTCAGAGTCAAGGACGGCGGGATTTGCTTTCGAGGTCATCAAGGGTCAGTCATCCCGGCCAGTCGCCATCGATGCCAACCGTCTCAGATACCAACGCCAGAAAAGCAAGTGATTTTGAACCAGCTGGGTTCAAGGTACCTGTGGTCCCCATTGGCAGCATGGAGAGTGTTCCAAGGACGATGCCCGTGGCCAAAAGTGCGGTGGTGTCATAGGCAACATCGTGCTTGGGCGATAGGCGGGCTGTTCTGGTTGTCTCGCAAAGTGGCTGACCAAGGCACATACCGCCGCATGCCCAGGCCGGCTCTATAAAGTGACGAGGTGCCTCGCATTGACAGCAGCCACCCATTCATTGTTGCTGCGGAGGATGGCGGGCAGGCCCGAGCCGACGTCCGTGCAAAACATGGTGAGGGATCCAAGGATCGAACCCATCATGGCCTGTTAGCATTACGGGGAGGGGGCTGGGCTGTGGGAGTTGTTTCCAGCGCAAGGGGGGCGGGCGGGGCAAAGAGAGGCAATGTTAGAATAGGGGCAAGCCGGGAGGGAAATGCACAGCTGGCTGAGAGCCACGAATCAACATACTGGCTCGGTCTGGTAGCGGCAAGCCTGTGAGGTCTCCTGATTGATTCGTGTGATCTACCAGGCAGATCAAAACCCGGCAGCGAGTTGTGCAGGACTTGCGGACCCAGACAAGCTAAAAGTCATGTAGACATCGGGATAGCGAAGGTCGGCCAGTTGTGCCAAGTGCCTAGGAGGGGCCGAGAACCTGGCTTGACTGGTAAAGACCAGTATTGCTTGGAAGTGGAACATTTTACTGTGATGGAGGATGCATAGCGAGTTCAGCGGCAAGAACAGAGACGAGGCTGTATTCCTGTGAAAAAGAGAAAAATCGAGAGAAGGTACAAACTTATAGACAGCCTCTCGCCATACGGGTGATGATGTGGAGGTGTGGATATTTTCGACTCGGATTTCGACTACGAAATTGAGGAAACGCAAGATGGTGTGCTGCAAGTGGTAGCAGACAGTTCGCAGTCTAATCTCAAGCCTCGTGCCACTGTCGCTCGTCATCCTCCAGCTTCTTCAGAGAATTGTTATGTGCGGGTCAGTGCCATGGCTGCGTGTGAATAGTCATCCCTAAGGATGGTAAGGGGGTTCAGCTGGGCACTGTAGTGACAATCCATATATGCTTGAACATATGCCGTTCCCACTCCGGCGTTAAACCACCCCCCCCCCCCTTCACCTTCTCGCCAGCCGGCCAAAAAAAAAGAGAGGGGGGGGATGAAAGGCCTCTCTATTCCTCCACCGCCATGCCCTTCCCTTCCTCCCAAGCCCTCCATCTTGAATCGGAGAAGACGTCCTTCCACCTCCTCTGGAACACGCCCCTCTCGTCAGCGGTCCTTTTGAACCTCTCTACCGACTCGACGTCCGCCCGTCCAAGGCTGCCGTACAGGTGCGGGTACCCCTCGCTGCTGCTGCCGCCGCCGGCCGGAGGCTCCCACCTCACAGCGCCTCCGATGCTGGCCAGCCGGACCTTGAGTACCCAAAGGGTGGTGTTGCTGCTGAAGAAGAGGTCTGCCGTGACGGGGAGCTGTTGTTCACGGTCAGCGGATGAAGTACTCGAAAGTCGTATAGGATAGGCCTTGAGGCGGGCCGGGCCGGGCAGTCCAGGAACGCTGGTGGCCAAGGCGGACGACGGACAAAAATGCATTGCTGTGTTGCTGCATGGCTGCAGTGGCGCTGACGCTGGTGCTGGCGCTGGTGCTGGTTTTTATATGCTGGCTGGCCTGACTCACCTGCCACGGCGCGCTCAGGTGGATGAAGCCGTCTTTCTTGTCAAGCTCTGACGGCGGGAACACATCCGGTATGGGAAACGGCGGCTCCGTGTCTACTATCTTGTAAACGTATCTGGGTGGTTCTGCCGGCGCCGTCATGGTGGGTGAAAAATTGTCTGTCGTGAGCAAGCGGGTCCCAAAAGAATTCGCTGATGGCTTGCTTGGGTGCTGCCGAGTGAGTGGTGAGAGCCGAAAGAGAGAGGGAGAGAGAGTCAGGGAACAGGGCTTGCCTCTTCTGATTGATGTTCTGTTCGCGAGGCGGGTATTGGTGGCCCCCAACTATAACTCCGGGCTTAAGTTCAGGAATCGTCGATTCGGGACTGTCCGCACAACCCCGAGCTCCCCGCCCATGAACGGGGGGAGATCCATTCCACCCTCGGATCTGGAAGGTACATGCCAATTGCCGCTTCACGTGGAAGAGCGACAGAACAAGCATCACAGAGCGCCATTGGATCTTGACTCCCCTTCTTGGGCCCACATGGCGGGATGGAGGCATCTTTTGACTCTTGGCACTCTTTCCTTGGTCTTCATGAAATACATTAACAACAGTCATCGCGTGCTAGTGGAATGTCTGCCCTTTTGATCCTCCGATGCTCCCTTTTTTTCTTATTAAAAAAAGAAGGGGGAGGGGGCATCCCTGGTAAACAACCGTCCCTTGATCACAACATCCCGCCGTCCGCTTCCACGAGCCACAATTTGGCCAGGTCTCTTGTCAGACCTAGCCTCAGTATGCGCAGCACCTGCTCTGCCGATGTTGAGTAGTCCAGCCCGGATCTCCAATCCCAGCCCCTCTTTGCGTTGCCTTTCGGTGCTACTGCGCTACTCTTGCCCGGCGACCCGCCGGCCACAGACCGATGCAGCTGTGAGGCCAGCATCGAGCTTCCCGTCAGCACCATGCTTCCTTTCTCCGTTGACTTCTTCATCAGGTCTGCTGGCGTAGACCCCTTCAAGAGCTTGGGAGAAGATGCAAGCACCAGCTGGAAGAAATCCTTGCACGTCTCGTAAACCCTGCTGCCCACGGTCTGGAGGTCCTCAACCGCCTTGAGCAAAACGTCGAGCTGCTCAAGTGTGATTAGCGGCGGAGAGCCAGGGCCGCGCTGGTTGTGGTCGACAAATACGAGCGCCTCGCCCAGCAGGGCCAACAAGAAGTCCTCGCCGACGATTGCGTCACGCGATGCGTCGTACAGACCGCCACGAATGTTGTCGTCCGAAGAGGCAATCACAATTGTCAATGCTGCCGCGGCAGACTTTTGCCGTCTTGCCAACGGCAGTGACTCGTCGTCGCGGATCTCGTAGAATTTGCGCAGCGTGGCGTAACCGGCAAGCATCTTGCCAAGAAGCTCTGCTGCTTCTAAATCCTGTTTGGCCAGTCGCTCAAGAGTGCTATTGCGCTGCTTCAGGAGCTGCCGCAGGTGGTCGTCAAGCTCTGCTGTAGGTGGGTACGCGGCGGACTGGATGAGAGAGTAGGCGATAAGAAAGTGCATGACATCTCGCACTTTGGCTGGTCGATGAGACAGGGCATAGTACCACATTGCCTCACCATAGCGGAAGCAGGTCTCCTTCAAAAGATCACCAAAGCGCTGCGATCCCGTTAGCGGCCAGACAATTACCAAATCTCGTACGTTTTGGGAAGGGAAAGGTTACCTCTGCGACCTGCTCCGCAAACTGGATCATGCCAAGTTCGTTGAGTAGCCTCCATACCTTATCCACCATCTCCGTGGACTCCACGTCCATCTCCTCCAGGATGTTTGCAACTAGCTCGCCAACTGTCTCCTCTGACCGTTGTGGCGAGTCCATCCTACCGAGGACGTGGATCGCCACTTCCCATCCATCCCGCGAAACGCCAAAGTTGTCACGGACAGAGGCCAACTCCTTGTAATTTGAAAGCTCTTGGGCATACTGTATCAGTGTGTTGTCCTTAATCCCATCCGTCTCGTCGGGGTCGCCAGGATCGACCCCCAGGACTGCCAGATCCTCCGGATCCAGGTCATCGAACGCGTAAAGAGCTGAGGGCTGGTGCTGTGGTAGCCAGCGGCCTAGGGATGCTATCTCTGTGACGGCGGCAGCCACTGGGAGCGACCACGTTCTTAGCAAGGCAACGACTGCCTTGGCGTTGTCCTCAAAGACACAAGCCATGCCAACTTCAACGGGATTGAGAGAGTTGAAGGAGAAGTCAGATGCCACAGCTGTTTGGAACGAGTGAGCAAGTCGCTCCATGTATCCTTCAGAGCTCATCGCTTGCGGCCCAATCCGGAGGGCCTGAGACCTGGATAGGCGATTACTCTTCTGGCTTCGATTCTCGTCCCACCAGCCAAACAACCCGATAGTAGCTTCACACCAGTCTTGTGCAGTTTCGAGGATCACATCTTGGGCGCCGAGGGCGATCTCGAAAATGACGTTCAGGTTTTCGTAGATCTCCCAAGGAACCTGGCTCTCCGCTTTCCTGGCCGCCGCTGTCAGAGACTGGTAGTCGTCTGACATTTCGTCATCAATGACCATTCTGTTCTTGCCTTCTGCAAACCGTCGCAGATGATCCAGTGCGCCTCTCGCTTTGACACGGAAGATTTTCCACTCATCGTGTGAGATGTGCCAGTTCCCTTTCTTCCCAGGACATAGGTCCAACATGTTGATAGTGTCCTGAGTCGCAAACCGCACATTGTCAAGTGCGCGGCCAGAGTACTCCAGCTCGCCACGGCGGTTAGCCTTGACGGATTCCCAGCCTGCGTTTTCCAATAGTGCCTGCGCCTCGGCGACCTGGCCTCGAAGCAGAGCCATGCACACGGTCGGCCAGAACATGCTATGACTGGCCGGACAAGGCTTGCATTGCAGGACTTCTTGAACCTGGGCTGGGTAGGGGTTGTGATGGTCAGCAAGCCACCTGAAAAGTGACTCCGGGAGGGGTTCTGTCGTCCGGCTATCTTCGCCTGTCCTGGTATGATGTATTTGTAGGGCGAGGGTCGCAACGTATGTGGCCTTCTCAAACGGCAGGGACTGAGGCGCTGGTCCAATTTCAGCAGCATGCTCCTCGGACTGCAGAGGAAGGGTGTCGACGTATTGCTTCCACAAGCCGATGAGCTTTCCGGAGACCGTCGCCAAGGTCTCGTCCAGCCTTTCGTCATCCTCTTCTGCTCCCACGCCATCCTTGTACAGTCGAGTGATCAAGCTCTCGGTGTCAAGTATCACCTCTGGCGGCTCCGTTATGGTTGCGTAGTTGGCTTTGCTGTAGAGGTCCTTGGCAATGGAAGCGATCGTAAACGAGTGTCGGCGGACGCCTGATCGCTGTGCTGTGGCCCGGAATATGCCCTCTGCCTCCCTAAAGACTTTCTCGTCCGCCGCTGGCGTCTGTAGCATCATCAGATCAGACTCATCCATTGCCTCACCGTTCTCGTCCTGTTCCTCGTGTTCCATATCAAGCCACATATCTCCCTCGCCTGCGTCTTCTTCTCCCTCGCCATCAGAGTATTCGTCAAAACGCTCAATGAAAGCCTTTGCTGAACGGGTTCGGGATGTCACTGGGGCATCATCCTGCTCTTCTTCAGGCCCATCAGATTCATCATAATTGTCGCCCTCTGAGTCACTTCCATAGTCCACCTGGAACGAGCCTCCCCTCGTCTGGGTTGCCGCATTCTCCTCGTCCTCGTCCTCGTCGTCATCGTCATCGTCATCGTCATCATCCTCGTCATGGTCCAGCACTTCTTCTCTGAGTCGCGAAGGTTTGCGAGTCGTACTGGAGCGAAGAGATCGGCCGAGTGGAGCGTTGGACTTTTTCTTCTGCTTCGTGGCGAACAGATTCTTTGGGGGTGCGGGCGCAAAGGGGTTCGTCTTAGGGGCCGATCCTGCGCCAGCGAATGGGTTCCTGACGGGCGGGGTTTTGTCGTCCATGCCGCTCAGAGAAAAAGGATTCTTGGAGTTGCTAGCACCAACAGCCTTCATCAAAGAGCTGCCCATGAAGGAGGCAGAAGGGGTGCCGGCGGGTGTGCTGCTCGCATGGGGCGGTGGAGCGGCTGGGGTCGTGGAAGGCACATTGCCAAAGTCGAAGAGGCTTTTCCCCTTGACATGCCGACTGTGATCTGGGGTGGAGAGGAAGCTGCTCTCGTCGTCGTCGTCAGGCACCTTGAAAGACATGGCGAGCTGAGTTGGGCAATTCGTCAAATTGGGCACTCGTTGCGAACCGAGGGGGTTTGCCGATACCTGACGGTTGGATTGCACAGGCAGCTAATTGCACACGTGACGCTGGGCCATGAGCCAGCGATCAGTCCAAAAGGCGCTTGCTCTGCAGCTGGCTGACTTGCAGGCAGGCAGGCAGTGAGTGATTTTTGTTGATGTTGAATGTGCCGCGAGAGGTGGGATGGGCAACACGGCCCAGGACTTGCTAGCTGGGGGACGCGACTTTTCCAAAGCTGCCATTCGCGACAGCAGCTCGAAAGCACGGGCCACCCCGGCCTACGGACGGAGTAGATACCCTGTAGTGCCCAACGCGTTTGCATTGTACTAACGGAATGATTCACTCTGAACACCACCTTTGTCTGCTGCATTTACAGCAAGCAATCACAGAATTGCACACGACATTGTTCACTACCAAAAGTACCAAGCTCGCAGCTGGCACTTGTCTATCATCAATGCAGTCCCTCGGCCCTGGGCAATTAATGGTCTGCTTCGCGAGACTCAGGCCCCAAGGCAATGAAATAAAAGAGCCTTTTGGTCGAATGCCTTTTTTCCAGGCGGCAGCAGCCTTCAGAACTGTCACGTCAGTCATCGTATCTACGCCAAACTACCATAATACCAACTGGCAGCTTGATACCAGGTTTATCAGAAGCCAGGGCGAATCCGCAAGGGAGTGAGTGACAAGGGTGACCGGTGCCTGCATCTCGTGGGCATTTCTCATCTGACGACCTCGGCAAGTAATGGGGAACGTGAACAAGGGTGCCCACAGTCAAACGGACAGGTATTGTGCACTATCCTCGGGTTCAGAGCGTCATCCTGCCGTGGCCCCTTCTCAATGCTGCCTTCCCCAAGATCCCGCCGCGGCGAGGAACGAACCGCGTTGGGTATCGGGTCAAAGAGGCTGGATCCCACGTCAGGTCATCAGCAACATGATTCTCCCCGGATTAAAAGTGGACGCCCACTTGATTTGCCCAGATCAAGGCCACCTGCATCCAAAATGCGGGTCACAGTGGTTCGTGCTCGGGTGTCCACTCCACCATGGTTGAATTGTTCATGCACCGCACGCCTGCCACGGCCGTGTTGTCTTTGATAGCGACAGTTTTGCTGTCTAGGAGCTTGGTCCTCGGCGACGTAGCCTTGATCCATGCCTGTCTTTAGGACCAGCCAAAGTCAACACTACTGTCTCATCCGTCGGCATCCTTAGGATCAGAAATACGGACGTTTTCTCGCGGGTATTTAGTGAGGTCGGGTTTCGGAAATAATACCTTGTCGTCTCCAAGGCTGGAAACAAGCTTTCCAAACTCGGTCGTCATAAACCTGTAAGTCTTCACATGACCCTCCTCCAGTTTCAAGCCTCCTTTGGCGGCAAGACCTGTGATCTCACCAGCACTAACCTCCACTAGAGACGTATTATGTCAAATACTGAGCTCTCACCGCCCGGGAAACTGCCTTCGATGCCTTGGGATTTCAAATTGTTATACCTGGTGGTTGATGAGAAGGAGAAGGGATACCAGATGCCTTGACGTAGACTCCTTTACGACTGGAATGAAGTCGCGCGACCAGTCCCCAACTCTCTAGAGCACAACGACCTCGGGACCTCGTCGCCCCGAAGATCGGCACCGCTGCTATATTCCTATCCAATAAGTACCCGTGCTAACATTGAAGGTAGCAACAGGCGCGGGGTGTGAAATCAAACTAGTAGTATGCCCAGGTGAGGATCTAGGTATGTTGATGAGAATCGTTTGAATTTACTAGAGCCAGTAATATGCTCTAGAGTGTCTCAGAAGCGTCTTAATTTGGACCGAGAATCGATTGTGATTGCAATTCGAACATGACGGTATTGGGCCCCCGGCTTTGCTTTCTATCATCGTCTCTCCCACCCATTATTACCTCTCTTCACTTCCGAGTTATGCATGGAAGTAAGTTATCCTTTCAACGCTGCAGCATTTGCCATCAGCCGGTGAGGTCGTTTCTTCAACATGCAAGGCCCACATTATTTCGCTCACAATTATGTGGCTCGCGTAGAAGTACAGCGCGTTGACCTGTCATCGTAATTATTGGCCAGGAAATGAGAACTCGGGCACTGTCAAGGGAAGTTCTCAAGAATCTAGCATCGGTAGCAATATTCCGTTGGCAGCCACTTGTGAAAGCACATCTGTATTGCACAAATCGTGGCTGGTGGGCCTTTGCGCTGTCCCGGGGCTCCTGATGTATTATTAGAAGCATGCTCTCGATTCGGAGTAGCTTGGCTCTCCCTGGGGCCGAGTCAGGGTATTATTAATCCATGTGATTCATTGGTGAGCTATCTGGTCCCCTGTAGCAATGTTCCTTAATTTCTAATTCCAATTCAAGTATTCCCGAGAGTACGGGGCCTTCACTCCACTTGTACTTGGTAATATCCAGCCATTGACCCGGGCCCGAGATTCGGAGGTGGCTGTGTGACGGGACCGCGCATCACATGGTATCTTAGTTATGATGCTCTACCAGTCAGAGAGGAGCATAAACACAGATGATCCCTCTGCATGTGATTTTTTTTCCGTTCAAACATCATGTCCAGTTCAACTTGCTTTTCGACCAACTCACAACCATCCTTTCAGTTTCCTTTCCTTCTTTGACCGACTCGCCCACGATGCGCGCTGATCTCCTCTCCCTCGCGTTTTCTGTCACTACAGCACTGTCCCAAAGCACCGCTCCTCTATGGCAGGCTCCTGGACCTAATGATAGTATGTTGAAACTTGTTGATTTTGGGTTATTCTCAACAACTGATCAGGAACGCAGGCCGGAGTCCCTGTCCCCTTCTTAATAGTCTTGCGAACCACGGCTACCTTCCCCGCAACGGCAAGAACATCTCCGCAGATGTCCTCATCGAGGGAATGGATGCAGGCCTCAACCTACGAGAAGACGCGAAGCTGTTTTTTAGGCTGCAAGGCAACAAGGCCCTCGAAGCCTCCTCAACGGGTAACAAGGAGACATTCCACCTGAGCGATCTTAACAAGCACGATCTTATCGAACACGATGCTTCTCTTAGCCGAGCGGATATCTTCTTCGGGGATAATTGGTCCTTCAATCAGACTATCTTTGACGAGACAAAGTCATACTGGCCATCGGGGACGATCTCTCTTAGTGATGCCGCCAGGGCCCTCGTAGCTAGACAGAGAAGTGCCGAGAGCATCAACCCTGAGTACAACCTACCACTCGATGGACACACGAACTCTCTGGGACAGACAGCCATGTACCTTGGCCTTTTTGGAGACTACGATGATGGTCATGCTAACAGAAGCTGGGTTGAGTTTTTTTTTGGTATGTTCAGATGACCCGAGATCGAGGGAGATTGGACTGACCGAGGTTGACTTCCCGTTTTGCAGAAAACGAGAGGCTGCCGTTTGAGCTTGGTTGGCAGAGGCGGTCAGATGACGATAAGATCCCGGCAACAGGAATCCTGGCCCTAACTACCAAGGTTGCTGTCCATTATTTAGCTGCGAAGGTTGGACTGTAGAGGCATTGGTCTTTCTGCAGGCGTAGTGGAAGATTAGTTACATATGTAAGGTTCCAACGCGAAATCGGCGTCTTCCATGTTCACCCTCGTCCTTAGGTTGGTTGAATGCGAGATAGTCCACCTTCTATGCATAGCATATTTTTTGGGGATCAAGGGTCTTTAGCTACTTCAGTCCGCTAGAAGCAGTGAATGAAACTAGGCTATCATGCGTTGCTTCAGGATATGAAGTCAAGAGACAAATCTGCATAGTGTGTATCTAGTAGCCGTTGAAGCCTTTTATGACATCAGCCGCCTTTTCCCCAACAGCATACATTGTTTCTTGAGTATGAGCAGAAGGAATCAGAGGCAGGATGCTGGCGTCTACGATCCTCAATCCCTGAACACCATACACCCGTAGCTGCGGGTCCACAACTCCTCCCAGCTCCAAAGGCAGCATCGCTGCTGTGCAGCAAGGGTGCGCGTTTGCTGGGCGGTAGAGTGTGGTCCTGATTGCGTCCTCTATTTGCGCGTCTGTTGTGACATTGGCTCCAGGCACGATCTCTACTGGCTGGAGGGAGGCCATTGAAGGCGTCGACAGGAGCTTCCGAACCACCTTGAGCCCTTCAATGGCAATCTTCATATCGAATGGGTGCGTTAAGGCCTGATAATTTACCTGTGGCGCGCCGAGAATGGGATCCGGATTAGTGGAATTAATGAGCACTGTTCCGCGAGATAATGGTTTGACAACGGCGAAAGCGCTTGAAGCCGCACCGCCGAAAACGCTCTCCATCACGCTACCATGCTGCTCAGATATGACACGAGCCATGATCTGGTGCTGCAGCTTGTAACCAGCCTCCAGGACAGGGTGTTGCTTGTACCAATCGTCAAGATATCGACTGGTCTCGTTGTCATGAAGAATGTCGTCGATCAGCGCTTGATAGTCACTGGTAAGGTTGTCCAGAGATAAGACAACCCTGTTGTTTCCAAAAGCCCAGGTTAAGGGTCCAGTCCTGTTGGCCATGTACTCGTCCCAGGAAGCGTTGAAAAAGGAGGCGTCGTCATAGAGATTCGGGTTGAGGCTTGGCTCATTCAAGACTAATTATCGTTAGCTAGAGTCCCCAGTGACAAAGTGATCGGGTAACATGGAGCAGAAATCGGTGAACGGACATTTGAATGAATAGCCATCATTTGTGGGATGATCCTGGAAATTCGCACCGACCCCAGGCAAATCCGCAACAATCTCAATACATAGAGGTTCCAACAGAGCCCGGGGGCCGATACCACTGAGTTGCAAGATTTGCGTCGTATGCACGGTTCCTGCAGCTAAGATCACTTCCTTGGCGGACTTTAAGAATATGTGTTCGGTCGAATTGCTGTCCACCCGAGCCACATTAACGCCCGTGACGACAGGTAACGCGCCGGGGTTAGTGACAAGTGTTGCCACATAGCTTCCTACAAGGATGTCCAGATTGGCTCGGCCACTGGCTGGATCGTAGTCTATGACGCCAAATTTAGCCAAAACCATCGTGATTGAGAGCTCTGAGAGCTGCAAGTAGAAGTTGGGGTCAGAGTTCTGAGTAGAGAGAAGGTGCTGCATCAATCCCAACGCTACATAAGTACTTGAGTACTTGAGTACGTAGTACCCCCAGAAGTATTTTTATGTGTACCTAGGTTGGTGAATAAGAGAATTTCCTGGGGCAACTTACATGTTTTCCGTGCGGAGGACCTAGTAATATTCACAGGATCAATATCAATCGGCTTCCATGCCATACCGATATTTTCCCCATTGGTATCCCCGTCCGTTCGGTACTCAACTCCAATGTCCTTTGTCCACGCGTCGATGTAATTATCTGATTAGGCATCATCGAGGTCAGAATAGCAACTGCTGGAGCCAAATGACGTAATACCGAGAAAACTCACCTAGAGCAGGGAACTGCCACTTAGGGAAACCTGCCTGCATAGGACCTTGGCCATAACCTTCCGTACTGACAACATAACCATACTTTTCGACAAGCTCAGGACTAAGGATGACGTTAGAACTGCCTAAAGTTCTGAATTTCAAAACAGTCGAGAACATGAAAGACGGGGGTGTGTGATACGGAAATAGTGATGCTCACCTGGGGTATGTGAGAGTCGATGATTTCTTGAAGTATTTGAACATAGTATCCCAGCCCCATCCAGGGTTCCCGAGAGCTTCCCAAGCATCATAGTCTGCACGAGCACCTCGTGATAGTGCCACTAGTTGCTCAGAAATGAATTTAGTATGATTTGTTTGGAAGCAATGCCCATGGCCACGGATTGGAGGCAGGAATTGATTTCTTACTTCCGTTCACAGTCGAACCACCACCTACTGTCTTCCCCAGCCACACACTAAATGATCTGTTCCCCAAGCCTTTTTGGGGTACCGAGGGTATATCGAAAAGATCCTCGGTGTGAAGGAACCTGGCATTGAATGGTATTGCAACATCCCACCTATCATCGAAATCCCCGTATTCGACGACAAGCACCGACGCTAGATGGGATACAATTGTCAGTTTCATTGACTTTGAGGCTCTCGTTCAATTCTGCGCACTTTCTGGGTCTTCAGTCAAGCGATTGGCGACTACGAGCCCAGTAAGGCCACCTCCGGCCACTATATAGTCATATGTGCGATGTACGGTAGATGGATCTCGAAGGATGACTGCGCTTGAGAATCTCATCAGGTTGAGGATGAGATATCTCGAAGAGAGCATTTCGAAAGGATACATATAATCTTGAGCGAACTGTGAATCAATTTTCGGCAACAAGGTTTTGATCTTCCAAGCAGTCTCAAAAACACGGCATTGATCACTGGCATGTGTCTGTAAGAGAAACTTGTTGCTTTATAGCTACCACCGTCTCCACGGCATCTAATATATGACGCGTACTTCAAGAGTCCGCCGATCTCATTAAATGTTGAGTGGTGCCCCTCTTTCAAGGTTTCTCAGTAGTGCTTACTCTACAGTATGTGCTATGCAGGAGTCTGGTGATCTTTAGCTATGGTATTGGCTGTAGATTCCAATGGCCCCGTACCTGCAGTCAAGCTAGCCTAAATATCATTTCAAGGCCGCCTCAATATCGCTCTAAACAGCCGGACCCATTTTAAAGATCTCGGCATTCAAAATAGTAAGTCAGCACACTTACAACACACAACCCTAGCCACACACATATATTTCCCACTAAAAACATTAATTTTTACCTTTATATATTAAATTATATTAAATTATTATAATAATAAAAATAAAAGTAATAATTAGAAATATTTTTAAATTATGTTAATTATTAATTATTTAATTAAAAACTTTAAATTAATTAAATTAATTATAATAATAAATTTAAATTAAAAAATATTAATTAATATTATATTTATATTTATATAATTTTATTATTAAATAAAATTAAATAATTAAAATTTTATAAAAATAAAAATATAATATATTTTTAAATTAATTTAATTAAATTTATTATATATTTTTATAATAATTTTATAACTATTTATAATATTATTTATTATTAAATAAAAGTATTTATATTAATATATAATTTTACTTTTATTTTATATATATTTAAAAATATATATAATACTTTTATATAATATTATATTAATTTAATTTAATATTATTAATTTAATATAATTTAACTTTAAAAATTAAATTATTATAATTTATAATTTATAACTTACTTTTAATATTATTAAAATTATATATAAAATTACTATATAATTAAAATTATTCTTTTAAATATAAAATTAAAAACTTATAATTATAATTTTTAATTAATTTTATTTAATTAATTTATATTATATTATTTTAATTTTATTTTATTTAATTTAAATCTTTTAAATCTTTTAAATTTTTATTTTAAAATAATATAAATTTTATATTTTTATATTTAAATTTATAATTTAATAAAATTAATAAATAAATATTTATTTATTTAAATAAAATTAAACTTTTAAAATAATAATAATTTATATTTATTTATTTTAATAAAATATATTATATTTTATTATTTTAAATTTCTTATTATTTAATTTTAATTTTATAATATAAATAAAATATTTAAACTTATAATATAATAAATTTAATTATAATTAAAATTATATTTTTAAATATTAATAAATATATTAAAATAAATAAATAATTAAATAAATAAAAATATTTATATTTTTAATTTAATAAAATAGAATTTATTTTAATAAAATCTATATATTATAATTAAACTTTACTCTTTTAAATATAAAATTAAAAATCTATAATTATAATTTTATAATTAATTTTATTTAATTATATTATATTATTATAATTTTATTTAATTTCTAACTTTATTTAAACTTTCTTTTAAACTTCTTTAATATTTTTCCTTTTAAAAATTAAATTAAAAAAGCTTTTAAATTTAAATTTAAAACTTTTATAAATCTTAATTTACTTTAAATTAAACTTATAATTTTTAACTTTTAAAAATATATTAACTATTTTAAATAATAATAACTTTTCTTTAAAATAAAAATTTACTTTTATATAATTATAAATTTAATTATTAATAATTATTTTTTATAAAACTATTAAAGTTATAAATTTAAATAATAAAGTATAATTACTTTATTTAAAAGTTATTTTTAATTTAATAAATTAAAATATAATAAATTAAATAATTACTTTTAAATAATTTTATTTATAATATAATAAAATAAATAATCTTTTAAATTTATTAAATAAATATTTATTTATAAAATAAAGTTAAAACTTATATATATTTATAATTAAAGAAATAATAGTTTTATTTTATTTATTTTAATTAACTTATATTTATTCAAATTATATAATAACTTTATATATAATACTTAATAATATTAAAACTAATTTATAGTTTATAATAACTTTAACTTTTAATAGATTAATTTATATTAAAGTTAATAAATATATTTATTATATTAACTTAAATTAATTAAATATAATTTAATATATTAATATAAAAATATCTTTTAATAATAAATAATATTATAAATATAATAAATTATAAAGTTATTATAAAAGTTTTATATAATAAATTTAATTAAATTAATCTTTAAAAGATATATTATATTTTATTTTTAAAACTTTAACTATTTACTTTTAATTTAATAATAAAATTAAAAATATGAATAATTTATAATTAAACTTTATTTATTTAATTATAAAAGTATTAAATATATTTTATAAAAATAAGTTTAATAACCTTTAAAGGACTTAAATTAAAGAAATATATATTTTATAATAAATTTAATAGCTAAGTTTATATAGTTAGTTAAAGTTATAATAAACTACTAATAATAAATTACACCTTAAACCTTTCTAGTAGCTAATCTAGTAATGTGGATGATGCTACTAGACTATGCATGCCTATGTCTAGTTTGTTGGCTTAGATAGACCTGGGTCCTCATCCTGAGTCACGCTGTTAGATTCCATACAGTATCAAATATATTGGTAGAGTGGATGCTGCTAAGTAGTGGTAGAGCAGTTAGGGCTGGGGGTTAAGAGTGGTAGGTGGGCCCTATAGGGGTCCCTGTAGGTCTCCTTATTGATAAGGCTGCCACACTATTGCCTCTCACTCTAAAGCCCGAGGGGTAACCTTCCTTTCTTCCTTTCTTCCTTAGGTAACCCTACTCTTTAAATCCACTCTATTTAGTGTAAAATTCGAGCCCTTGTGCCGTAAAGCCTAAGTGACGTCTTAAGAGCCCAGCTTGCCTTTGGAGTGCCTGGCTGGCCAGACTCTGCCTGCGGGCGCATGGCGCGTTGTTTCTCTATTACAAGGAAAAGAGAAAGGAGGTCTCAAAATTCATGAACTTGGTCTTCAACCGTAGCTAAACTGAAAACCTGTACTGCCTCGCCTTACTGTTGTTTGCCCGGTGGATGCTGTCATAGCGCGGCCTGTGACCCTGAACTGACGGGGCGTATGGGCAATGCCGATGGTAGTTTAAGTTTCCTTGCTCGGGAGCCTGTTAAATCGATTATATGTCTGCGGCTTCTTGCATATCTGACCAACGCCCGGGCGGCCTAAACGGTGACACACCCCTACAAGTGATATGCGTTGGTCGCTTGTATACCTAGAAGCCGGGCTGTGACCGGACTCCAGATTCCACGAAACCGTCATTCGTGCTCCTGAGATGCACTTTGCAAGTTCTTTGGTAGTACCATTTGCGTCGCTGGATTGACCCCCTTTACACAACCTGCCCCCCGATCAATCTGCACGGGCGGACACGACAGTGCCTAAAAGTGAGCAGCGCTCTCTGCAGGGCAACAATTACCACCGTCCTCTCTCTGCGACGATTCTCTAGCCCAGACTTTGGCCAAAGAAGAGAAAGAGGGATTAACTGCTTGGATCACAATGCGGGAGTCTACTGCTAAGCCATGGGCGACTGTCCTCGTGACAGTCACCCTGCTGACATCTGCCCTGGCCTCCCTCAAGGACTGCCTCACCGATGTTTGTGCAGGCAGGTCAGACTGCGTTGCCTTCGCCGACAACAGACTCGACATCTTCAACACGTATCAGTCCAACTGGGTTAAGCCATACAACCTTGCCGTGGAAGTTACCCCTGACGCCGTTATTCGCCCAAAATCTTCCGAAGAAGTTGCCGCGATAGTGAAGTGTGCCGCGGACAATGACTTCAAGGTCCAGGCCAAATCTGGTGGACATTCCTACGCAAATTTCGGGCTCGGAGATGGCGCTGTCGCTATCGACCTGGTCAACATCAATCAGTATAGCATTGATAATACCACTGGATATGCGACCATCGGAGCCGGCTTGAGACTGGGTGAGATCGACAACCATTTGCACGAGACACGTCGAGCCTTTGCACATGGTGTTTGTCCATCGGTTGGAATCGGGGGGCACGCCACTATCGTGAGTTACTCCTTGACACTGATAACAGAGTCTGGTCAGGTGGCTAACGAGAGAATTCATAGGGGGGCTTGGGACCTGTGTCGAGGATGTGGGGTCCAGCGCTGGATCATATTGTCGAGGTAGAGGTGGTGACGGCTAATGGAACCATTGTCCGTGCAAACACGGGGGAGAACAACGATCTCTTCTGGGTAAGGTCCAACAGCGGCGCCTGGACTCTCGTGAGTTGGCTGACAATCTTACCAGGGGCTGCGAGGGGCTGGAGCCAGTTTTGGAGTCATCACAGAATTCGTCTTGAGGACTCATCCAGAGCCTGAAAATGTCACTCAGTATACATTTGAAATCACCATTTCAAAAGACCCGGCGCGACTTGCAGACATCTACATGCAGTGGCAAATACTCGTGTCAGACCCAAGCCTAGATCGGCGCTTCGGCACAGAACTCGTTATGTGGCTTGGAGGAATCACTGTCACAGGGACATTCTATGGGACTGAAGATGAATTCCACGAGACGGGAATAACTCAACGTCTACCGGTAAATGGCACAATTGAAGTTACCGACTGGCTCGGCTCCCTCGCTGCCCTAGCCGAGAAAGGAGCATTAAGCACCCTGGCCACATTCTCTTCCAACTTCTACGCCAAGAGCCTGGGATTCCGACGGGAGGATGTTCTCAGCAAGGAGGACGCCACAGATCTCCTTGAGTATGCACAGGGAGTGGACAAGGGGACTTTGCTATGGTTCATTATCTTCGACGCGACGGGGGGTGCCGTTGCTGATGTCCCAACGAACGCCACGGCATATGCCCATCGCGACAAGTACATGTTCTACCAGTCTTATGCTGTTGACCTTATCGAATTGTCGGACACAACCTTCACCTTTCTGAACGACTTCCATGAGGAACTGGTAGGGAAGCTGCCTCGTGAGACTATGACCAGGGGCACGTATCCTGGTTATGTGGATCTGAACATCTCCGGCATACCACAAGAACAGTATTGGGAAGAGAATCTGTCCAGTCTAGAACATCTTAAAGCTATATGGGATCCAGGTGATGTCTTTCACAATCCACAGAGTATCCAGCCGGTAGAACCTTAAGAAGAAAATAGTTTATAATTAGGTATTAAATAAACTTTATTTAATTAAATATATAATAAATAAAAAATTAAAATTAAAAAAATAAACCTTTTAAATTTATATATTAAATTATAATAAAAATAATATTAATTAAAGTATTATATATTATAAACTATTTATATTTTTTTAATTTTATTATTAAATTAAAAGTAAATAATTAAAGTTTTAAAGAAATAAAATATAATATATTTTTAAAGATTAATTTAATTAAGTTTATTATATAAAACTTTTTATAATAACTTTATAATTTATATTTATAATATTATTTATTATTAAAAATATCTTTTATATTAATATATTAAATTATATTTAATTAATTTAAGTTAATATTATTAATTTATTAAAAGTTAAAACTATTATAAATTATAAACTATTTAATTTTAATATTATTAAATATTATATATAAAGTTATTATATAATTTAAACCTTTTATAAATTAATTAAATAAATAAAATTAAGTTATTATTTTTTAATTAAAGTTTTAACTTTATTTTATAAATAAATATTTATTTATTAATTTTATAAGTAAAACTATTTAAAAGTAATTACTTAATTTACTATATTATTAAATTAAAAATAATTAAATAAAGTAATTATACTTTATTATTATATATAATATTTAGATTTATAATTTTAATAACTTATAAATAAGAAAAGAAATAATTATTAATAATTAAATTTATAATTATATAAAAATAAATTTTTATTTTAAAGAAAGTTTATTATTATTTAAAATAGTTTATATATTTTTAAAAAGTTAAAAGATTATAAACTTAATTTAAAGTAAATTAAAATTTATAAAAATCTTAAATTTAAATTTAAAATATTTAAACTTATAATTTTATTAAAAGAATATTAAATAAAATTAAAAAGGTTTAAATAAAGTTAAATTAAATTATAATATAATAAAATAGTTAAATAAAAATTAATTAAAAATAATAATTATAGATTTTTTAATTTTATATTTAAAAGAGAAATTATATATTATAAATAAAAATAAAAGTTAAAAATAATAATTAAAATTTATAAAAGTTTTTATAATTCTTTTATTAATTTAATTATAAAATTATTAATAAAAGTTTATATAATAATATTAATCTAATAATTAAAAATATAATATATTTAAAAATAAAGCTTTTATATTTAATTTTATAATATGAAATATAAATATAAAAATAAAGTAATATAAATAATATTTTATTATATAATATTATTATTAAAAATATAACTTTTATAATTATTATTTTATAAAAGAAAAATTCTAATTTTAAAAGTATTAATATATTTATTAAAAACTTTTAAAAATTAATTATTTTATTATTAAAGTTATTTATAATTATAAATTTAATTATAAAATAATAGTTTTAATAATAATTAATAATTAAAATTAAAATATATAAATATAAGAATTATAATATATTTTTAAACTATTTTTATTATTTAAATAATAAAATAACTTTTATTAATAATAATAATATTAAAAATATTATATTAATTATTATAATTATTTATTATAATAATTATATTTTTAAAATTAATATTAAAAGAAATTTAATAAAAATATAAAAGTATATAAATAATATTATATTATTATAAAAGTAATTTTATTTTTAAATAAAAGAGTATAAAGTTATATAATAATATAAAAAGAATAAATAAAATAAATAAAGATTATTATTAAAATTAAAAAGATTTATAAAGTATAATAAATAATATTAAATAATATTTATAAAAATTAATAAAAGTAATTATAAAGAAAAAGAAAACAGTTATATAAATAAAATAAAGGTAAAAGTTTAAAAATATAACTATTAAAAATTAAATAAATAATTAATATAATTAATATATATTAATAAAATAAATTAATATTATTTTATATTAATAACTTTATATTATAATATAAATATTTATATATTAATAAAATAAATTAATATTATTTTATATTAATAGTTTTATATTATAATATAAATATTTATATATTAATAAAATAAAATAATATAAATATAATATAATATTTATATAATTAATATCTTTATAATTAAAATAAATAAAATAAATTTAATTATATTTATATATAAAAATCTTTTAAAATTTAACTTTTATATAATATTAATAATTATTTTTAAAATAAAATAATTATATAAAGGATTTAAGTTAGAAGTTTAAGTTTTTAAAAGTTAATTAAAATAAACTTTTTAAAGTTTAACTTAAATATTTAAACTAATATCCACTCACCTAATAATTATATTTACTTACTTAATTCTTACTAATTACTTACCTAATATTAATTTTTCTAAATAACTCCTTTATATTTATAAATACCTTTTAAGTTAGTACTAAAAAACTCTCTAATATAATTTCCTTCTTTAATTTTTAATACTTTTAATATAAGCCCCTTTTAATATACCTTTTAGTATACCTTTTAATACCCTTTCTAATACCCCTTTTAACACCCCTTTATCTTTACTTTTACCTTTACCTTTACCTTTACCTTTATTATTTAAACTATATATATTTAAATATTAACTAAATATTTAAATACTAATTAAATATTAAAAGGTTAGAAGTTAAAAAGGTAAAAATAAAAACTATATTCTTTCTAACTTTTTAATACCCCTTTTAATCCTTTAATACTTTAAACTTCTAACCTTTTAATATTTAGTTAATATTTAAATACTTAGTTAATACTTAAATATATATAGCTTAAAAGGTATATTAAAAGGTATACTAGAAGGTATACTAAAAGGTGTATTAAAAGGTATATTAAAAGGGGCTTATATTAAAAGTATTAAAAATTTAAAGAATTCTAATTAAATATATAGTTTTATATAGGCCCTATATATAAATTCTTATACTAAATAAGTAGTTAGTAAAAAACTAAGTAAGTAGATATAATTATTAAATAAATAAATATTAGCTTTAAATATTCTTTTAACTTATATAATTATATAATATTTATAAAAAAGCTCTTTAAGCCTTTTTTCTTAAAATATTATAATTTATAACTCTATTTAAAATACTTTTATATAATTATTTAAAATTAATTTATAATATATATTAATATAAAAATACTTTTAATAATAAATAATATTATAAATATAATATACTATTAAATTATTATAAAATACTTTATATAATAAATTTAAATAAATTAATTTTAAAATATTTAATTATTTATTTTTAATTTATAAATTTAATTTAATTAATTTAAAAATATATTTTATTTTATAAACTTTTATTTATTTATTTAAATTTAAGTAAATAATAATAATAAAAGTATAAATAATTAATATTTAAAATAAATAATTTTTTAAAAGAATTTAAATTTATAAAAATAATATTTAACAATAATTAAAACCTTTAATTTATTATAACTTTAATAATAAAATATAAAAATAAATAATTAATAATAAAGAATTAATAAAATATAAATTAATAAAAGATTATTATTATAAACTTTTAATTTTATATTTAAATTTAAAATAAAGAATTAAATTAAATAATAATAATTTAATATAAATAAATTATAATATAATTAAAGTTATATAGTTTATAAATATTATATACTTTTTATATACTTAAATATATATAAAATAGAAGTGAAACTATATAAATATTTAGATTATTTTATGTGTGGAGATGTAGTACTTATAGTAATATTAACCGTATGATAGACTGAAGCTATTGAGTAGCCACCCCGATCAAATCCTAAGACGGCCTGTGTCTTACATGTCTGAAGACTTCCATGACCCCATGGTCTAGATCTTCCCAAAGCCAGCCGAGTTCGGCACACTTGACTGGGCTGAAGACGCCGTGCTGGCACTGGCAATGTTCTTGCCCTGGAAGTTGGAGAAGAATGACGTGTCCTTCGCATTGTAACCAGTACTGCTTCCAAAGGCGTTCAGCTGACAATTGTGACCTAGGTACGAAGCGCAGGCCGCGTTTGTGGTGGTGTCAGGACTGTTGAACATCTTGCCCTTGAAGCTGCTTGCTTCGACCTCATTGACTACGTTCTGGAAGACGGATCCCTCAACCACCACTTGGGAGCCAGCATCCACCTCGAAAGCATCTTGATGGTGACGTTAGTCCTGCAACGGGCCCTAAAGTGTTGTATTCTAGAACATTCCACAACATGAGAGACGGGGAGGGGGATTCTTAAGAAGTGAAAAGTGATACTTACGGCCAGAGTTGGCGTACCAATAGTTGTTGACCGCGTGAAGGAGGGTGTTCCCGCCGACCTTCGGGGACCGTCCTGAAGTGTGGTGGATGTAATTGCCCTTGAGAGTGATCAGGTCGTTCGACCCGGTGAAATAAAGACCCCAGTAGTGATGTCCGTCACACTAAAGCATCGGAGTCAGCGGTCAAAGAAATAAGATAGTAGCTTCACATCAATTTAGCTGAGGGGGGCCACAAGGGAAAAATGGCTTATCTGAAATCTTGCGGCCCCTGAGGACATTGGTATACAGTCTGAGACTGCGGTGTATGATGTGTTCTTGAAGGGTTAAGAATTTCTCCAGGCACTGCTTACTGTAGCTGACCAAGATGTTGAGCCGTCTATCTCATTATTGGAAATGGTGACGCGGTTGGAAGCTCCGTAGCCCAGCACTATATGCTGACGGCCGATGAGAGAGGTCTATTATGCGGCTGAATTAGTTGATCTTCGAGGCATTCCTCAGGTCCAAGATGGATTGTTTTGAGTTTGGGAAATCTTGAAGCATTTCTTACTTTGACATGATCAATCCAAATAAGGTCAGCACCATCCAAGATGATGGCATCTCCACCCCAAACGTACTGCGGGTTCAGGTTCGTGATATGAATATTTTGGATGATGATGTTGCTGGCGCCGCTGGCAATCTTCAGCCCCTTTCCTTTGAGGATACCAGAGCTCCCTTTCCAACGCCAGGAGTTAGTCTTAAGAGAATCAGAGAAGTAGCTTAAAATGAATGTGGCAGGGAGTAGGCCATAGCATGGCCTGTCGCAGAATCTGCAACCCGTGAAGTCTGTGTCATATAAGCTTGAAATAGGGATGTATTTGTTCTTGGAGGAGTAAATATTATATATAGCAGCTGCTTACCGGAGCCGACAAGTGACTTATTGGACTTGACAGTAATTGGCGTGATTGCCGCATTGTCATACTTGACCGAGACACTCGGGGCGTTTGGTTGATATACAGTGCACCACTTCGAAAAAAGTCACATCAATTTCCAGGACCCACGTTTCAGCTGCACGGAGATGGGGAAGGAGAAACACACATCGTTCTGGTTGATGGCAGTCTGGCACCCAGATGCTGTCCCGTAAGGGGCACACCCGGTCGCAGACGTTGTGCCTTCGGTGCCGGTGAAATCAAAGGTCTTCGTAAGGATAATCACACGTGCCGAAGAGTCGCCAAGGTCTGTTGTGCATCAGCAGACCGTTAGAAGTCCTCAACCTCACATATTCAGGCTGCCGAAAGCAGATGATGACTTAACGTGAACTCTAGGAAACGGTTTATAAGAGAATACATCCTTACAGCTGACAAGCTCGGCATTAGTGGTAGGATAAACAGGAGAGGCGCTTCCGCCACCAGTGACGCCCTTGGCAAAGCCTTCAGCGGCCCCGGTTACCCCGGCGGCTGAAGCTCTTCCAAGGAAGGCTGTCAAGAGAAGTAGTCCAACGTTGACCATGTTGGTCCCAAGAGGCCCTCGAATTACTGGGAGTATGATGATATGGTGCAAATGGATTTGGAGAAGATGTTTCACAGCCCGTCACGGTGTCACACAAGAAGAGTCTAGGTTTCTCGTCCTTGCTACGAGGACAGACAAGTCCTTAAGTAGGGATCCTGATACATAAATTTTCTGTCATATTGTTTCTCGTTGTTGACCAAAATCGGGCTTTCTGGTGCCGGAGACAGATTCCTATTTCACTCTCATCACGCGGTCTTCGTCCGCCGCGACGGCTGCCCTCGATGCTACGTGGGATATTTGACACTTTTTTCTCCGGACAGGGTCTGAGATCGCGACTGAATACAAGACCTGTTTTCGCTCTTCGGGACTGGAGACCGCACGGCTTCGAACTGCCTAGGGTGCCGGGGCCGTGGATCAGCTTCGTTCTTGGCACGGATCGGGTGCCTCCTTTCCAGCCTCTGCTTGTGTTGATTGACGGGAATTCTGGTGGAAGGATTCTCCGGAACAGACGCAACATCACGGGAACGGCACCATTGACACAAGTCAACGGTCACACAGTTTTAAGTGGATCTGAGTCCGTTGCTGTCACAAGCATTAGCGTCGCCCAAACCTTTACTGTCACCCAAGGATTGGTTATGTTCCACGGAACCCTGCCCAGCTACGGAATGCGACCCTCCTATGCCAGCGTGCCGCGGCCTTGACTAGAGGGCTTCCTCTTCCACGGTGGCTCAAATGCCACACGGTCACATGTCCACTTTGCCTTCTTGAATCCGGAGGTTATTACTGAGGTATGTATAATGGAACATTTAATCTAGGCGGATATTTAAGGGTTTTATAATTAGAATTACCACCGTATGAAGGCGCCATGTATGTCCGTCCTCGAACGTATACGGAATAGAAGCGAAACCACTTATATCGCCGAGACCTCACAGGCAACTGCAAGGGGATGAAGCTGTGACCGATCCTGTCTATGTCTTTCTGCAAGCCCCGATTTTGCGGAAGTAGTACCCATGAGGAGTATAACTTGTTCCCATACTTCCAGCGCCATTGCAGTTCGTATTATATGTACCCTTGCAGATTTTTATCTCAGAAATAGTATAGTCGATGGTGGTGGCTTGACCTGTTGAAAGCCAATACTCCGTGTCGGTGTGTCTATAGCCAAGCCAGTGACCTGGCAAGCGCGGTACAGGATCGTTCAAGTGAGTAATTCGGTATTCATTGCCCTCCTGCTGCGAGATGTAGCTGGCTAGTTTTTCATTGCCGATGCGCGGTGATCCGTAAGTGAAGATGTCGCAAGGGTACCCGTCTTGCCGGAGCCACGCGCCAGCCATTGTGGCCATGGCTGCTCCCAGACTGTGGCCAGTCGTCACGATGCTGAAGTCCGGGTGGCTTTTGCGAGCAGATTTGACCAGCTTTGTTACGGCTGGATGCATGTTATCGAATGAGGTGGCGAAGCCGCCGTGTATCATGCAGCCATCGCATAAGTTTGTATCAGTGGTGACAGCCTCCAGACTGCAGCGAATCTCAGTTCCTATTTTGCCCAGTTGGAAATTCATAGGCTGAACTCACTCATAGGCGAAGGTAGCCCCGTTATCCGTCCCTTTGAATGCGACGATGATAACTTTCTGTACTGGGTCCACTCCCACGAACCCAGCGGTGCCAGTGCCATCATTTGCGCTGTCAAAGATGTCAGCAGGGGCTCACGAAGATCTTTGCATGCATTAACGTGGCCGACATACTCCAAGATTCCCTCCAAAAACGCCCGATTCATCTCTAGATCCGGACAAGCATCGTTTCCGCATGATATAAGGGTCCCCGCCGTCAGGGAACCGGCCGAGTTGCAGTACGCGGCCGCAGCATGCTGGGCTACATACTGGAAGCTCTGCAGTTGTGCCTGGGTTGTGACGGTTGCCGAGACAGAACCGGGACTCGCTTTTGTGTGTCAACATGTACCTTCTCTTGGCTGCGTGGTAAGAGAAGGATGAAGGGCCTACATTGACTGCTCCCCATCTCGCAAACTGACTTGGGAGTAATAGGAGGACGTAATCCAGGTTTCAAAGGAACGACTCCTGGCAGGAAGCACCTGGCGGATGGGAACTTAGGGATGCAAGCTTAAAACATGCCGAACACTGAAGCAGTGACGTGACGATCAGTTAAATCTGAGAAAGAGAGAGGCAAACCAGTGATTTTTCAAATCTCGCCGTGGCCGTACTCTTCGGCCGTCTGAGGCGTTATACATCGTAACATTGGAATCCATACACTGGGTCTCTGGGAGCCCATGGCCGGGAACACTGCCGATTCGAGACGGGTCACGGCCCTCAGAATAGGTGCAAATGTCCGGAAGAGCCCACTTGCACAACCCCGGGCTCGGCCCTGGAGTGTTACTATTTATTTTTACACCGATAGGCACTGGGTGGTGATCTTGGCGTTAACGGCGACAACTGCTGTGGCTGAAATTCTATGGGCGAGTAGAAGGCGAGGGAAAGAGAGGCTACCGCAGACATCGTCAGTAGCTCCGAAAACACTGCCAAGCGGCAGGTACCTACTGTGACGACTTTGTGTGGAGTCGTGAGATTTCGGAAGAGATGCACCTGCTCGCACGGAGCTCATCCTTGGCGCTAATCCAGGGGAAAGGCTGCAGGGCACGGAGATAGAGAGTATATTCGGTTCAATCCACTTAAACCTATAATAATTAAGTTTATAATAATAGTATAATATTAAGAACTATTAGAAATAATTAATTAATAAATTAATTATATAATATTATAATTATATAAAAAATAAATAATAAATAATTATTTATAATAATATTTATTAATATTAAATTAAATAATTTATAATTTATAATAACTTTAATTTTAAATAAATTAATAATATTAATTTAAATTAATATAACTTAATATATTAATATAAAAGTTATTTTTAATAATTAATAATATTATAAATAATTATAAAATTATTATAAAATATTTTATATAATAAATTTTATTTAATTAATTTTTAAAAATATATTATATTTTATTTTTAAAACTTTAATTATTAATTTTTAATTTAATAATAAAATTAAAAATATAAATAATTTATAATTAGAAATTTAATTATTTTTTAAATATAAAGTTAAAAGATTTATAATTATAATTTTCTAATTAATTTTTATTTAATTATTTTATTATATTATAATTTAATTTAATTTTTAACTTTATTTAAGTTTTTTTAAACTTTATAAAACTTTTATTTTTATAAATATAAACTTTCTCTCTTAAATATAAGATTAAAAATCTATAATTATAATTTTATAATTAGTTTTTATTTAATTATATTATATTATTATATTCTTATTTAACTTTATTTAAGTTTTTTTAAACTTTTCTAACTTTAATATCTTTAAAAAGTTAAAACTTTATATTTTTAATTTTAAATTTAAAATTTTATAAATCTTAATATACTTTAAATTAAACTTATAATCTTTTAACTTTTTAAAAATATATTAACTATTTTAAATATTAATAACTTCTTTTAAAGTAAAAGTTTACCTTTATATAATTATAAATTTAGTTATTAATAGTTATTTCTTTTTTATAAAGCTATTAAAACTATAAATTTAAATAATAAAGTATAGTTACCTTACTTAAAGGTTATCTTTTAATTTAATAAGTTATATAATAGGTTAAGTAACTACTTTTAAATAGTTTTATTTATAATATAATAGAGTTAATAGATAGATATTTACTTAAATAGAGTTAAAACTTATATATATCCCTTAAAGAAATAATAGCTTTTATTTTTATTTATTTTAATTAACTTACTTAAGTTATATAGTAATATTATATATAATATTTAATAGTATTAAAACTAATTTATAGTTTATAATAGCTTTAACTTTTAATATATTAACTTAAATAAACTAAATATAACTTAATATATTAATATAAAAATATCTTTTAATAATAGATAGTATTATAAATAATAATAATAAATTATAAAGTTATTATAAAAGTTTTATATAATAAATTTAATTAAATTAATCTTTAAAAATATATTATATTTTATTTTTATTAAAATTTTAATTATTTATTTTTAATTTAATAATAAAATTAAAAATATAAATAATTTATAAATATAATACTTTAATTTAAAACTTTTAAGTTTAAGTTTAAAATTTTATAAATTTTAATATATTTTAAATTAAGTTTATAATATTTTAAATTTTTAAAAATATATTAATTATTTTAAATAATAATAACTTTTTTAAAAATAAAATTTATTTTTATATAATTATAAATTTAATTATTAATAATTATTTTTATAAAGTTATTAAAATTATAAATTTAAATATTATATATAATAATAAAATATAATTATTTTATTTAATTATTTTTAATTTAATAAATTAATTAAATAATTATTTTTAAATAATTTTATTTATAAAGTTAATAAATAAATATTTATTTAAATAAAATTAAAACCTTTAAAAATAATAACTTTATTTTTATTTATTTTAATTAATTTATTTAAATTATATAATAATATTATATATAATATTTAATAATATTAAAATTAAATAGTTTATAATTTTATAATAACTTTAATTTTTAATAAATATAATTTAATATATAAATATAAAAATATTTTTAATAATAAATAATATTATAAATATAAATTATAAAATTATTATAAAAGGTTTTATATAATAAATTTAATTAAATTAATTTTTAAAAATATATTATATTTTATTTTTAAAAACTTTAATTATTTATTTTTAATTTAATAATAAAATTAAAAATATAAATAGTTTATAAATTTAATTATTAATATTTTTATAATAAAAATATTAAAATTATAAATTTAAATAATAAAATAAATTTATAAAAATAATATATTATAAATATTTTAATTAAAACTTATAATTTTAAATTATTTTAATTAAATTTATTATTTTATTAATTTATATTATTATAAATAATAAAATATAAATTATTTATATTTTTTAAAAATAAAAATAAAATATTTTTAAAATTAATTTAATTAAATTTATTATATAAAAGTTTTATAATAATTTTATAATTTATATTTATAATATTATTTATTATTAATATTAATAAATTTATTTATATATAAATAAATAAATTAAAATAATATATATTAATTTTAATTAAAAGTTTATTTAATTAAATAATAAAATATTTAATTTAATTAATTAAATTTATTAATTAAATTAAATAATTTATATATAAATATAAATTTATTTATTTTATTTATAATAATTAATTTATTATAATTTATTATTTTTATATTAATATTTTTTAATTTTTAAAATCTTTTTTAATTAATTAAAAGTTTTATTTATTAATAAAATAATTTTTAATTAAATTATTAAAATATTTAAAATTATTATTAAATATATAATTATAATTTTTTTAAATATAAAATTAAAAGTTTATAAATATAATTTTATAATTAATTTTTATTTAATTATATTATATTATTATAATTTTATTTAAATTTATTTAAGTTTTTTTAAATATTTTTAATTTTATTTTTAAAAAATTAAATTTAAAAAACTTTTAAATTTAAATTTAAAACTTTTATAAATTTTAATTTTTTAAATTAAATTTATAATTTTTAATTTATTTAAAATATATTAATTATTTTAAATATTAATAATCTTTTTAAAAATAAAATTTATTTTTATATAATTATAAATTTAATTATTAATAATTATTTTTTATTTATAAATTATTAAATTTATAAATTTAAATAATAAAATATAATTATTTTATTTAAAAGTTATTTTTAATTTAATAAATTAATTAAATAATTACTTTTAAATAATTTTATTTATAATATAATAAAGTTAATAATCTTTTAAGTTTATTAAATAAATCTTTATTTAAATAAAATTAAAATTTATATATATTTTTAAATAAATAATAATTTTATTTTTATTTATTTTAATTAATTTATATTTAAAAAGTTAAATTATATAATAATTTTATATATAATATTTAATAATATTAAAATTAAATAATTTATAATTTATAATAGTTTTAATTTTTAATAATTAAATATAATTTAATATATTAATATAAAAAATATTTTTAATAATAAATAATATTATAAATAATTATAAAGTTATTATAAAAATTTTATATAATAAATTTAATTAAATTAATTTTTAAAAATATATTATATTTTATTTTTCTTTTTTTCTTTTTTAATATAAAATTAAAAGATTTATAATTATAATTTTTAATTAATTTTATTTAATTAATTCTTTTATTATAATTTAATTTAGTTTTTAATTTAATTTAAACTTTTTTAAGTTATATAAATATTTTTATTTTTATAAATATAAATATTAAATTAAAACCTTTAAATTTAAATTTAAAACTTTTATAAATTTTAATTTTTTAAATTAAATTTATAATTTTTAACTTTTTTAAAAATATATTAATTATTTTAAATATTAATAATTTTTATAGTAGAAATTTATTTTATATAATTATAAATTTAATTATTAATAATTATTTTTATAAAGTTATTGAAATTATAAATTTAAATAATAAAATATAATTACTTTATTTAAAGGTTATTTTTAATTTAATAGTATAATAAATTAAATAACTATTTTTAAATAGTTTTATTTAATAAATATTTATTTATAAAGTAGAGTTAAAATTTTAATTAAAGGAATAATAACTTTATTTTTATTTATTTTAATTAATTTAAAAGTTTAAATTATATAATAAATTTAATACTTATATATTATATTTATTAATATTAATTAATTTATAATTTATAATAGTTTTAACTTTTAATAAATATATATTTTATTATTATAAAGAGATATTAAAGAAAATACTTTCTTTTAAATTAATTAATAAGATTAATTTATATTAAAGTTAATAATATTAACTTAAATTAATTAAATATAACTTAATATATTAATATAGGAAGGTATTTTTAATAATAAATAGTATTATAAATATAAATTATAAAGTTATTATAAAAAGTTTTATATAATAAATTTAATTAAATTAATTTTTAAAAGATATATTATATTTTATCCTTTTAAAATTTTAATTATTTATTTTTAACTTAATAATAGAATTAAAAAAATATAAATAGTTTATATTTTATTTTTTTTAAAACTTTAATTATTTATTTTTAATTTAATAATAGAATTAAAAAAATATAAATAATTTATATATTGTCGGTTGGATTAGCTTACGCGTAAGAAGTGGTTGAAGTGGTGTGTATTGGTGTTGGTTAGAGGTCTGCCTGGCTGGGCGGCGAAGCGCCTAGTTGGGTTGGCCAGACCTGCTGACTAAGCTTGGCCCGTGCGTACGCACGGACCACCTATCGCTTGGCTTGGCTTGCAGTGGCTAATCCACTGCAGCCTACTATTCCTGTCGGTTGGATTAGCTTACGCGTAAGAAGTGGTTGAAGTGGTGTGTATTGGTGTTGGTTAGAGGTCTGCCTGGCTGGGCGGCGAAGCGCCCAGTTGGGTTGGCCAGACCTGCTGACTAAGCTTGGCCCGTGCGTACGCACGGACCACCTATCGCTTGGCTTTGCTTGCAGTGGCTAATCCACTACAGCCTACTATTCCCACATATATATTACTTTAATTTATTTATTTATATATAAATAAACTTATTAATATTAATTAATTATTAATAGATTTTTAATAATAAAATAATTATTTTTATTTTATTAAAAAAAGTATTTATTAAAATATTTAATAATATTTTTTTTAAAAAAAGTAAGTTTATATTATTATTATAAAAAAAAGTTCTTAAAATATTTAAAACTCTTCTTATAAATAATAATATTTATATTATAATTAATTATAATAAAGTCTTAAAAATATTTAAAACTTTATTAAAAGAGATTAAATTATAATTACATATTATTATGGCGCGGAAAGGCCTATCTGCATCCCAGCCCGGCAGCAGCCCCAAACGGTGCCTCTTCCATTCTGGTGAGACCCTCCTGGCGGATCTCCTCGTACTTCGGCTAGAGTAAACCATGGGACACGATTGCAGCAGGCGGTACCTCGGCCAAAATCCGTGACCCGGAGCTTTATGTGCCTCCTTGTATATGCTCGTGCCACAATGCCATTCAGCATGCCGAGACGAACGAGCGAGAGCGAGAAAGTGATGCTGTCGTTGTGGATGATATCATGCCGCCGTAGCGCGGGACCAAGTTGGCGGACCGCCGTTGGATCTTGATGCAGCCGCCGCCGACGCATGGCCTGCACTTGCGCTAAGCCCTAGGGGCTGTGCTAGAAGTGGCCGGGACAGGAACTGAAGAGCAAGTCAGAAGAAGAGCCTCTGTTCACAGCCGACCAGAGCAAAGGCCCAAGGGAATTCTCTAGGAAACACGAGGACGACTCATGAATCATTCCTCCGTAGCAGTGGACCCATGGGATCCAGGATGGACGGCCTCCGCCAACAGATTTCCAAGCATCCTCTGCCGGGTGCAAGGAGGAGGTGAAGCTGTAAGGAAGGCGCCTAGGAATGGGGAGCTCAAACCCCAACCCCCCCGCCCCCCCCCCCCAATTGCGTCAATGCCGTGATATCGCCGAATTGTGCCTGGCTGACTGTCTGCCTGACGTCCAACGCCGGACGGGGGCTCGGCGTCTTGAGGAGCTCTGCCTGTGACAGGTGCCCGCCCCTCTCAGGCAGATGTGTGGGGAAGCTCGGAAGCTAGCCACCAAGTACGCAGTATAAGACAGCTGCCTCCATCGTGGTGCTGGGCCTCGTGTGCATATCAGTGCATTGAGTCTTGCGGCCTCAACCAGACCACTTCTGGACCAAGATCACGATGGTGTCGACGGTAGGAAAGGTACGACAAGGCGGCCCGAAAGTCCCTGAACCTGGAGGGGAGGTGACGGGTCAAGACAGAAGAGCTAACCTGTGAGCGTGGACAAGACCATTACTTGCAAGGCGGCCGTGGCGTGGGAGGCAGGCAAAGAGCTGAGCATCGAGGACATCGAGGTCGCGCCACCCAAGGCACACGAGGTCCGGATTGAGATCTACCACACCGGAGTCTGCCACACAGGTCAGCACCTGGGCACAAACTCTTGTGCGTGAGCCTGTGGGGGCCAAGCTGATCCTGGCGTCCTCACAGATGCGTACACGCTGTCGGGGAATGATCCCGAGGGGGCCTTCCCCATCGTCCTTGGGCACGAGGGTGCCGGTGTCGTCGAGTCGGTGGGCGAGGGCGTCACCAGCGTCAAACCCGGCGACCACGTCGTCGCCCTGTAGTGAGTCCCCAACACCGGACACGGCGGCTCGGAGACGGGCTGACGGGCTGACCCGACGCCGCGCGACAGCACGCCGGAATGCAAAGAGTGTAAGTTCTGCAAGTCGGGCAAGACAAACCTCTGCGGCAAGATCCGCGCCACGCAGGGCCAGGGCGTGATGCCGGACGGCACGTCGCGGTTCCGGTGCAGGGGCAAGGACCTGCTGCACTTTATGGGCTGCTCGACGTTCTCGCAGTACACGGTGGTGGCCGACATCTCGGTGGTGGCGGTGCAGCAGAGGGCGCCGATGGACAAGACGTGCCTGCTGGGGTGCGGCATCACGACGGGCTACGGGGCGGCGCGGATCACGGCCAAGGTGGAGCAAGGGTCCAGCGTCGCCGTGTTTGGGGCGGGGTGCGTGGGCCTCAGCGTGGTGCAGGGCGCGGTTGCGCAGAAGGCCGGCAAGATCATCGTCGTCGACCTCAACTCGGACAAGGAGGCGTGGAGCAGGCGGTTCGGCGCCACCGACTTCGTCAACCCGTCCAAGCTGCCCGAGGGCACCAGCGTCGTCGACAGGCTGGTCGAGATGACCGACGGCGGCTGCGACTACACCTTTGACTGTACCGGGAACGTCGGTGTCATGCGCACCGCCCTCGAGGCCTGCCACAAGGGCTGGGGCCAGTCCATCGTCATTGGCGTCGCGGCTGCCGGGCACGAGATCCAGACCCGACGTGAGGACCACCCGCCTTCACCTGCCCCTGCCCCTGGGCCAGAGCACCAAGCTAACCTGCCCTCTCCGTACAGCGTTCCAGCTCGTGACCGGCCGCGTCTGGCGAGGGTGCGCCTTCGGTGGCGTCAAGGGCCGCTCGCAGCTCCCGGGCCTGGTGCAGGACTATCTGGACGGGCGGCTCAAGGTTGACGAGTTCATCACCCACCGGCACAAGCTGGCCGACATCAACACCTCCTTCCAGGTCATGAAGAGCGGCGAATGCATCCGGGCTGTCGTGGACATGCGCGGTAAGTAGTCCTCACCCCAGTGTTTGACAAGCCCGGTGGCTCATTGCGATTTGATCTATCAAGACCGGATCAGGGCCTCCCTATAAGAGGCTGCCTACACGATGGACACGATGGACACGATGGAGGTGGCAAGGGGAAGTCTTGGGCACCCCGTGGCGTGCGCGGGGTGGCTCTACCTAGTTTGTATGTACAAAATGCCGATATCACGGGGATGGAAATATGGCTACAGGCAGGCGAAGACGTCGAGGGTGGTGAAGGAAGGGCCATGCCGGGTCCAGCCGTCTCGTAGAGGTGCACAGCTGTCTTTGTGTGGCAATGGACAGGGCTTCCCATTCTCCCGCGCCCGCTGCGGATGTTCCTTTGTTGTTTGAGATGGTGCTACCAACCAACCAACCAACCAACCCGTGGGCGCAGGACGCAGGACGCAGGCGGCGGGACCTCGCCGGCCGGGTCGACGATTCGGCCCAGCGCTTCGCCCGGCTGGCCGGAGCCGCGGCATTTCTTGAGGACAAAGGGATGTCCGGTGGGCAGGTGGGCAGTCCGCAGCTTGTCCTATTACGGGATGGGCTGGGGCTGGGGCTGGGGCTGGTGAAACTGGAGCCTCGTCTTGGGGTTCTGGGGACGGGCCTGACGGGGCGCCCCAGGGGATGGGCAAGAGTAATAATATCCATCGTTGTTGCTGCCAGCCAGCCAGCCAGCCCAGCTGCCCAGCCTCTCTCTCCACTTGATAACAAGCCAGCGTAGCTTGCCAGCGTGCCAGCCGACACGGCGACACGGCGGCACGGGTGTCACCATCTCGGGCCAACCACGCGCCAGCACCTGAGGTGACTGACGACGGCTCCCCAAGTGGCTCCCAACACGCCACGTTGCTCAACCGAATGGGTTGGCTGTTGGCCTGCTGCTGTCCAGTCCTGCCAGTCTGCCAGTGCGCTCCCCCGGCCTTGACCATGCCAACCTGCAGCCGTGTGCGGAGGTTTCCGGGCCAGTCCTGAGGGTGCATTGATGATGGCATTTCGATTAGAGATGCGGCAAGGCCCACATGGTGCCAATGCACATGTGCTCCTGGGGGTCCTGGCGCCTTCGCTGCTTCGGTTGTACGGAGTACCTGGGTACCTAGGTACCTAGGTACCTAGGTAGGCACTTAGGTACTTTAGTAGTCTGCCGCTGCTTGGACCCTGCCAGCCTGCCAGCCTGCCAGCCTGCCAGCCCTGCCTTGCCCGACCTTGCCCGACCTTGACCTTGCACCCTGAGGGCCTGGCTGGCCTGGCTCGACTGGGGGCCGGGACCACAAGAGGCCAGGCCCGAGGCAGCACTGCATGCGTTGCGTGGCACCGAACCAAGGGCCACACACGCCTTTGCCTTCCCTTGCCTGCTCTCTCGTCAGCTGGGAACCGGGACGCATCCGATCTGGTCTGACGGCCAGCCCGCGCCGGTGTTGGTTAATAAAGGAAGGCACAGGCAGGCAGATAGATAGATAGACAGGAGACTGTGGGCTGTGTCTGTCTGGTTGATTCATTCTCACGATCCCCTTTCCTTTTCCGCTTGTCCTCTCCTCGTCCCCTCGTCTCCTCTTCTTCCCCGTCTGCCGCCTCGTGTCTTGTCGCCAGCCCTTGCTGCTTGCTGCTGCTGCTGCTGCTGCTGCTGCTGACCTCATCGTGCCCGACCACCACCTGTGGTACCCCGAAAGCGGAGCCTCACCCATCTGTCATCATCACCTCGCTGCCTCTGGCTTCGGCCTCGTCATCGACGCACCCACCCCCATCTCGCACTGCTGCCCCGTCCGCCCTCTTCGCTCCCGCGCACGAGGTCGACTCTGTGCCCGGCATCCATCCATCACCGCCATACCACGTTGGCGCCCCTTGGTCTTCTCCTCCGTACCAACACAGCGCCCAGGCGTCAAAGCGAAAGTCCCAGGCCTGAATCAAGTCAGCCTCGCCCACCTGCTCACTTATATAATCCCTGGTTCGCCCCTGGACTCCCCGGCCGCCGTTTCCAGCATCTTCCTTTCCCACTCCCAGACCTGCCATCAGACTTGCCATCATGTGAGTACATAACATTGCCAATTTCCTCCTCCCTTGCCCTTTCCTATTCCCCCGGCGCCATTTCCCATCCATCACTTCGTCACCCTTCCTCCTCCTCCTCCTCCTCCTCCTCCTCCTCCTCCTCCTCGTGACTAAACAGCCACCGCCAACAGCCACCCTCCCGTCAAAGCTACCGCCTCGCCTCCCTTGACCACCTCGACGGCGACCCGTACCCCGTATCCCGCATCCCGCCTCCATCACCGTCGACGGCCTCACCAGTCTCTCTCTTTTCATCCTCCTCAACCTCGCCTGCAACAGCACCATCTGCATCAACCCCCGTCGACGCCGAGCCCCGAAAACGTCAACATGGCCCCCAAGAAGCAGAGATGCACCGCCGCCAACTGCAAGGAGCCCGCACAGAGGATTGTCGGTGACTGTGGCTTCTGCGACGGCCACTTCTGCGGCAAGCACCGCCTGCTAGAGGACCACAGGTGCGAAGGTCTCGAGGACGTGAGTACACCCCCGTCCCCCCCCCTGGACAGCGCCCCAGCGGTGGCTTGTGGCTTGGAATCACCACGAGGTGACGGATGGTGGCTAACCTGACTACCAACCACCGCAGTGCAAAAAGGAGGCACACGAGCAGAACGCAGCACAGTTGAACAAGGAGCGCACACAGGTCGTCAGGATATAGATGCTCCTATCGACACGCCGTATCCCGCACCGCGTTGTGCACCGTCGGCCGGTTCGAGCCCGACACCACACGCAAACCTGCCTGCTGCCGCCCCCGTCGGCTTCACCCCCCGCCGGTGCACACGGCAGACGGCCTCGTTGCCATCACCCGAGCAGTTGCCAGGGTCATCCCGCATCGCGATTGTGCCGTCAGCTTGAACTGCCGACTCGACCACAACCCGGGCCAGACTGGGAGCCGAGAGTTAATATGCACCACACCATCCGACTCCCTTGGATCAATTACACCACACATCACACACACAGACACCTGTCTTACTCGCACTATCCACGCATGGCGTCAAGGAAAGGTCGTCGTCCCCATTCCACGCTCTGTTTTCATCTTATTCAGCGGTCTCGGCGATCCATGGCTTCCCTCCGGGTGGACGGGGCTCGGCCCCCCTGCCTTTCTGTGTTTTGGAGCAAGTTTGGGGGCCTTTCCGGCTTTTGACCTTATTTATTTTGGGTTTGGTTCAGGGCGAACAAGCTTGTCCATTCGGCCGACCACTCTGTACATAAGCAACTCTAGTGGCATTTACGAATCTCTGTTTTCCCGTTGTTTTCTTTTTGTTTCTGTCTTTTTGGGCCAGACCTTGGAGCAAAATGACAGACATCACTAATTGCTTTGGCCGTTTCATGGCGTGACTGACCAATTGATCTGAACCCGAGGCCCGGCCGTCCGTAGTGCCGGGCTTCCCCTTCCTATTATCTCCGACATCGTATCACTATCGCACCGCACCTCATCACCCAGCGGGAACCCGGGAGGCGAGTACGAAACGAGTCATGGAGGATCCCGAACCTGCTGCCTCCCCCAGCCGCTGCACTACGCCTGCGGCGCCAAGATCTCAACATTCCCCCAACTTGGCTGGCGGCCAGTACGGTCCCTAAAGACGTCATTGCGGTGTGAGGTTTTGCCGTAAACACTCGGCCATCGGCCACCTCAACCCACCCTGCCACCCAGCCGTGCTGTCACGAACCGAAAAGAGGAGGGAAGGAAAAAAAAAAAAAAAAGAGGACTTAATGATATGATGCTCGCCCGGTTTCAGTAGAGATTTCTGGGCGATCAGACCCCAGGTGAGCAAAAAGGTGAGCAAACCCGAATTGGCGACATCCAACGATTGATGAGACGGCGGTCGTCTTCGGGTCCGGCCCAGAGTTTTCCTTTTTTTCCTTGTCGTCACTCGCCCCTTCTCTGCCCCGAGCCAGGCGCCAGCAATTCCCGACAGGGTCTCTTGCACGGCCCGCCCGTCAACTTAAAGTGCATGCATGCAATGCGATGCACCCATGCACGCACGCACACTGCCTGCCTGCCTACCTCCTACCTCCCTCCCTCCCTCCCTGCCTGCCTGCCTGCCCATCATCCATTGCTCGCGTCACCCGAGTGCAAAGGTCGTCCGTCGCCACGCGCTACCGCGAGTCAGCACTCGCGAGCTGTTCGACCACTTCGATGCGCCTGCAACTTCCCTTCTTGACGTCCTGGTAGTCTTGGGCTGCCCTCTCCCCCCCCTTTCTTTTTAGCCGTTTTAGCCTTTCTTTTTCTCCGTCGGATCGAGGTGTATTATTAGTGGATTCATGGACGCAACAGAGATGGTTCCTGGACTTGGAGGAGAGGACTTGCCCGCATGGCCGGGCGTTGACGTTTAGATGTTGCTCCCGAGCCAAACGGCCACCTGCACCCAGTGTTTACGCGGCCGTACAAACAGGAAGCGTTCCGATGCTGTCACCCTGCGGGTTCATCTTGAGATTGCAGCCTGCCGTCAGTAAAGTTCTCCCTCTGGTTGACTCGCCTTCCAACTTGGCTTTGGTATGCGCGCCTCTCAGGGCACGGTTTGCAGTAGACTCGCGCCTTGAAACCAACCGCGTCCTCGGGACGGCCAATCCAAGCCCTGCTGCCGGAGCGTGCCTTCTGAAGTTTATTGTTCGCAGTTCAATCTCGAATGTGGGGAGCAGGGAATGTGAACGGGACCAACCCACAAGGTTCTACTTAATATAATATACATATTTATGTCTATGAGCAAGCATCCGAGTACAACGCCGCACTCCGCGCCTGTGTAGGGGTATAATGACATCTAAACTTTGCTGGGGGGGAGGGGGGGCGAGGTTATCTCTCTTCTTCTTACAGCACGGGGACCGGTCCTACAAGCGACCCCCCAATCTGCATATGATCCCTCTAAAAACGGGATGGCCGGTGCCTTGGGGTTTCTGCCTCGCAGATCGCCCGAGTGAGCCAGTGACTTGTCCAACCGAAAGGGGGTCAGACCAAGAATTCTTCATTCAACCAGTGCTTCAGGACAATGTGCCCTTCACTATGCGACTCCTTGTCTATGCGCACGATGATGGCCGCGTGGCTGTGACGATTGTTATGGATATACACGGGATACTTTCGCCAGCCAACGCTGTCCAGGGCCGTAATCATCTCGAACTGGTGTGGCGCGAGGGCCAGCGTCGGCTGCCCTGGCTGGCTCTGCTTCCGTTCGTGTCGCAGGATGTTCCGCTCGCTGGCGCGCCTGGCCCTGGCCTTGTCCAGGACCACAGACTGGCTGGCGACGCTGATCAGCGGGGCGGTGGCGGAGGTCTCGGCCTCGGGGTCGGAGGAGTCGCTCTCGTCGTCGGACGAGGACCCGAGGTATTCCTGGTGCTGGGAGCTGTTGAGACCTTCGTATGCGTCCTCGACAGCGCCGCGGATTTCGTTCAGGAGGACCGGGACCCGGTATTCCGAGATGTCGATGCCCGCCTCGCCGTTCTCGTGCAGCGCGATTCGCTTCGAGCTTCGCACGGTCTGGATGGCGCTGTTGATGAGGAAGGCCACGATGCCGATCGGGACAAAGACTGCCAGCGCCACCACAAAGGGCACCCGGTACAGGTTCTTGTTGAGCTTCTCTGAGAAGGTGTCCTTCTTCCAGCTATGCGGCGGTATGTGCTCAACTGGGTGCACTGGGTCGAGGATGACATCTTCGTACCCCTCGACGTAGTTCACGCGGACCTTGGTCAGGTCCGTGTACGGGTCTGTCTTTGTTATGCATGTCGTGTAGTAAACCGCGCTCCGATCGTTTTGGATGTTGGAGTATAGGGTGCGCCGCCGGAACTTGGCCAGGCCCTTGATGAAGATGGAGTTTGTGTCTGCGAGCACGGAGAGCAAAGGCCTGCCGGTGTCGCGGAACTTGTCGATGCAGAACAGCTGCCGCCCAGACATGGACAGTGTTCTCGCGCCGAGGACGTTCCACGCGTTGTTTGCCCAACCGTGCAACGGCGTGCGCACCCCGATGAAGGGGCTAGCAAAGGCGGTGAAGTTGTTGCATTCCAGCCCGTCCAACACGCCCTTGGCGTACAGCAGGCCGATGGCATAGCGTGCGACGAGACCCCCCAGGCTATAGCCGACCACGCTCAGCTTCGCGATCCTGCCGCCGCGCTGCTCTATGGCGCGGAGCTCCTCCTCGATCTCGAGGCACAGCCGCTCGCCGCCGAGCTCGATGCCATCGTATGTGAAGGAACCGCTATTCCGTTTGGCGCAGAGGATGTTGACCCTGTCGGCTGGGTGCTTGGCGCGCAGGGCCTTGGCGACGTTCCTCATGTGGTTTGGGTTCCCCCATAGCTGTTGGATGTCGCCCGTGTCAGCGCCCGCAGAGGTGGTGGTGGTGCTTGTGGTGTTGGAGTTGGAGTTGGTGTTTGAGCTGGAGTTGGTGGCAGCTGGCAGCTGGCGGGTGAACAAGGACGCAAAGAAGGGTTGTTGTGGGAGGTGGCATGACGTAGGATGCGCCAGGCGGGTTGGGGGGCTCAGAAAAAGGGGACGGATATGGTATTCTAGAGGCTTACCCCATGCACCAAGACGCAGAGATGGTCGGCCTCGATTGTGCCGCCAGTGTACTCAGAGGGGTCGTCGGCCATTGCTTGGTGGTTGTCCCTGCTACTATGGAGCGTGGTGGTCGTGATCGAGGGTGACAAGTTCCAGGGAAGGGGCCAGAGGACAGGGCAAGGAAAAGGCCAGCGTCGAGTTGACGAAATGTTATGATGATGATGCGCAGTGGTTTGGGTTCCAGGCGGGCCCCTGCATCGCGAATCTCCGGCCCCGCCAACCGCCAAATACCGCCAAATACCGCCAAACCCGTGGGCTTGCAGAGACGTCTTCAGCCACACACGTATACTACTACTGGTATTGCTCCATTGCTGCCAGTCAGCATTGGCACGATGCCCAGTCGCAATGCCCAGTCACGCTGCCCAGTCACGCTGCCCAAGTCCCCGCGGGCCTTTGTGTGGCCCGAGACCACGTATGCAAAAAAGAATCGGAGCCGTCCTGAAAGATGAATGCATGCGAGTGTGGCTGGCTCCTGCGGCCTCGGTTTCTTTGACCTGGTCTCGACGTTCTCGGCACTGACTGGCGAGGGGTTTGGGGTTTGAAACACACGAAACCACCTGGCCAGTCTCTAAAACTGCTCAAGCACCTACCTACCTACCTGGGTAGGTATCTGTTGTGCTTCCAGCCTGCCAGCCAGCCAGTCCAGCCAACCCCTTGAGTGGGCATGCACGAGTCCTGGCTAATCCACTAGGCATACCCAGGTACAGTCATACTAGACAGAGTAGGCATGCCATCTATATCATTACATACCTACCTAGGTACCTAGGTACCTAGATAGGTAGTTGCAGTGTATACTTACGTCTCGTAGTAAGCGATGCCCTGTACGGAGTAGTTAGGTAGTTGTGCACCCTGCCGTTGAGTACTGCACACCAGGGTACATATGTACCTACCTAGGTACCTACCTACCTACCTACCTAGGTAGGCAGGTATCCACTAGATCGATCCGAGCCTCACCGAGCCTCACAGTATCAATGCTGCCCTGCTGTCTGTTGCCCACCTGCTTTTTGCAATCTTTTTGCTTCACCTTTGCGGCTTCCAGCCGCTCTGGATCCCTCGTGTGCTAGAGATTTCTAACCCTGAGCCTGCGCTTGACCGGAACCCCAAGGTTTCTCACTGCGTGGCATAGACCATACCTAGGTATCCACACCTTGTTGACCCCCTCGCCCACCCGCCCACAGCATTGCATTCGGCAACATGTCCTCAGCCTCGACCAACGGGGTGCCCGTCTTCCACGGTCTCAAGCACCTGCCTTGTCCCAAGGAGGCGGGAGGAGCGAGCTGCACCACCCCTGGATGCCTCTTTGGCCACAGGGCCTCGTCACTCGATGGCGCTGCAGACGAGCCCGCCCCCAAGCGTCAGAGGGTCGACGAGGCTCACCGACGAGATGGAACCTTGGCCCAGTCAAACAATCAGGCTTTGGCTGGTCGTCCTGGTGTTGACGCACCACAACCTGACAACGGCCAGATCAGACGCTTCATCCCACATTCCAGCAAAGATGAGAGCCGGCGGGTCACGGTACATGATGAGATGAAAACACAGAAACCATACGATCCATTGTCCCCGCCATCACAGTCGCCGTCATCCTTGAACCATCAATTGACGCGGTCGACAAAGACCAGTGAATCACCGCTGTCGAGACCGGCCTCGGACGTTTCCCCCGCGCCAGTCTCGCAGAAAAGGCCGACTTTGAATGCCGGACAGTCAGGACAGTCTTTGCATGCACCACCAAAAACCTCGGACTATGCGAGGCTCAATTCGTCGCGTGCGAAGCCCGCCTCCCTAGCACCAGGCGAGCCCGCAACCAGAGACGGCCAGGCCAAGCCACCTTCACTTGGCCCCCAGGCTATGACCAAGCCGGCCAGAAAGCCAGAGACCCTCAACCCCCGCCACCTCCAGAAAGCCCCTGCCGCCCATAACGTCCGCCTGCAATTGCTCAAGCTCCTCCACCAACAGTTCGTACGTCTCAACGAGGGACTCAGCAAGCTGAGCGAAAAGCACCCCGAGATCAAGCATCTGGTCCTATCAGGCCAGGAACTCATATGGATGGCCCTCGACCGCGAGCAGCATATTGCAATTAACAAGTCGTCTATTTATGGCAACATCATCAAGCAGGATGTGGTGAGATACAGGCGCCTGTCGGTGGACGATTGGGTCAAGCAACGCAGGGAAGCTACAGAGAAGAAGCCGCTGGAGAAGCCGCCAGCGAACGGCCCCCCAGTTGTCATCACGACAGGCCTGAGCGCCGAGCAGGAGGTCGCGGTATTGAAGACGAGATTGGTCACTCCCATCGTCGGCCTCGCCGCGTATGGCTACGTCCCGGTTCCACCCACGGATGATCAGATCGCCGAGGCGAAGGCGGCCGTCCTGATGTCGCACAACTGGGAGAAATGCGACAGATGTACCGTTCGATTCCAGGTGTTCCCGGGCCGCAACATCGAGACCGGGGAGCTTGCATCCGGTGGGCAGTGCACGCATCACCCAGGAAAGCAATACCTGCCTGACCGCCCCAAGGGAGACTTCACCCACATCCCAAAGCGGTATCGGTGCTGCCAGCAGGACGTCGGGGAATCACCTGGCTGCGCAAAGGCAAGTAATCACGTATGGAAGACTAGCGATCCTAAGCGCCTGGCAACTCTATGGAACTACGCAGCCACCCCTCCCAATGCGAGTCCTGACGCGGCCAAGGCGGTGTGCTTCGACTGCGAGATGGGTTACACCGTGTATGGGATGGAGCTGGTCAGGTTGACAGCGACCTCATGGCCGGACGGCGCAGAACTCCTGGATGTACTCGTGCAACCCTTTGGGGAGATTCTCGACCTGAACTCGCAGTACAGCGGTGTCTTTGCAGAAGACCTAGCACGAGCAGTATCCTGGTCAAAGGACTGGGTGCCTCCAGCACAGCAGCCTGGCGAGAGGAAGATACTCCAGAAGGTTTCATCACCTGAAGCGGCCCGACAGCTACTCTTCTCTTCTATCAGCCCCGACACTGTGCTCATCGGCCACGGCCTTGAGAACGATCTGAACGCCATGCGCATGGTCCACCCCAAAGTCGTCGACACGATTCTAGTCTACCCTCACAAGAGGGGCCTGCCGATCCGAAATGGCCTCAAGGCGCTCATGGAGCTACACCTGAATCGGCGCATCCAGATGCAAGGGGCGGAGGGACACGACAGCGCGGAAGACGCCAGGGCAGCCGGCGAGCTAGCCCGACTCAAGGTCCAGAAGGAGTGGTCGTTGATGAAATCACAAGGTTGGAAGATAGTTGATGGGATCATCCGGGAGCCCGGTTGGGTACCCCGGCAACAGGAAGCACGGGTAAGCGAGGATTCGGATGAAGGCGGCGCCCGTTTAAGCGAGGAGTTCCTGGAGGCTCCGTAGGCACGACCAGGGACATGGGGTAGTGTCGAGTGCTGTCGGTCGAAGGGTTCAACTCATGAATATGGGGCCAGGACAATGAGAGTGTCAAACCCCTCCAGCCTTAGTACAGGCAACCCCGGAAGCATTGGCCAGCGTGTCGGTCAGTCTGGAGTATTTTTCTATGCACATCTTGGCGCAAACGGGGTTTGCCATTACTTCATTTCAAAGTGGGGAAGACATGATCTTATGACCTCGTCTCTGGTAGAGATATTACACGAACCACATTCCCGCAGTCCCTGAATAGACGGACTCGTCGCTGGGAGCCTGGTCCATCCTGCCCAAGGGTCTTTCACCCCACGCTTATCCCCTGCCTGACGTCGACTCGTACTTACGCCCGCCCGGCATTCAACAGGATATTTGTGCCTTGCTTTCCGCCCGGTAGATACGCAACATTGGGGTTGCTCGCCAGCGTGTTCGCGATCTCCCTACTTGCCTCAATCTTTCTGATTTGTATGAGGCCGTCGCCGGCCTTGGCGATGGCCTTCGCGATGGCGTCGGCGCTCTCAGCCTCGCCCTCTGCGCGGATGACGTTGGCCTGCCGCTCCTGCTCGGCCTTCTCGACGATGAAGCGCGCCCGCTCGGCATCCTGCTGTGCGATCTGCTTCTGCTCGACGGCCTTTGTGAACTCCTTGCCGAATGTCATGTGCGTGATCGAGACGTCCTCCAGAGCGATGTTGAACTCGGCGGCGCGCTTCATCAGGTCCGTACGGATTCGCTGCGAGACGGCCTCGCGCTGTGTGATTAGCTCGGCGGCGTCGAACTGGGCCACGATGGACTTGAGGACCTCGTTGCCGATCGAAGGCAGCACTCGCTCGTCGTAGTCTTGACCGAGGCTCTGGCAAGGCAGTCAGCAGTTGGTCTCTTGCCACACGCGAAGATGACTCAAGTCGGATGCACCTGGTAGATCTTAGGCAGGGCCTGCACCTCAGGCCTGTGAAGCACCCTCAAGGTCAAGCTGACCATCTGCAGGTCCTTGGACCCCGTCGTGGTGGCGATCATGCGGGGCTTGGTGCGCACGTCAAAGATGATGCTCTTGTGCAGCCATGGGATGAGGAAGTGTGTGCCCTCGCTGATGACGCCTTCCTTCACTCCCGACAGTCGGTCGAAGATGACGGCGCGCGAGCCGCCTCGGACATCGTATATCGACTGGCTGGCCAGACTGACGCCGACGGCCGCCGGTATGGCTAGCCGGTAGATGTTCCGTAGCGCGTTGGCGTTGAACTGTGCCATGGTGGGCTGGCTGTGTGGGCGAGAGGGACTCTTGCTGCCGTTCTCTGGTGGGTAGTCTCGGCTCGCCGGGGGAAGTTCAACTGAGGTGATGCCGCCTCTGATGCCTTGCCCCACTGCAAGTCGATGAGAGCTTGAAGCAGCTCTGAGCTGGTCCGTGCTGTGTTGTGTAGTGGGCCCTCAGCCTTCGGTACGTACTGCATGGTAGCGCCGTTTCGGTGCCGCTAAGCTCATTATTGACTAGCGTATCCAGGTCCAATGGCTTGGTTCCGATTTCCAACGACTGTCGGGATCAAATCATCGCCAGGGCTCAAGTTTGGCTCCTCACGACGACACACCCGCGTACTCTCGACTGAACACCTCCCACATCCATCGAACCCAACCTCACAATGAGACCCACTCAGATCCTTCGCGGCGGCGGCGGCGGCGATGCCCCCCTCGGCATGTACAACAGGTGAGCTGGCTGCATGTCATAGTGTCGAGAGGGAGGCGCGGCCTTTGCTGCGGTGCTCGGAAGCTCGCGCCCTCAATCGCTCAAGACACCACAGTGCATCTTCTGGGGCTGTGCTAATCACTTTATCGCCAGGTACATTGGCGGCTGGGGTCAACTCGGTGAGTAGCCAACCCCGTCGGACCCGGTAACTGGTCGACACGCCGGCATGCGACACGCGCAAAGCCCGGAGCACAACCAGCCATCGGGCTGGTGGGAACTTTTCGACTTGCACATATGATTGACTCATTGACAACATTTCCCACGCACTGACACCGCCCTCCACTACACAGGTACCGCGGCCCAAGCCCAGAAGGGCATTGTCACCTACGGCCTCGCCCCAAACCGACAGAACCCCTTCGCTGGCGCAGCCCACGCAGCCATCTTCAACACATGGCGACGGGCCAGTGCACAGATCCTCTACGTTGTTCCTCCATTCGTCGCCGCATACTACATCATGAACTGGGCCGTTGAGAGGTGAGTGCTGGGTAGCGAAAGGTGGTCGGCCAGGCTGGGCTACTGATCATGCGGTGCTGACTATTTCGTGCAAGAAACCACTACCTGAACTCTAAGGCTGGTATGGCCGAGTTTGGCGACAGCGAGGAGTAAAATACGGCCGGGCCGGTGGGACGGAGCCACGTGACCGCACGCTGCGGTGTACAACATTAGATCAGAGATGCAGAGATGCAGTGGTCAAAATAGAGCACAATTTCCGACACAATGTATCGGGCACTTGGTCAAAAAGGCACGCCGACCTGTTTACTCGTCTAATGAGCGAGCACGACCGCTCCCAGACGTCTGAGTGACGACAGGTCTTTGTGGCTTCCAGGCGGCCAACAAAGCTGCCGCGGGGTCGACCAAATTGATCAAAACTGACATGTCTAGATTTAATTCAAAACGGGCAACTGAGGTACTACCACAGACAGACCCCGCATCATACGTCTCTGGGCCGTGCCGCTACGGTTTGATCGTCCCAGCAGTCGTACCGTCCTCCTTGACCACCTCAAAGCCTTTCCAATCCGGGAGGGCCTCTCGTATTTCAACTCTGTACGCCGGGATGCCGCCGGCGTAGTTGACCTGCTCGAAGGCTTTGCCCGGCACGCTGCCACCCATATATGTGCTTCGTGTCGTTGGGAGCAGGGTCGCATCGCTCAACTCGTTGATGTGCTTTTTCCATGCCTTGGTTGCATCCTTGGTGGCGTTAATGTACTTGACACCCTCGCGCTTCATCTTCACAATGGCGTCTGCTATCCACCGACCTTGGACCTCCACGGTCGCGGGGCCATTGGACAGCAGAGTTGGGCCATGGGGCCCATACTGCAGTGTCGAGTGTCAGCTCTCGGATCTCGAGGCGTCGGGTGAGCTTCGCAGCAACGACAAAAGACACGAAGAGGCATGCGTCTTGACAGGACAGCAAACTTGCTGGATGGTTTGAGGCAGGCAGTGGCAGAGCTGCCAGCAGGGGTAATCGCGTCTGATGAAAGGTCAAAGAAAGGATCAGGGACCACTTACCATGTGAAACATGTTGGGGTATCCAGATACGGTGAGACCAAGGTAAGTATTGGCTGCTGCCCGCCATTCCGACTCAAGGTCAGTGGATTCGATGGACTTGAGCCCCATCTGGGTCATGCCGCCGGTCGCGATGTCCTTGCAGGAAACGGTCAGTGGATAGGCACCATCTTGAGGAGGCAGATTCCGACCTACAAAACCGGTAGCAATGGCGATCACGTCGAATTCGTAGTGCGTGCCATCATCGAGTGTGATGCCGGTCTCATCGAACTCCTTGATGTTATTCTTCGATATGTCGACGACGTCGACATTCTCCCTGTTGAACTGCTCATAGTAGGTCTGTTCGAGACATGGTCTTTTGATGCCGAAGTAGTGCGGCATCTTGAGAGGTGCAAGCGCATCTCGCTTCTTTGGATCACCAATCCGACTCCTCACGGTCTTGGCCCAGAAGTTGTATGCCTCCTTGTTGGCCTCGGCGTCCTTGTAGTAGTCGTTGTAGTTGGCCAGCCAGAACTCGAAGCCACCATTGTCGAACAGCGACTGGTAGAATTTTTCCCGCTCCTCTGGGGAGTCCTCAAAGGTTTTCTTCTCGGAGAAGGTGTACAAAAACCCTCCGAATGTCCTCTCGCGCATCTCGAAGAATCGGTGGTACCACTGCTTCGAGGCCGTCTGCTCCTCGACAGTGAGGGGCCTCCTGCCCATCGGCATCGCCAGATTGGGAGTTCGCTGGAAAACTTTGAGTGATCCGGCGACGGGTCCCCATTCTTGAGTTATCTGGACTCCCGAGGCGCCAGTCCCAATCACTGCGCACCGCTTTCCACGAACGTCAATTTCCTCGTCAGGCCAGAAGGAAGAGTGGTGCACAATTCCCTGGAACTTTTGTATGCCGGGCCAGTCAGGAACATAGCGCTTGGCAGCCTTATTTTTCCAGTTTGGTTAGCCTCGCCATGGCTGTAGCGCGATGAGGGGCCACTCACGAATCCGGTCCCTAGAATGAAGAACCTGGCCTTGCTCGTGCGCCCATCTGCTGTTTTCACGATCCATTTACCTTGTTCCTTGTCGAAGGTGCCGCTGGTTACGACTGTGTTGAAGGAGCAGTCTTTCTTTACTCCGATCACCTTGTCCACGTGGTCAAAGTATGCTCGAAGTTCTTTGTAGTCGGGATAGTTGGTTGACCAGTTCCAGGTTTTGTATACTTCAGGCCAGGAGAACTCGTACTCTGGTACGGCGGAGTCCACGCGAGCCCCGGGATAACACTGCGTCAACAGTCAGCCGGCTGAGCCTGCCACACACGATCCAGGGCAACAAGCTAGACGTTGTGCCATCTTTCTCCAACTGTGTCTAGGTGGAGTTAAGGGGAGGCTTACGTTCCACCTCCAAGTCCCTCCAGTGTCGTTACCAGCTTCGAAAATGACAGCCTTGAGCCCACGATCGCGGAGACTTTTAAGCATGAAGATGCCGCCTTGGCGTGAGCGTCAGCACCTAATCGACAAACCCGCGTCAAGCTTGGACTGTGGTAATAAGTCTTACTAAAGCCTGCCCCGACAATCAATGCGTCGACATCGATGTCAGTTGTGTAGGGCCATTTCTCGCCCTCTCGCCGAACGGAATAGTCCTTGAGCTCGGTCTTGAATTTCTTCTCCGCCTGAGGGACCGTGACTACTGCGGGATCTCCCATGGTGACGATGGTACTATACAATCACTGGATGTTCAGGCGGTATAGAGGGCAAAGACTTGAGGACTTGTCGCGATGTATATCCAAAATGAAACGTTGTTGAGGTTTAGGGAACATAGTAGAGCGTGTCGAGGACTGGACAGCTTAAATACTTGACAATAAAAGGCTCTCATGCCGTGTAACCTTGGACTCGGCCTGGTCTGGAACCTATCTCCTCCCCACCTGAAGACGCCTCTGCCGCGGGATACTCAGCTGGGGGGATGATCATCATTCCTCGCGCTGGCTCACCCCACGGATCCTCTTGATCTTGCCTGATGGCCAATCTCGTTCCGAAAGCCTCGTGAGACGCTAAGCTCAAACGGCGGATCCGCATCGAAACGAAGGACACTTCTATCATTACGACAGGAGTTGGACAGGACTAGTACCATCCAAGCCGCCGTCGACGAGACGTGTCAAGCCGAATCCCTGTTCCGGCCCACATCTATCGTGCGCGACCCCAGACTTTCCCCGCGTGGCACCCGCATTGACGGAATCCGGGGTGTGACGCCGTGGGGTCCAGACTAGAGCACCAATGTTGGTTACAGTTCGAGCGGCTCCGTATGCAAATCAGTCCTGCCTGTGGAACCCGAGCAGACCAGCTGGGACCTCGGCATCTCCGAATTGGGTATTCCGGCCACCCTTGGGTTGTCATTCCTCTTCCCTCTTCCCAGCTAGAATGACTGCGGTTCCGTAGGAGCGCATTGAGGCCATTCACACCTCCGCCAAATCACTGTTTCCCCGCGCTGGTTGAGTTCCGTCTGCCCGAACTGCTGGGGTCAATTCAAGCTCGTCGATGACGCTGCGGGGTGATGGGACGCATTCAGGTAGGGATGTGCAGGCTGCGGAGGCTGCGGAGGCGTGTGTCAACAACACAGAACCACCTGGGCACCCACTCCCCGCACAAGACCTGCCCAGGTGGTTATATATTGCTCGAGAATCTGGCGGACGAAGAGCCACGGGACGGCTTATGTGAGACTCGATCCGACCCGGCTCTCACGGCAGATTCACCATCGAAACAACGGTAGTTGACTATGTATCTGGCGGATGATAGGCTATACTACCTAGGTAAAAAGCAGAGTTTCAACCTGTCTGCCCGTCTGCCCGTCTGCCCGCATTGCTCCCATGTCCAGCCCCGCTTTATAGTCTTTCCCGCCGAGACGCCTATTCAACCCACTTGTGCACGCGGCCTGGACTTCAGGAAGAGCATTAACCGCGTCCATTTCAGCCAAGGCCGCCCACCCCGTAGCAAAATTGTTCAGGGGACAACCGTCCCTCAGTCCTTCAGTCCTTCAGCGTCATGGCCCCTCTCACAGATCAGACTCTCAACACGCTCCGCGCCACCGTGGATACGGCCTGCTATGACCACAGCAAGGGCATCCCCGGGGCAACGGTCGTCGTTGTGAACAAGGATGGCGACGAGCTGTTCGCGCACGCCGCTGGGCGCCGGGGAATGGCAAGCGCCGAGGATATGACGCTGGACAGCGTGTATTGGATCGCCTCCTGCACCAAGATGATTACCGGCGTCGCCGTCATGCAGCTGGTGGAGACGGGCAAGCTCAGACTCGACGACGGCGACCAGCTCGAGGGGCTGTGCCCTGAGCTCAAGACACTTCAGGTCTTGAATAGGGATGGCACGTTCGAGGAGAAGAAGAAGCAGATCACGCTGCGCATGCTCTTGACACATACCTCCGGGTTTGGTTACTCGTTCTTCAATGTCCGACTGAGGGACTGGGGGCTTCCCGCTGGGATTGACGAGTTTAGCGGGCGCTTCGAGGACATGATCTCGCCGCTCCTGTTCCAGCCTGGAGAGGGCTGGGAGTACGGAGTAAGCTGGCCCGAGACGCTTTAGCTGCTGATTGACCGGTCCGTCTCTAACTTTCAAAACAGGTTGGCATTGACTGGGCCGGTATCGCCCTGGAGAGAGTGACGGGACAGAAGCTGAATGATTACATGAGGGAGAACATCTTCGAGCCGCTAGGCATCAAGAACATGTCCATGATACCAACTCAGGAGATGAAGTCCAAGATGGCCTTTATGAATCATCGCGAACCTGACGGAACTTTGCGTCCGCGCGATCACCTCGCCCGGTTGCCGGTGGCGGTGAGCAGCAAGGAGGAAGCAGGAAGAACCTTCAACAGTGGGGGAGGGGGCATGTTCGCCCAGCCCAGGGAGTACTGCAGTAAGCACGGCATCTTGACACCTCCGCAACATTTGAAGCCTTTCAGAGGCCGGTGGTGGCGGGGGAGACAACGCCTCAGGCTAATGCGGCTATAGAAATACTGGCGGTCCTCCTCAACGACGGCAAATGCCCAAAGACCGGTGCCGACATCTTAAAACCTTCTACCGTCGCCGAGATGTTCACCAACCAGATCCCCGATTTCCCGGACTTTGGCCGCCAGCCCATCCCAGCCGCGAAGCCAGACCAGACCAACCCCATTCCCGAGCTTTATCCCCTTCCTGGGAACCCTCCCCAAGGATGGGGCTTGACATTCATGATCAGCGGAGGCGGCGCGACGGGCCGCAGTCGGAGCACGGTTCACTGGGCCGGGCTGGCCAATTGCTGGTGGTGGGCGGACCGGGAGCACGGGGTCGCGGGAATCATTGCCACGCAGATCTTGCCGTTTGCTGACTTCCCAGTCTTGAAACTCTGGGCTGATATCGAAAAGGAGGTTTATGTTGGGCTACACACGGCGAAAGGTGGGAATTGACTACAAAGGCATATGGTAGTATGAGGTAGTATGAGGTAGTCTGAGGGGATACGAAAGTGAATGTCTTGCTTCTATTGTGACTGACTCACTAGTCTTTTGCAGTAGTAATGTGTGAAGATGCTTATTGAAAGTTGAAATTTCTTGTTCATGAGTAATTGAAACTATCAAGGCTAACTCAAATACATACTAATAACTATTATATTAACTTAAGTTGATTGTAACTTGGAGGTCCGTCTTGGTTAGGTTCATGCACTCTACTTAGCTAATCAGCCGAAGTGGTCTTTTTACCTTTGGCGATGCAGGATTATATATAGCTTTACTGCTGCTTCCCCCGCACTATTCCTTACTTAAGTAGGCAACTGTAGCTTCAAATTAACGGCTCTTTACAGATCATTTGACACAGGCGTGAGCACGTCTCACCTACGCCAAAGTCTGCCAAATTACCAAATAACTATCAAAGATCTTGAACGCTCAAATTTGAAAGGCATTGAAGTGTATTTGAAAAAAGACCTATGTCCAGACTACCTTAACGCCAACCCATGATATTGGTCTGATGGTCTATCCCAATTGGACAATCCGAAGCACGCTGCTAAATCGACAATTCAGAAAACAAGGGGCAGGCCACGCTTCTTGGAAGCCGCGACGATAGTAAGCGAGGATGAGGTGCCAGGTGTGCACTTGGTTCCTGCAGAGACTGGCATCTCGGCCGACCACACTCCTCCAGACATACACATTCTGAATGACGCCCCACTTGAGGAGCACTCCGACTCGCCCTCGGTACAAGAGCCGCCGGAGGAAGAGCCAGAAGAACCCGATCCAGCGCCGCTACCAGCTCCAGCGCCGCTACCAGCTCCTGAGCTGCTACCAGCGTCGGTAGGAGTGGCCGGGGCAACGGAAGTTGCAAAGCCAGAAGGTGACCCAGTTGCAGCGGGGGCGGTTGCAGCCGGGGCGGTAGGGGTTGGCGCGGAACCGCCAGAGCCAGAAGAGCCAGAGCCGGAAGAGCCAGAGCCGGAAGAGCCAGAGCCGGAAGAGCCAGAGCCGGAAGAGCCAGAGCCGGAAGAGCCAGACCCAGAGCCAGAAGAACCAGGGCCAGAAGAACCAGGGCCAGAGCTGCCGCCATCGGACGAGCCGCCGCTGCTTGAGCTGCCGGCGGTGACGCCCTTTGCAAAACAATTTGCACCAGTAAGGTCAGCAAAGGCAGGGTCAGAGGAGGCAAGCTTCTCAACATTGTCGCCTGGGACAGGGTACTGCGGCGATGAAGACAGGACGGATTTGCAGTCGTTGATGTCGGCCAGGTTGTAGACAGCCAGGGGAGGGTAGGCGTCGAGGGCGTCGGCACGCTGGTGGATGTTCATTGCGCGCCTCTTGGAGCCAGAGCCACCCTGGATGGTGAGCGGGGCGCAGTTCATGTAGTACTCGGGCTGGCCGCTGAGCTTGCTGGTCCAGGTCCAGGCATAGCTGTAGTCTCCTGGGGGGATGTCGGCAGGGATCTTGACGTCGTATTCACTAGGGCTGGAGCCGTCCTTGGAAGGGCAGCCACCCTCGATGGAGAGGATGACAGACCACCGGGTCGAGGCAGAGGGCTGCATGTCGGTGGTCAGGGCGACCTGGCAGGAGCCGCCGCCGTGGACAGCAGAGCCAGAGAAGGACATCTTGACCGACTCGCCGGCAGTGGCGGTGTTGGACAGGCCATTGGTCGAGTAGAAGGTTGCGGGATCTCCACTGAGCTTGCAAGGGTAGTTGCTGGCGGTGAGGGGGGAGTTGTCAGGGTTTCCGTATGGCTTTGGGTTGGCCATGATCATGTGGGCTGAGGTAGCACCGGAGAGCGCCAGCACAGCGGCGACGTTGGAAGCAGACAGCATCATGATGCGTGTGACAAAGTGTTGGGTATCTCTGAAGGGCGAAAAGTGACGGTTGAAGTGAGTTGGACCGTGGGACTGGAAAGATGGCAGCCGTAGTCGAGGTCAGGAAAACAAACAAAAGCTCCAGGCTTTTTGCGTATTTTTTCGAGGGAGTGTCTGGTGATAGAGAGCAAGAGAATAAGGCAAAAAAAAAAAAAAAAGGAAGAATGAATAGAAAGAGTTTGTGATGCTTGATGGTGCCAGAATCATGAGATGGGAAGGCCAAAGGGGGCGAGGTGAGCGACTTGATATAAGTGAGGGATGGCTTCACGGCAAGGCGGCCTCGCATTGGCGCATGGCGCATGGCGCGAGGCCGCGAGGCAGTGGGCATTGTCAGCATTGTGGGGGCTTTGTTGGGTAACAAAGGACCGGTCTGGTTGTTTGTGTTCTGTTCGTCTGATAGACTTGAGCAGACGTGTGCATGGCTGACCCAGTATTGAAGATTCAACCACAGCGAATCGGCCAGGGTGGGTCGCTGCCGTCCGGGGCGGGAAGTCAAAGAAGGCAGGGGGTGGAGGTGGACAATGGCATTCGAAACGAAACAAGACATGCTGACATGGCAGAATGGCAGAATGGCAGAAGTGCCAAAGAGGCTGAGAGGCTCAAGAGATGATCGGCGGGGTGGGGACGGCAGGACGGCAGGACTAGGGCACAATGGCAGATCCTGGAGTCTAACCGTCGAGGCCCCACGGCCAATCGAAAAGTCTCCGGTCGCCCCTGCCCCTGAGAACTCAAACATCAGCGCCTCAGGGTGGGTCTTTTCAGTCTGGCACACAGCCAATCAGCCCCCGCGGCTCGACCTCGCCTGCCCTTTGGTGAGACCAGGCCAGCCAGGCCAGCCAGGCCTACCTCCCATGAGGCTCAATGAGGCTCCATGAGGCAGCCTCCATCCCATCTTGTCCCCCGCCTGCACTGCTGCAATCTCCCTCCTTTCAGCTGCTCTTGTCACCGCCGTCATGTCCGTGTCGGCACCACCCAGCCTGCCAGCCCACCACAGCAATCAACCCCACACCATCTCTGCCCTGCAGGCAAAATGCATTGGCCCTCGCCCGCCCTCGCCCACACAGCCCACACAGCTAATACTGTGTAAACAACCATGCAAACAACCATGCATGTTTCACCAGCAGCCAGTCCCGCCCGAGAAGAATTCACATGAGAACCACAACCCACAATATTGCCTGATTCAGACCTTCGTCAACTGCCACAGAGGCTGCCTCCTGCCATCGCCACTCCGTTTGCCCCACCTCTTCGGACATGCACCCCATATCACATCAATCCCTCACCATAGTTGATGAATATCAAGCGCCGTCGACAATGTTTGGACGTCGGCACCTCTGTGCCCACATCTCCACTTCGGATGAGCCACCATGCCCTCGCCACCCTCCATTCATGCCCACTACTAGTAGACTAAAAAGCTTTTGCTACACTTGAATCCCGGGAGCGGCCTCCCAAGGCTACTTTAGCCAAAACCAAAATCCCCTTTTTGAGCAGTATGACCTCCCAATTGTGCCCAACAATCCGCTTGCCCCTCGAAATAAGCCCGGCATCCAGGAAAGCGGTCCCCTGTCCAGAATCCCATTGTTGGCAGAACACACTAACCTGCCGTGCTTGCGACTTCATCCAGATGTTTCGTTTTGTTGGTTTTTTCTGGTATCGGGGGAGGGGGTTCTGGTTTCACCCTTGCCCCTCGCTTAGTATGAATATTTGGCATGGGACACATGCTCTTAGCAGCACATCACAAAACAAACAAGTGTGGACAACATCCTACTCGACAAAGCATGGCCACCCGTGACATGAACAAGCCCCTTGAATGCTCCCATAACAAACATTGATGGTGTTAGCCTTTTTAAACTCTAATTATCTTAGCATAAATTAATATAATCTAAAATATAAATATAAGCAGCCACTCTTAAAGGAAACTAAGAGTTGCTCCCCCCTCCCTTTATTAAATTCTTTAAGTATATAAGTATTTATATTTTTATAATTAAGATTTAATTAATACTAACTTTTAAAAAATAAGTTTTTTAATAATATTATTATAATATTTATATTTAAATAAAAAGTTTAAATATATATATAACTTTTTTAATATATAAAATATTTTTATTTTTAAAAATAAAAACTTATATATAGTTTTACTTTTATTTTATATATATTAAAAATATATATAACGTTTTTATATAATAATAAAAAAGTTTATATATTTAATAAATTTAATAAATTAAAAGTAAAATTATTATTTTTATTTAATAATAATTATTTTTAAAATATTTATATAAAATTAATATTATTTTATTTTATTAACTTTATATTTTTAATATTAATAAATATTAAATTAATTATAATTTTTAATTAATAGTTAAACTATTAAAAAGTATTATAAAATAATCTTTATAACTTATAATAAAAGTTTAAATAATTTATAAAAATTATTAATTTAAAATTAAAGTTATTTAAAGAATAATATAAAAGTAATAAAGTTATAATTTTATATTATATATAATATAAAGGTTACTTAAACTAATAAAATAAATAAAATATATAAATTTATTAATTAATTTTATAAATAATTAACTTATAACTTTAATATTTTAATTAGTTTTCTTATTATAATAAAAACTTAATATTTAAGAAATTTAAAACTAAGGTAATTAAGAAACTTTATTTCTAACTATAAGAACTCCTTCTTACTTAGAGATATACTTAGAAAGGAAGGACTATTATAATTAGGGCTAGGGGTTAAGGGTAGTAAATAGGCCCCATAGGGGTCCCTATAGGTCCCCTTATCAATAAGGCTACCACACTATTACCTCTCACCCCAAAGCCCAAGGGGCAACCTTCCTTTCTTCCTTTCTTCCTTAAGCAACCCTACTCTTTAAATCCACTCTATTTAGTGCAAACTTCAAGCCCTTATACCGTAAAGCCCAAGTAACATCTCAATTATAAGTTATAGCCGTTACTAGAAAGTATTAGTCAGTAAATAGTTTACAGCACCCCCTAAGTATACGGTGCGGTAATAAATAGGCAGAGTCCCTCTTGATATAGCCGTTCATCATAATTACAAAATCTTCCTAGCACAGCGCCATCACCATCGGCATAACGGAACCATTGGTGATGGTCATCCCCAGTCAGCACCTGGGCATAAGGCGTACCAGCCGAGTTGGAGTAGGGATGGGTTCGATCGATGGATCCGGTTTAAAGCAGCAATTAAAGCTGATCTCGCTAGCATCGTCTGTGCGGCTGTCACAAGGATGTCTCCTGCTTTCTAGCCAAGTGACAAATCGCGATTTAAGCCTACAAGCTTTGCTTGGGTGTCCACTACGCGTCTTCCTCCCATTCTCCCACAAGACAATCTCCCATAGGATAACCTCTTATAGGACAACTTCTTAACCCCCAACAGGAGAACTTCATATGAGTCAACAAACGAGATGTAGACAAGCAGTCACAGTGGCTCTAATAATATCAAGTTATGGTGGTAATGGTGATAGTATATGTGACTATTATCAAATATCAGAACCATGTGAAATTTAACGCTGGGTCTTTGACTGTGTCTCGACCTCGGCAGTTGCGCGAGGTGCGTGCGTAACATGTGTGAGCACACATTTCATAATCGTGATGCCACAGAAGTAGTAAAGTATGACACATGACAGATCCAGCTAGCAACACTCGTCTTGGCAAGAAACAGGAGTACAATTTTAGAGCCAGAGCTGGAATGGTGCGTACTCATGGTTCTGACTAGGACGAGTCAGGTTTGAATGGTGACCGAGAGATGGGGTGGGTTCGCATAGCTTTTTCTATTTCACACGCTCACGCTTGGCCATTTTGCAAGGCGGTGTCGTGATCGTTTCTTTGACAAGATGACGCCACTCTTGCTACTTCTACGCCCTTTGCAAGACAGTGGATTTCTTATCTGGACTTCTGGACCATCGCCGGATCCGCAACCCAATGAAAAGATGGTGCGGCACAAAAGCTCCAAGTATTCCGGAGTAACTGCAGCCACGAGTGACATGATTGCAAGCGACGCACCTGTCCTCGGAGCTCGCTGGGGCTATGATGAGCCGCACCTTGCTAGCGTGCACTCGAGTTCGTGCGATGGAAAGGATTACGAGAGTCTTTAACAAAATGATGGTAGAGCCCTCAAGAGCAAGGGGCCCAAGCGAGAAGACAAGCGGAACAATGGGACCAGATAGAAAATCAGAACGAATCCTCGATTGAGTGTCCCAGCCCTGACCGTGACTTTTTGCTCCTCCATACTCAGCTTGACCCGAATGAGCCCCCATATGTTTAATTTACTATCTATCGTCTTGAACCCGAAAAATGAAGCTCAAGACTGTGTTGCTCATATTCAGCGCGGCCATCGCATCGTCAAGCCCTGCCATTGTGCCTAACAGCGGCGGCAATGTTGGGGACTCGAGCATCGAGGAAGTACGAATGCTGCCACCCGGCTCAGATATCCCGGGTCAGAACACACTAAATCTTTGCAAGGGTGAACATAGCCACGACGCCGTATGTATAGAGCTCCGGCCGTCCCCCCCCCCCACTATTTAATGACCGTGAAAGCACCAAACCCATGAGAAAGAGCACTCTGGACCCGAAACATGACCAGGACTAATCAAAGTAGGTTGTGATCGACCAAGTTGACTTCATCCCCAACCCGCCCAAGAAGTGAGTTACGTTGTTCCCAAACGACTCCGTTTATACGTGCCGTGCTGAGGGTGTATGACAGGGGCCAGTCCCTCACAGTCGCGGCAGCAGGCACCGTAACCGAAGCTATCGTACCGGGCGCAGTCGTTGAGGTGAAGGTCCATTTCATCGGCTCTCAGATATACCACCATAAATTCGATATTTGTGACGAGCTAGGGAGGCTGGGGCACAAGTGCCCACTGGAATCAGGCCAGTACCATTTTAACAAGACCTTTGACGTCCCCAAGAAGGTCCCCCACGTAAGCAGCAGCCAGAGCTCTGACAGAATGCACTCCCCTCTTGTCTCACAATGATCTCGACAGGGGACTTATCAGTTGTGGGCGGGTGCCAAGCTTCCGAATGGCCATGCCATCACCTGCATTGACGGAAAAATCAAGGTAGATCGTTGAGTCCGTCATGGTCATCGAATGCGTTACACGGGGTCGTGATGGGTGAAAAATGAAGTTGCGAATGGGCATGTGGGTGGGTAGTTTGGTTGAGAACAACAGAGGCTAGGCTAACGTGTCATTCATTCATTGTTTCAGTCGCTCATGAGGAAATACTCTGACATGGATCTTGAAGCAAACAACTCACCATGGTCCAGTAGCATGCCCAACCGCCCGGGAGTCCTTGCAGTTGTTACGCCCGAGGTCATTTCCTAACCTCGACCACTCACTTGGGCCACTAGCATGACGGGGCGCAGCGTAGCCCTCGGAGAACTCAATGAGGCAAGCTTGCTTTTGGCAACCCATTCACAACCGAACAGAACGGCCTGGAATATAATCGTGACCTTGTCCTAGAAGTTTCTATTCCCTGGGTATCTGTTCTGTCTATGCCTTCAGTCCGTCCAGAAGCCCCTTCAAAGTCAGCCAGCCCTCACTACCCTCCCAATTCTCCTTGGCCTTGCCCATCACGCTGCGGATGGCGGCCCTGGCCTTTGCCCTCCACTTCTCCCTCATATCCTCCACCTGTGTGCCATAGTTCTCCAGCACTGCAACCAACTCGTCTGTCCTCTGCACCACGACTTGCCAAGCCTCGTTATCCTCCAGCCAGTTTCCCCTGTTGCCGCCGCCGCCGCCGCCGCCTTCTTCTGGCCCGGACTTGGCAGAGTCGACAGTCAGGCCGCCGCCCATGGAGCTCGCGCCCGATGTAGCTCCCCCAACAGCTGCACGCCACGCTTTCTCCGATGCGTCGATGGCGCCGTGGTAGTCCCTCTTCCAGACCCGTAGGCGCGAGACTAGCTCCCAGAGCTCGGACCGGCTCGTGATGAGTGGCACAATTTCGCTCTCCATCATTTCGTTGACATTCCGCTCCACGCTGCCACGTGGCGGCTCGTAGAAGCCGTCCGGGTTGGGGTCGTTCTTCTTCTCGGCAGCCAAGACGCCATCTGTCAGGAGCAACCTTAGAATGCCGTCGTCTAGGGCGGCTTCTGTCTGGCGGAGCCGGATAATTGACCGCACCGCCTGTATTATCTCGAAGAAGGGCATGGGTCGCATGCGTGTGGCCAGTGTGATGACATTGTCCCAGATGCGCCAATTGTCGCCTGCTATTGACGCTCCTCGTTTGTATGCCTTCATCGACTGTACGAGCAGCATCGCTGGATCTCGTGGACTCGTTTTCGTCGAAGGTTGTGGCTCCTCATCGTCTTCCTCGTCGCCTGCGCGCTGGTGTCTGTTGGTTGGCGCCTCGCTCTCGCTGCCGGCTTCTTTAGCCCTCTGGCTCTCGCCCACGGCTTCGAGATACATGCTGTACAGGGCACTGCCCAGATTGCTCCATGTCCGCGCATCTTCGCCGCCGGACGTGTCATTTGAAGCCCCGATTGCACGCGTGTACGACTCAGCCGCGTCACCGAAGAGCCCCAGCCGAAGATTAATGTCGCCCAGCCGATTCCATAGCTCTGGTGCGATCCGGTTCACAGACACGGCTAGATTATACGCCTCGCGAGCCTTGCGCCAGTCCTTCAGGGCGAGATAATGCTCCCCCAGCGACTTCTGGGCCCGAGCATACCTTTTCTTCGATATCTCCCAAGCCCGTTCGTAGTGCGCCACGGCTGAGTCGGGCTCCATATCGCCCAAGATACAGAACAATCTCGGTGCGTTGGGCTGGGGCGGAGTCCTCTCTGGACCGGTGAAATCCTCAGCCTTGAGCAGCGATATGTCCATGTTCTCGTCGATGTCTTCACCGGGTGCTGCCGAGCCTTGGCGCTTGCGGTGGAATAGTCGCCACCGGATGATGGCTCGCGCCTTCTCCTCGCCACCGCTCCCCCTCCCGCTACCATCCCCTTCATCAAGCGTCGCGCTACTTGCCAGGCAAAGCGCGACCTCAGCCCAGAGTTTGAGGCGTTTGAATATCTCAAGAGCAGACATGAGTGACCCGACACCTGTCCATGCATAGGCCAATTCCGACTCGAGGTGCCACCGGGGAGGTGACGAGAGAGCGTGTATGTACTGTAGCCTGACATCCGCTGAAGCGGACTCGGTCGGCTCACCGGTGGGGAAGAACGATCTTGGCTTCTCATCCACCGGCGCGGCTGATGTCCTGTCCAGCTTCACCTCGTGCTCCGCTTCAACCGAAATAGCCGGGACATTTCTGTTCTTGTCCCCTCCTGTCGGGACCCCATCATGGCTCGGGGCAGAGTCCTCGGCGGTATCAACGAGGACCTGGTCAATGACCGCCTGCATCTGCAGCACGCCTCTTTCCACCGTCCTGCTGTGGTGCACCTCAATCCTCGACCGCACTAGCAGTGCCTGCGTGTACACCTGCCAGTTTGTACTTTTATCGTTGATGACTCGGACCGCAAATGGTAGGATCTCCTCCGAGGTGAGGGAGTCTGCCGGCGAGAACACATCCTTGAGCGTGGCTTCTGTGAGAAGGATGATCTGGTCGAGGGTCGAAAGCTGCGGCTGTTGGTCGGCTTTAATGCCCCGCAGCTGGACAGGGAGCGATGATTCTGTGGCGCCCATGTTTTGCTCGCCGTGCTTCACCTCTGTTGCGTCCTTGGAAAACTCAATATTCTCCAGTAGGGTGTCGTCGTTGAGCGGTAGCGCGTGGGGGGCCTCCTCCGCCCCCTTCACGTCGTCTCCTCCGTCGGGCACCTCGACTGAGCTCCTCGCGAGAACCACGAGCTGGCTGGTGCTCTTATCCTGGAATCTAGTTCTCTTCCCGAGCGCCCCGGACAGGGCGTAGGCAAACCCGTTGAGCTCCGCAGCAAGGTTCAGGGCCTCCCGTGCTTTGACGTCCTGGCCCAGCATGATGCAGACATTTGCCTTTTCCAGCAAGAACCGCACCTTGTCCTCTGATGAGTATTCCGATGCAGCGTCTGAGACGTCCCACGCCTCGCCGATGAGCTGACTTTCCACCCGGGCCAGCCCTGCTTGGATCTTTTCTACCAGGGTTGGTACTTCGCTCATTGCCATGTTCCTGGTGAAGACGCTCCCCGAGCTCAGGCTGGGATGGACAAAGAGCTTGTAGTGCCAGACATTTAGCCTCAGCTTCATCCATGCCAGACTCACGCCCGATTGATGCCCCGCTTCAGCTCGGGCCGCTGCCCAATTCGCCTCTGACGTCTCATTCTCGATGACAAGTCTCGCCAGGCAGAACAGATCTATGTGAGGGATGAAGGGGTATACGCCGACGCCGTCCACATCTAGGGACCGGATGCCGAGATCAAACTCGGGTGTGCCCAAATATGGGGCCGTTAGGTCGGTTTGGTCGCGCGTGAGAACAGGCCCCGTGACATTGGCCTGGAGGAAGGCATTGAAGGCAGCCAGGCCATCCGACAATGATGGTGCCATTGGTGCCATTGAAGAAGGAACAGTGACCCAAGAGCCCAGCGTGCCAGGCAGAAGAGGCAGAAGAGGCAGAAGGCTGAGTTGTGACGGCCACGTCGCAAACCAGAGGCCTGCTTGGTCTCCAGGCTTGGGTTTTGGATGGGCCATGCATGCACCATGGAGGGGCATCTGAAAATTTGCTGGGGCAAGGGCTTATCTTATCAGCTGGCACACTGAGAACGGTACCGAGTACGGCGTATCCTGGACGGCCTTTTCCCAAGAATAAAAATACTCCACCCAGCAGGATACTTACTTAAGGTACCTAGGTAGTCAGTCTTGAAGAAATGTCATTGGGCGGGAGAAGAACATGTTTGGGGAGCCATCAGGCACCTTTTACAATTCTACCGCGTCTACTTAGTAACTACTACCGCCGCTTCCTTGCCCAACCTGCCGAAGCAGGGCTGTGTGTAGGGCTGTGTATCGCTGGGACTAACTAAGCTTACTCCCTTTCATCAACAACACTGTTTGCTGGGTGTGTTGCCGGGCGTTGCGTCACTTCATGGGCCTACACTTGCCAGATCTTGGCCGTGAATGCGACTGTTACCCCCGTCTCTACCCCCGTCTCTACCCCCGTCTCTATCCCCGTCTTGACGGAGAGAAACCTTGCTCTTGTATCCAGAGCCCTGGTCAGCCATGGCCCACACGCGCAACCAAAAGACTCAAAACAACCGGCGCATTTTTACAGCGCATCACCGGCACCCATGATCCCTGGCATCCTCACACAACAGCTTCAAAGGACACAGGTACAGGTCGCTGAGGGATCAGCTCATTTCTTGCCCTTCTTCCTTCCAGGCACAACCTTGAAGCCAGCCGCACCGACGACATCGGTGTCCTTGACCTGGCTGGTAGAGCCACCCTTCTTGGCCACCTCGGACCATCCCCCAGCACCAGCCCCGGACTTGGACTCGCTGACTGCGGCAGGCTCGAATATGCCTTTGTCTGCCTGCTTCTTTCGTCGGATGAACTCCTGGGCGAAGCGCGGTGCGTCCATGGTCGAGCTCACTCCGTAGATAATGTCCTTAATCATGTCGCTTTCGGGAGGGATACCCGTAGTCAGGAGCGCCGCAACCTCATCAACTGGTGTACCAGGGTTGAGGCCTCTGGTCAATTCCGTCCTCACCCACCTCTGGAACTCGCCCTGTGCTTCGCTAGTAGTGCTGCTGCTGCTGCTCTTGATGGCTGCGGCCGCGGCCGACTTGACTTGGGCCTTGCTTGCTTGGGATGATGGGGAGCGAACAGAGGAGGCGCTCGGTGATTGGGTGGGGCCCTGGACTTGGGATGAATGAGCCGCCGGCGCAGTGGGTACCTTGACCCTTCCACCAGCCCCAACTGTTGCCCAACCACTAGCCGTGGTGGGCGAAGCGCTGGCGGGGGAGGAGGAGGCGGCGGCGGCGGCGGCGGTGGCGGTTGTAATGCCTGGTGGCCCGGTCTTGCTGGCAAGCTCGGCGTAACGTTTGCCCAAATTGGAGGCGCCGGCGGCTGCAGCTGTCTGCGACGCCTGTTCCTTCACTGCCTTCTGCTTTCGTGCTTCCTCCTCGCGCTGGATCTCGGCCAGCGTCTTCTTGCGATCACCACCGGTGGGCGTGACGGGTGTCGCCACTGCACCGGCCTTGACAGTGCTAGGCTTGGACCATGGGCTGGACACTGACGGAGCCGGGGATCCGCTGCCCCAGGTGCTGGATGTGGGTAGCCCGGGAAGTACGACTGGGTTGGCTTTCTCGCGTTCCTTGGCCAGTGCCGCCTCCTTCTCTTGAGCGGCGCGGCGCTCTGCCTCTAGCTTGGCTGCCTTCTTGGCTTCCGCCTCCTGGATCTCCTTGAGGCTGGGTCCCTTCTGCGCATCGGAAACGGGGTCGCGGGCCCAAGGAGCCAAAGGGGGCGGGGCCGCAGTAGCACTGTCAGGAGTTTGGCTCTGAGAGCGCGGCTCGGCGTATTGATCTGCAATATTAGACCGCCGTTGGGCAGTCGGGGCAGGCAGGTGCGTCGCCGTCGACGGGGGCGGAGGGAACGGCATCGGAAGGCCGGTTGACGCGGACTGCTTTGCCCATGCATCTTCCTCCTGCGCCTGTCGGTGGGCGGCCTGAGCAGCATCAGCTTGCGCCTTCTGCACCTGTTGGGTCAGGGACAGGCTCTGCGTTGGCTGGGCCTGTCGGTTTTGCTGCGACTCAGCATGCTTCGACTCGGGCTGCGACTGTGAAGGTGCCTGAGCGGCCTCCTTTATCAGCCGAGAAGTCTCGGCACGATTCGCAGCGACGGCTTCGTCAGCCTGTCCCTTGGTCGGCCCACTTGGAGAAGGGCCCAGTTGGGCTTCCTCGTCGGCGCGCTGTGTGGGTATGCCTTGGTATTCCTGAAATTCCTTCAGTCTATCTTTGAACCCCTCGGGATCACTCTCCAGCTGGTCGACATTCGGAAGTCGACCCTTGAGGTCTGTTGTAGGAGGACCGACAGGCTGAGGCGGGAACATACCGGAGACGCCACCAGGTCCGTGATAATTTGCCATCAACTGGCGCTCTGAGTCCGTCATGTCCTGTCGGAGATGGTCAGGCCCCGCACTCATGGCATTGGGCAGGCCCGCGCCTTTGTTGACAGCTGAAGGCGGCTCAAAGAAGCCTGGCGTAGGCGCGCCGATTGCGCCGCCGATGGGCGGTTGGGGAGGCATCCCGATAGGCGAGGTCATACTTCCGAAGCTCGGCTGACTCTGCAAGCTGTGCATGCTAGCCTGGTGCTGCAGAGCCCCCGGGAGCCCAGTATGCACGCCACGGAAGTGACCCTGTTGCGACATCACCTCCCTCTGCCTGGCCATGGCTAGCTGCTCCTCCTGCTTGCGACGCTCCAGATTGTTCTGCTCCTCGGCGGTCAGGGTCTTGCCGTAGCTGGGGACAACGCCCAGCAGTGGTGGGATCACACCACGGGCATCACCTCCAGGTGGGAAAGTGCCGGCCTGCGGTGCGGGACCGTGAGGGATGCCAACCTGAGGCACAAGGAACGGCTCGCGAGAATTGCCTATCCTCCGAATAAGTTGGCCCAGAGGCTCAAAGTCCGGGTCCTCCACCTTGCGCACCCTAAGATCTTGCGTGAAGTAGTTGGCTTTGTACCATTCGTTCATTTCGAGACCTGTGAACGGTCCTTGCTGCTGGCCCTGGGGGTCCATGTACACCCATCGCATACGATCGGGCATGACCATAGTTCTTGCCTGGGTCTGTGGAGGCCCGGTAGGTAAGGGATCAGGGGTGAACGAGGTCGCCTGTTGAGACACGCCAAAAGGATGCCCTTGGGGAGCAGTGGCGAGAAGAGGCTGGTTGTGATCGGCTGTGGTGAACAGGCCAGGCGAGCTGACCGATTGGGGGGCCGAAAAGAGTTCCGCTAGGCTTCGACCTGCCATCGGACCAGGGCTGTCGGTATCGCGCTGGGAGCCGATTGTGCCCGCCCCAATAACGCCCAGAGGGTTGGTCTGTCGTAGTTCGGGGACAGAATCCGCGAGGGATTCCGTCTCTTGGTTTTGCATCTGGGCTTGCATGGCAGGAGGGAACAAGGACTGGATCTTGCTACTGCTCCGGAGGGAGCCCGTTCCTCCGAGGCCACCGCTCCCTGGTCCAAACAGCCCTCCAATACTGCCCAAGCCAGGGGAGTGCATGTCACCGCCTATAGGGCTGAAGACGGAACTCCCGAAAGCGCCACCAAAGGCAGAGCGCTCGCGGTCGGGGGTCGCGCTGGGGAACCCGGTGGGCCAACCCCCTATGTGACCCAGGGACGGGTAGTTCTTGGCACCTACGCTTGAAGTTTGGCTGCGATCACTGCCCTCAAATGCGGCGGCGGGGAAACCGCGCATTGAGCCAAAGTTGGAGTTTTGCTCGGACTGGGCGCCGATCGGCTGAGACTTGTCGTAGCCAAATTCGCCATGCTCATTGTCACCACGTTCTGCCGGGGGGCTCCGGTAAGGGTTGGTCTGAGATGGGCTGGCCGAAGACGCATTTCGGTCCCGACCAGTTCCCAGGCTGAGGCCGGACATCCCAAAGTCTCCCGTAGTACCCTTGACTGGCGTATCGAAGATCTGCGGTCCCGTCGTCGGCATCGGTGGCGGGCTTGTGTCCCGGGCACCACCTAAAGCAGCGCTGCCGCTTAGGCCGACGTCCCCCACAAAAGGATCCGTGTCGGTACGGGGACGAGATGCCCATTGCTGGTTCCCATTCGAGGCGGTGGCGGCGGCGTCTTCCGGGGGGGCGTTATCCTCCTTCCGGGAGAAGAAGCGAGAGCCGGTGCTCGCCCCGAAGCCCTTCTCGGCAGCGGCAGGGGTGGCGATGGAGAAATTCCCAAAGCCACCGAAACCTGAGGCAGTCACGGGCGTTGTGGTGGCCGAGCCGCCCCACACGGACGGGAAAGCAGCACCACCTGCGGTGTTGCTGCGAGCCAGCCCGGTGAATGTGGCCGGCCTCGCGGTGTCTGTAGCAGCGCCAGGTTTGTTTGATTCGTCCGGCGCGTCGATTTCCCTCGTGTCTGGGCGAGTCCTACCCAGCCAGGACAACTCAAACCGGCTCGGTCCAGCGCCAGTAGGCGAAACCAGGCCCCCGCCACCAGAGAACGGGTTGGTGTCAGTGGTCTCCCTGCGGCGGGTTGCAGGCCTTGGTGCGCCAGAGGGCGAGGTCAGATTATGAGACATTGAGGGTTTTCGCCCGTTGACGGCTGCACCCTGGCCGCTCTCCTTATTCTGCTGATTCGGCGGCTGGTTTTGCTGCTGCTGATTTTGCTGCTGCTGTTTCAGGGGAGAGTTGACGTCCGAGGTGTAGAGCTGCCGGCGACAGACTGATTAGCGACGCAGGAAGAAGAAAAAAAATAACAACAAGAGAACACAAATCGCACGGAGAGTCGCAGATCACAGACGGTACCCACCTCCTTTTCCTCGGCGGACATATCCTGGTGACCAAGTGGGCCCAATTCCCCGTCCTGGTCCCAGCAGACGGAGGGATCGTTGTGAGAATGTGCGTCATTAGGCTTGCCCCAGCCCCTGGTATTTTGCCCGTTGACATTGCCGCCGGGGCTAAAGTTTGGCATGAACAAAGGCTGTAGATCAACGTTGCCTGGGTCTGCCATCTTGCCAAAGTCCAACAAGTCATGCCTGGAGTATTTACCATTCGCAGTGTCCTGTGCCGGGGCGAACTGGGAAACAGAGGAAGGATGAGGCTCGTTCACGGAGCTGTTGAGCAGGTTGTCGATCGCAGGAAGGGCAGATGCTTGGTTGTTGAAGGGGGTGGTTGACGATCGTCGGAGGATGGCGGTTCCGTTAGAACGGCCCTCTCTTCGTAGCCTGAAGGATGGGTGGGTGTTGTTAGAAACGGCGTGCGCAAAGAGGGGCAAAATCGGCGGAGAGCAGCACTGATGGCCCGCAAGGGTTGGACGGGTATGCACGCAATGTGCAGGGACCGTGCCGTGATGGAGGACGGCCTGGGGCGTCTGAGAGAAGCGAGACGGGGCGAAACAGGCCGGCGGGCGCGGTAGCACGCAGAACTTGAGAATGACGGTTGCGCGGGGCCCAGCAGGAGATGCTGAGGGGGCATGAATGACGTGGAGGGAGCAGCATCGGGGAGCACTTACCAGTCACCACTGCCGCTGCCGTTGTTGCCACGAGAGTCACCTCGGGTGCTGGCTCTGTCGCGACCGGAATTCTGGCCAGCTGCGGCCGAAGCGAAGCTGGATGGCAAGTTTGGGCCAGCCATTGTTTGTTTATTTGTGTGTGAGAGTGGGTGAGTGGGTGAGTGGGTGCTAGGACGGATGGGAAAAGGGCGTCGAGGCGTGTCAGGAGAGCGGTGGTCGCGGGACCAAGGACGACTGTGGCCGACGCTGCTTGGGGGGACGCGATGATGCGAGAGAAGCTTCGCCTGAGGGGAGGATTGCGGACACGGGACGACACGACAAGCTCTGGCGTGGACGGTCGGGTGCCTGACGCGTTGGGACGGGGTGGATTGAGGAATCAAAAGGCTACAGATTGCTGCTGCAAGACAATAATGGTTTGGGGGGGTGAGATGGAATGGCAGTACCGGTGCGAGAGGAAGCCCTGTTTTGGTTGTTTGTGGTGCTTGACGGGGAAAAATCAAACTTCAAAAAATCAACATCACCGATTCACCAGGCAAGGCTTGGGACGGCTGGCCTGGACAGACACCCCCGACTACTGGCTGCCAGCCTGCCCAGTGTGACGAACGAAGCTTCATAGGTCAGGGCGCGCTAAAACCTTTTGCTGTGCCCAGTGGCCATAGTGGGGAAGTGCAGTAGGTACTCAAGTACCTACCAGAGTGGCTGGATGCTCGTAGGTTCTTGGGGGAGACGAGGCCTTGGGGGTTCCGTACGGTGCACGCAGGTACGTACCCAGCTACCCTGCCCTCCCTGGCTGCTTGTCGCAGCCAATTGCAGGGGGGCTGGGTGCCTACCTACTTCAACAACCTATCTACCTGCCAACCTAGGTAGGTAGTTCCCTAGGTAAGTACCTACCTAGGTAGGTAGGTAGGTAGGTACCTAGACACTTGAGCAGGTGCTGCCCGTACCGAGGACTGCACCCCACGCCTACATAGGCACTTGGCCACCACGTAGCCGTTCGGCACGCCCCAGCACGGCCGCTGCCATCAGGCCTTGGACCGGCCGTCCCTACGGGTCACGTGAGAGAGCACGTGCAGCCGGGCAGGCATCGCCGGCCAGCCGAGCAGCCCGGGGCTGTCTGGTCGCCCTGCCGCTCTGACCGTGACGTCTCCCATGGCTAGTGTAACCCTGTCGTTCGGAGTATGTGCCTAGGTATGTAGGTACCTACTTACCTAGGTATCAATAAGCTCCTGCCCACGGCCAATCCTCGGTGCATACGCACCATTTATTAACAACCTTGGAACCCATTTACTGTGCCATCGAGTCATTGTCATGTTTCGCCATGTCTCCCCTTCTTTTGTCAGCCCCTCCCGGTCTCTTGTTGTTATCAGCACACCCGGTGATTTATCTGCTCGGGCGAGACTCGAACTGCAAGAACCAATCAGTCCCGTTTCGTTTCTTTTCCCTTCCCGAGTCCTTCACAACGTCCGCGGGGTGGCCTTCCGGGTTAGATCCGAGGCCATAAAGGCAAAAAGGTCACACCGCGCTCCTCTAGAAAAGCCTGCTAGATCCGACGGGTCCTCAACGCGACTGACTTATCAGGTCCTTTTTCGAGATGATGAGCGAGTGTCTCAAGCACCGGGGTTACGTAATCGCGGCCCAGGACGTTATCTCTCTGCCGATGGCGCAATGAGTGGGAAAACGGGAAAACGGGAAAAACACTTAAAAACCGCGGCCGCCTCCCTGGCCTTGGGGTTCCGCAGACAACCTTAGCCGCAGCCATGAGCACCAACAGCAACTCGGGCCACGGCCAACCTGTCGTCCCGGAGGCAGTGGCGGGCAAGGCCCCTGCCGTTGTGGCCGTCACGCCCAGTCCTGCCTACCATCCACCCAACGGCGGCGGCGGCGGCAGCAGCGGCAGCGGCAGCAGCCAGGGTGGCCATGACCATGGCCTCGAAGACGGCGTCGACGAGGCCAATGTCGACGACCACGGCGGCGACCTCGTCACCGCGGCAGAGTTGCACGACCTCAAGCGGGGCCTGACCGAGCGTCATCTGAGCATGCTGGGGATTGCAGGCGCCATCGGCACGGGTCTCTTTCTGAGCCTCGGGGGCGCCATCCAGACCGGTGGTCCTCTCGGTGCTCTGCTGGGCTATGCGATGGTCGGCGGGGTCGTCTGTTCCGTACAGTTCGCACTGGGGGAGGTGACGGCCCTTTTACCGGTGAGCATTCGAGTGCCAGCACTGCCCCCTCGGGCCGGTGCCAAGTGCATCGCTGACCAGCGCACAGGTCACCGGCAGCTTCGTCAGGCACGCTGGCTTCCTCGTGGATCCCGCGCTCGAATTCGCCATTGGGTGGAACCTCGTCTACGGCAATCTCCTCAGCATCCCCTCGGAAATCACAGCCATTTGCGTGCTCTTCCAGTTCTGGACGGACATTAACAGCGCCTTGTGGATCGTTATCTTTATCCTCCTGACTGTCGTCGTTGGCGTGGCATTCGTCCGCATCTTCGGAGAGGTCGAATTCTTCTTTGCGGTCCTCAAGATCCTCCTGGTCGTGTTTCTCATCATCCTCGGCTTGGTCATAGACCTCGGTGGCATCCCGGGTACTCCCCGCATTGGCTTCAAGTACTGGAAAGACCCGGGTCCCTTTGTCGAGTATATCGGCACAGGCGGATGGGGGAAATTCCTAGGCTTCTGGGGTGTCATGACATCCGCCGTCTTCTCCTTCGCGGGAGTCGAGTCCATCGCCATGGCAGCAGCCGAGACCCACAACCCACGGCGCGCAATACCCCGAGCTTGCAGGCAAGTCTTTGCTCGGGTCCTGCTGTTCTACATGCTCGCAGTGCTTGTTGTTGGAATGCTTGTTCCTAGCAACGACCCGCGCTTGGGCGATGAAAGTGGCACTGCGGCACAGAGCCCCTTCGTCATCGCCGCCAGCGCCGCTGGCATCCGCGCGATTCCAAGTGTCGTCAATGCAATCGTCATTACAAGCGCATGGAGCGCAAGCAACCAGTCGCTCATGGCAGGCACCAGGGTTCTGTACGGGCTCGCGTTGAAGGGCCAGGCCCCCAAGATCTTCTTGCGGACTACGGCTTGGGGAACACCCTACATGTGCGTGGCCTTGTTCACAGCCTTCATGTTCCTCAGCTTCCTGACGCTAAGCAACAACGCCATGACTGTGTTCTGGTGGCTTGTCGATCTCACCGCTGCCGGTGTGCTCGTCAGCTGGTGTACAATCCTGTTGAATCACCTCCGCTTGAAGCTGGCAATGAAGAAGCAGGGGATTCCCGTGGCAAGATTGCCGTGGCATAACTCTTGGACCTGTGAGTTGGAACCTTTTACAGCTTGACCACTGTCTCGTCAACACTAACGCGGACATGCCCGACAAAGTTTATAGTTCCTCCATTTCGTTATGCTTGTGCGTCGTCATTCTCCTCACAAACGGCTTCAGTTGTTTCACCAAAGGCAACTGGGACCCTGAGACATTCGTGTCGTCTTACTTGTTAGTCCTCCCTGCAACGCTTTATGAATTCAACGCACAACACCTAACCTGTTTGTAGGGATATCCCTCTTGTCATCTCCGCATTTCTGATCTGGAAATTTTACAAGAAGACAAAACTATACTCCTTGGACGAGATACCCATTGCGGACGCTTTGAGGCAGGCTGATATAGAGGAAGCTGCTAGAATACAAAGATACCATGACTAGATCTTGAAAAAAGCGAACAATCGGTTAGATAGAGAGTTCAAATAGTTGTGTGGTTTAACTTCGAGGCATGATACCATTAATAAATTAATTTGCTTTAGCCGGCTGTGAGCCAACGCTATTTAGTTATGCCTTCCAAGTTTGGATGCCCGTGTGTTCAACAAGTTCATCAGGGCCGCGGAGGCAACTCCATCTCACCCCGCAAATTGGACTGCGCCATCTAGTTGGTTGAAATGTCAAGGCCACCCTTTTCCCGTAACTCCAGTCCGTGTGCAATGTAGAGTCTCGGGGTACCCGAAATTCCTTTGGATCAGTCCAATTAATCATGATTTGCGCCAACCCAAGACGTTGAACACGCTCCGCCTCGGGTCGCCTCTGCCTTGGTCCTGAAACACCTTCTGTCGTGATGCCTCGCTCTCAGGACTTTGGTATTGAGCGAACATGCGGTCGTATGTGCGAGCTGATTTTGACAATTGCCATGACACATAGCTCGCCACGGCGGACACTACGGATGTTCTCGAATCAGCCATGCGTAGCAGTCATTGTCGGCGTTTCCATTAAGTGTATTTGCGAGCAAGCAACAGAAGAAGAGGGTGGGGGCAGTGTGTTAATACTTCAACCCAGAGCATCGCTTTAATCATTGCGTGGGCGGTGGGTTTGAAAATTGTTGGGCATGAATTGAGAACTTACAGGAGGCAACAGCTAGAATTGCGGGGCCGTATTTAGTACCGGGGAGTGGCTTGATTGATGCTGCTGCCGGCATGATGAAATAAAGTGCCCTGATAGAATTGGTAGGAGATGATCGGTTGCCAGTCAGGGTGGGAGCCGACGAGTTCAATCAGATGTGACTAGCAGCTAGTTCAATAATCCAAGTGACAGGATGCAATCAAATACGCTTGAGGTGTGCATTCAATACCTTTCCGTGTGTTGGGTATGCTCTTAAATGCCTAGGTGCCGTTGCACAATCAAACAGTGGCATTGGTCTTTATAACTTGTGCTCAAGACTACACATACCATTGAGCAGCCGGGATTTCAGGCATGGCATGACCAGCCCTCAAAATGTGCCTGAAGTGGTCCGGTCCTAGTCTGATAGTGGTGTGATTGTAGGGTTCTGTCAGCGATGGCTATTTATGGGTGAGTCTTTTCGGGAGGGATCGGTAGAGGTGGGCCGCTGACCCAATAGGCCTAACCTATTGCGGAGACCCAAACGTATGTTGTTGTCCTGACGTGATGGCTAATATGAAAGCGGGAGTCAATCATTTGCTAAATTCGCAACACAAGACAGTATTAGCTTAAATCTAGTTAGGTCTATTCCCCGGATTTTACCGCACATTATAGGCAAGGCCGGGGTAGAACTAGGTGTAGAGATTAAATATAATAAGTAGTTTTATTTCTAATCCCTATATATAGAAAATATATATAATACCTTTATATAATAATAAATACTTAAAAATTAATATTTATTCTTTTTAATTTTTTAAAATATTAATAATAATATAAAAATAAAATTTAAAATTAATAAATTAATATATATATTTATAATAAATATAATAAAATATAAATAAATTAATTAAATTTTAATTTAATTATTAATTTAATTAATAAATTTTTTAAATTAAAGTTAAAGTTTTTATTTTAATTATTTATAATTTAATTTAAATAATAATTTAATTATACTTTAATTTATTTATTTTTATTTATTATAAATAATAATTACTTTTAAAATTTATTAATTATTAAAATATTTTTATTATAAATATTTTAATTATATTAATTTTAATAATATTTAATTAAAATTTATTAATTTATAAATATTATAATTATTTATTAAATTTATTAAATTAAAAGATATTTTAATTAATTTAAATCTTTTATAATAATAATATATAAAATTTATTTAATAACTTTTATTACTTATAATTAAAAGTTTCTTTTAAATATAAAATTAAAAACTTATAATTATAATTTTTAATTAATTTTATTTAATTAATTTTTATTATAATTTAATTTAATTTAATTTAAATCTTTTAAATTATATAGAACTTTTTATTTTTATAAATATAAATTTTAAATTAAAATTTTAAATTTAAATTTAAAACTTTTATAAATTTAAATTTTCTTTAAATTAAGTTTAAAATTTCTTAATTTTTTTAAAAATATATTAATTATATTAAATATTAATAACTTTTTTAAAGTAAGAATTTATTTTTATATAATTATAAATTTAATTATTAATAATTATTTTTTTATTTATAATAAAATTATTAAAATTATAAACTTAAATAATAAAATATAGTTAATTTATTTAATTATTTTTAATTTAATTAAGTAATTATTTTTAAATAATTTTATTTAATAAATATTTATTTAAATAAAATTAAAACTTTAATTAAAAATAATAACTTTATTTTTATTTATTTTAATTAATTTATATTTATTTAAATTATATAATAACTTTATATATAATATTTAATAATATTAAAATTAAATAGTTTATAATTTATAATAATTTGAATTTTTAATAAATATAATTTAATATATTAATATAAAAGTATTTTTAATAATAAATAATATTATAAATATAAATTATAAAATTATTATAAAAGTTTTATATAATAAATTTAATTAAATTAATTTTTAAAAATATATTATATTTTATTTTTTAAACTTTAATTATTTAATATTAATTTAATAATAAAATTAAAAATATATATAAATAATTTATAATTAAAAGTTTATTTATTTAAATAATTTTTATAATATTATTAAAACTTTATTAAATATAATTTTAAATTATATAAATATTTTAAAATAATTTTAAAATTATTTATTAAATATTTTTATTATTATTTATATAATAATAATAATAATTATATTTTTAATTATAAAATAATTTTTTTATTTTAAAATTAAAATAAAATTTTATTAAATATATTATTTATTTTATAATATTTAAATAAAACATTAATTATTAATTAAATAAAAATAATTTAAAATAAAATAATTATTTATTATTTAAATTATTATAATTAATAACTTTTATAATAAATTAATATTTTTAAATAATATAATTAAATATATAAATAAAATAATTATATTTTAAAATTAATTATAATATTTTTAAAATAAATTAAAATATATTATAATTAAAATTATTTTATATATTATTTTAAGTTTTAAATTATAATAATAAAATAATTATAAAGTTTTTATTAAATAAACCTTTATTAAATAAATTTTTATTAAATAATTATTTATTAAATATTCTTTTAAATTTTAAAAATATAATTAAATTTATTTATTAAAAGTTATTTTATTAAATTATATATAATTTATTTTATTTTATATATATTTAAAAATATATAATATTTTTATATAATAATAAATATTTAAAATTTAATATTTAAAAATATAATATTAATAATAATAATTATAATATAATAAATATTTATTATTTTAATTTTATAATATATAAATAAAGTTAAAAATATTATTTTAATAAAATATTAATTAAAATATTATATTTAATTATATATATTTAAATATTTAAAATATTATTAATTATTAAATTCTTTATTATTATTTTTAAATTTTTAAAATATTAATAATAAAATAGTTTTATTTTTTTATATTTATTAGTATTTTATAAATTATATAAATTTTTAATTCTTTTAATATGAAGTAAAAATTTATAATTATAATTATAATTTTTAATTAATTTTATTTAATTAATTCTTTTATTATAATTTAATTTAATTTAATTTAATTTTTTAAGTTATATAAATATTTTTATTTTTATAAATATAAATATTAAATTAAAACTTTTAAATTTAAATTTAAAATTTTTATAAATTTTAATTTTTTTAAATTAAACTTATAATCTTTTAACTTTTTTAAAAATATATTAATTATTTTAAATATTAATAACTTTTTTAAAAATAAAAATTTATTTTTATATAATTATAAATTTAATTATTAATAATTATTTTTTTATTTATAATAAAGTTATTAAAATTATAAATTTAAATATTATATATAATAATAAAATATAATTATTTTATTTAAAAATTATTTTTAATTTATATAATAAATTAAATAATTAGTTTTAAATAGTTTTATTTAATAAATATTTATTTATAAAATAAAGTTAAAACTTTAATTAAAAATAATAATTTTTATTTTTATATATTTTAATTAATTTATATTTAAATTATATAATAATATTATATATAATATTTAATAATATTAAAATTAATTTATAATTTATAATAATTTTAATTTTAAAAATATATTATATTTTATCTTTTAAAATTTTAATTATTTATTTTTAATTTAATAATAAAATTAAAAATGTAAATAATTTATATATTTTTAAATAATTAATTTAATTAATTTTTATATAAATTATTTTATAATAAATTTATAATTTATTATATATATAATATTATTTATAATTAAAAGTATTTTTATATTAATATTTTAATTTATTTATATTTAATTTAAATATAAATTAATTAAAATAAATAAAATAAAGTTATTATTTTTATTTAAAGTTTTAATTTAATTAAATTATAAATAAAATAATTTTAAAATAATTATTTAATTTATTATATTTTATTAAATTAAAATATAATTTTAAATTAAAATAATAATATTTTATTATTTAAATTTATAATTTTAATAATTTATAAAATAAAATAATTATTATTAATAATTAAATTTATAATTATATAAAAATAAAGTTTTAATTTTTAAAATATTATTAATAATTAAAATAATTAATTTATTTTTAAATAATTAAAAGTTTTAAATTTAAATTTAAAACTCTTAATTTAAAGTTTATATTTATAAAATAAAAATATTTAATAAATTTTAAAAATATTTAAATAAAATTAAATTAAATTATAATAAAATATAATAATTAAAATTATAAATTTTTAACTTTATATTAAAAAATAAAATATTATATATAATAATAAAATATAATTATTTTATTTAATTATATTTTAATTTATATAATAAATTTAATAATTAATTTTAAATAATATTATTTATAAATTTAATAAATTAATTTT